AAAAAAGATTTTAATAAATTTAATTATATTTATAATATATTAATATTATTTAAATATATTATTTTAACTTAAGTATATTTTTATATAAAAAAACTTTTAACTTTTATATTAAAAAAATTATTTAAAAATATTAACTTTTATTATACTTAAATAAAAAATTAAACCTTAATTAAATAAATATTATATACTTAAATAAAATTAATTATTATAAATAATAATATTTTTTAATAATAAATTTATAATATTAATAAAAAAGTTAAAATTTATAAAATATATAAAATTTAAACTTATAATTTATTAAAAATAATAAATATATTAAGTAATATTATAATTAATTATATTATTTTATTTTAAAAGTTTTTAATAAATTAAAATATTTTATTAATATTAAAATATAATAATAATATATAAAATATATTTTTAATAAATATAAAAAAAGTTTTTTTAATTTATTAAAAAATTATTTAATATAATAAAATATAAATTATTTTATTAATATAATTATTATTTAATATTTTAGCTAAAAATACTTTTTTATTTTTATTAAATTTTTAAGTATATAGTTTTTTTTAGAATTTTAGAATTTATTAACTTATAAAATATATTATAAAAAAATATATTAAATATTTTTTATAAATATTTTACTAATATAACTTAAATAATATTATTTTAAATTTAATATAATATTAAACTAAAAAATAACTTTTTTTATTAATTAATATAACTAGTAAAACTAATATAATATATAAAGTAAATAAATATTAGCTTTAGTTAAGTTACTTATAAACTTTTAAAAAAACTAAGCTATTATAATTATTAATTATATTTAAAAATAATAATTTTTAATTAATTAAATTTATAATTTACTTTTTTAATTAATTAAAACTAGCTTTTTTAATTAATTATAAGTTAGTTTTTTATTTATATTTAATAATATTCTTAAAAATAAAAAAGTTTTCTAAAATAAATATACTTTTTAAGTTAGCTTCCTGCTAATATTAACTTATTTAATATAAAAAAATATTATAAAAATTAAACTTTATAATAAATTTTTAAATAATAGAAGCTTAAAAAAAACTACTATAAGTAATTATTTTTAATTTAGCCTGCTTACTAAGCGAAATAGATACAGTTTACTTATTGAGAAATACCAGATACATAATCCCTAATATTCCCATGTCCTGCTCCTTTAGGTAATGCGGGGGAAATGGGGCAAGCGGGGGTTGGAGACGGCTACAATAGGCACTATTCTGCCCCTCTCACGTGCTGTCTGTTGAATATAGGTAGAAATTCCACGAAGATGGACTTACGCTCTGCTGCTGTGAGATAAGGAATAGCCCGCCGTTCAATGTATAGAGGCATATTAGCAACTGTTCCAAATTTAGCCTGCAAACTCCCACGGACGCTGCCCTCGCCATTCATTCGCCGCCTCTCAACTGAAACTATGGCCAAAACAAGCACAACCCATAGGCTCTCTCAGCTGAGAGCTCTGATGAAAGAGCACAACGTTCAGATTTATGGTAAGGGTTTGCGGTACATTTAGCCTCAGCATCCGCCAGCCTGGCTAGTAGAGACATATCATCGCTCACATGTGTATCTTTTCCAGTCGTACCGTCAGAAGATAGCCATAGTTCCGAGTATATTGCCTCCTGTGACGCTCGGCGCGAGTTCATCAGCGGATTCACAGGCTCTGCTGGGTGCGCAGTCATCACAGAGACTGCCGCAGCTCTTGCGACCGATGGAAGATACTTCAACCAGGCTACTCAACAGTTGGATGAAAACTGGACGTTGTTAAAGCAGGGACTCCAAGATGTCCCCACATGGCAAGAATGGGCAGCCGAGCAGTCTGCTGGAGGAAAGACTGTTGCCGTAGACTCGACTCTGGTGACGGGCTCTGCAGCAAAGAAGCTCGCGGAGAAGATCCGCAAAAGCGGCGGCTCTGACTTGGTCCCCCTAGACGTCAACTTGGTGGATAAGGTCTGGGCCGATAGCAGACCAGCCAGACCCCAACAGGGCATCAGGGTTCTGTCCGAGAAATTTGCCGGCAAATCAGTTCAGAGCAAACTAGCGGACCTCCAAGCGGAGCTCGAGAAGAAGCGATCTCCCGGTGTATTCATCTCGATGCTTGACGAGGTGGCGTGGCTATTCAACTTGCGCGGTAACGACATCCCCTACAACCCGGTCTTCTTCTCGTATGCCGTGATCACGCCAAAAGGAGCGGCCCTGTACGTGGACGAAATTAAATTAGGCGAAGAATGCCGAGCGCACTTGGCCAAATATGCAGTTGACGTCAAGCCATACGAGGCTTTCTTCCGTGATGCGGAACAGCTCCATCAGCAATTTGTCGCCTCTACTGCGAAGGAAGGTGGCGCTCCCGTAGGTAGCTTTTTAATGTCTAACAAAGGATCCTGGGCTTTAAAGAGAGCACTGGGCGGAGATACCGCTGTCGAGGAGATTCGCAGCCCCGTTGGGGATGCAAAGGCTGTCAAGAACGAAATTGAGATGGAAGGAATGCGGGCCTGCCATATCAGAGACGGTGCCGCTCTCATCCAATACTTTGCGTGGCTCGAAGACCAGCTTATAAACCAAAAAGTTGTGCTGGACGAAGTACAGGCTGCTGATAAGCTAGAAGAATTGCGATCGCAAAAGGAGCACTTTGTCGGATTATCATTCCCGACAATATCATCGACTGGCGCGAAGTGAGTTTACACCCGGGATTCTCGTATCTTCCTTTGCCACAATGTTGTGCTAATAATGGCCTATAGCGCGGCTGTGATTCATTATGGTCCTGAACGTGGGAACTGTGCCACTATTGACCCCAATGCCATCTATCTGTGTGACTCAGGGGCTCAGTATCTGGATGGCACAACTGATACTACACGGACACTACACTTTGGACAGCCCTCGGAAGCTGAACGGGAAGCTTATACGCTCGTTCTGAAAGGAAACATAGCCTTGGATGTAGCTATTTTCCCCAAGGGGACGACAGGATTTGCCCTTGATTCTCTAGCTAGACAACATCTCTGGGTGAGTCTAAATGCATCTTCAGTCATGCGACCCTCACTTCGTTATGCTAACGTGCAGCAGAAAGCGGGATTGGATTATCGACATGGCACTGGTCATGGCGTAGGCTCTTTCCTGAATGTCCACGAAGGCCCAATTGGTATTGGTACTCGCATCCAGTATACCGAAGTGCCGTTGGCCCCTGGCAATGTCATTTCGAATGAGCCAGGATATTATGAAGATGGCAACTTTGGAATCCGAATTGAGAACATTGTCATGGTCAAAGAAGTTGAGACGAAGCATGCCTTCGGGGATAAGCCATTCCTTGGTTTCGAGCATGTTACCATGGTTCCCTATTGCAGGCGCTTGATCAATGAGAGTATGCTCACGGAGGATGAGAAGGCCTGGTTGAATGCTTCCAACGCAGAAATTTTGGAGAAGACGAAGGGACATTTTGAGGGAGATGCCATCACGACGGCCTGGGTGGAGCGAGAAACACGGCGCATTGAGTAGGAGTAATTTACCATAGAGACAAACAAAAGAGGGAAAAAAGAGGGAAAATGAAAGATATTTTTATCTTAGAGGCTTACAAACGCCGATAGGACAAATGTCAAAACGAATGAGGCAACAAACCACCCATCCCTTGTGCTATAGCTAAGAAGAGGGAATTTCTCTGCAAGATACTTGGGCAAATTAAGAAATCTCGGCAAGGGTAGCCCATATGAGGAGGCGAGCTTGATTTAGTCAAAAACGTCAGGAGAGACAGCTTAGGAGGTCAGAAGACTGGTGAGCGCACTTACATGATAGCACGCAGTAAGCACTCCGCCAAGCAACACAAGAGTGCGAGAAAAGACGGAAACTACAAGGCCCGTGGCAAAGCCTATGAGAGGGGGATAATGTTACCCAGTAGTTCTCTAAGGGATAACACAAATCATACGAAATGTCAATTGACTTGGTACTAACCAACAACGCTTCCAGAGGAGACCTGGCGGATGATCTCAGGAGAAGGCAGTGGTTCCACAGGTTTTGCGGCATACTGAGTCGGAGATGCTGTAGATTGCTTTCGCCGCGAGTCCAACCGAACAGATGAGTTTGCCGCAAAGGCCCCGTAGCAGACGCTTGTGCCGATGCCGCCAAAGAGAAGTCTTCGGGAGTAGCGAAGGGCGGAGAATTGCTTGATCGCTCGACTCATTATGGTAACGGTGGAAGATTGAGAGGATGATGTTTGGTACACAGACTTGGTGCTAACGAGTAAGACATGTAGTTCGAAGGGAGACACTTATGACGTAGTAGAATCTATCTACAGGTCTACAAGCAAATGAGTTATCGAGAAGCAAAAAAAAAAAAGAACTTAACATACAACAGCCGGTGTTCGCTGATGGTCACCCACTCAACTACTAATCTGCCGGTTAGTGGCTTATCTATGGGGGAGCAGACGGGACCCCGAGTTTTCCACTACCTATGGTCGTATGTACTGATATTTCCGATAGCCTCAATTATAACAGAATTTCAAAATGTCTACTGCAGCATCCAAATCTCACATGTTTGGGAGTGGCAGAACATTACCCATTGGATTTTGCACTATCTGCACTGTTCCTACTCATAGATGCATCATGACCTGATCTCACATTCAAATATGCGAGTTTTAGTGCAATTGCGCGTTATTTGTCGCCTCAAAACTTAACTCGAGGTATTTTCACTATTTGTGTTTCCAGCACCTCCACAACGTATTTCCGATAGATAGAGATTCAGTTGTTTCACTCAACAGCTGGCGCTTATTTCTCAACGTACTGGAAATATCTAGGGCTTATTTCGGCCTTTAGCACGCTTTCAGCTCCGAAGCTCTCTTTGGCCATACTTGGAGATTCAAGGTATGCATGTGCCTGAGTCGCCAATGCCTGCGCACCCATAAAAACCAAGTAATCAATAAGTGACCATAAGCATTTAGCTTTTTTTTTTTTTTTTTTTTTTTTTTACATGATGACAAGGCGAATGATTACTATTTCCTGGCATGCCATTGATTGTTTAAATCTCAAAAGACCCAAATCAGTACGTAGTGGGCGGTTTTCAGCGAGTGGGGCAACCGTCATTCATGAGTCTCACTGGATTTTAAATATTCGTCATTTGACGCTCTCTCTCAAACCCATCGTCTTGGAAACCCCTCGCTCATAGCATAGCAGCAAAAAAGCAGTTCAAAATGAAAGCATACATGTACGATAACGTGCCAGTAAGCCCCATCCACACAAAGATCGGCGATAGCGACGAGTGAGAGATCCTGACACGGCATGATTTTGCACAAAAGGGCGACCAGCGTCTGCCTCATGACTCTGGCCGTGAGGTGACGGCCAGCGACTTGGCCACCATCGGCGTGCACTACCGTCGCCTTGCCGAAACCAGCGAGGTGGACGTGCTGGCGGCCGAGCGCGGATACAAGAACCGCGATGAGATTGTGGTGTCGCCCGACAAGATGGGCGACGTCTATGAGGACAAGGTCAAGATGTTCTTCAACGAGCACTTACACGAGGACGAGGAGATTCGGTACATCCGGGGCGGCCAGGGCTACTTCGACGTGCGGAACAAGGGCGACGAGTGGGTGCGCATCCAGCTGGAGAAGGACGACCTCATCATTCTGCCCGCCGGCATCTTCCACCGCTTCACAACGGACGAGTCCAACGTGAGTTTTTTTCTGCCTTGATCTGCCATTGTCATTGTCCATTTTATGAGCACGTCATAAGGCAAGTCTCACTGACCTTTTCTTTCCCCCCCTCTTCTAGTACGTCCACGCCATGAGGCTCTTCAAGGATGAGCCAAAGTGGACTCCCCTGAACCGGGCTCCAGAGCTGGACAGCAACGACTTCCGTAAGGAGTATGTCGGCCAGTATCTCAGCTGAAATAACCGGCGACCGAGGGAAAAAAAAAAAAAAAAAAAAGAAATTATGGCGATTGTCTTGGCCGGACACTCGGGAGGTAGTGAGTAACAATTGTAGTTAGCAGCTTAGAAACGGACAATTACAAAGTCGATTGGAAAGAATTCGAAGACCCCGGAACCCATTGTATCCTAATCAATTGATCCCAAATCATCATCGAGTGATTTCCAACTCTCCTCACCGCCAGCAATAAAAATCTTCACCCTTGCCGCCGCACCGCGATCGAGGCATCTGGTGGCGATGCGTCTGAGTAATGGTAGGCATGTGGAGGAGGTGAACAGACACCCGGACGTCTCACTTTTAAGCAACATTCATGCGACGGTTCGTTTAAAGCCCTCTTCATCAGCTCAGCTGCGCAACTGCCGATGGCCAAGTCTCTCTAGCTCTATTTTTTTCTCCAACTCGCGACGCCTCATAAGTCACACAGTATCGCTTGCCGTTTATGCCTTACTCAGTGAGACACGGCTGCACTGTCTCTTTTCGCAGGAGGCGTAGACTCAAACTGCCGCTCCCTTTCGCCTGCCCGCCTGCCGTCGCCAAACGAGTTCTCTAGACAATGGAGGCTCGCACAGAAGTCAGCGAATCGAGCGACGGGCCGGCGAGGCCCAAACTGCAGCTGCCGGCGAGCTGCGATCCGCCGCCGCCGACGGGATCAACGAAGAAGCTGGTTTGGATTGTGCGTTGTTCGCGTCTCCCCGTCCTTCCGTCTCACGGCGTCCCCTTGAGTCGTCTCACTGCTGACAGCTGCCCTCTCTAGATCTTCGGCGGCACCGGCCACATGGGCCGCTCGCTGGTCAAGAGCGCCTTGTCGCACGGCGACCTGGTGTGCTCGGTAGGGCGAGTCTTTGAGACGCCGCAGGAGGACATGGACGGCATCCATGAAAACTGCCTGGGCCTGCTGTGCGACGTGCGCTCGCGGGAGTCGGTCAATCGCGTCTTCCGGCACGTCATGGACAAGCTCGGGCGCGTCGACGTGGTCGCAAACTGCTCGGGCTACGGCGTCATCGGCTCGTGCGAGGACCAGGACGAGCACGACCTGCGCAACCAGTTCGAGACCAACTTCATGGGCACGCTGCACATCATCCACGCCACGCTGCCCTACTTCCGGCGCCAGCAGGCCGGCCGCTACCTCATCTTCAGCTCCACGTCCGGCGCCCTGGGCGTGCCCGGCCTGGGGCCCTACTGCGCCAGCAAGTACGCCGTCGAGGGCCTCATCGAGGCCATGCTGTATGAGACGGATGCCTTCCACGTCAAGGCCACGCTCATCGAGCCCGGGCTGGTCAGGCGCGACGAGCCTGACTCAGGCAACAGTCCCTTGCCCACCTGGGGCCACTTTTTCATCAAGCCGCCCAGCGAGCATTATTCCACCGCAACGTCGCCCGCGCTGCACGCAAAGCGCATGGTGCAGTGGCTGGGCGATCGCCAGCCCACGAGCGCCGTCAAGTGCGCCGAGCTCGTCTGGCAGCTGGGCCACTGCTCGTACCCGCCGCTGAGGCTGCTGCTGGGCAGCTATGCCATCGAGAGCATCCGCGACAGAATGCGCTCCGTCACCGAGGAGCTGGAGGACTGGAAGCATCTCAACTTTGCCATCGTGCCAGATTCCGACAAAGAGGCTGAGGAGATGGGAGGCGAGGCGAATGCAGATTTTGTTGCTGCATGAAGAAAAAAATGACAACGTGCAGGCCACACCGTAACAGTTTCTTGTTTCTTGTTTATATCTTTGCTCTCAGGTGCACCTTCCTCTTTCTACGCATATATATAATATTCCATGTGATATAGTATGTTGTTTTTGCCGCTAGCGAACGACATGATTCAGGGAATGGGATGCAGAACATGCAGTATTCATGCTGGTGGAATACAAACACTACATGGTGTGCACTTGTATAATCCATCTATAGCACTTTAAAGCCATATTCGACAATACGAATGCCTTTGATCTATATATATATGGTATTAATTTTTATTAGACGGCCTTGATCCTCGTCTATATAGAGCTGCCTTGCTGAATAACTTCATCTGGCCGAATACAAGGTTAATTATATAATAAATGCTTTTAAAAAAGCGCAATTATTCAAGAAATAGTTAACCTGTCTAGCATATGCAAGGATATTTATTTATTCAAAATTTTAACTGTGCTCTTATATAAATTTTAATATTTCTTATGTGTGAATGTCAATTAAAGTAGAGATATACTGAATGGCACGACATAAAATCGATCCAGTCAGAGCTATTTAGCTAGGAATATAGCTCTAAACTTACTAGCGCTAATTCATAAATTCTGCTCCCAAGTCGAACGATCCAACTCACTCACTCGCCTACGGCTCTTTTTTTTTCTCTTCTCTTTTTTTCCTTCGCTCTTCTCACTTCGCATCCAACTGCCAACACATGTAGAGAGAGCAGAAATCAGGATAAGGATAAGGATAAATATTTCAACCGCCATTAATGTCACCTCTTGCAGGGGCAAAACACATTTTACGGCCTCGCGTCGTCTTTTCCGGCATCCAGCCCACTGGCGTGCCGCATCTGGGAAACTATGTCGGTGCGCTGAGGCAATGGGTAAATCTACAACATGAGGAAAAACCCTCCACCAAGCTGATATACTCCATTGTCGATTTGCATGCCATCACTGTGCCTCAGAAGCCAGAGGTGCTGAAACAGCGCAAGAGGGAAGTTTTGGCCGCTCTCCTTGCCATTGGTCTAGATCCCGAGAGATGCACCATCTTCTACCAGTCGTCTGTTCGTTGCCTGACTCAAGCCCAAAGCCTCCAATCATCACATAGCTCACCACTGGATGTAGGTGCCGGCTCACTCTGAGCTGATGTGGATACTTGCATGTACCGCGTCTGTAGGCTATCTCTCAAGAATGACACAATGGAAGGTAGATGGATTCGCAGCAATTGCCATGTATAAACGCTCCTCTATTGACCAGCTCTCAGAGTAAGCTTAGCTTAGATTCGTCTTCAACCTTGGACGAAGGGCCCGTTGGTTCCCGACTGAAGCTGGGCCTGTTCTCCTATCCAGTCCTCCAGGCCGCTGACATCCTCGCTCACCGGTAAGCCCAGCAATGTCTTTCCATATACGCCCCATTTGGCGCCTCCAACCCTGTAATCATATCGAACAGTAAACTGATATTTTCTTGTAAGAGCTACCCATGTGCCCGTTGGGCATGACCAACAGCAGCATTTGGAGTTTGCGCGTGAATGTGTCACAAATTTCAACCATGCTTATGGAAATCATCTTGTCCCGCCTTCAACCATAACCTGTACGCTTGCTGCCTTTGCTTCCCTTCCCTCCTCTCACTTGCACACAGGCTCATTGAGTTACAGCACCCGCTCAGCGCATCATGTCTTTAACAGACCCGACAAGTAAAATGTCGAAATCTCACAAGGCGCAGCGTTCAAGAATTCTTATTACTGATACTCCTGAAGAGATTCGGTCCAAGATTGGCTCGGCCCTGACTGATTCGACTCCCGGTGTCTCTTACGATCCCGCCACTCGCCCTGGCTTTTCTAACTTATTGGAAATATACTCCGTTTTTGATGCAGAGAAGCGCAGTCCGGTACAGCTAGCCCAAGTATATGCCAACTCTTCGCCCAAGGTTTTGAAAGAAGCAGTCTCAGATGCGCTGATCGCCGGGTTACACGGTATTCGCGATCGATATCTTGATCTATCTGCAAACGAATCGTTTCTTGAAATGATAGAGAAGGAGGGCGCACGAAAAGCCCAGGAAAGTGCGCAGGAAACGATGGAGATCGTCAAGTCTGCAGTTGGGTTGTAACGGATATTTGGCGTCAATTAGCGCTTTGAGCCTTTTCATGTATTATTACCTCGCCCCTCGCGATTGGAATCGCCGTACAGGCATGTGTATCATAGTTGCCAGCGTTGGCCAGCCATTTCGATATAAGATCACGTAACGTGGATATCATGTGGCTGTACATCTATGTTATTATATGTATCTTTCTCATCATTGAGTGACGCATTTAGGTGAGCGTCGATCGACTTGTAAGCCTCGAGCAGGCTGGCCATACTAAGATGCGTAGGCAAAGTTGGCACCTCTAGCAGTCAGCCAGAAATCTCTGACAACCTGATTTGTTGCCCGAGCGCCTCGAAGACTAGCCCAAGTTAGCAAAGGGGCATGCATCAGCAACACTCGTCGGAACTATACCTGATGACTTTTTTCACGAAGAGCAATTTCTGCTCTGGAGTTACCCGCTGGCTCGGGAATGATGGATGATCTAGACCGGACTGCAGCCACTCTCTCGACATTGGATAGTTGACGACAAGTTTCCTTAAAGGTTCACTTAGTCGGTCTAACTCGCTCCGCAGGGCGTTGCCGCCGATATTTCTTGCAAGGGATTGAGTTAACAAGGGCCCAAGCGTATCCATGGCTCTCTTGAAAGTTTCCTGAAGGCCTGCATTATCTCCCCGAATGCCGACAAATGCCGTCTATTTGCGTGTTAGATCGCCGTTACATGCAATAATGATAGAAGGCGCAGAGACTAAAGATACAATACATACCCAGAACTCCGCCGCAGCCGCCTTAGGTAATGGCTCTTTTCCATCCATAACCTGCAGCGTGAACAGGAAAAAGAACTCAATTGCGTCTGATGGTTCCAGGCTGATAAAAGCGCTGGGGCTTCTGGTCAAAAGTCGGCTAACAAGATCAATGCCATTTTGTACGAGCTCAGGCTCTGCTCCAGGCTCTAATTTCAGTTGTCAACTTGACTGGCTCATCTACGGCAACAACGGTGGAAGGAATTCTTACCAGGAAGCTGTTTCAAGAGTCCAATTACCCAAGAGAGCACACCCGAAAGTATCTTTTGATACTGCCCGAGCATTTGAGGAGGTAGGGAGCTAATAAAAGAGCACGCCATACTAACAACAATGCCAATTCTAGGCGTATCTTTTGAATGCCCAACGAGAAAGCGCACGATATCCTCAGGGGTAAGGACGAACGGTCCCGGCTCGCTTTCGGAGAAACCGCTGCGAAGCACGCTGCATATCAGCTCTGTAACCTCTGAACTCCCACTGTACACGTTTTGGACCTCGACAATGATGCGTATTATTTGCTCCTGAATTTGGATCAATTTGGGTGTTTTGGCTTTCTGATTAGACTCAGCCTCAAGATCAATCGAAAAGTCTGGAGGAGATTGCAAGCCCTTGCCCATGCTTGCCAGACATCCCAGTGCCCTGAGAGCAACATGTAAGCCAACGTGTTCCTCAGGCAGGATGTCTGAGCAGGGGAGTTGCATTTGCTGTGGTAACACTTCATCATTGGTTACATTTACCAGCTTCATGGATTGTTGGACATCGCTTTGTATGATGTCCAGCAACCCAGAACAAGCAGTATACCTCTTCTCATCATCAGGAATGGCTTGAGCAATAGACGCGAGGGCCCCTACTATTTTCTCACGAGAAATGCAGTCAAGTGATGCTGTAGCAACTAAATTGCGATACTCAGCTAGTAGGCCGTCCATTTGAGGATGCAGATGTGAGCGGCAAGACGAACAAAGCCGGTGTATAGACTTTGAGGCTGGTATGGCCATGGAATGCTCTGAAACTTCGTTGAATAGAAGGCTGAGGGCGGTAGAAAGAAGGTGGGTATTTCGTTCAAAGTATTCGGTGTACTGTTCAATTAGTGTAAGGCAAGTTTGTCTCACTCGGGTTGGTATGGTTTTCTGGGCACTTCTAAGCACTGAAAACAGAGGTGACGAGAAAACCGCGGCAAGGAAGTCGTCACAGCGTGGATCTTCTCGGCTGCAGTCTGCTAAACCGCCCAGGCAGAATATAGCTGACTCCAATTCTAGCCAGGAGGAACTTGCCAATGTGGACAATATCAACGAAGAAAAAGTTTCCACAAGCCTGGGCCCGATCAAGGTATAGACAGCTTGCAAAAGATCCACTACGTCTTTCCTAGCATCGTGAAAGCCGGCGCGATCGCCTGAGTCCCATGAATGAAATTCATCTGCTGGAGGGTATATAATCTTCTTCCATGCGTTTGATGTCGCCTGAAAGATGTATGGAATAGTGATTGCAGTTACCGAGCTTGCAGAAGTCGACTCTGGATCCATATCTGAGACGGATTCGGTCAATGTCGACCAAAATTCGATGGCGGGGACAAAAATTCTATTTTCAGCAACTGGATAGCCATCCGCCGCAAGAAGACCGCACAGTTGGGACAGTATACTCTTGTTTTGCTCATGGTCATTCTGAATAAGGTCTTCTACTCGGGCTTCACCAAAGGCGAGAAGTACATATCCGAGCTGCGTCGACTCAAAGTCCGCATCCCCCTGGATGAGTTGCTCATATCGGTGGTGGAACCATGGCGTATCAAAGATATTGGCGAGTATTGTATAGTGCTGCCCCGTAAGCAAAGAAGGCCAGTTGAAGAGCACGTCAATAAGCAGTTCCGCAGCCGCACTGTATAGTTCCTCGACTATCAATGCGTTGATAGAGCCTCCAATAAGGGGCCGTAGAGAATCCGCAATGTAGCTATTTCGTGCTGATGTCTTCTGAGCAAATGAAACCCACGACTAAAGCGAATCCAATTAGCCTCTCCTGATTTGCTATATACTCAGAAGGCACAGGGTCACCTACCTGGAGACATCTCAGCGCATCTTGCTTGACCTCTGGAGAAACATCGTCTCGGCTCATGCACATCGCTATGAGTGTTACCGAGTCTGAGGTGTTTGCAAGAACCGAGTCGTACAGGCCAACGCTTTGTCCGTGTTAGCGATGCTATGAGATGCTAATAAAGCGAGTAGTGGTTCTCATACTTGCTTGCTGCGTTTAGATCGATGCGAGTAACATCCTCAAGAATATTGCTAATCACCAAGATAGCCGCATGCAAGTGCACTCCCGTGAGGCTTTCTGATATGGCGTTGAAATCGACCGACTCGTCGATAGTCCCTGGCTGCCAAGCTCGATTTGACGCTAAGCTGACAAGAAGATGAAAGATGTAGCGGTTGCATAATCTGTGGAAATATATGAAATAGGTGGCCAGCGCAGATGCCAGCTTCCGTACAACAAGCAGCCCGGTCTTGTGCTGTAAAGCCCCAATGTACCATTCCAACAGCGAGACGAGGAGCTCTACGGCATCACTGTCGCTAAGAGACGCACTGATCGATGTCAACCGAGAGAGCTCAGTGGATAGCGTACTGGGCGGCGAACGTACTTTTCGGTATTCAACTTAACGATGATTGTGAGCGCACCGAAGAACTTGACTTTCTCGTCCGGACGCCCAAGCAGGTGGTGGGCGAGCGACCATGCTTGTGGTGAACTTTGCAGTCGCGATAAGGTCGATTGTGTTTTGGAAATCGTGCTGGGAGAAGCTGGTTCGTACAGAGAAAGAATCAGCTTTGCCACCATTAGCAGTGATGCCTTTAAGATGATCGGATTTCCAGAAGAAGAGGCCCAGAAAGACTAACCGATTCGACCTGCTCGACGTCGGAGGGGAGAAGCTCATCTTGCATCGTGACGGGTTCTGCCGGCAAATTTTCGCGGAATTTCGTTCCACACGGATCACCAGGCCGTGGCTGGTAGCTTTAGTAGCACAGGGCTATCATATCAACAAGTGATTTCGCGCAGTATGCATGGAGAGGATTTCGCAAATGGACTGCAGCTTGATTATCGCATAGCAGAGCTAGCAGCCCGTCGTTCTTTCAAGCCTGTATTATCAAATGCCATGTGCAAGATGTACTACTCCGGATGCGGTTTAGCTTTTGAGATTGCTATCCTTGCAGCTTGTACTTAATCTTATTGCAATAGCTAATAATATTGTCTTTAATATATCTAGGATATCAAGAAATTAACTACTAAGGATTTTAAAGCAATAGGTGCTATTATAATATAAAAGACTTTGATATAAAAAAAAATTATTATTTAATATAATAAAGTAATTTTATAATACCCTAGGATAATTTTATAATTAATTATAATAAATAACAATAGCTAAAGGAAATTTAAAAAATAATTATTATAATTACTAAATTTAAATTATTATAATAAATTATTAAAGCTTAGCTTAAGAATTAAAATAAAATTAAAAAAGCTTAAATATTTATAAGTAAATACAATAAGTAAAAAAAAAAGAAAATAATAAATAATTTTTTTTTAAAAAAAAATAAAAGTAATTAAATTTAACTTTAAGCTAAAAATTTTTTTTTTTTTTTACTTTTTAAGTTATTAATTATACTAGGCTTCAGTTTAGTAAAATACAACATAAAAAAGTAAGGTATTACTTATTAAATAAGAAAAATAATATAAGTTTATTATATATAATAACCCTTTACTACTACTTTTACTTTTATTAAAATGAACCTTATTAGGTTAAATTGCATAAAGCAAAGCAGTCTGCTTTATTATCGCGGGCATAGAAGAAAAAGACATGGGTTTGTGTTCTTAATGAAAGGCAAGGGCGTGAGGTATAGATCTAAGGGGTGATTCTAGCAGTGGTACAGGTATTATGAGACACAGATCAGAAAATAACAACAAACCGTACAAGTACGAATTAACTGCTTGTATTACTAAGAAGAAGACGTAGATCATGCATTCGTTATTTCTTGCCTCTTGTTAGCTTCTAGTATTCATTCATTGTATGTACTCATTTGGCTTCCAGCCTTTCGCATCAGCGTTTATTTCGTTGTGTAAGTATTTACCAGGCTAATCTTCATTTTTCAGTCTACCAGGCTGCTTTCTGCGGATTAACACGGGTAGAGCTCGCGTTTCTTGTTGGTTATCGCACATTGACGGCAGCGACGTCTCTACCTGCTGCGCCCATAATATCATTAATATCCGTGGCGGTGTCGTCTGTTGGGCGAGCCTCAAATAACCGCCTCCACCAGCTTGGGGGATCAAACGGCCTGGAGCCGTTGTGCAGCGGCGGGTATACATCGTTGAAGAAGTACCAAACGTGGCCAATGACGACTCCCATAATCTCATCTCTCGGTACGGTGCCGTGCATAAACAGGCTAAAGGCCATCAACACCCACGGCAGATATGGAGCGGTAAAAACAAGCAGGCCCAGGAAGCTTAGCCTGGTGTCGGGGTTGCGCCGGGACCAAATATAGACGAGGGTGGACGAGAGCGGGTGCCCGAGGAATGGCATGGAAACAAGCGGCGATAGAGCGATCAGGCTCGCCATGGCATAGAGGAGAAGCCAGGAGAAATACGCGGCCGAGCGTCCCGACGACTCTTCTAGCAGTCGCGCATATCGCTGGAGGAAATATATGTGAAAGAGTAAGTCAAGCGAAAACGGACCGAAGTAAAGAAACGTCGTCAACAGACGCCAGTACTGTGTTGCATCAGTCAGTCAGTCAATCAGTCAGCACATGGGAATGCGTAGCGGATAGGGATCGGCTAACCTGGGACTTAACGAAGACGGCTCGGAAGCTGTAGAAGAGTTGAAATGGCGTCACCATATGGCATTGGACGAGGGCGCTGGTCAAGACAGTTGCGGCTGTCCACCATCGCGTGCATGTTGGCATCTCCCAGAACCACGTTTCCAGCGGAATGCGATCGCCGCCCATTACTTGATCCATTTGGAGAGATGGCAAATCGTAGCAATCGTGTGTTAATCAAACGATGACCGCAGTCGACATGAAAGATGCGTCGGCGATGCGACTGTCGGGACGCAAATCGATGCAATAAGGTAGATGGTGATGTGGCCTTTGGCAGGCGAGAAGATACAAGCCTGAAGAAGGCAAGTAAAGTAAATCGGAGCTGGGCTGCCGGCGTTGCGAATTGATCTGTTACACCATTGCCACTCTGGCAGTTACGCAATTAGTAATGTAGAGGGTACCTGGCGACCAGCCTCTGAGTACCTACCTGTCTTATCGACGAGACTTATGATGCGACCATTGATTCGACTGCTAGACTTCTAGTTTGAAAAATGAAGAAATGATAGTTACCTACAGATCTTTTAATAATCCAGTTGATGAAGCTGCCACTTCATTTGACTCGATTCTTCATAGATGCACTTATACATCCAAGTACCTGGGCTGGAGACCCTCAAAGCATGGGTTAGCCGCCAAAGTCCAATTATAGATGGTGCTAGTAGACGCTACTTGCCCGAAATCGCCTAGGACGCCCATTAACGCCTGCGTCACTGTCGCTTTGCGGAGAGTAGCGCTCGGCAAGCACGTTGCGGCACTACCGCTACAGCGCTTCATAGGCCGTTACTTGTACCTAGCATTCTGAGCCTCTCTTTGCTCGGCTTTGAGCGCCGCTGGGGACGCATCCATCAATGACTTGCTACACAACCTACCATGCAACTCCTCTCGTGCGCTTGGCACGGCGGCTTCGTTCTCGCGCTCCTGTCAAGCGGCCTTGCGTGGGCCACCGACCAAGGCCGCCCAGCTGAGAAGGCTGCGTCGCCAACTACAAGTACACCTGGCCAATGCGAAGTCCGAACAATCAACTACATCACACACACGCTGCCGTCGCTTTGCTTCAAGAGCTCATGGACAGACTCGTTGCCGACTCCAACCAAGCTGCCTGCCACTGGCGACGCTGACAACACCACCCAGCATGTCACGCGACCGCCTGTGGAGGAGCAGGCTCCTCCATCCGCTACCGAGCAAACGGACACGTTCGCCAACAACTCTGCGGGCGATACCTTTGCGACGCCTTTTATGTCGTTTGACGACTGGAAGAAGATGATGCTGGAGCAAACCGGACAGGACCCCCAAAACTTGCACCTGCGAAATTCGAGCGGGCGCCAGAAAGCCGATAGATCATCTCCCGATTTGGATGACGTAGGATTGGGCGAGGAAGGGGAGATATCCCTTGTTTTTGATGATTACGGAGAAGGAGAAGGCCCCAAAGCTGGGCCTCCTACAGAATTAGCAAACGCAAACAGCGGCGATGATGCCGACGACACTTTCACGTCCAAGGATGGCAAAACGCCTATTCACCGAAGCAAAGACGCTGGAAAAACCTGCAAGGAGCGCTTCTCATATTCCTCATTCGACGCAGGCGCCACCATCTTGAAGGCAGGGCCCCAAGCAAAAAACGCGAAAGCCATTCTAGTGGAAAACAAGGACTCCTACATGCTACTTGAATGCGCCGCGCAAAACAAGTATGTCATTGTCGAGCTTAGCGACGATATCCTCATCGACACCATTGTCATTGCCAATTTCGAATTCTTCTCCAGCATGGTTCGTCACTTCCGAGTCAGTGTAAGCGATCGGTATCCTGTGAAAATGGATAAATGGAGGACGCTTGGGATCTTTGAAGCTGCAAACTCGCGAGATATCCAGGCATTCCTGGTGGAAAACCCAGAAAACCCCCAGATCTGGGGCAAGTATGTTCGCCTGGAATTCTTGACACACTACGGGAATGAGTATTATTGCCCCGTCTCTTTGCTTCGTGTACATGGCTCGACGATGCTCGATTCTTGGAGAGATAGCGAGACAAGTCGAGAAGATGATATTCACGAAGAGGATGAAGAAGATCTGCCTGTTTCCACTGTTGCTACGCAACCAGCAGCAGCTGGGCCCAGTCCACAAGCCGGAGACAAGAATGAGACTCTTCCAGAGCTTGCAAGTACTTGTCTACCTCGTGTTGACGAAGCCCCCTTTCAATCTATGACTGCAACATGCGCTGTACCCTCTACCACTGCCAAAGGCGGTGCAAAACCAGGAGACCATAGCTCTGGGCAAACTGGCGAAGGGCCAAAACGACCAACTAAAGATGGCGTCGTGGAGGTAGACTCTGCCTCGCAAGACTCTTCAAAATCAGACGCCACCCAGGCTCGGGACGCATCTTCCGCACCACCAGTAAAGCAGACAGATCCTTCCAAACCTACCACGGATAATAATGCGCAGACTCCAGTAGAGTCTTCAGATGCCGCCGGCTCGAGCTCGAGCTCCGGGACCACAAAAAGCCGAACCTCAAGTGCCTCCAGCGCCACGCCAACCGTCCAAGGAAGCTTTTACAACTCCATCACCAAGCGCTTGCAGCAAGTAGAGTCGAATCTCACGCTGTCGCTCCAATACGTCGAAGACCAGTCGCGAATCATGCAGGACGCATTACGGCGGACCGAACAGCAGCAGGTGACCAAACTCACACGCTTCCTGGGAGACCTCAACCACACCGTCCTCGCAGAGATGCGCAACGTGCGCGAGCAGTACGAGCAGATATGGCAATCCACGGTCCTCGCTCTCGAAAGCCAGCGGGAGCAGTCTGAGCGCGATATTGTAGCCCTGAGCACCAGACTCAACCTGCTAGCCGACGAAGTGGTCTTCCAGAAGCGAATGGCCATTGTGCAGGCAATCCTCCTGCTTTCCTGTTTGTTTCTGGTTATCTTCTCGAGGGGAGTCCCCATTCCCTACCTTGCGGCCCTGCAGGAACAAGCTGGTGGCATTGCATTTCCCTCATCGCCGCCGTATCCCGGCCAGGGACCTCATGACATCTATAAATCCGATCCTGGAATCCCACCAGACGCACAGACACTACCCGATAATGTCCCAGTGGTTAGTGTTTCTTCGTTTGAAGCTGCTCCCAACGTGCCGAGTAAACGAAAACCTCATTCTTTGTCTGAAACGACAGAGCCCCATGAACCAATTTGTGAAGACGGCGAAGAAGAGTATCTGCGACGGCATCCCTTACCAAGTCCGCCGGCTGAAGACAAGTACCAGTATGTACACTACTTAGACCAAGAGCCAAGGTTCCATTCGCTACACCATTCATCTCCAGCCCTCCTGAATACGCCCCGCAAACCCCTCCCTTCTCTTCCTGAACATTTGGCATCAAGCCAGGACTCTTAATAAGGCCATGTTCCCGTAAAGATACATTGCGCCCCAGCATCGTTTTGCTTCTTATTTGAGCATTCTGTTAGTGTAATGCCTGTGGGATATTAGATGACAGCCCCATGGCAATGGTACAAAGCATGGCGAATTTTCATTGGACGCAAGTATATATATTAAATTACAGACCGACTTCGTTTTCTGTGTCGCTACGTATCCTCATTTTTCCTTGTGAAATCCATGGCTTATCAAACGGTATATAGCAAAGTGAGTAGGTCCGTCCGAAGTAAGTGCAAACGATCATCGCAGATAGAATCAGTAAACTTCAACAATGTCCACAAGGTAATAGTGGCCTTTTCCCGGCCACAGATAGTTCTGTTGAACTTGACTCACTAAGCCGTACTGCCGTAGAGATGCTGTATGGCGGTCTCATAGTCATACTCTTCGAGTGCTGCAAGACGAGTTCCCCGATCATATTGAGATCGCCGGCGTCGCTGTTCGTCGCGGAAGTGCTGCCCTGCATTCGGTGTGAAGAGGCCTAACAACTGTAAGCTTGAAAACGACTAGCGAGCCAAAGCCCTATCTGTACTACTTACCGACATGCTCGGCGTTCTCACAACTTCGCTTCATCTTGGATTGATTGTCAGGTTCCGGGAATGGCTCTTCTTGTCCAGCGAGATCGGGCATTGGACCGTTCGATGTGTAGTAAAGCTATGCTCCGTTAGTTGTTCCGTAGAAATTCAATAGACCGAATGAAATCTGACGCAGAATGCTTACCTTGGGACGATAGTGCGAGGCCTCTAGCATTACTGAACTGTTTCGAAACTTCTGTACCAAACAATCTTTACCCTGAATGGCTGTATATCATAGTCAGAATTGAGGAACACGAACATTCACTAGGACAGGCTTACTAGCGTATGAGATTTCTGCTACCTTGTCACTTTTGAAGCAGTTCCTAGATGAAAAAAAAATGAGCAAACCAGAATAGCCAGGGGAAAATTTGCATAGAAGAAAGAGCATACCAGCGCTGATTTCCGCGGGCATTGACAAACTTGAGTTACTATGTCAGCCTAAGCTCCTTCACGAGTGAATGAGAAATCATTGTGTACTGACATCAATAATATCCAGAGGCTGCAAGTCAACATTAGTCAAACTGAAATGCGTCACAAGAGGGCGAATAAACTCACATCTACAAAGTTGATGAACGCATATCCGACACTGTTCATAGCCGTCAGTAATTTGAATAGAACAAGACACGGATAATAGGGTGAATAGATACTCACTTGCAGTCGTTGGCAAAGTCGATGCGAAGGTACATGAAATCGTATTTTCCCCAACTAGACTCGTCAATGATTCTTTTCAGCATGGCTTGGTCCACTTTGTTGGGGATGTTCCGAAGCATTATCTGCAAAACGGTAAGCGAGGGATCGAATTTACATGGTGGATAATCTTACTGTGGTGCGAACATCAATCCCATCGCGAATGCGAATGATGTCAACGTGGTTATGATGAGTCGCTGTGCTATGATAAGCAGACCTGCTGACTCTCATGGCATTCTGACGGCGGGCATCTGCTCTGTCAGCCCCTGAAAAGTTTCTGGACGGACTATAGCTGTTCTGAGCCGTCAGAGCTGGAGACGGCGGCGTTTGATACAAAGTTCCAAAGACAGGGTACTGTGGAGTAAATGGTGTCAAAGGGTTGCCCGAGTTTGCTTGCACCGGTGGCAGGAATGAATCTAGCATATATGGCACAGCCGGTGTGAATGGCGTTTGGAACATGAGTGGATACATGGCTACGGGCGCATTGTAGTGAGCATCCCCCTGCCCAACATGAGAAGAGTTTGAGTTTGAGTTGGGAGTAACAGGGCTCAGCCGTTGTTGACGTGGGTCATCTGTTCTTTTGCCAACGGTCATCTCTTCCATTGCGTCGGTGATCCCCGAGGTAGACAAAGCATCAACGTTGTAAGCTGATGCAAATAGTTGAATTCCCTGGATTGTCATAAACATCAGTATGAATGCTATTTGAAGTAGAAGAGATTGACATACCTCAATGGAGATGCCACCGCTGCAAGCTTGTATGACGGGAAAGGCTGTGGTGGTGTCACAGAACTCGGCAACAGCTCTGAAAGAGCCGTTCGGAAAAGAACTTAGCCTAATGAAGGCAAATAGGCGGCCGTGTGATTGCAAGAATCGATGAGCCGCTCTCATGACGTGCGTCGGGTCCATGACAACTCCAGGCGGAACAACAACAAAGACTTGAACTTGACCAGTATGAGAGAGGCCTACCGCATAGCCGGAAAGTTTATCCAACTCAGCTCGGGGATCTGAATCCAAACTGCCTGCAACTTGTCCCACGTCCAGATGAGCGCTTTGAGACTGGGCAACGCGTGTGGGATTAGCAAAGGCAGTTTTCCAACCCTTGTCCACTTGATGAAGCTTTGCCTGCACTGCACAGGCGTCTCTGATATCGGTGAAGTAGACAAACACTCCACCACTGTGGGCCTTGAGATTTCTTGCTCCGTAAGTGTTGCTCCCATCTTTTTCAATGTCCTGTACACATGGCAAGGACCATGGGTCAGTACCGGTTCTCTGAAACTCCGTAGGTATACTTACGGCCAGAACAGCCTCCACCTCACGCGTGGAAACTTGGGTGGGCGATGATATAACAAGAATTCTCGACAATCCAATGTCGGTACTGAGAGCGCCAGAAATAGGACCTTCTCCCTCTGGCAAGCGGACGTAAGTATTGCCACCGAAAGGGCTGAATGTTGAGGCTGTTGGCGACAATCTCGTGCCAACACTATGCATGGAGGTGATGAAGGGGTCCTTGTCCATGTGAGAAACCACACTGCGAAAGCTGCCGGCCGGAAGTCGAGCAGGAGACGCGGTGGTAGCTGAGCGGGCAAAACTCTTGAGAAGGCTGGATGATTTTGGACCATCATCTGGGCTCATTGCAGTCAGCCGAGTGTCGGGCGTTCCTTTGAAAGAATCGGCGCCTCCGCTCGATGATCGAGGAGACGACGGATTGTCATTTTGGTGCGCCATTGTAGAGTGAACCGTGGCCTGTAGTGATAGTTGAGATGGATATATGGTTCCTGAAAGTGACGTAGACCGCTGTGCTCTTGGTCGCAGATCAAAACGAGCAGGCGTAGCAGCAGTAACGACGATTCTACTGCTTGTGCGTGTGTAGAAGAAGGGAACAAGATGTAGTGTGCTCGCTGCATAGAAGAGGTTACATGTTCACAAGAGAAGGGGGGAGAAGAGGCAGTCCGCGAGAGGTGCTTGGGGGGAGCTTGAGTCAAAGGACAGACCCGGGGAGCAGCTGCCAGTTTCTGCCTGGAGAAAAAGTGATACGTTGTTGCTCCTGCCTTGCTTGCATCGTGGAAAAACTTGCTCTTCCCCTATTTTTCTGCCCTTGGCATTGGGCAAAGAGGCGGGTCAACAAGGCAGGTGTCATCTTGCCATCTGCTAGCACTGCCGCGTTTCCTTCTCTTGCTCTTGCTTTATAGTAAGGTAGGTAGCAAGCAGAAGGAGTTACTTATTCGTCATTCGATTCACGCAATCAGCTGATTATGAGCTGCGACAATAGCGACGCAGCAGCGTATCAGAGCAAGGCGCCATTTGCGAGTATCGTAACTGCAGCGAACTATTATTGCCTGATCCAGCTGTATGATTCAAGAGATAGCGGGTTGAAGCTCTTGGTGACGAGTGAGAAGAGATTGGTCTGCAGTACCTGCTAGTCAAACATTGATACGTAAATGGCTGCACGAGTTTAGTAGCTGTTTATCTTGATGTGAAATGAGGAAGATAAGTAGGTAGTAGGCAACAGAGAGCCATTTCTCTTCAGTGAGCGAGTTGGACGGCCCTGTATTTGAGAAAAGATGGTAACTTTGAAAAGGACCCCAAGAGACAACGAGGAAATTGCAACATCCGATCTGCTTTGTCATAAATAGCTCGCAATTATTGGGATATTATCCTTCCTAGACACATACAATGTTTTCATAAATACTACAAGACTCCTTGCTGGCTTTCCCGTGACCTAGACTATAAACATATTCCCAGTTCCCTTTCCATAAATAATGCGCCGGTGATATCTCAATATAATAAATAGCTCGCTGTATCAATAATAGTAACAGGCTGTTAGTGAAAATCAAATAAAAAGGCTATTTGAATTGGGCGCTGATAATTTTTTTTTCCCCCCAGGCAAAAATCAAGAAGCGAAATTGCAATTCATGTGAGATTCCTCAACTCCTGTATTTCAGGGCTGCGGTCCTCTTCTTCGTCGACCACGATTAGGACCATCTGGACGCTGTGCTAACACATCTCTCAGCTGAGGGTCGTCTTTATTTTTATCAACATGATGTACGCGAACGTGTCTGTAGAGTGTCAAATGTCAAAACGCGATCCTGGAGTTTCATGTATACGACATAAAGAGCCATGCATGATGTACAAATATAAATCATGTATTGAGACGACGGCGAGACATACCTCTGCAAATTGTCTGGCCTTGGATACTTGTGTTCTCTATCTGCACAAAAGGGACAGACATATCCAGGCGAGTCATGCACCAACCCGTGCCGTATCATCTCATTTTTGCGCTTGAAGCCTTTCCCACCTTCTGCGCGGGGACAGCCCTTGACGGGGCAGTAGTGTGGGCGGGCTGAAGAATGCACATTAGCGTGGGAATTGAGAAGATATTGAGTTTGGAACGGCGCAGCAGTACACCCGTCAAACGTGCACTTGTAGCCTCCAACCTGGGGATTAGTAATTCCGTCGATGCTCATACGATCCGCTACAGACGCGATGGCAGCCGGCGGCGAGGCAAGGTAGTTGGGCTGGAGGCTCTTATTGGAGGCGTTGCTGAGATGGTACTCGGCGGGCGAGCGATGCGAGGATCCGCTGGAGGCGTGGCCGTACGGGCTAGAGGCGAGGGAGCTGGGAGACGGGAAGCTGCGCTGATATCCTTCACTGGGGGAGGATATTGGGGGTGACACACGACCACCGGCAGGCATTGGCTGGACAGGCATTGACTGGAGGCGCGAGACACCTACGTTGTTGGAGGACCGAGGAAACGCTCGCGCGTCGCCGGGCGGGCGCATTGACAGGTCCCTGTCGCCGGATGGTGGAGGCATCTCTGTTGCGAATTGACCCTCAATATCCAATTCACGAATCGACGGCAGGCTCATGTTCTGGCCGCTATTGCTATCGGTCTTGGACGAGGCTATCTGCAAGGGGGCCAGCTCGCCGGACTCGGGCGATAATAAAGACTGCGCGCCATTCTCCGATGCGCTGCGGCGTCCGCTTAGCCTGTGTGGTGATGGACCGTCGAAGTGTTTGGGGCCGTCGTCACGAATGGAGAGTTGGCTTGTCGAGGCTGTCAGGTCCCTATTTTGGCCGTGGTAAGGCGAGTCGAACGCCAACGCCCCGGCAGCGAAAGCTTGGAGATGATGCGTGCCATCGCTTCTGGTGGTATCGCTTCTGGTGGTCTGCGGTCGCTGGACAAGATCGACATCGTTCAACTGCTTGTCGTCTTGGGGGACACTCTTCTGGGAGTCGTCGTCGTCTTCGGTGGTATCAAGGTCATCTCCGCCGGGCAGCGCCTGGTGGCTCGCGGTATGTGTTACCTCGGGATTACCTCCGTTGGCAAGATAGGAGATGAGGACAGTATCACCAGACACGGGTTGGAGCTTTAGGCGATTAGACTTGGCATTTCCGTCGGTGGGAGGAAGACTGACTGAAGCGATTGGAATGTCCGGGGGAGGGCTCTCGGTGGGTTCGAGCCTGGGATGCACGGCTTTCATCTGAGGAGAGCCTGGGTCCCCGTACGAATCTATCGGATCATAGTCGTGGTACTGTCCTAGCGGCGTCTGTGGCGATCGCGGTGACTGCATCAAGTGTTCCTGGCATTGATCTTGGGGCTGGCTTTGTCGGGCTATCAGTTGCGGAACCGTCGTCATGGTTCAGTTGTCCAGGAGGCCACCGGTCAACTCTCCATGGCACCCTGGGGCATGCGGGGGCTGTAACGCTGTGGTGCAGACAGGAGGTACTTTATCTGCCTTGGAAGCTGACGAGGATGGATGGACCGCGCGAATCCAGCAGCTCTGTCTGTTCTTTTTCCTGCTTCCTTCTCGTGCCCCCTTTTTTTTCTCTCTCTCTATCTTTCTGTTTATCCTGCTGGTTTTCCTGTTTCAAAGAGCCGCTGGCAATGCGAGCCGGGTGCTGAGCAGATGGAAGGGGGACCGTAAAGGCCCTCTATGATTCTCTACGGATTCGTTGATCTCCTAGAGTCCTTGCCAGCCTTTCCTCCTGCGTTGGGAACTTCTTCAGGATCAGCCCCCGCGCAGCTTATGCGCGCGTTTGTGAGTGTGTGTTGCCCTTTTTTCTGCGCAAACGGCACGTGAACGTGATTGAACCTCGTCGGGTATCTTATATAGCAGACACCAAGCCCCGTCTGTAGGAGCCGTCTTCAGAGCTACCTAAGGTAAGGACAGAGAGCATGTAGGTATGGCTGGCCAGAAAATACGAGAAACTGAGGCCAGAGGACGCCGAAATGGCGGAGGAGGGACAATGCGACGCAAAAAAGCAGGACCAGGCAGTCTAGGCTCGAAGGGACTAAAATGACATGCGATAACTCGACGCTCGAGATTGGATCGACCGCAGAACAGCAAGCAGGTCCAGACGCTGAAGCTACTCGTACTGTATGTAGATGGGTCGAATGGCGGGGGAATGGACAATTAGGCGGCGGCAAAGTGGTCTAGTGCATAGTCAGAGCAGATGCTTGTGCTGTCGCATTCCGTGGACGACGCTCTGCGCGAGTGGTTGTGCACGCTAGCAGCCCGAGAGTGTGTCAGTCTTGTCAGATATTGGATTGAGATGGGTTGCTGTAAATAGCACGGCGCGCGGAGAGCGAGAGTTGCGTGAGAGCGAGGGAGAGAGGAGAGAAGGCTCGCATCTCGATGGAGCGTCCTGAGGCCGTGAAACAGCGCCAGCCATTGGTACTACTACTAAACTGCACATACATGCCATTGCGCCTCGTCCTATTATTACCTTAGTAGACGGTAGGTCGAAATGCGGATCCGCCAGCAGAGTCGAGAAGGTCTCAAGCTTCATGTCAGCATCTTCTCATGCAAGAATGCGCAGGCCGTGATGGGGATTGGGTGCTGGCAGTGCTGGCAGTGCTGGATGCCTGACCCAATTGGCTCTAGGCAGAAGGATAGGGAGTCTTAGAGGCAGCAGATAGCGGATAGCAGGTGCTAATACAGTACTACTACTGCGATACATATGCAATATGCAGGGAGGCAAGTCATGAAGGTACTGTAGCAGTGCTAGTGTTAGTGTTTGGTGAGTGGCTGAGGACGAGGCAAAGGAAAAGCATGTGGGAACATGCAGATGCAATGGAAGCAGAGCACATGTAGGATGTGATGTTGATATCATTACACTGGATCCAGCCCAGCCAAGTGCTAGCACACCTGCTCCAGGTAGTCCACCTCAGACAACGGGCAAGGCCAGCGATAGTATTTAATACTGCAACGCCGCCCGTCTTGGCATCAACCTACCTACGTATCCAGCCGAAGCCGTTCATCTCGGGCGGGAGGGTTGCGGAGGGTTCCGTCTTGCGCTCACCCATGGCATTTCCACGGCATCCTTATTTATCTGGCATCTGCCGCCGTGACCTCGGTTAACAGCCGCTGACCCACGCCGCCAAAGCGTCCGGTGTGGCACCGATCTCGAATCGCTCCAGCCGAGGTCAATTCTAGCAGCAATTCAACGCGCTTCCCCGGATCGGAGTGACATAACCAGACAAAAGTAGCAGACCAGCTCTCAAAACCTGGACTCTCAATTCCACGAAAAAAAGACGTGAACAATTCCTGCCGCTTTCGATTCCACTGCGTGTCCCAAGTAGGCTTTCTTTACATCTGAATACCTTGACCTAGTCCATTTGCCGTGTCTTGTATGCGTAGGTAGCAAGCAGCGCATGCTCCAGATCTAACCGCAGCTTTCTTTCTTTCTTTTTTTTTTTTTCCCTTTCTTGTCGCAAATCGCAATGGCTCAGTCCAAGCCTGCCATTTCGCCATGGGGCGGTGCTGTCGCCGGCGCAACCGGAGCCGTCATAGCAAATGCCTTGGTGTATCCTCTGGATATGTGAGTTTTTTCCTTTTTCCTTTTTTTTTTTTTTCACTTTTCAATTTGTGTTGTTTTGTTGTGTTTGTCGTTGTTCGGTGCCGTCTCCGCTACCGCCCGCTAACTTACATGCTTGCGATAGCGTCAAAACTCGGCTACAGGTACAAGTGAAGCCTTCCGGCGACAAAAGCGACAGCTCTTCCGATGAAGTACACTACACGTCGACCTGGAACGCCATCTCGCGGATCGTGGCGGAAGAGGGCCTCCAGGGCCTATACGCCGGTATGAACGGCTCGCTGGTCGGCGTGGCCTCCACCAACTTTGCATACTTCTATTGGTACACCGTTGCCAGGGCGCTATACACAAAATCCGCGGGCCCTTCTGCGAGCGCGCCTTCGACAGCGATAGAGCTCTCTCTGGGCGCAGCGGCCGGTGCCCTGGCGCAGCTCTTTACGATCCCCGTTGCCGTTGTGACGACGCGCCAGCAAACCGCGGCAAAGGCCGATAGAAAGGGCCTCTTCGCCACAGCTCAGGAAGTCATCGAGGGTCCGGATGGTGTCAGTGGACTTTGGAGGGGCCTCAAGGCTAGCCTTGTCCTGGTCGTCAACCCGGCCATCACATATGGAGCTTACGAGCGGCTGAAGGACGTCTTTTTCCACGGCAAGACCAAGCTACAGCCGTGGGAGGCATTCGGTAAGTCTCCAGTACCGAGGTTATTGCTTTGCTCCATATAGCGTATCCTAACAATCTTAGCTCTGGGAGCCATGTCTAAAGCTCTGGCAACGATCGTCACTCAGCCCCTCATTGTTGCCAAGGTGGGCTTACAGTCAAAGCCACCTCCTGCGAGAAAAGGAAAGCCATTCGGCAGCTTCATCGAGGTGATGCGCTTCATAATCGAGCATGAAGGCGTTCTCGGACTCTTCAAGGGCATGGGCCCCCAGATCTTGAAAGGTCTTCTCGTCCAGGGCATTTTGATGATGACAAAGGAAAAGTACGTTTATTCCGTTGAAGGGCATTCGCTAAATGTTTTTCCCAAGGTCCAATGCTAACTTTTTTTTTTAATAGGGTTGAATTGCTTTATGTTCTGTTTATGCGATACCTCGCCAAGTCACTCAGCCTCTCAAGAGCACGGGGAGCCATCGCGGCTTCATCAGCTGCGGGTTTGGCAAAGAATGCCACACTGGTAGCGCCCTTAGTAAAAAGCTGATGCCGTATGTTTTGCTTTTTGCTCCTAGTTGATTAATGTTTTGTATGATAGACGCTATCTCTATAGCTATATAGTACTATACGGACCTGCACACGCTTGGAAGCCTTGTAATCTTAGGCATATGAATTGACGCTTATCCCTTGTTATGGTAATGAGCATCTCTGTGTGCTATCCTCCCCTTTGACATCAAACATAATCATAAAGCTATATTTTTAACCTTGGAGCTTGTCCCAAACATCTATAACATTCATCTAGCCCGCCAGTTCTTCGGTGCCAAGGAAATTTCATATATTCTCAAAAGGCCTCCCAATTACCAATTTGAATGGGAGAATCGCTAAATATATCGCCGCAAAGCTCTTGGGCTGCCCGATGTTCCCACAAGCTCTCAACAACCAGGTACATGCGGCCATGGCTCGTATTAGACGACTCAATATCGAATTCAGGCGTTCGAATAACTGTTCCAGAGTCTTCCGCACCGCCCTTTGATTCAACCAGAATATGCGTTTGTGAGTCTGCGCCACCAACGATCGAGATCCGGACCATCAAAGCTGGTAGGGATCGGGTATCATAATGCAAAGATTCCGACAAAGGAATCGGGCTTTGGAAAGAGGCAATAGCTCGAGTTACCCAAGTCGCATCAAGGGATGCCATCCAACGCTGCCCCTCTCCTCTCAAAGTGAATGATGGCAAAGGCGTCCGTAGTTTTCCTGCAGTATCAGCCGGTATGGGCTCTATAGTAACCGGCGTCATGGAGCCAATTCGCAATGTAAAATCAGCAGTCTGCTGTGCCTCAAAAGTCGAGCAAACCAGAGTATAGTCGCCCGCTTCAAGCATCTCAAGCTCAGAAGAGGCGCAACCGCGACGGTATTCCCCCGACGAAACGACCAAGTCTTTCCTCCTAACTGTATTTGCACGTTTCCCTCGCGCCCAAATCAGGTCAATATGTACGTGAACGTCTTTATTGCTCGTGGCTAGTAGAGCGGATATAGGGGTGGCGCGAGAGACCGACAGTTTATACTGGGGATTTAGAAAATAAGTAGTACAGCCCGAGTTTCCTCCAGCGTTTCGTCTATTCCAGGCGCCCTGTTGTTCTGTAAAGTATCTCATCTTCTCTTGGGCTTCTTCAACACCAACGGGTCCGTTGGAAAAGACAGACAACGTAAAGGTGTAGCTGGCCAAAGCCAAGTCCTGTTGATCGATAACAACAGTGTATGCTTTACCAGCCCTGCTTTCAATCCGCGCGAGTGTCTGCGGAGAATCAACCAATGGCCCGGAGTAGGTTGGTCCATCGCTGAGCTGGACTTTGTGGCCTTGTCTGTCAAAGACTAGAATGCTCATAAACCCAAGTTGGCTAGCCACAGCTGCTAGAGAGCCAGATTTATTGCGAGCAATCTCAAGTTCGGCATCTGCAAAATGGCGGCTCAGTAGGATCCATACCACTCCACCGGCCTGCGAAGTGATTGAGAATTGCGGATTCCGCACCAAAGATGCCGCAAAATCTTTAGTGGGAATGTCCCAAGCAAAATGGCGGTCTTGACGATGGGTAAATAGGGCCGGGTTCCAATTGAGATACATGGACTCGAAATGCTGAGCGATATCTTCAATAGACAGCCAAAAGGTACCCGCCGACGGTGAACTGGCATTGCCACTATCCATTTCGGATGAAGAGGGTGTATCAAACCTGGGCCTCCAAGGGTTTTTAACTAGGAATTTGCGACTCGACGAATCAACATCTTGCACAGCATAATCGTGCTCCCCTATGAGACCCATGATGTCTCCTTCTTCGGCAGAGATGTGGCCAGTGCCAAGAGTAATGATGACATTCTCCATTTCATAAGCTGTTTTGATTCTGTCCCACGTCTCGTCTATGTCAAAGGCTTCCCTAACAATATGTTAGCAGGCTTTTTACTTCAACTGGATGCAGGTGCAAACTCGTACCTCTGGAGGAATAACTGTTCTGGTATCCAACCGGTGAGAACCCAGAGATCAGTTCCCGAATTGCTACCTGGAAAGTCGTAGCCTCCTCTTACTTTGAGATAGGCCTTCTCGAGCAGCGCCGGCCATAGCAGACAAGGGTTGTGTCGATTGATAACAAAGAGGGCCCGGTCCGTACCAGAAGCTGGCAGTCGATCATCTATCGTGACTCGACGAGCACAGCCGTTGAAATTTAGCCGGAAGATGTATTTCCCAGAGGGAGACAGTTTGGGCTGTCCCCTTTCGTGGTCAAATGGATGCATGATCGTAGAGAGAACCTAGATGCAACATGTTAATTGAGATGGCAGCATACAGGACACCTACTTACTGCATGTTTCCCGGTCCAAATCTTTGCAGCGGCAGAAAGGCTGGCAACGACTGAGCAATCAGTAGTAATGTCCTGCACCAAGTCGAGCTGCGTGCTCTGGGTCATAAGACTATCATCTTGATTGGTAGAAAGGGGACCAAATAGCTCATGCGGCCTGTGCCATGCTAGAAAATTGGCCACTTGATCTTCAGAAAGTGGAAAGACGGTAGCATCACTGGATAACTGTCAGAAACAGAATCTATAAAAACCGGGTATTGTCCACATCTCCGCAATACAATGAAGACGTAAATAGACTGGTAGGGATCTCACATATATGGTTTCAAGTCAGGCCCGAGTTGAAACTCAGCACCCGGAGGATCTTCACTCCAAGGCGGGTAAAAGTTGCCGTGAAGTCGTGAAGCGCCCTGCAAGAGACCCAGGCCATTCTTCACCGGTGACGGCGAAGAGGCCGGTGCCTGAGCTTTGAGCTGTTCGGCGAATTTGATGAGCTGCTGACATCTGCGGCGAAACCGAGCTGCTTCTTCTTTACTGATGCCCTTCTCAGCGGCTGCTCGCATATACAGCTCGGCCGCCTGGATGGCATAGTCTAAAGCTTTCTGGCCGGTTGACGTTGCGAGCAGAGACTCTACGTTCTAGACAGGAAAACTCATTGTCAGTAAACACTGCATCTTATGGAAGCTCCAACCACATGATATGCCTACTTTTGCTCTCTTCTCCATGCCTCAGGTAGGTGGCATTATAGCTTCACGGAGTTCATTCAATATAGCGATAGCAGACAAGGGAGATGACATCCAAAGTGGGTTTAAAAACAACATGCACCTAACGGGACACCCTTACACCATGTGGCACATTGCAAAGGCGAAAGAAGCCCATAACTAGGCCGGTGGTTAATTCGCTACTCCAAAGACAGCTGCCATTGGACCGCTTTGGTCATTAGTAATACCGACGCTACTAGTGGAATAGGCGGCGATGCTATTCAAGACAAAAGAGAAACGAACCGATACATTTTCCATATTAAACATGATTTAAATTCTCAATGAAATCATTATCATTAATGGGTATATAATATTGGTATCTCATAATTCTAAACTAGCTCGTCTACTTCGTCTATTTCGTCTCTTAAATCTCTATGCAGCTGAGATAAAACATAAAACGGCTTCACAGCCTTTGGCCTCCGTATCGGAGTCTTGATATCCATACATCCAAATGCGGTCTCGCATCCATCCCCGTCATTACTTGTTTTCCAACGTATACTCTGAAAGTTTGATATCTTATTCTTTTCCAAGAGAGCCGAGTCTGTTTGCCGTCTTCTGCGATAGGAAACGACTCGACGAGAATCTCTTCTGCGAGGCCCCTCCAACCGCCTCTCCTCTTCGCTGTCCTCCAAGTATGGTTCGTTTTCAACGTCGCTGAGATTTGTGGCTTTGGCCGGCATGGCAGCTCTACCGGCAGCCATTGTTCGTTGAGGACTAGTAGGCAATACCCATTCACTAATCCCTTCTTCCCACCGCCAGCCGGAGAAGATCGTGCTGAACTTTGGATCAGCAGGAGTGGTCATAGACAGACTCTCCGCGAAATTTAGATCACGAAGATCTTCCGTCTTTTGGGCCAGCATAAAGGCAACATCTTTCCGAAGCCCGCGCCCAAACCAATCGGGCAGTTTCTCATGATTCAGCTTTAAATAGAGGTCAGCCAATATTTCTTGGCTAGAGGCTGAGTCACTGCGCCGGCGACACTGGATGATGGTACATAGAAGGATGATTGTCTGTTGATATTGTTTACCGTTATTGGCTTCGGTATCGATTTTATGAGCCATGTTTTCAAAGTCCTCAGCGGCTCGTCTTTTAAATGCGACATTTGCCAGCTCTGAGTTGGCCACCGCAATATAGCGGGCAAGGACAAGCAGAAATGAGGCATTGTCCTGGGGGCTTGTTCGACTCTTGTATCGTGCAATGAGTGAAATGCTACGATCAAGTACATAAGCGAGCCGTCTCCACGCTGATAGTCTCTGTTCCTGTTCTCCAGGTATGATTTGTGATTCCAAAGTTAGCGCCGCGACTGCTAAACCAGCCGCAACACGGATTAGAGCCTGCTCTATGGCGTTGCACTCTGCGGTTTTGGGCCTGTGGCCTCGGGCAAGGGTCCATATAGCTGAGCACGTAAACTCGACGATTTGCGGCTTCGCGTTTCCTGATGTTAGCCCTTCGAGGCTGGATATCCAGAAACCAGAGAAAGCTCGCGAAGAAAGCGCAGATGCCGAGAGACGTCCTCTATTAACCAAAGCAGACACGCACTCAAAAATAAGGCCGGATATTCTCTTCCCTTTTAGCGAATTGAGTAATGCAAAAAGCGATGAGAGGTCTTTGCTCTCCCCAAAGCGAGATGGCATGGCCTGTAGTAAGGAAACCTGTCGTTTATATATGGATGCAAAGAGCTTACTAGCCTCCCCGTTGCCTTTCAAATGAACACAGAGGCGTACGAGGAGATTGAAAAATTCCGGTCGGAAGAGCCCATCAACAATAGCATTTGATAGGAGATGTATAGCTTGAGAACGAACCACCAGCCTTAGTGGTCGCCATCCAGAACGGTCTGCTCCTAGGTTTTCAATCTGGTCAAATAAGTCCGAAGCTGCGTCGGATATGTTCCATATCGATTCTTCCCCGCTATCCTTTAGCTGCTGTCGATCATACGCATCTATATTCGCAATACAGTCCGGAATTCTGCGCAAACACATAGCAAGTAGCGATTTACCGCGGGGATGCTGTCCCTGGGGTGTAGTTGAGTGTAGTAGTCGGTGTAGCCAGTGAAATATTGCTTCATAGATGCGATATGGCTCGCTGGGTACATGTCGTCGAATCGCATTTAGCTCTTCAATCATGTCAGATGGAAGCGAATTTAATAAATCGTGCTCGATATCGATATTCTTCATCGGCGTGTCAACTTGGTCTCGAATCTTTCGCCACACTGGTGTGAGGAAATCGACTGATTCTGACGTTGGGGATACGTTTCCCAGCTTCATAGCTCCTAAAGTACGGACGGCTCGTGGCGGCGTTGTGACTGATTTGTCGGGTACGGATGGTGCCACTCTCTTGTTTCTTTGGCCGTATGTAGAGCGAACGCGCTTCGATGTCGGATCTTGGCCATTGTCTGAAGGTCGTTTGGACCCGGCCAACGGCGCTGAGGGTTTCTCGGATACCAGCTTTCGGAGACTAGTTAGGCGCGACTGAAGCTGGCGCAGCAATCGCTGGCACCGTGCAGCGGTCCATTGCTGAGGGCCGTCCGGATCTGAAGCTCTGGAGCCTGCATAGAGTCGCGATCTCGTACTAGAGCGTTGCGATGGTACAGCTCCTGCTGCCACCGCTAATGAATCCATACATAAAAAAAAAAGTACCAAAACTTAGAGCAACCAAAAGCTAATAATGGCCGCAAGAAAAAAGAAAAAAGAAGAAAATGCGAAGCAGTTGCTTAGCCCAGCATCTTTAACGTGTCGTGTATCAAAATTGTTTTGCAAAACAGTGATGAAGCACCGGCATGGTTGCTGCTTGTAGCAGTGAGGCACAAGCTTCTGTTTACTTTCTTCCCTTTTCGCACTAGATCGGAGCGTAGACCCTACTAGGGGCTTTCCTGTTTCGTAGAAAGTCCAGCACCCGCGGGGTACTAACGGCTCGCCTGGAAATGCTTAGCCGAGCCAGGTACTGCCCATGTACCCCGCCGCTCCGAATTGCCGGACCGTATGCCAAATTTTTTTCTTTTTCTGCCGGAGCCGATTCCTTTGGTGCGTGACCTGACTCTTTTCAACCCAATTCTTCAAGACGTCCCAGTCATTTCCGACCAATATTTAAATGACTGGTCTCTTTCTTTGTTCTAGAATATCTCGTCGTTAATCGTCCCGCTTTCTTCATCCCCCTCGCGTACGACAATGGCGGCCGAAGCACAAGTAGCTGCGAATCCTCCAGGTAAAGAGGCCCCAAGTATACAGGCTTTGTCGACAATCCGGCTGACCACACTGGTGCATCCCTGTAGCTGATGCTGTCGATGACAACGCCATGTCTACTCCCGAGAAAGCTGTGGTTGAAGGGGAGGCGGAGGCGGAGGCAGAGGTTGATCCTGCGGCCGAAGGTATTTGCTCTGTGCCGCCAATTGCAGCCTCAAGGTCTAACAGCGTTGTGCTTGATATAGCTATTATAAACCTCACAATCGTCCTTCCCGATCCCGAGGCTGAGCGGATGCAAATTATGGTGGGCCTTGGAACAAGCCTTGACCCAATCATTGACGCTGTATTAATACAATCATAGGTATCAACCCAAGAGCAGGTCCACGAGATCCGACAGTCCATCATCGACTCTCCTGCGGCATTCCAGTACACATGCTTCCACCTCGAGTTCCAGGGCCAAAAAGTCAATGACTTTATTCCCTTGGCCGAGATCCCGGACCTTGGCACCGAGCCGGAATTTCACCTGGTACCGGACCCATACACCGAGAAGGAGGCTCGCATCCATCTGGTGAGGATTCGAGAGCTCATTGGCGCCGCTGGCAACCGCTCCGATGCCTCGCAGGGTATCCTCCCCGGCCTGTCGCTCTATGAGTCTGTGACCAAGAAGCTGTCGACCGAGGCCGAGGGCAGTGAGGAGCAGTCTCTCACCAAGGACTATGACTTCCAGGCCATTCCTTCAATCACCAGCCTCATCCCCGAGCCCATTGACCCGGCGCCCAAGACGGTCAAGATGGTGGCTCTCTCATCGTGGAACCCCCCACCATGCCATCTGCAGCAGCGGGGTCATTTGCTCTACATTGTTGTCACCACCAACGAAGGCGAACAGTACCAAGTCACTGCGCACGTGTCTGGCTTTTTCGTCAACAAATCCTCCAACGCCAAATTCGACCCCTTCCCGCGCCCCGCGCCCAAGGGCCAATCCGCTCACTCTCTTTTGAAGCTGATCGAATTGCTGTCGCCTTCCTTTTCCGACATTTTCAAGAACCTCCAGGAGTACAACAGCCAGCGAGACCCCCTGGCCACCTTCCAGATCACCAACGCTATCCCCAACTCGCCTTGGGCTGTGCCATCTCCCAGCTCGGCTCTTTGCACACACTCTCCCGATGTCACGAGACCCCAGGAAACATATCTGCTCGCTGGTGTCGACAATACCGACACCTTGCGCGACTGGAATGAAGAATTTCAATCCGCAAAGGAGCTTCCCAAGGAGACCGTCCAGGACCGAGTGTTTCGCGAGCGCCTGACGTCCAAGCTTTTCGCGGACTACAACGACGCTGCCGTAAAGGGCGCCGTACTGATTGCGCACGGAGACATTGCGCCGCTGAATCCTACAGAGACTAAGGATGCGCAGATTTTCGTCTACAACAACATCTTCTACTCTTTTGGAGCCGATGGCGTCGGCACCTTTACCTCGGAAGGCGGCGATGAGGCTGCACGTGTCGCTACAGGAAAGGATGTAGCTGGTGTGCAGATGGTGAACCAGCTGGATATTGACGGCCTGTTCACCCCGGCCACCGTCGTCGTTGACTACCTCGGAAAGCGAATTGTCGGCCAGAGCATTGTTCCTGGCATCTTCAAGCAGCGTGAGCCCGGCGAGCACCAAATTGATTACGGTGCGGTGGACGGAAAAGATGTTGTTGCCATCAATGACCAATTCACCACTCCTTTCGCCCAACTCTCCAAGGCCCTCAAGGTTAAGCAGCACCCTGTCTGGGACAAGGACGGCAAGCGATTCGATCTTGAGGCGAGCGTGGAAACCAAGGGATTGGTGGGTACGGATGGTCGTAAATATGTTCTCGACCTTTACCGAATCACACCTTTCGACATTGCTTGGCGAGAGGAGACTTCCACCGCGGAAGGTCAGACAGAACCCTCAGAGTATCCTCACCGTATGACGGTCCTGCGACCTGAATTGGTGGACTCATTTGGCCGCTACCGCATGAAGCAGTGGCTCGATACCGAATTGGCTCGTCGTGTTAAGCCCAAGGCAGAAGACGCTCCAGCTGAAGCTGCGGGTGAAGCCAAGGAAGAGGCCAAGGAGGAGGCCAAGGAGGAGACCAAGGAGGAGACCAAGGAGGAGACCAAGGAGGAGGCTAAGGATGATGAGGCCAAGGAAGAAAAGGACGAGGCTGCAAAGACAGATTCCAATGAGGCCGAACAGAACCAGCCCAACCTGGCGGATTTCAAATTCGGACTCAACCCCGACGCTTTCAGCGGCCAGGTTCCTCGCACTGAGGAAGAGAAGGCTGAGCTCGAGGCCGACGAGCAAGAAGTTAGGGCGGCAGGAGAATACCTTCGGGACCGCGTCATTCCCGAATTCTTGCGCGAGCTCACTGATTCCGACATCAGCTTCCCTATGGATGGCCAGTCGCTTGGCCGTATCCTGCACAAGCGAGGTATCAACATTAGATATCTTGGAAAGATTACGTCGCTTGCAGTCAACGACAGACTCCGCTGCCTGCGCGAAATCTGTATCCAGGACATGGTTTCTCGTGCCTTTAAGCACGTTTTTGCCATCTATTTGCGCTCACTTCCCGTTGTTTTGGCGCCGTCTTGCACGTCTCACCTCCTGAACTGCCTGCTCGGCCATCAGCTTAACGCCAAGCCTGTCGCAGACATTGACCAGACATTCCGCGAACTATACCCCGAGGCTGATTTCTCGTTCGAGACGGTGACACCTGAGTCACTTCGGGAACAGATTGAACAGCAGGTTTCCAACCGCTTCCGCTACGAACTGGGTGCCAACTGGTTCAACCAGCTCCGTCCCGTACAGCTGCTTCGTGATATCTGCATCAGAGCAGGTGTCCAGGTTCTAGCAAAGGACTACGTATTCGACAACGCCGCTGCCGGAGCCGCTGTTAGCCCTGCCCAGCCAGAGCAAGCCAACGGCGAGACCAAGGCCGAGCCCAAGATCGAGGCCAAGAGCAGCAAGAAGAAGAAGAAGAAGACCAGAGAGAGCTCACCTACGGCCGCTACAGCCCCTGAAATCGTCTCTACTTTCACTCCTGATGATATTCAGAAGGTGGTGCCGGTTGTGAAGCACTCTTGCCCTCGAAGCTCGCTCGCCGAGGAGGCCCTCGAGGCCGGACGCATCTCCATCCTTCAGAACCAGAAGAAGCTTGGACAGGAGCTGTTGCTAGAGTCATTGTCGCTCCATGAGCAGATTTACGGTATTCTCCACCCCGAAGTTGCGCGAGTCTACAACAGCCTGTCCATGCTGTACTATCAACTCGACGATAAGGAGGTCGCTGTTGAGTTGGCCAGGAAAGCCATCATTGTTTCGGAGCGCACTGGCGGCGTGGACTCTGCCGAGACGCTTCTCAACTACCTGAACCTCAGTCTCTTCTTGCACCAGGTCGGAGACAGCAAATCGGCGCTGGCCTATTCCATCCATGCGCTGAAGCTGTGGAAGATCATTTACGGACCTGGCCACCCAGACTCAATCACCACGATCAACAACGCGGCCGTGATGCTGCAGGGTGTCAAGGCTTACCACGAGTCTCGGCTGTGGTTTGAAGAGTCACTGCGTGTGTGTGACTCCGTCTTCACCAGGCAGTCCATCAACTCAGCCACTCTGCTGTTCCAGTTGGCCCAAGCCCTCGCGCTTGACCACGACTCAAAGGCGGCTGTCAACCGGATGCGTGAATCCTACAACATCTTCCTCGCCGAACTGGGCCCAGAGGATAAGAACACCAAGGAGGCCGAAAGCTGGCTGGAACAACTGACTCAGAACGCCGTGTCGATTGCTAAGCACGCCAAGGACGTACAGGCCAGACGTATTCGTTCCGGACTCCGATTCCCAGCGCAGACAGCGCAGGCCGTGGGCGCGGCACCGCAGCGAGGAGCCACCCAGATGGATTCTCGCAGCATTGACGAACTCATGAAATTCATCGAGGGCGCAGACTCATCCAAGAGCTCTAAGAAGCGACCTGGACGCGGAAACCCCAAGCGACGAGGAGCGACCAAATAAATAAAACAGAAATAAAAGAAAAAGCCTATGAGCATACCACTTTGCAGTAGCAGGCATGATTTTACCGCTGATTCTCGAATATTGATCATGTATGAACGAGAGATGGCATAAGTTTCATGAACGGGTATGGGAAAAGGGGAGGTTCGTTTTGTTAAGGACACAAGGATGGCGGCTTAGTGGAAAAAATTCCTTGCATGTGCTGTTCATGAATGTATTATATAGTGTACAGGAGCATTCAAAAAAGAAGGAGGAAAAGCAAAAAAGGATTATATGTATATCTAACGTACCATATATAGGAAGGCGGGCTTCTTCTGGCATGACATTTAGAAGCAGACCCCTGGAAAAAGATAACCTCACTCATCACCGACACATGAAAAACAATCCATCTCTCCGTAGAAGTGGCTGCCAAATAGTAACTGCATAATGTGTAAATCAAATCGTCTGGCATACAAGGTATGTGCTCTTAAACAATACTGTCTCTTTTCTTTTCTTTTCTGTTTTCTTTCTCTTCTGTTGAAATACAAAACTAGACGTAACAGGCATTTCTGCTCAGCAGACACATAAAACTCAAATTCATACAATAGGTAGCCACCTTTCGTTAACCAGGTATCACACTCCTTCCTTACCAACCCATAAAACACCGGGGGAAAAACAAAAAGAAAAAATCAGGCCGTTGAGGCCAAAGTGTCCCGTCCTCATATAGGTATTGCCCCCAACTCGTACGCCTCCCTTCCCCAGCTTTCCGTTTTTACCCTTTAACCATTCCATATAAAAGTACAGACGAAGATAAAGATAGGGAAAAAAAATCACACACACACTCAAAAACACACAAAAAAAAAAAAAAAAAAAAAAAAAACACCAAAGCATACAAGAAAACAAAGACTGTTTCCTATTTTTCCTTGTCCCCTCAGAAAAAAAGTCAAAAACACCGTTTTTACGAACCGCCTTTTAGGGCAGCGCCAATTGAAACGCCTCTCCCTACCGGGGCGTGATATGCGCCTATACTTTGAAATCCCCTAAACAGAAGAGAGAAAATTCAGTTAATATCAAAGAAAATAAAAGAGAAGAAGATAATCATAACAAAAGACAGCGGACCAAATTCAATCTCAACATACCTCATCAAGTCAAATCCTTGCTCATCTTCAGGCTCATCTCCAGCATCTGCAGGCCCTTGCTGGCCCGATTTCTGAGGTCGGGATGGACTGCTGGGCGGTGACTTGCCGCCAACCGTGGGCGGGCTGCTGCTCCGTGTGGGCGCCTCCCGAGATGCTCTTGAAGGACTGACTTCGTACGGCGCCATCGGCTTCAGCGGCGTGCTGCCAATGTCGGCGTACTTCCAAAACGGCGCCGGCGAGCTTGTGGGCATGTGCTGGCTGGGCCGCTGCGCAGTGCTCGGGGGCGCAAGCTTGGGATGCACTCGGGGCGGCGCAGGGGTGACGAATGACGGGTTGTCGTCCTGCAGATACGACGAGGTCAGCGTCGGCGACTGCGGGTGGAATCCGGGCAGCGGCGAGTCGGTTGTCGTTGATTTTCGCGCCCGGGGCAGCGGGCTGCCGTCGGCCGTCAGGGCCGAGCTGAGGCCGGTGTGGCGATCGTATGCGCGATCCGGCGTTGACTGGAGGGCGCGGCGCGACGATTGGGGAGGCGGCGATTTCAGCGGCGATCCTCGCCGTTTCTGCGCGGACGGGAGATCCCTGGCTAGCATGTCCTTAGGGCCATGTGTAATGTAATTCAGCTGGCTCGGCGATGACGGCACCGACGACCCTCTATGCCCGCCGCGGCCAATCTTGTATGCATTTCTAACCATTTCGTCGCGCGCGTCGGGCACAATATGCCATTTCATGCCCTTGCCGGGCTCGTCGGTGGTACGGGCGACCTTGTCGAAGGACTTGTTCAGCGACAGATTGTGCCGGATGGAATTCTACATTTGCACAGATCAGCATTTGGGTACTACTAACCAACAACACAACATGTCGATGCGACCGCATGGCTACTCACCTGCCAACCAGCCGCGTGTTGGTGGCGATAATAGGAATAACTACTCATGATGAAATTATAGATGCCGTTGAGATTGAGCTTGCCGTCGGGCGCATTGAGGATGGCCTGCGTGATCATCTGCGCATAGCTGTACTGGGGCTTCATGTGCTGGTTATCGTCAAGGCTAAGGTCTACGCCGCTGGCTCCCAGTATTCCTCCCGGCGTGCTCGCTGCGACCGGGGATTTTGTAATCGCTGCAGCGTTGCGGCCGTGGGACGAGGTTGGCGTGCCCGGTAGCTTCTGGTCTACCTTGACGGGAGAATCCAAGCCATGGCGGCGAACCTGCGCGTTGGCAGCCTTTGGTGTCCCGAGAACCCGTCCGCATCGCTGGAGGAAGGTCGGGTGGATGTGCAGTGCGCTCAGCTCCGACGGAAGCACAAACATCATCTCGACGTTGCCGATTTCAATCACTTCACCACTGGTCAGCGCATGTGATGTCTGGGCCTTGACGGGCTGGCCATCGACCTTTGCCCCGTTGCGGCCCTTGACGTAGAGCATCCACTTCTCGTCCTTGGAGTTGAACGAGATGGATGCGTGCTCGCGCGACACCATCTTGCTGGGGCCGAGGTCGATGTGCACCGCTTCATGGGCGGCATCAGCACCGCCGCCTGCCCCGCCATGCGACGCCTCCGGTGCGCGTCCGATGTGGACGCTGAGCTTGGTGATGTAGTATGTCCAGTCCTGCGCGGCCACCTTGGCATACGCCTTGACGCCGTCGCCGTTGGCCTCGTGGATGGCGTTGGAGTGGTCTTTGCTGGCCTGGACCGGCTGTGTCTTGAGCTGCTGCGTCACCTGCGCCACCAGCTGGTCGTCTTCGGCTCTGGACGGCGGCTCGGGCTCGGGCTCTGGCTCGGGAGCCTGCGATGCGGATGCGCCGTGGGCGTTGCTGGTGCTGCTGTTGTTGGTGTTGCTGATGTCGGATTGGGCTGGCGACCGGGCCCTCTTGCGACGCTTTGCGGGACGGCTGGGGGACGAGCTTTCGACGTCGGCTGCGGCGATTTCCTTGTCCTTGCTGCGCACATCGCGCCGGCCGCGCTGGCTTCTCTTGGCCGACGCCGGCATAATAAATGGTGCGTTTATTGTATTGTATGTATAAGTAAAAAGATGATGTTGTCGAGGTTCGGTCGCCCGTTGCGTTATCGTGGGTGGGCGGTTGTTATAAAAAAAAAACGATGACGATGGCGGCGAGCGAAAAGTTGCGAAACTTTGAAGCTGCGGAGATTCTCTCTAAGCGGATGGGAATTATATTTTTTCTCTCTCTTCGACCCAGCCTGTGGAAAAGCTAAAAGGCTATTGAAAGAAGGCAAAAAGTCGACGGTCCCGAGGTGGCGCATGCGAGGCCACAAAGCCTGGCGATCAAGTTTGTGCGCCCCAGGCTGGCATTTAAAAATGCTTTTTTTCTGGCTTTGGCAAACAGACAATGAATCAATCCAGAGGTGCCCGCCCAGGTATTTTTCAGGTGGCCTTGACGACAGAATCGCGTTCGCGTCGGACGACCCACCACTTAAGAACGGGTGGAACTTTAAAGTGGTGAAGGTACCTGGGTACTTGTGCTGGCCGGTATCTCTGTTAAGTTTCCGGTCCATGCAGGCTTGTGCGCTATCGGCGGTACTTGTGAGGACGTTGCGGCAAAAGTCTCTGCGGTCGCCCAGCTACCAGCTGCAGTGTCAGTTCCCCATACGGAGCCGCGGAGAGCCAAACAAGCCAAGTCGGGCTGGAATTTGATAATGGCAGCACGTCTTGAATTTATCGAGGCCGCCGCCCCGGGCATGGATGCAGGGACAGCTGCGCAGGAGGCGCTGAGATGGACCTGTCTTTGATCCCTTGATCCCTTGATATCCCTTTGAAGATGTGCACTATCCCTTGGAGCAGTAATACATGTAGCGGTACTTGTAGCATCCAGTGCAGGCCACGCCAAGGGCAGGCCTTTGATGGAGGGGCAACGCCGCTTGTAAATCATACAGTAGGGCGTCACAGGTATCACTTCTAGGACCTGCTCCGTGTAAGAGGTCTACAGTACGGTACTGGGTGCTGGGTACTGGGCACTGGGCACGAGACACTGTAGAATTGCCGGACCCTGCCCCGGCCGCTTGTTTGTTCCTACAGATTCGCGCCTCAACCCTGCCCTGCCTAATGCTAATGCCTCGTCCCGTTGACGAAACAGCAGCGCATGGCAACGGCGCACATGCCCAGGGCACTGACCAGGTTGGTGAGACCTGGACCTTGACCTTGCCTTAGCTGTGCAAAGGCCTGACATGCATATCATCCTTGCTGCTCTAGCGCCGAGCAGGCCTCCGATGCGGCGGAAAATCGATTTTGCGGCTGCGCGCACGGGTGCTGCGAAAGCCTGATCCTGATCCTTGGTGCAGCGCCCGGCTAGCATCGATTCGCTGAATGCTACAGAATAAGCTAAGTTGGTTCATTCTTTAATTTTTGGGCGTGTTTTCAAACGGGCGGCGTCGGCAGTTTGTTCACCTGCCGCCATCTGTATTCTGCATACTGCATACAACATCGCTGTGGAAAAGATCCCTCGTCATCTGCTTTTCGCCCTCGAATAGACTTTGCAGGAGTCAGGCGCCTCTTGCTGAATCCGAAATCCCGACGCTCGACGATGCGATAGGGCTGCCCAGCCTCAACCGCGACACACCATGGCTAGCGAGCAGGTCTACGGCGTCACGCCGCCAATCTCCGTCAACCTCCCGACCGAGGCCGAAAAGCGCGCAAGCGATGCGCTCAAGGATGAGCTTCGACGCCAAAAGACATTCGAGAGCCCGTCAGAAACCGACAAAAGGCACGTTCAAGCTCGGATAGTCGCAACAGCGCTGCTTGTCCTTTCCCCCCCTTTGGCTGACTGGTTGAGCCATCCAGGTGGAAGGTTCTCGATTCACTGCAGTTGATTTGCAACGAATTCGTGCGCAAAGTCGCGACGGAGAAGGAGCCCAAGAACGAAATCCTCATCAAAAACGCCAGGGGCAAAGTGTTCACGTACGGCAGTTTCCGCCTGGGAGTCTTTGGCCCTGGCTCGGATATCGACACGCTCATCGTCGCGCCCAAATATGTTACTCGCGAGGACTATTTCAAGTACTTCCCGGACCTGTTGGTCGCGATGGCGCCTGCAGGCGCCATAACAGACCTGACTGTTGTCACGGATGCCTTTGTGCCAATCATCAAATTTGAGTATTCCGATATCAGCATAGATCTAATCTTTTCCAGAATCATCCAGAAGCAAATCTCCCCGGATTTCGCCGACCTTAAAGATTCCAGCCTATTGCGCGGTTTGGATGAAGCTGAATTGCGATCTTTGAACGGCACAAGAGTTACAGATGAGATCCTTGCTCTTGTTCCTGAGGAGGCCACATTCAAGCTTGCCCTACGAGCCATCAAACTATGGGCGCAGCGTCGAGCCGTCTACGCGAACATTATGGGTTTTCCGGGAGGCGTCGCCTGGGCAATGTTGGTGGCTCGTGTTTGCCAGCTGTATCCCAAGGCCGAGACGTCAGTCATCGTCAACAAGTTCTTTTTGGTGATTGGCCAATGGCGATGGCCGCAGCCCGTACTGCTTAAGCCCATAGGCAGCGGTCCTCTCCCAGTCCGCGTCTGGAATCCCAAAGTATGCATGCATTGGAAAGACTGCTCCTAGCCCGTCCATGGGACATGCTGACGCGGTTGACTGCTAGGTTTACAAAGGCGATTCATTCCACCTTATGCCCGTCATTACTCCAGCGTATCCTTCCATGTGTGCGACGTTCAACATTACCCGATCCTCGATGACCATTATCCAGCGCGAGCTGCGACGCGGGCTAGAAATCTCCGAGGAAATCATGGTTGGCAAGAGACCGTGGAGCGACTTGTTTGTCAAGCATACATTTTTCACGCAAGGCTACCGATATTACATCTCCGTCGTCTCTGCGAGCAAGAACAAAGAAGCGCACAAGGTGTGGTCGGGCTACGTGGAGTCCAAGGTCCGAATGCTCGTGCAAAAGCTAGAGCAGCATTCGTCCATTGCGCTTGCGCATCCGTTCAACAAGGGATACGACCGGCGACACCTTTGTAAGAACGATCACGAGATCGAGCAAGTGCAGGAAGGAAGCCTTGAATTTGTTATCAAAGATGAGGGCAAAGGTCAAACGAGCGAAGAAAAGAACCCTAAGCTCGAGGAGAATCAAGATTCTTCTGCGCCCACCTCTCCAGTCGAGGTCTACACCACCACTCATTACATTGGTATTGAGCTAGAAGAGGGTACGGCCCTTTCAACCCCCCTGCCTCTGCACTTTGTTTTTGTTTCTTGCCATACTTGGAGATTCCATGTCCTTGTGATGCTGATTTTGCAGGCGCCAAATCTCTGGATCTATCATATCAAGTCGATGAGTTCAAGGTCCTATGTACCAGCTGGAAGAAGTATGAAGATGAACTGCGGCCATTAGTGTCTCTGGGTGTACAGCACGTTCGAAAGTAAGCCACATTGCCTCCGCTTTTTATTGGTCGAAGAATATTGGTTGATAGTTGGCAAAGTTTCAATCTCCCAGACGACGTCTTTGAAGCCGGAGAAACGAAGCCCCAAAAGAAGAGCGCTAAAAGCCTGGCGAGCAAGAAGCGAGGCCCGACAGAGGTAATACGATCGCATCGACTATCCCCTCCGCGCTGTGGGATGCGATTCCTCCATCCAGTCTCCTAAGCAGGGACAGAGCGTACTGACTGGTTGATAGGACAACACCCCGCCAGCGAAGAGACAGCAAGCTTCAGTTGTAGCTGCTGGTTGACGAGAAACGACATACAATGCTCGCGGTTCAAACCTCCATTTCCGTTTGGACAAGTACTTTCCTGAAAACTCAAGCTGACGTTAAGGAAGTGGATGAATCTTTTTTTCTTTCCCTTCGTCGTAATTCCCGCTAGTATTATCTGGAAAACTCAGCGTACACGACCGGCCAAATAGCTTTCCAATCCCCCATTGTTTTTGCTTTCTATTTCTTTGACTTTTTACTCTTTTTTTTCTTCTTTTTTTTTGCATTGTCCTTGTCTTATTTCGTACTCGTCCATCCCTGAGGCGGGCATACGAAGTACATAATAAAACGGCGCCTAATCTGATCTTAGCAGGGCGATGATAGCGGGCAGCTGCGGCATCACCACCTTATACCGCATATTCTACGATTCCGTAGCAAATAACCTTCGGTCGTATCTACACTGGCTCAAGGGTCCTCTGGGGTGAAACTACCCTTGTTCTTTTTTCGTTCAGATTTGCATTTAAGCCCGTAGCAGGGGGACTAAATTTAGATAGGTAGATTTGGTTGCCATGAATGCAATTACTTTAAGACATTGAAAACTGGCCGGGAATCTGTAAAGTGTGCGAGACATCAAGTCATATTAAACCTGCTCTTGAGTCGGCAAGGGAGTGTCCCTTAGTGAGCTTTTAGAGTACTCAGCTCAGTCCCCCCTCTTTTTCAAAGGAAAGCCAAAGACTGCGACATTGCAAGCCAGGCCCTTTTGTCATCATAGACTGTCACCAGGTATTGTCATCATAGATCGTCATCATCCAAATCGCTGCCGCTGGACCAGTCATCCTCATACGCGGCTCCCAGCTCGGCCAGGCCATTCGCCAGATTCTCCCTGTCCTCCAGCGGGATGCTCAAGGCTACCCGCGATCGCAGATCCTTCATCTTGTACACAATCGAGCCATCTGAAGCAAGAGACGTGTAGACGGCAATGTTGTTTGCGTCTTCAACATCGTAGTTGTATATTGACGGGAAGCTGTCAAGGAGGGGGTAAAGGAGGGAGGTTTCGTAGCTGTATTTCACTTCACGGTTAGCATTTTTTTTTTCTCTTTCAAGTTACACTCATCTCATGGTGTAATTAAACAAACTCACTTTCGCACGACCGTGTTTCCAATAATGGGCCGTTGGTTTGCCGCAGACTCATCATTCTCATTGCTTGAGCCGTCCGGCCTCCGCATGCCTGACAGTCTTCCAAAGGCTCGACTGCTGCTGCTCCCTGTCTTGAGACCATCTTTCAAACTTCCAATTTGCGACAGATCCATGTCCGGACGCTCACCCGACTCCAAGGCCGCAGGTCCCACAGACATGCGCATATTCGCAAGCGTCTGCCGGCCAGACACATTCAGACACTCGGCCATGTCTGCCAAACTCACAGGCTGGCTTGTCCCATCCAGCCGTCGCCGAGAGGGCAATGAAGCGCTTTCCGCCGCCGTAGACAGAAGCGCAGAGACATTCCACGCCGAAGTGTAGTCCATCCCAACGCCATTCGGAAGACGTCCCTCCGGCACAGCAAGCGGCACCACCATACTCGCCTGAGCACAGACTTCATTCAGACTCAGTGCCGTATTCGCCAGCCTCAGCCGTCTCTTCTCCCTCGCAACCGTCGACGTGGGACTCTGCAGCCCCCAGACCCAAATACACGTCTTCGGATGCTCATCCCTCAACGCCTCGAGATACGAGCCCGCAAAGCCGCCCCAGGCATCGTCCAGCGTGGTGTACACCTGAATCCCTTGCATCTGGTCGCACTCCTCCACAAACGGCCTCCAGTCGCGGTCGACAATCTCATCCTGCTTCTCCAGCGAGGCAAACAGCTCCGTGCCCATCGAGTGCCGCTCAAAGGGCATGATGCTCGAGTGCAGCTCAAAGTCGTAGAGCTGCACAAGCGACTTGGGGTGGTAGTAGACACGCGAGAAGTCGGACCAGTAGCGCACGTCTGAGGCGGCGAGCTTGGAGGCTGGCTGGATGCCGGCGTCGAGGGCCTTTTGGTAGTCGATGGCTGAGACGGCGTTTTCCTTGTGGACCGCTGGTTTGCCGTGCCTGAATGAAGTTTATAAGAAACAAGAAACACTATAATGAGTTTGATATAAAAATAAAAACTCACCACAGAGACGCCACGGCTGCATCCTCACTCCGCGCATCATACATGGGATTCATCTTGCGCAACGACCCAAACCCGCCCTTCAAGTCATACACCACCGTCCGCGGCAGAAACGTGTCCGAGCCATCCTCACCTACTCCCGCTCTAAAGTGGACGTTGTGGTCGACATGGCTCTTTTCGTCTTCTGAATAGGTAAAGTACGACTCTTGTGTGTTCCAGAAGTGGGTGGCGACGTAGTTGCTGAGACTGCCCAGCTGCAGCGTCACAATCTCACGCATGGCTGCTGTCTATATGAAGGATTGATGCTTTGACAAAGAAACAAGATGAAGAATGGTGAGTCAAAGGACCATTTTGGCTGGTAAATCTTTTATGTGAATTGTAACTATTTGACTGAATTTTTGGAGCTCTCTCAATAGCTACAGGGTACGTTGATGGGTGCTGACTAATAACTGTCATCTTCTGATGCCACAAATCGATCACGCATCGTCTCTATTAAAATGCTGTTGTTGATATCTATTCACTTAGAAACTAGTAGTTGTTAACATAATCTTTTAGCTACAGCACAAATCATTGAGTAGGCTGTGTCATGACTGCTGCTGTCAATCATATTGGATTGTGCTATCAGAGAGGGGTACGAAAACAAAGAAGCGCACATATAGACCATGCCTGTGAAAAAAGAGTAGATTATTATTTATATATATAGGAGCCGTCCGCCTCATAACACGCTTACAATCACCGAGGCCTGGTTTTTACAACCTTCATAGTACACAAGTCTCTCCAAAAGAAACTGCAACACTCGAATGGGTCTGGACGTAAATGGGTTAAACAAAAAACAAGACAAATGACAGAAAGGAAAAGAAAAAGAAAGGAGAAGAATTTTTGGCTGCTCCCGCCGACCGTACCATCATACAAGTCATTCATTTCAACATTTCGACGCCAAACCATCCGGGCGAGCAAGCCATGATGTGACAAACCCAATAACACCAATGCTGCTGACGAGCTCAAGCGTCAGCCTGCTGTTACACTTGATCTGGCCGGCTAGCCCCAGAAGCCCGAGTGGATCCTGGTGATGGGGCACTACTTCATCACGCTTTGACTTTTTGCTTTTCTGGCGCCTCAGTTTCTGGTTGACCCTTGCCAGCGGCATGTTGTTGTTCATCGTCATGCCAGGCCCGAGCATCGGCACTGGCAACTCTCCAAGGCGCTCTGCTTCAAGGCTTTGCCGCAGGCTCTCTGCCCAGCTCGCCATCTCCAGCGGCCGGTCGTACTGTTCCGGCGAGTATGAACGTCCCCATAACGAAGGGGAATACGAGTACAAGCTCATGGGCTGCCGACAGATGAGGGCTGTCTGCGCCGACGAGGTGATTGCCGTCTGCCTCCGCCATCGGACGCATTTGAGGGAGGCGGCATGCCGTAGTCTTGCGCTTCCATCGTGCGACATGAGCTGCTCCACAAGCCTACTGAGATCGGTAGAGACGAGTGGGCGCACATATTCTGAATTCATGAGTACACTGGCGTCCATTACGTCGTCGTCAGAATCGGATATACTCGAGACGGCATAGATGTCAGAAGTCTCAGAAGACACCCCAGGAGCACGGAACGAGAAGTACTCCACGTCCTTTTCACGTAGGTCGTCATCGATATACTGCTTGCAGGCCATGGCCTGGTCATTGTTGATTTCATCGGCACGGGCTAGCAGTGGGATGACATTGGTCGTGTTCTGCAGCAGCCTGATTGTTTCTACGTCTGAGGGTTCAGGTCCTGTAGCGTGGTCAGATTCAGGTGGTCTCGAGCAGTCATGACAAATAGAAAAGGAGCAGGGCAATACCTGTGTGAGGCAACATGTACAAAACCGCATCTACAATAGGCTCGGTCCCGCTGCTCAAGAGGTTCCAGAGGTCACCATCACTGATTGGCCGGTTCAATAGGGGGAGAAGCTGCGATTCAACGTAGCGGATTGCTGGGTGGGTGCCTTGAGATGTTTGCGGCGGACAGTCTACAAAGCAGAGGTTGCGGTCAAGCATCTCGTCCATGGCCGAGCTTCTTCGTCTCGATGCAGTAGACTGATCCAGCTCTGCCTTCCACCACGGGTAAGGGCGGGTGCTCGCATATACTTCTGACACCTCGCCTTTATTGTGATTCGATACGGGGTCAACATGAACAATATGCTCGCTGGATTGCGCAATGGCTGTGATCAGAGTTGACTTTCCAATACCTTATCAATATTCCAGTTAGCATATACTTGGGCGTGGACTGTGCCGAGGCGGAGGACATACCATCTGGGCCCGTCACCAGAACCTTGAGCTTTCCCAGCGACTTTCCCGTGGTTGAAAAGGGTCGCCGACGCGGAACCGTCAAGCTGGGCATGATAAGCTGAGGCGTATGACTTCCTGCGAGATCCCCCATAGTATGCGAATAAAGGCCGATGTCGCCTTGGTGAGGGCTGATGAGACTTAGAGACGAGCTGATTCGGCTGGCGGACATGGAGTGGACCGGCGAACTCAGTGGCGAAGAAGCCGAGCTGATGACAGACTCGGGGCCTGTAGTCCCCAGATTCACCGGCGTCATGGGCCGCGAGAGATCGTGCGGAGTCTCGCCGCCCGGCTGAGATGACAGGGACGGCGAAGGCCATGATATGGAGGTTGATGCCGACATGTTGGATCGGTGGCCACTCTTGCCGGCCCGCTGGCTGGTTTCATAGTCGCTCTTGTAGGGGAATCGCTGCGTGTGGAAGCTCATCTCGCCCAGGTCGCTGATCGAATCCTCCGTGCCGACCATGTACGTCATGGCAGGCATCGTCGCATTTGGCGTCAAGCTGTCCGGTCGCCCACGATGGGCTGATGCGCTGCCGCTCGCCGGAACCGGTCGCATGATGGCTGCTGGATGCTGGATGCTGGCCGCTGGCGATGGACCTGTTCGCTGCGTAGATGTCGGACAAGGCAAAAGGTGCGGCCCGGAGAGGAGGGCTTTATATCTCGACGCCCGGCACCGTGAAGATTTACAACAGCAGCAAGCGACTTTGAGGACGGCTGACGTGGGATTTAGCCTTTGGGGAGACTCTTGGTCGGTGTTTTAACGCGACGGTGCAGCGTCGAGCAGAGGTATGGAGTACCGTCTCACCGAGTACTTGGCATGTACCCGGGTAAAGTGCTGTGGTGGAGATGCGCGACGCCGGCGAGCGGGGAACGACCTACGGCTACATTCCGCGTCGTACTCCATACTTGTCATTTGTTGGGAGCACCGCTTGCCATCGCTCTCAAGGCGCCTGTCACTGCTGTCACTGCTGTCACTGCTGTCACTGCTGCTGTCACGTCACTGCTGCTGCTAGATGCTAAGGCAGCTGTAGTGCACTACAAGCGATTTACATGTACTCTATCATGTAGATGATGCCAGCTGCAGGGAACCTCTTGCCCCAAATCTCATACCGCAACACCAGGCCCGCGCCGGTAATACCTACGACTTGCGCAAAGTACTGATGACACCATAAAAGCTCCGTGTCTCTGCATGATGCATCTAGAGGTCTGCCAGCTCGCACCCCGTATTAGGAATACCCTCCTTTAGGCTCTCGCTGGAATGCAGGCACCGCACTCTAGATAGACTCGCCGTTATCTAAGTGCATATCGCAGATCCACTGTAGCGGGGCAGCCTAGTCCCGTCTCTGTCTATTCCCGTTTCGTGCTGCCAGCTCGCCAGCCTCTTGGGGGACCAAGACAAAGGCTGCTCGCTCGTTGTATTGACTCATCTGCATCCAAGCAGACGAGCTGTCCGGTAGCAGCAAGAAACACCACCGTCGAAATGGACGGCAAAAGACACCCCAGTTCGTTCCAGCAGCTGGAGAAGCTCGGAGAGGGCACATATGCGACTGTGAGTGGTTCTTGGTCCCTCTTCTCCCATTCTTTCCTCCACCACCGAATCGCTTCCCGAGCGCCGTCTTGCGATCAAACGCAATGAATCTTGGCTAATCTCCATTTCTTTGCATTCATGCTGCTAGGTGTTCAAAGGCAGGAATCGCCAGACTGGCGAGCTTGTTGCGCTGAAGGAGATCCACCTCGACTCCGAAGAGGGAACGCCTTCAACCGCCATCCGAGAAATCTCTCTTATGAAGGAGCTCAAGCACGAGAATATCGTTGGGCTTCACGATGTTATTCACACCGAGAACAAGCTGATGCTCGTCTTCGAGTACATGGATGGCGATCTCAAGAGATACATGGATACCCACGGCGAACGCGGCGCGCTGAAGCCAGCAACAATCAAATCTTTCATGTACCAGCTCCTCAAGGGAATCGACTTTTGCCATCAGAACCGGGTGCTGCACCGAGATCTCAAGCCGCAAAACTTGCTCATTAATAGTAAGGGGTGTTTGAAGCTGGGCGATTTTGGTCTTGCTCGCGCCTTTGGCATCCCCGTCAACACCTTCTCCAACGAAGTCGTCACCCTGTGGTACCGTGCGCCGGATGTCTTGCTCGGCAGCAGGACATACAACACGAGCATCGACATTTGGTCGGCGGGATGCATCATGGCTGAAATGTACACGGGACGGCCATTATTCCCTGGTACGACAAACGAAGACCAGATCGTCAGGATATTCCGCATCATGGGCACTCCCACGGAGCGTACGTGGCCGGGAATCACGCAGCTGCCAGAGTACAAGCCCACGTTCCACATGTACGCTACCCAAGATTTGCGGAGCATTCTTCACGCCATTGATCCCACCGGCATCGATTTGATCCAGCGCATGCTCCAGGTTCGGCCAGAGCTTCGCATCAGCGCTCACGATGCTCTGCAGCACCCATGGTTCAATGACATCGTCCTTCAACAGCAGCAGCAGCAGCAGCAGCAGCAGCAGCAGCAGCAGCAGCAAGCTGCTCTCCAGGCGCAGGCGCGGAGCTTCCAGCAGACGGTGCCGTCCCAGGGCTTCGACAACAATTATTAGCACAATAGATGGCTGCGCGCGCTGCGCGGCTGGACACCATGAGCAGGCACTACACACGGCCGAACTTGGCCATTCTGTTTTGATTGGATCCTTTCGTTGCCTCTTTTCTGGCTGGCGTTGAATACAGCATGGTTATTTATACATAAAAAAAAAATGATGGCTTGCGCTGTACCAGAAGACGGAATGACATGGCACACTCAGGCTACACTGGATGATAATACCAATAGCGGAAGCATCAGCAAAAATTAGAGCGAGGCGGGGCAAAATATTTCATCTTTATAATAAGAAGCAAGATATTTTGAACTTAAGCTCCATGACAGAAGCGGCGAGGTTTTTGAGATTTTACCAATTTATTTGTAGCGCTTGGATTCAGTGCCTATTGACAAGACTACCATCTACGGGGCTCTTGAATTTACGTTTGTTTGGCTCCTTGGACCACGTATCCGCGAGGGCGGCCGTTTCGTCCTCGTCGGGAGCGAAGCCCATGCTCAGCCTGAGCTTCTGAATTTCATCACGAACCGCCTTTGCAACGTCAATCCTGAGCTGCACGGCCTCGGGATCGTGTTTGAGGAGATCCGGATCGCCGCTTTTCTCAACCAATCGCTTCCAGGCTGTGCGATAGTGGCCAAACAGACTTTCCGAATCGGCTGGCTTTCCAATCATTACCCGGATTCGCTGGCCAATGCGCGGCAGGAAACGTGGAAACCCTCTATCCTCGGGCATGATGTCCTGTGTGCCGTGAATGAACATGGGGACGAACTCGGGGGCCGGCTCGCTTTCGAGAATCAGGCGGGACACGCCCCATTTGAAATAGCGCAGGGTGTTTTCGGGATTCTGGTGACAGCAGGCTTCGGGGAAGATGTGGACCCAGGCGTGGCGGTTGGCTGCGTATATGGAGGGAGAGACGAAGGAGTCTGAGCCGTTTGTAGAAAAGGTCACGTCGGATGGTTTGATGACGGACGAGGGGCTGGAGAGAAGCTTGACTGCTTGGGCTATCGTGGGCTGGTAGAGGCCTCCTTGCGGCGAGTGCCACAGTCGATGCGTCGGCAGCACCTGGCCATAGCTGAAGAAGGTAGAAAAGAAGCGGTTTTTGAAACAGATGTCGTGGGCACCAAGGCCCCATCGCAGATTCTCGACGTCGACGGCGTAGCGCAGCGGGAGAATCCCCCATATTAACGGATCATCGAGTCTAAGCAGTCAGCGACTTGTCAGAGGGGCAATTGTAATTCACGCTGAGACGCCATACACGGAGACGTGGTTGCAAACAGTCAAGAGGCCGCGGTCACGCTGGCCATTTCTGCGCCGGTCCAGCACGCCCAGCAGGTTGTCCAGGCCGGTCACCTCGACCTTGTTGAAGCAGTAGAGAAAGGCCCGCGATGCAGCCCCAACGCTGCTCATCACCGCCACCGAGGCAAGCCGCGAGGGCCAGCCCGGCCGTGATGTGGGAGTTGGGGACGACGACATCTCCGGCGAGGAAGTGATGCTGCTGCTGCTTCGACCTTTAGCCCGGGATCCAAGTTTCCATGACGGGCCATTGTTGGCGAGTAGCACTTTATGGAGCTTTTTTTTTTTTGGTCGTCCCTAATTTTTTTCTTTGGTTGAGGCTTTGCCCCGCTACCGGCCTGGGCTGGAGTTAATTCGGCAGCGGCCGTGTCCAGGGGTCTGCTGCCAGCGCTGGAATAGCGCCCAACGCCTCGAGCACAGGCCCTCCATAGGGAGCGTGGTTGGGATCAATAGAAGCTGGACGGTGCCTTGGCAGCAGAGAGCTGGCGCTAGTGAAGCCGCCAGTCAATGTCCAATCTAGTCCTAGATGGGTAGTATCGCTACTTACTTCCGCAGCATCTTGATTTCTCTAATAGCATTGACTTTTTGCTTCAGCATCTGTAATACTACCTTATCGCCGGTGTTTCTCGATCTCAGGTCTCTTGTTGAGTTGCTTATTTACAGCAAGAATCTCTCCAGTAGCTACAATGTCACATAGTATGTCATTTCACTCTTACACTTTGGATGCCGCAGCTACTAGAGCTTCCATGCCTTCAAATTCCACAGGATGCATCCGCAGCTGACCATGAACACGTCCGTCTCCAGGCAAAAGAAACACCACCCGCCCCGTCTTCACCTCGTACGAAAGAGAGCAGGCCAAATCGAACTGGACCGCAACCTCCGCCCAGCTCAATCGAGATTCATTCCTGCCCTTTGGCTACTGCGGCCTCTGCCTCGAAAACGCCCGAGAACCGGTCTCGTGTCCGCGAGGGGACATTTTCTGTCGCGAATGCGCCCTGGCGAATCTCCTGGCGCAGAAGAAGGAGCTCAAGCGGGGAGAAAAGGCACGGCAAAACGCTGAGAAGGAGGCTGCCAGGATCCAGGCTATTGGTGATGAGGAAGAGCGGGAGCGGGCGATTCGCGACTTTGAGATGACGCAAGCTGGGTTGACGAATAGTGCTCTCAAGAAAAATTCAATTGCTTCAACAACAGCTACAACGACAGCTACGGCTACGGCTACAGCTGCGGCTGAAGATGGAAACGAAGGCGCGGTTGTTCGCGCCGGGTCCAAGAGGAAATTTGCCCTTGACGCAGATGAGCTTGGCCGGATAGCAGAAGACGACAAGGCGAGGGCGAGAAGAGCCATTGAAGATGAAAAGGTGCAGTAAACAAGAATTCTACTCGTTTTTATCCAGATGCTAACGAATAATAAACAGGCCGCCAAGCCTACACTTCCTTCGTTCTGGACACCCTCACTCACACCAGACGTGCGAAACAGCGACCTCCCGCCAGTCACAAAAAAGGCCAAAACAACGCCCACATGCCCGGCCTCTTCAGAGCACCAACCCCATTCTCTATCTCTACAAAAACTGTTGACGATACGGTTTAACGAAACAACAGACGACTCCACAAAAGAGACTCACAGAACCTGTCCTTCATGCCTCAAGACCCTCTCCAATGCCCTGAACCCCGTCATGGCCGAGAAATGCGGCCACGTCCTGTGTCTTAACTGCGTCAAGAAGTTTCTCCTTCCATCAGGGAAGCAGCAGGCTAAAGAGGAGGATGAGGCCCCCGTTGCCTGCTTTGTCTGCAGCACACCCGTCGCCGTCACGACCAAGCACGGCAAATCCTCGAGCTCAAAGGATGCTCTACCGACGGGGTTGGTCAAACTGAAGTCGGAGGGAACAGGCTTCTCTGCTCGTGGATCGCGAACTGTAGAAAAATCAAGTGTTGCTTTCCAATGCTGAACACCATGACCGATAATCCGAGATACAGTTAATTTCTGGCTTGGATTAATTATCCAGAGAAGCAATTGCTGAAGATGCACTGAATTGCCCCCTGGCTCTATTTATCGGGCCGAGCGAGCTTCTATAAGCAGTAGAGGTTGTATCCTAGCTGGCATCAGTCCAGCGGATATCGACAACTTCTCATCAAGACAATATTTCGGTAAAGTCTCCTCAGAGAGGCCGAGAGATGCCAGTGCACTTCGCCGCCTAGGTCCTGCGTCTATTTACACTACCATATGCCTGATAAGGCTTTGATTATGGCTTAAAACCACTGACTTGAAAGTCTTGGATGTCTTTATTTGCTACTTACAATGCCTTTTGCTTGCGTTTTCGTAGCTCCATTCACGTCGTATACATTAAGCATATCATCTAATGTCACCTAATCAGCGAAGGGAACCGAATAGACCGTTTGCAAGGATAATTCTTATTTCTGGCTACAATCTATGTACTACCGATGTTGTTCATCGAGATTGCCTCTCGCAGCTCTTATGGCCACAAGCGAGGAACAATAATAAGTAGATAAGGCCAGGATGCCCGATTTGGATGTAGTTGGTGAATCACTGCCTACATGAATTGAAGGATTATAATACCTTGTTTCTAAATACAATCATCAAATATGCTGGGCATCTTCATGAATTGAAGCTACTGGTTGCTACCGAATAACATTCACCATGTTTAATACGGCTTCAAAATGTGGAAATGTATTTATCAAGAGTGTAGTGTATTCAGTCTAACACTATGCCGAGAGTACCGCAAATATCGGGTCCTTCTCTTCTGGTATATCATGTGCATCAGCCCAATGGCAAAGTAAAAAAAAAAAAGAGCAACCGTCTATCCAAAGGGTTGGTGTATGCAGTAAAAGGTCCGTAAAACAAAAGACCGTGCCATATAGGAGGCTTGAGCTATGTTTCAATGATTGCGTCGGGGCAACAGATAGCAAGAAGGGAAGAAAAAAGGAAATCGAAAAAGAAGAACCCGGGATTGTCGTTACAGTCATAAAAAAAAAAGCCTATTTCCTAGCCCAAAAACCATTCCCTGAAATGGTATGTTACCCAAAAGGAGAGAGAGAAAAAAAAACTATAGCGTTGTAGAGAAAGACGTATAAAAAGGGGGGATATAGAAAAGACGCCTCACGCCTTAGCCATGCTCATGTGCTGTTTAAAATTCGCAAAGGGAAAGGAGGAAAAACAAAGACATCGTCTTTATCCACGACTTGCCACCGAGGCCTGTCTCTGTGGTGGCGCAGGCATACCAAAACTGGCCTGCCTCGCTGATCCCGGGATGGAGATGGTTTCCAAGTCTTCGCCAGGAGCGTCTTCATTCTCCACCAAGGCAGATTGGCTCCCAGGCATTCTCTGTGCGCCAAAGCCGGTGACCTTGAAAATGTTTGTGCGGCCTCCATTGGTGGCCATTTGAAGCTGCTCATGAAGTCTTGCCAGCTGGTACTGACGCCTGATGGGGTTGAAGACGGGTTGTGGGATCAGGGGTTGGGGGTTCCAGTGAGCCAAAGCATTCATCACGGCGCCGGTTTCCTCATCAGAGTCCACCGGGCCGTTGTTGGCATCATCGTCATCCTCAAGAGGAGCGTTTGCATCCAATGCGGCTTCTGTAATACCAGGGCTTGATTAGTCTCCGCGCGCAACCGGGCAAGATTCATGGTTGAAGAGAGGCATACTCTGCTGCTTAGCTTGATTCTTCTTCTGGTAGGCGGCCAGAAGCATGTCATAAGGTAAGGATCTACCTGCGACAGCACGCTTTGCTCCCATGGAGTGGCTTTTGCAAGTCAACGAACGGGCACAAGGCTGTCCATTGGGCAGGATAACACCACATTGTCGCTCCACGTCAACAGGTCCTGCAGTCAGAAAGGAGAAGAGGGATTAGCAAAAGTCAAATAAAGAATGCCAATATAGCTGAGGATTTGTCCCAGTCAAACCTACCCTTTGGTTTTGGAAGCTTGGCTTTTGGCTCATCCTTCTTCTTCTTAGATTTGGGCGCCTTCTCCGCCTCAGTATCCGCTTTCCGCTTCTTGCTGACCTTGTCATCGCCTGGCTTCTTGCTGGCGGCCTTTTTCCCGGCCTTCTTGTCATCTTCGTCGCTATCTTCGTCCTTGTCGTCATCGTCATTCTTCTTGGCTTCTTCTTCCCGCGCTGCCTCTTTAGCTCGCTCTCGCGCCTCGCGGGCCTCCTTCTTCCGCTGTGCCTTTTCCTTCTTCACCTTGAGACACGCCGCAACGTGTGCCTTCGCGGCTGTCTTGAGTATGCTCTTCTTGCAGTGCTTGCATTGCTGCAGCTCAGGGGGGTCTTCCAGGGGCCGTCCGGTAGCAAAGGTCTCGCGTGCCGAGTCTTCTAGCTGGTTGACAACCGGACCAGGGGACACTGCGGCCGACGCTGGGGGGTTGCTGCCCTTCTTCTTGTCTTCTTGCGCTACGTCAGCATACCGACTTGGACTTGGCTGGGGAGAAGGGAACATGTCTCGTACCCTCGACTATGCTGCCGTCCATCCAATTCCCCGGCTTGTTGTGCTTTGGCGCCGACTTCTTGAGCTTGATGTTTCCATTTTTGGAGTCTTTCTTGGATGCCACTTTGATGGTTTGATCTGCGCCAAAAGGTATCAGATACATGGGTTAAGAATAGCTGCCCACAGGCATCGTCTCCAACAGCCAGGGCTGCCCACCTTTGCGCGATTCTGCCTCCGGCGCCATGATGTAAGCGGCACTTTGACGGGTCGCTGCGAGCTCGGGACTTTTGGCAGGGCGTGCAGCTTTCGCTCACACGGCGAGATGGAGAGGTGGATGGATTGGAACGACTGTAGTTGATGGATTTGATGATGACCAGACGTTGGGAATTGACAGTGACGCCGCAGCTGATCGCGAGGCTGATGTCCAAGGCACCCAATTTCACGTGTTGGGCGAGGCGGGAAGTGTAAGAATAATATTCCGGCGATCCAGGAGTGCATGCAGGTACGTACTAGCATCTGACGCTAGGCCGGCTGACAGGCACCAGGAGCTTCAATTAGAACTGCAACCATTGTTTCCATCATAATAGTGTTTGGCAAGGAGATTGTGATCAAATTACGTCTTCTTGTTTTTAATAAACAATACCTTTTAATCCTTTGTACTTATAAAACATAAACAACGAGCAGCTACTCTATAATACTAGTCATACCTCTAAGCTTTGGTGCTGCTAGCTCTTTCAGCTTCATTATGGAGCCCCGTGGGGAGACCCATAGACTCCTCCATAGGGCTGCGTGCATCTAACGCAGCAGCATGATGCCCCCGGCAGTTTTAAATAAGACGGCAAATCAGTAATAGGGTATATAACAATCCAAGTATAAACACCGGCAGCCAGACTATACGAGCTGTCCAATCAATGAAAAGGAATCCTTCAATATGCGGCTGACCAAAAGAAGGCTTTTAATATAGGGGGACGTGGTAGTGTTCTCGCCATGCTTTGTATATCCGATCTCGCATGGCCATGTGGCCAAGGGTACGCTGTGAAGCAAAAGTCAGCTATGCTCGATTCCAGGTCCAAAGATGGCAAAGATGGAGTACACACCGGATGAAACGTCTTGCCGTAATATGTGGGCACATACCACATGCCATTCTGTGCTGTAACCTCTCCATCCGCCATTCGCAACATGGGGTCTCTATCGGCAGCCATGGCCATCATGCACAATGCCATTTCTCCCCAATCTCCAGACTCCTGCGCAGGCCCAATGCAATTCTGAGCATCAACCAGCGGAGAATCAGCAGGCAAAAGGGCATCCTTAGGCCCAGGCCCAGGCTCCCCCATTTGCGGTGGAGCATTGTCCAGACCACCAACTAGGAAAAACCAAGTTTCGTTTCTCGCATAGTCCGGCTCTACGACATTTGGTTCACAAAAGCGATGCCCCTCAAAGGCATCATCGTAATCGACAAAGAGGACCCTCGGCTCCGCAAAGGCCGCGTTGATGGCATCGACAGATTTTCGGATCTTGGCGTTGACGGCGAGAACCATGGCATTCATGCGCTGTCGAAGCTCGCGCTTCAGCTTCGGGCCTCGCCACCACATGCCAAGGGAGTAGTCGTCGCACTCGTCCGTGTCGGCGTTGAAGAAGCGGGCGTATCCGGTCACGGTGATGGTGAACCACGGCCTCTTCTCCCATCGCACGCGGTCGAGGATCTCCATGATGACGAGGCGGAGACGGTTTTCAAACTGGGTGCCGGCCATCTGCTCGCTGGCTCGCTGGAGGGAGGACTCGCAGGTGCCGGAGTAGAAGCTGTAGAAGCGAAAGATGCAGCTGTTCATGATGTCAAAGAAGCCCAAGTCGTTGCCGCCAATGGACAGAAGCGCGAAATCGGCAGTGGCGGTGGTGTTGAATTCGTCAATCTGGCTATGCTCGGCGCCGGCAAGCATGTCGTCGACGGTGGAACCCGTGCATGAGAGGAACTGAAAGGTTGGCCCGTGGCCGCCATGGTTGCGGTTCAGGTCGCCCTGCACCAGCATCGGGTAGGCGTTGTAGCCATGGCGACAGTCGTCTTCGGTGCCGTTGAAGAGGCCTGTGCCGATGCCCGCGGAGTAGGAGTCTCCAAGCGCAATGAAGCCTGCTGGATGTTTGCCTGGGCGGCGCGGAAATGGCGGCGCATACGGAGCTTGGAGATCAGACGTGGTGGATGGCGCTGCAGCGACGGGTATTTAGGTCAGCAATACTGTAACTTTAACCTTGTCGCCTCATATGCACGCTCGGCCGAGATCTCACCTAGAGGGTGCCTCCCCAAAGGAAGCTGTCCATTCCCGTTTTCCGGCTGTTGCTGATACGGCTGCCAGCGATCGCCGTGGACGACCAAGCAGAAACTGTGGAGAGGCGCCAGCAGCAAGAGCAGCCAGATTGCGAGATCCGGATGCCACCGCATGCTTTCAACACTAAGAGAAGAAGAGTTCAGGCCACAGCATCAGAGAAAACGGCATCTGGTGATGATGGTTGAGGGCTATGAGAGAGCGATGTAAGGCCGATTTGTTGAATCTCGCCTCGCCGCGGCGTTGGGGGGCCGGGGTGCGCCACTCGTTGGGGCCAGCAGGCAGCAGACGAAGGATGAGCTGCGATGGAAGACGAGAGCACGCAGCTTGTATTGATGCCTGGCTGCTCATGCGTAGGTATATAACTTATTCAGCAGATAAGACATAAGCAGCCTGCCACGTCTTGCAGGTCAGCGCCGTAAAGGCATCCCGACAAGACAGAATCCAGGCTCGTGTCTCTGCCATGTGCTGCAGCGGCGAGCTCCTACTTGCTGCAGCCGCGCTCCCACAGGCCTGGCCGCTGCACTAAAGCGGTGCCTACAGCTGGGTGTTGTAGGGGCCCCGTAAGCTGATAGCACCTTGATTGTCTGGAGAGGGCCTGGCCATGTGCTCACGAGACGCCATGAGCGCATTTTGGGGTGTCAGAAGAGCTGATCCGGCAAGATACATGCGGGTTTTTATCTGATAGCTCTTCTCTCCTCTCAGCTGCATTGTCAGGCGGTATCTTGGGCGAGAAAGAAGCATCACTATGCACTAACAAGTAGACACAATAAGCGGGACTGCACGTCAAAGACAGAACCTAGGTGTCTTATTAGATGCAGAGTGTATTAGTGGTATAGGACCATGCATCTTGTCCTCCCATCTCTATAAACATCTCGCCTGCAATTGCATTTCCATCTACTTGAGCATCATCGCTAACATGCACAAGCCCACGATCTAGAACTCGCTGATCCCCTGTTTCGTCCATCGCGATTGTCCCCGACATCCATCCAGCACGACGCAAGCACCGTCAAGTCCCAAGAATAGCAACACCCACAGAACCCATCGCGACTCCATCGGCACTTGCGCAATCGCATCCACTCCCGTTCCAAAGCTGCAGCCGAACAAAGCACGGATCCGACGTCATTCACGTGCTCCCGCATCCGACACGCGTAAAACAAGGCCGCAGGCTCCATCGCAGGCCCCACCCAGATGATCTCGACATCGACCAGCCTTTGCGTCATCGCCTTGTTCCGGCTCCAGCTGAGCTACCTCTATGCACCAACTTATTCAGTACTTACATGTAATCAATCACAACAAACAAGATGCCGTCCACACAACTTGGTCAAACTCGCAGCTGGACTGTGCAACCCCAGCTTTACTCCCCAATGTGTAGATTAGTGGTGTCATCGCCGTCATCAGTGTCCAGACCCCAGGCCAACCAGCGAGAATCCCGCAACGGCTGCCAATCCCCTTCCCACTCCATCTTTTAAGCTTGTCTTGCACTTCCCGAATGCTACGTACCCAGAGGAGCTTGGATTTTCGGGGTCGACGTCAGAGGCTCATAATGAGGCTGTGCTTTTGTTAAAAGGCCCCTCTGGTCCCCCCTTTCGATCGCCAGCTCGAATCGACTTCCTCTTATCTTCCCTATTTACTCTCTGTCTCTGTAATTGCGAAATTAAAGAAAAAAGGACAACAAAACTGTCTCATTCAATACTGCATCTGCACTCAACAACCATCCAGCTGCAGCAATGGCATCTGCCCTAGAAACGCTCAACAACCTCGCCTCGTCTGCCGCAAAGGCCGTCTGGGGCGAGAGCAACGACGCTGAAACCCACAAAGAGCCCATCTCAGGCGCCACCGGCGATGTCTCCAAGGGCGAGCCATACGACGCCGGCAACTTGGGTACACATCTGCTCACACAACATCTCCAGCAATATGTAGCTAACAAAGTGTTCAGACCCCCAAGCCCAGAGCAAGGTTGAATCCAGCCTCAAGGGCGAAGAAGCAGCGCCCTCAGATCTCGACGACCAAAACTACACCCTCTCATCCTCCAAAAAGGACGAGGGCGTCCTCTCCGCCGCCGCCACCTCTGCCACCAATGAGGGCGTAAGCGAGCCCCGAAGCGCCCCGACAACCGGCACCGCCAACCCCGAGGAGGGCAAGCCTCTCGACGAACTCACCGGCAAAGGCCCCCGACCGGTTGAGGAGCTGGCAAAGGAAAACGACGGCAACGCTGCTGCTGCTGCTGCTGCTCCTGTTGCTACTGAAACCGATTCTTCCACTGCAGTCTCTGCTCTTACGCCGGAGGAAAAGAAGCCTGAGCTCTCAGGCACCGAGCAGAAGAGCAACACGCACGAGGCTACGGAAGACGAATACGTCAAGTCTTCGGGTCTCGCAGCCGACGGAGGCGATTTCGATGTTACGAAACCCGGCGCCGGCCTAGAAGCTGATCGTAAGTCTCCTCCACAATGGACACACGGTGCAACATGGAACAGATTCACTGACCATTCATCCAGGCTTAATGGAACAAAAAGGCATCAAAGTCGACGACGCCGAGCCCAAAGACAAAAACAGCAGCAGCAGCAGCAACGGCGGCCGCAAGAGCTCCGACTCAAGCCGCAAGGACAAGCCCAAGCTGAAAGAGCGAATCAAGACCAAGCTGCACATGCATTAATCAAGGGGCAAAAAAAAAAACGGCTGTTTCTCTTCTGGTCCTGTTTTAATATACCTACATATTTTGGTTTCTGAATCTGTTTTTCTCAAGGGTGTATTTATGGAGTACCTAGCTTATGTTCTTATGACCACTATTGTTTAATATAAACGGTTAAAATGATGATACAATGTGCCCAGCAACCACACATGAACATCCTAAGAAAAAAGGGGGGAATGTCTGAGGCCAAAGGCAATAGTCAAGCTGCTCACAATCTCGTCTAAGACGCTTCATAGATACACAATGCAAAACAAATTCGGACCCTAGACTGAATATAATAATGCCCAGCATCAAAAAGAACTAGAATAGAAAGAAAAAACCCCATATAATATACCATCATGAATACCCGCGCAAACAATATACGGTATGATAATCTAAGTGTTTTTTTCCCTTTTTTTTTCTTTGCCCATTTGACACATCTTCTTCTTCAAAAATCTCTCTCCCTCTCTTCCTTCCTTCCATTCTTCAATCCAACTCTTAGTCCAGAAATCCTCCAAAACAGCTTCTCCATATACCAAAACATAATGGTATGTATATAGCCAGTTTCCTTTTTTTGTGTGTGTATGTGTGTATATGATAGATATATGGATGAATATGATGTATGATACGATATGATCAAGAAAAAATGTTTGTCAAGAAAAAAAAGATATAAAATTCCTTTAAACCAAAAGCCATGCCAAAAGCCAAACAAACAAAAATACTCATCAGAGGCGCCAAACAAAAGCATACCAACAGAGCGTTTGCCAATCATAACACAAAAGTCATCATAGGTAGCAACTTCGACACCGAAAAAAAAAAATATGGAGAAAAGGAATGGATCCAGGTAAATATATATATGGATGGATGCCATGTCGAAATCAAGAAAAATGAAGGCGCCCTCGTGCTATCCGTGCGGCATTACCCTAGGCCAGCCGGTATACCATGTTTTTGTTGTTGTGGTTGATGCTATTGTTTTGCTTTTTCCCCCCTTTCCAATTATTCCTCCTCTTTTTAGCTTCATTAGTCCCTGCGGAGAAAGAAAGCTGTCATGGAATGCCAGATCGTTGTGATATGGCATAACCTCCCTTGGAGCCGGCTCTTCCTAGGTCCCCATTCTAGATCCTTTGGTATCATTTTCTTTTTATTGGTTGTTTGTTGCATCCAGAATACTTTCAGTTTTCGCTGCTTCATTATACAATGCATCAGGCATATTTATATAGTTTCGGCCCACATTATTGACTGATAAAAAATGTTGTCGTCACGAAATCGGGGGCTCGTGTGCTCAGGAGTGAGCGTCTCACAAGAAGCCAGATTCAGCAAGCACCCTAGATTGCGCATTTCGTTAGCCCAAACAAGGTCCTAAATCCCCAACAAGAGCACACAGAGATATAATTCATCTTCGCATGTATACATACCTCACAATCTTTTCATCTTCACGCTCGCGCGGTTCGATCTGCAGACTCTTGTCGTACATTTCGTGTACATCTCCAGCAGCTTGCATATTGCTCACAATGTAGTCATGTAACTCAGGCACTGGCTGCAGAGAGTACCCAACGTTCTGGTATTGCTGGATATCTCGAATGACTTCAGCCGTCTTTGCTCGCTTAGCAAAGTTGATGAGATTTGTCTTCTTAATCACCGAGGGAATACCATCTTCAATAAAGGTAAGATCGGTTAAATAAACACCTGCGTCTTCGCGTTAGATTTGCCTCTTCACCAACTACCACAGAGCTTTAAAACTTACCGAAGAAGGGAATACAAGGCGGGTTGGCGACGTGAAGGGCCTCACGATATTCGCCAAAGTTCTTGGTACTGGCCATGAGTCGACGCATCGTTTCGAGAACGGCGAGGGTTCGCTGGGGGACTTGATCCCAGGTCCGCTTCAAACGAGCAATTGGGGCTGTGCCCAGCGCAGAGATGATGGATGTAAGCGTGGAGAAGTTGTTTAGGCCTCGGCATTTCTATTAAATAGACGTTAGCATTTAAAAGGTTTCAGTAGGACGAGTTGTTTTATTTGACTTACGTCGGCAACAGAAACAAAGTGTTTAATGACCACGACTCGCTTCTTGACATCTTGCTGGTTCAAAATCATTTCCGCAACCCAGTTGGTCATCTGGTTAGAGTGGAGAATGAGGGCCTTGACGTTGGGAGCCGCGTCGGGCTCGCTGTCGCCGATTTTCTTTTGCCACGTCTTATTCAAGCACTCCGTCGCCTTGATCTTACCATACAGTCTGGATTCGATAATCGTCAACTGGCGGGCAAACTCTGTTACGTCGATATCCAAGAACTTTAGCTTCTTCATGTTCTTGGGGACGATGGGCGAGGGCGTGCTCTGGTTCAGGGTCTGAACCATGCGTCGAGCACCAGCCTCTTTGCCGCCGAGCCTCTGCTCTAGGATGGCCATCAGCGGCGCAGAGCCTGGGGTCTCGGTCGACTTGACCGTGTCTCTTGCAAAGGTATACACGTCGCGGATCAGCTGCTTAGACTCATCGTTGAACTCCTCCATCCAGAAAGCGTCAAACCAATTCTTAAGGATATTGACCACACGGAATCGGATGAGCTTCTGTTTGCGGTCCCGCCACATCTCATAGTCCTGCTGCGAGAGGCCTTCTGGAGGTTGAATGCTGAACCGTTGCACTAGCATCTCGAAGAGCTCACGCGCAGAAGTAAAGGATCGATAAGTCAAGAGGAAGGTGTTATTAAAACTCGAATCGAGCTTATCGTGGCGCGTGAGCTGTTCAACGAGGGCCAGGAGGGATCCTCCCTTGACAGTGGGCTTGGTTGCCTTGGCATCCCAAGACAGGTCGTTTTCGTAGTCGAGGTGCAAGAACTCGGGCAGTTCTTCATCTGGCTGCAGCTGTGGCGACGGGTCTTCTCCAAAGATCTTCTTGACCTTGGAGTAATCGCCCTTTCTGGAAAAGCCAGCGGGGGCGTCGCCCTCGCTGTACGACTGCGCGCTGATCAACGGTGGTCGAACGGGTGCTGTCCTCGAATCCGAACGTTGGTGTGGCCTGTCGTATGGCATCGTCTCTCCTCGCTGAAGTTGGCCTCTCGGCATCGGGCGAGAATTCTTGGCCAGCTGTTGCTGCATGTTGATCAGAACCTGCTCCGACAGCAGCTGCAACGAAAATCCAGTGTGTGATGAGTTTGTCTCGAGCGCTCGAGCGCATGTGCGGACGTAGTCGAGCCGGCTTTCCAGTGGCTCTCCTCGCACCTCTGACCATTCGTCCGCCAAAGGCCCAGCAACGGCTTGGCAGCTCAGAACGAGATCCGCAATGTTGTCGTACAAGGACTGCTTGTTGATGCTGAAATCCTCCAACTGCGGCGTCTGGAAGGTATTGCCCAGCGACGAGAGATCGACAGACTCAATCATGGCAATCCACGGCTTAAACGTCTCCACAACCTTGCTACCGGCGAAGCAGATGTTGTTGGCGAGAAGCTCGTGCCGATGCGGGCTGATAATCTTCTCTGGGGCCACCAGGTTCTTTTCCAACTCGCGAATGCTCGACACGAGGATTCGCTTGTGCTCGTCCAATCTCTCGAGCATATTCCCGTCAAGAACAGCGGTGGGCTCGATCATGCCCTCTTCGTCGTCAAGGAAATTGGGGGACATCAAGTCGTGCTGGTCAATTCCGTTACTCTGCCAGCTTCCGCCAGAGGTGCTACCAATAACGAAACCAGGGAAAAGTCGGGGGATGTCCTCTCCCCTCTGCTGCCTCGCAACCTCGACATAGCTGAAAACGCCGAGCAGGACGCCGTCGGCTTCCTGCAGACACTTTTGGACCGATTCAGCGTTGGGCCAGTCGGCTGCTGCAATGTGAGAGGAAATGACCAATTTGGAGAATTTAGACATCATGTCGCGGAAATGAGGATAAAGTGCCTTGTTGGTGGAGATGATGGACGGTTGGCCGGAGTGATTGTCTGTTGTCCCAGAGCCGGCGGCCAGGAGTAGCCTGAGATGGTCGGAGATGTCTTCGGCCCTAGCGACGTATTCGGAACGGGCGTTGTTGGTGATTGCTTCGCGATATCGGTCGATGGCGCGCTTCATGTTGGTGACGAGCAGGCTCCAGGTCAGGGGCGGTGTCGATCCATCGTCAAAGAAAGACTTGGGCACGCTGGTGGTGGCCGGTACGTTGTATGTAGTGCTAGTAAAAGATGTCGCAGAGGCAATGTTGGGAGCGCCGTGCGCACCGTTGGCGTATCCAAGCGCATATGCATCACTTCTCTTCCGTCGGCCTGGGGAAGTGCCATTCATTGAGTCCATGGACGTCGAGGGGGATAGAACGGCGCTAAAGGAACCACGGTTGTTGCGAGGCTTGAAAGAAACAAGGGGGAGGCAAAAAGTTAGTTATCATACGAGGAGAAAAGTCATGCGTGTATACAGCATGTAGTACGTAGTAGTGGTTGGGTAGTTGTGTCTTACCATGGATCCCCTAGATGCGAGCATCAAAGACTCGCCTTCCGCCTCTGAGGCTGAAGTTGCCGAATCGTCGTCTTCATCTTGGGTTAGTCCGCGAGCCATCATCTCTGGCGGCGGTCGCGTCTTCTCCGGCATGGCAACATTCATACGGTCCCTGGGGCCTGTCTCGGCGGCTGAGATGGGAGACTCGAGCGGCAATTCCATGCTACGGTCGCCGGTCATCATGTTGTAGTAGAAGAGTCGGCCATCCGGCGTGGCCTGCGGGATCCAGAAGTCGGCGCGCGACTTGTCGCCCATGTCGGCGCCCTCGAGCGGCAAGCTGCCAAAGCCCTCACCCTCGGAATCCTCGTCCGGGTCGGCGCCGTCATCGTAAATGTCGTTTTCCTCCACCTCCTCTTCAATGTGGTGGTGGATCACCTGTTGGCCGTTCTGGCCAACGTCGGGGAACTCGTCGGGGCTGGTGATGGCCTGGCAGTAGTTGCTGGGGAACCAGCCACGCACGCCGTTGATGACTCCGTCCCACCAGCCGCTCTCGAGCTGGGTGATGACCTGGATGACATCGCCCTCGTGGAAGCTGAGGCTGGTCCTGTCGTCCGCCTCGTAGTCGTAGAGGGCACGCACGTACATGCTGCCGGGCGGCGCATTTCCCACGACGCCGTCCATGATTTCCGTTTAGGCCTCCTTCTGGCGCAACGCGCGTGGGGGAGGGGGGGGAGGAGAGAAGAGAAGAGAGAGAGAGAGAGAGAGAGAGAGAGAGTTGAGATGAAGCAAGAGGGGGGTTTAGGGAGAAGATTTCGAGATGGCCCCCGTCAGACGCGAACGGCCGGGATGGTGCACCAGGGCGTATCGGTCGAGACAGCGAGCTGCGCTGGGAGCGGCGGGGAGGATCTGAGCCAGCAGAGCGGTTGAGATGGTATCACGACAACGAGAAGGCGACAAAATCACCGCAGGACATGGTCCGCGAGTCAGCCTTGTTCCAAGCCGATGGCGGCGCAGGCTGGGGCGAGACCAATGAGCATGCCACCACGGGACGAATTGCAGAGCAGATGGCGAGCAGAGATGGAGGAGCAGCGTCAGAGTCGGGCGACGGAAAGGGGAGGTCCGAGATGCAGCGCGCGCAGGGCTCGAGTATCGTCGAGAGTGTTTCGTGTGGCGGCGATTGGGGCCTCGCTGTCGTTTCTGCAGCGCTGGAGCTTCTTGCAGAAAGGGCACACGCCGTTGCCAGCTGCTAAGCCCTTCTGGGCGCTGGGGCGGCGTTAGGCGAGACACAGCACGCTGCAACGTGCTAGCGGCGCCCACTTCTCCAGTGGTTGTGCGTGTCGCTCCCTGAACCGGCGGCCTACAGGCGCTTTAAGCTGCTGCAGTTTTAGCGATTTGGTCAATGGCGGCCCTTTGTTCTCAATAGTCCCCCACGCGATACGGTCAGTGGCAGCATGTACCTACAGGCAGATTGAAACAAAAAAAAAAGTCTGGGTCAGGTGCCTTTACTTGATGCTTGTTACAAAGCAGCATGTGCGTGTTGCGGATCTTTTCCTTCTTCTTTTCTTTGATTAGACAACCAGGCATCTAAATAAGAAAATGAGAAGAAAAGAAGAAGGAAAAAAGTTCGAGGGGATTTGCTAGCCATGTGCACAGGCTCAAAATGCGACCAGAGAGCCCCCCCGTTCCCCGATTGCTGAGTCGCAGCTCTGTTTTAGCGCCATGCATGCAGCCACGGATATGTACTCGCTACGCTTCCCACGCAATCACTGGATGGCCAGCTGCGAACCGACGACCTGTACCCTGTACAATGGATCCCCTTGATAACGCCTCCTGAGCGTCGACGGCCTCTCTTTGGCTCTGGCATCTCACCCATGCGCGTGCGAGCGCGCCAGCACTTGCACGTTACTGGACCTGCGGCGAGAGAAATGGCATCAATCGAGTTAGGTTGCGTCAAGGGTAGATACAACCGTGGGTGATTGGAGATGCTGGACTCCAGGCAAGACTGGCAAACGGGCGCCCCAGCGACAATTCCTCCAACGTGAATGGAACGGCTGGGGAAGCGAGGCAGGCCTATGAAGACCTGGAAAGCAAATAGATTCCTGGCAGCCGGGATGAAGAGCAAAGAGCTTGCAGAAGGGCATCCATGCCCTGCTTTCGTAATTGCTTGCCCAGGTACAGAGTAGCATGGCATGGGAGGATGGGTGAAAGCTTGATTGCTTTTCTTGGTCGTGTTTCAGCTCCCGGCGTTTGTCATCAGGCAAAGCTCCAAAAAGGAGAAAGGATACGCTCGGATATAGACATGAAATGATTTGACCAAAGCCGTCTAATCTATTGTCTATATCGCAATCCGCTAATCTCTACTGGATGCTGGATGCTACCTGGATGTAGAAAAGTGCAGTCGTCTCGTCTCTCGTTGACGGAGTGATATATGACATACATGAGTGTATCTATGCATATCTCAAGTGTGTAAAGGGGGAGACTTACCATGTTCCATCTGCGTAGGTGCTTTGGGATGATACCTGCTACCTAAAGCAATGAGAAAACCCCAGCTTGTTATTTTCATCCTTACGTACTTTACCGGCTTTCTTTGCGAATCTTGGCAAGATATTTCACCAAGCACAAACAAGTGCCATTAATTCGCCGTGCCGTCTAATCTCGGAACGACAGCACAAATGACCAAGACATGGTCCCTATGTGAGTAATACCACAAATAGTATGTGTAATAATACCTTCTCTTGCATGCCACTCCGGCCATCCAGCTGGCCAAAAAAAAGTAAAAAGAAAAAAAAATAGCAGGGAGAGAAAGGAAAAAATCGGATTCTTGCAAGTGCACCTTGGAGGATTGTCCAGCTGCGCCTCTGTTTGCCGTGCTGAAAACTCAGGCCGACATCACCACTAGTAACTGTCCAAGCCCATCTGCACGTTCTCAATCCATTACCAATGGAAGCAAACTACAGGCCATCGAGTTACGTATACATGTACAGCATCTTCATCATACCTTGGGTACCTACTTCATCTTACCGCCTCTTTGGCCATCTTCAGAGACCGCCTCCCTCTCTCCAGCATAAACGAACACTCAGACGCTAAAGCCCTAAAAAGAGAGCCACCGGCCAACGCATCAACAGCCAGCTCGGCAAAAAAAAGAAAAAAAAAAAAAAAAAAAAAACATGTCATACGAGTTAAACACGAAGCCACGGAGGAGTCCGCCGAGAGGGACTTGAATCGCAGCTCAACTCTGTTTTAGCAAATTTGCTCTGTCCAGGATGGGGCCGCCTGTTCCAGATAAAATGGCCTTTGATATTAAGCCCTCCCGCCGCTAAGTTGGCAATAGCCCGTAAAGTAACAAACAGCTGGTTATACATGTAGGAAAAAAGCGGAAAGCTGCGTAAAGGCGTTCCAGAAGGAAATCAGCTTCCAAATGACTGGAGCTTCTGGCACCAGACAGTACGCAAGTGGAGGCCATCCCCAAAGGGCACATGTGCCGGTTTGAGATGCGATGTTCAAAGGCCTGTCCAAGCAAGGTACCGATACCCATCATCTTTGCTGCTGGAGCTGCATGGAGGTACATACATATACTACACGTATTTTGTGATATCCCACTTGGCGTTTGCCAATCCAATCCTCCGCGTACCTGAATGGTGGCGTCGGGGCAAATCAAATCCCACACACGTCCAAGCTAGAAAATCCCACGGCATGCCGCACTCGTAATGCCCACAGGCATAACCATGGCAACCGCGCCGGCGTCCACTTGGCGAAGCATCTTGCGGATTTTCTAGAAAGTGGATATTTTTTTTTTCGCTCAATATATTTCCAGGGGGGAGGAGCCAAACCAAGAATGCCAGAAGAGGGAGGGCCATGCTCGCCCTTGAAGACGCAAACTCCGCGAGTCCACGTGGGGCCAGCCCAGCTTTTTAGCAGCTTATAGCAGCTCCTAGGTCCCGGAAGCATCCCCCGGACCCGCTAGCGAGCCAGGCCCTACAGGTGCTAGTCCAAGTATCGCTAGCGTCAGGATTGAGCGTGTGCTGTACTGTGCTGGATAGTACAGAGCACTGTACCTCACTTGTATGAGTCAATGATTCTGCGCGCATCTGGCCGGCGGGATTTCGACTCTCCTACTGTGCGAATCACCGCGGTAGGGCAAACGTTGGGTGCTTGCAATTTCGCCATTTCACCATGGGTATGCGCACTAGCGCTCTCCGTACCTCTGCGTCCAGCAAATGTACCCAACTTGGTGCCGTTGGCCGCGGCGACCAAAACGGTACCGGGGCCGACTCCAAACGGTGGCTGGGGAAGCAGAGAGACGAGACGGCAGACGCTCCTTGTGCAAGTGTGCACTGCTCATTTCGCGTGTGCCGTCTCCAAAAGGTACTTTGCTCCCAGAGAGGGGCGTGTCGATTCCGCGTCCATCCCCCTGGCCAGCACTTTGCGCGTTGACTCTCGTACTGTGCCGCCTGAGAACGCGTTGGCAGCGTACGCGGGCGATGGAGATTGGTACGAGTTCTCTTCGCCCTATTGTACGTGAAAAACGGAGCTTGGAATCCTGCGTCGCTCTTCGATTTCTTGCCTCTGCACGGATAGGCTATTAGTCACCCTCTGCTCAGCATGTATTACTGCACGTTCTTTGGCATTTGTGTCGCTTATTGGGAGTGGCTGTCTTGAAGATTCGAAGCTATTCAGAGGGGGAAATAGTCCTCTATATAGGTAAGCTTTGCAAGCCTCATGTTGCATTCAGCACACAGGGCAAGGCAGCAGAAAGTTATACAAAGGGCGAATCTTGCCTGGCTCCAACAAGTCTGACCACACGCTGCAAATGAGTCCATCTCTTGATACTTGTACGTGGTTTGCTGTGCGGTGCCCATTTGCTCCATCCAAGCCCCGAAAAACGGAGCGTAAATGCAAACATGGGGTAGATGCTCCGTGGCATCACATCACGTCTGGGAGACCCCTCAGCAAAAGTACGTGTAGAGCAGTAATGTGCCATTCTTCGACTTACCCGGTGTCCGTGGAGCAACGTCACAATCTACCGAGGCAGCGGTTCCCGTTGCTTTTTTTAGGGTGGCGCTGCTCACATGTCATGCCAAAAAGGGAACAAGGCGGAAACTGACTAATACGGTACGTTTTAGAGGTCTGGTGCCTCATAGTAAGCCAAACGGCTCAGCCACGGCAGCGGTACTGGCAATTTCATCTGGTCTGGGCGGGGAGTCGACAAGAAACAAAGAGATGGGAGATGGCAATTTCCCATCTTGCATCCTATCTCTCCAGACGGGACGACGGAAACAAACAAGTGCGTCGTGCAGCAGTCTTTGTCAGCTACTCCGTATTCGCTGCCTCCCAAGGTCGCACTGCGACGACGACTTATATGCACCCCACGCTCCATCACAGAGCTGACTAGAGCCGCTGTGGGAAGGGCGCGGGAGAGATGCAGCATAGTGAGGGAGCAAAAGACGACATATCAATAATGCTAACAGTAGGCAATACTCCGAACGCTCTGGATATACTTGTAGGTGGCATGTAACCTAAAATGTTAGCCATATGAACGACCAATAACTTACCAACCAACAAGACCAGCCTCGTGCTTGGAAATGTTGCACACGGGGCCGATGAGGATGCCCGCATTTGAGGTACCCATTAGTCTCCGCACCAGTATGTATAAAAGGTCTCAAGGCCAGGAATGCGCCCAATGAATTGGTGCATAGTAACTTTGGGCATCTGGAATGGTTTCTCGCCGTGTCTAGGACAGTTCAAGAAAGGCAATGGAGTGGCGGTCTACCTGCACCTCACCACGTACCAGGACAGGGGCTGGCACGCATTGGATTCCCCCATCACCGCCAGTCTGCCTGGTTGATCCCATCGTAGGGACCCCTTGGTTGAAAACGTGTACAGTAGACAATGCCCAATAGCCAAGCGGCTGCGAACAACGGGACATGCGCGCACCTGCATGTTCCCCTGCCCGGTTTCTTAGCTGACTGTCCTGTACGTGTACGGGATAAGCGCGCCCCTGTCTCCTTTATGCAAGAGTGCGCACGTCTGCAATGGAGTTTGTCGTAGCATGTACGTGGACATTCGGACGTGCAGGCATGCGCCGTCAATGACGAGAAAAGTACATCTTGGGGCAGTAGACACCGACTGTTTGATGGTACCTGTTGGGCAGGATTGCATGTCATGCTCTCGCCAGCAGCAGATGCGCTGTACTCGGCGCCAGCAACCTCACACTTGAGCCCCAGGTATCTATCGGGTAGCCATGGCGGCAAGCCCCTGTAATGCGTGATGCCAGTACTTTGTACAGATACCTGCATGGAGTTGAGGCTTTGCAGCATGCCGTATATATGTATGTACCCGCGTGCTTGCCTGAACCGGGCGCTTCCAGAAGGCGACTTGTGAGATTTTCGACTTGTTTTGTTCTTTGGCCGCGAGTCTGCAGTACAGCATTCTAGAAGAAGACACTACCTAGCACCTTGATTTGAAGATACAGCCAGCAGGAGATGAGTCTGAACTGGAATTGACATGAAAGGCAACTCAAAGCGGCGAGCAGTCGCTGCAACTGCCGCCAGAGTGCGGCCAATAGGCGGTGTGCGGCCGCTAATACAGTGCAATATCGAGGACAACCAAGATGGAAGTTAGCTATGCTCCAGGCGCATGCTTGTAGCCTGGCAGTCCGTATTCAGCTCCTAAGTTCGGACATGGCGTCCGTGGTGGGTTGGTGTGGATCTCGGTCGATGCAGGGCGACTGGCCCCTCGTGTTAGAGTAGAATGAGCACCCAGCTCCAATCCTCTGGAAGCGGGATCACGGAGACCAGGTGCTCATTGTGACAAGAGTGGTGGCGCTCCCGTCTCTTGTTGTCGCCGCAGATGGGTCATGACGTGCACCGGATCTTGATGAAATCTCCAGATGTGCCAGGAGTAGTATCGTGAACAGCAGCACGGAGCGGCACTTTTAAACAATAGAAGCCAAAGGGTAGGGGCCAAATAAGGAACAAAGAGTACCATCTCGTCTTGGGAAAGACACTGGAACAAGTGGGCAGTCGGCCTTGATCCACCGCGCAAAGTGCAAGCTTAGCAGATGGTCCCAGGCCATATTTGGCATTCTTCGAGACCTGGGTCGTCGTCCCGGCGGCAGTGACCGATCCCTAGAATGCCCGATCCAGCTTACTTGCACAGGCGATAAGCACAGGGTAGCATTGGCGGCGACATTCCATGGGACACCAGCAGCCTTGGAATGTTCTGCGAGCAAGACGGACACATAAGTATCCCCGCCATGGACAGATGGCGTTGTCAATGATACTAGCAGGCGAAGTGGCAGTTGAGGCGAGAGCAAGAGCGAGAGTTGAAAGCGGGGGACCTTGGTTCAAGGCGGACGGCCAGCGAATCGCCCCTGGCCAAACAAAAGGACTGCAGACATACAATGGCTGCTCCCGTGATGCATTCACGTAGCACGGCGCAAAAAAGGACAGCACATGGTGCCCAATACCGCTGGAGAGCAGAGCAGGCGTATGCTGACCGACTGTCGTTAAAGACCCGATGGTGGGGTGGGCTGCTACAGTAAGGTGTACTAAGCCAGCAGGCCTGCTGCTACAAGTAGAATTAGAACGTCCAGGTACCAGCCTGTAAGCATGAAATGGCCGATCATGATCATGAGGGGGAGTGGGAGACAAAGAAAAGGTGGGAGGGGAGGTATGAGGTGTTGAGTAAATATGATTCAGTGGTCTGCTGCATAAAGTCGAAAAAGAAAAAGATTGAGAAAAGACTAGAGAAAAGAAAAGAAAGAAGCAAGAAAAGAAAAAAAAGACATGCTCAATAGGCCAAGCTGGGAAAATCAAACTGCAAAAAGAAAAGTTGGAGGGGCAGCAGCTACTGGCTTGCACCTTCCTCCAACTGCGATCCGATTGTAGGGTACATGCGCCTCGTACAGTACATCGATACGTACATTTTCGACAAAAAGGCATGGCGCCGGGTGTGCCTGACGGTGCTCCCTTGCTAATCCCGCGCGACTCAGGCGTGCTTATTAGCAGGCAATTTTCCCTTCTTTTCCTGTTCCTTTTGCGCACGGGGACCATCCGGGCCAGGGCGTTGCAGTGCCGCTTTAGAGTCGCGGCGTCTCTTTGTCTTCAAGACTTTTTGCTCTACCTGTCTCTTTTGCTTTCATTATTCTCGCCTATTCCCTTGTAACTCGCACCTTGCTGACCTGACCCGTGACCTGACCGGCCGGCCAAGTGCCGGAGCATGTTCCGCCAACTTACTAATGGAACGGATGATACTTGTACAAAGCTCGATGTAATTAATGGGCGGCAAGTCAGCCTGCGGCCAGGCAAACGATGATCCAACAGTCGTCGTATCAGCACGGGCTTAGCAGACACTCCCCTAATTCCAGCAGTCCGTACAGTAGTGCCGGCACAGGTACTCCTCCGCTGCGCTGCCACATTAGGCACTCCCAGGTAGATGTCGACGGTGGCATTGCACACTAGCAGCAGCAGGTTTCGCGTTTGCAGGCTCGGACAGCGAAACCAGTCGCACCCGGCATCGACGAGTCGAGTCGTTCGAGTCGCTAGCCTGGCTGGTGCTGTTGCGTGCTAGTGCTTGGAGCTATCGTGGCCACGGCCAAGCGTGTGACTCCGGCAACCAGAGCCTTGAGCCGCGACAGCTGCGAGCCACGCCGGGCCAATGGCGGGGCGAGGCTTGCCAGCACCCGGCCAGCGCTGCCCGCCAGCAGGTACCGGTACCTGGCGCAGGCCTGCACCGCGCCGTCGGCTGCGTACCTCGAGGTACCGCCCTTGCGCCCCTCCCCCTACAGCTCCAGCGCCAGCGCCACTGCCAGCACCAGTGTCAGTTGTTGGAGGGGCCGAGCTTGGGCCCCTCTTCCGCTGACGGGACCCCCGCTGGAGGCACTTGGTAGCGCCGGTGGCCAGCACAGCGCTGTGTCGCGTTTGCGAGGAGGGTGGGCTGGCCATGGCTGCTGGCTGGTACCGCCGCGGCGCGCGTGGCCGGCGAGGTACAAGGCGACGAGTGCCCGACGCCCTGGAGGTCGCTGCGCAAGTCGCTGTACAAGGCCCCGTCCGCCGCCCCGTCCAGCGCCTGTACTGCGCCGTACCGCAGCGCTGGCGGGTGCGCATGATGAGACAGCCAGCGCTGGTCTGCCTCCCCCTCTTGGCTCTGAGGCCCTCCCCCTCCATCGATCCCTCCGTCCCACCGTCGCTCAGCGGCCTCTGCCCTCTGTTTTTTTTTTTCTTTCGCTTCCCCCCTCCTTCTGCGCACCCACCCCTCTCGAAATTCTTACCCCCCAGAGTGGCTGTCCGCCGCCCCCGAATTGAAATCTTTCCCCTCCCCCCCTCTCGCCCGTCTTCCTTCATTTACTGCGGCTTCTCCCTCTCCAAGCCCGCCTTCTCCCCTCTCCATCTGCCACCACAAATCCTCGGTTTGCGCCCACGCACCGCTTCACAGCTTCCACCGCTTCTGCCGCGAGGCCGTCCATCGAGCCTCAGTCCTTGACCATCCCACCCATCTCCAGAACCATTCCATGACCAGCATACCATACTTTCCAATGACCAGCATCAACATCGACGCCACCGCAGTCACACTTTAAACCCCACGGGCGCGCGTGCGAGCGAGGAGCTAGGAGTCGAGAGCGAGAGCGAGAGAATTCGCAACACCACCCAGAGTACGATATTCAACCATCGTAACGTCCGCACCAGAAGGCTGAGCCGCCAGCGTCGCGTCCGCGTCAGCGCCGCCAGACCCCCATCGCCATCACCAACCTCAACCACACCACACGCGACTCGGCCGTCAAGATGCCCGGCGCAAACGTCGCAGTTCTCCCGCCCCCAGCGGCCTCGACACCGTCCTCGCGCAAGGCGACTCTCGCGCCAGAACGCAAATACAAGTGCCAGTTCTGCAACAGAGCCTTTAGCCGAAGTGAACACCGAAGCCGACACGAGCGATCCCGTATGTGAAAATTTCCTCCCTTGGAAGGCAGCCCCAAAAATTTCATCCATCCCTCTTTTGCCCGCCACGAACCGTGCTAACTCCATCATCTCTTTTTTAGACACAAAGGAGCGTCCTTTCAAGTGCATGAAGTGCAGAAGCACCTTTGTGCGCCGCGATCTTCTTCTCAGGCATGATCGCACAGTCCACGCCAAAGATGGCGGCGTCCCCCTTCACAGCGACGGCAAGCGTCGTTCTGGTCCCAAGACTCGAGCCATCGGCGGGCCCGCAAAGTCCTCAATCGCCCTGGACCCCTCCACGCTGGAGCAGATGGAAGCCGGCGGCGACGGCATTTTTGATGTCGAAGCCGCTGCCATGCTGGTTGCCGACCTGCACCACAAGGCCACTGCTGCTATGCGCGGAGATGAATCCTACGACGATGGCACATCCATGGCCTTTTCGCCCAGAAGCTCTGGTGCCATGGAGCCCGCCGTCACATACCCGTCCGGCGCCATTGCCCTTCCGCAAGTCCAGTGGGACAACTTCATGGCGGACCCCAAGCCGCACTCCATCACTTCCAGCGCCTCTGGTTCTTACGAGTCGTCACAGCCGTTTGCTGGCGGAAACAGGCTCCAGCACCAGCTGCCGCCCTTTGGCAATCGAAATGTCAATGGTCTTGTGCCCGCTCTTCAGTCCATGATCAGCTCCCTTCCTGCCTCTGGCCCGGAGATCCCGGCTCCTCAGAGCCCTTCTGGAGTCGACTCGCTGCAGGCCGGATTCAGGGCTCCCCAGGTGTCTGGTGACGATGAGCGAAACGCCATCCTGGACAACATCCGCAGCGCCGACCGAGAGCACGCCATTCCAGACAGCTTTCGCCTGCCCGGCCTGGGTTCTCTGAACCGCTACCTGTCCACCTACTTTGGGCTGTTCCACCACCATCTGCCGTTCCTGCACCCAGCCTCTTTCATCCCGTCCCAGGTGTCGCCACCGCTACTCTTGGCCGTGCTGAGCATTGGTGCCCTCTATGCCTTTGACCAGGATCAGGCCTACATGCTTCACATTGGCTCCAAGGTTCTCGTCAACGGGTTCCTGCAGAACAAGGAGAACTTCAGCTCCCGCAAGTGCCCCCTGTGGACCATGCAAAGCTCGCTCCTCAACATGATTTTTGCCAGCTGGAGCGGCGACCCCAAGGGCTTGGAGTGGGCTTGTTCTATCAAGAGTCTGCTTGCCAACATGGTGGCAGGAAACCGCTACGAGCTCAAGCTTCGCCAAGAGGCTAGGGGCACGGCCAAGCCCACTCGTGCGGAGTGGGTAGAGGATGAAGGCTGCCGCCGTACTTATTACGCAGTGTACATCTTCTTTGGCCTGCTCACCCTGACGTTCAACCACACGCCGGCCATTGGCTTCAATGAGTTTGAAGACCTGCAGCTCCCCTCCACGGAAGCCATGTGGAACATGCAGGTCGCCGACGAGGCTGCGTGGGCCGAGCAACTGGAAAAGTCGCCTGCCGTCATCTTCATGGAAGCCCATGACAATCTCTTCCAGGGCGAAGCCATCAAGTACAGTGCCTTCTCTACCCGTGTCATGATCAATGCCCTGTTCCTCGAAGTATGGTACCACAAACGTAGCCCCGAGGCCTTGCAAGATGTCGTGACCGAGTACAAACTTAGACTTGCGCTCGAGACGTGGGAGAAGTCCCTGGACTTGTGCGAGCCGGAGTCTGCCGCGGTGCCTCTCAGTGCCCCCCACAAGGGCCACCCCCTCATCTTCAATGCCCGCGCCATGTACCGTAACGCGCGTGCCCGCCTCGAGGTCGACCTCAAGACCGTACAGGAGGCCCTGCGATACCATGAGCCCTACGAGGTGGCCGCTGCCATGTCCCACGCTCGGGACCGTGTCAAGCGTTCAAGCGAGATGATTAAAGTGATTGAAGAGTGCTACAACTGCCTCGAGACGGCCGTCGTTCAAGGCGTCCGCTGGGTGGCACGCACCTCGTCGACCAACTGGAGCGTCGAGCACCCGCTGTGCGGCCTGGATCTCATCATCATCCTCACGCTGTGGCTGTATCGTCTGGAACATGACGAGGAGCCCGCGACGCAGGAGGAGGTTGCCATGTATTACAAGGTCCGCCAGCTGTTCGTCAAGGACTTTGATGAGAACATCATTGCCAACCTCAGCTCCGTGGTTGCGCGCCTCTGGGGATCAATGCTGGACGAGGTTGTTGTGTGGGGAATCACGCGTCTCATGGGCGAATCTTGCAAACTGCATTCAGAAGCCTTAATCGGCTATGTGGGCGACGAAGCTTCCTCCAACGCATCGACCCCTTCGATGACCTCCCAGGGAGCGGACGAGGACAGCGTGTATTAATTACATTTGCGATGACGAAACGATTTTTCTTCTTCTTTTGATTTCGACAACTTTTTCCTTGCTTCATCTCTTATCAAGGGAGCGCTAAAAACACGCGCCGGTTTCTATTTCCTTTTCCTTAACGCACAACTCGATTTTTATGGCTCGTCTCCTTTATCTGTTATTCATATCTACGCAGGTTCATTAACCTTTGATTTCAACTTGGCGCGGTGCGGTTTTGGAACGGAGTCAGGCTTAATGCTGGGAAAGTACTATTTTCTTTACTGTTGATTTCTTATTTCTCTTACGGATTCTCATGTTATTTCCTTGACGACTCCTGAGACAGAGCAGGTGATCGTGTGTCTTGTCTGTGTTTTTATGGCTTTTCTGGCCTTTGACTTTGTTGCTTTTTGATTTGCATTTGCTCGTTTTATTCAGCATGGGTTGATTGAAAGGATCACTGGGGAAATAATTCTTCTGTTTTATGGAGAGACGCAGGGACTCTCGGCGGTATAAAGGGATCGGACGTTTCGCATGATTTCGGGACCCGAAAAGGGATTTTTTTTGGATCTATGGATCTCGACACAGCGCCAGCGCAAGCTAATGAACTGCGAGGGCAGGTTGATTGGCTGGTCCATGATGGTGATGCCGCCTTTTTCGCATTTTCCTTTTTTTCCCTTTCTTCTTCTTTCTAATGGCCTTTTGCTGCCTTTTTCTCCTTTTATCTTGGTAATTTTTTACTTTTGATTTGCAGCGGCTGTTTACTTTTCTTTTACTTTTCTTTTCTGCTTTCTGTCTTGTGTGTTTTCTGCTCTTGGATTTTAACTGTTTGCTGCCGCTTCTCGCTGGCATTGCAAGTCTGATTTTATCATTGGCCTTTCCGAATTCTCCAGATACCTTGTTCGATATACAGATTGCTATTCTTCATTGAACCTTTTTACTTATTCTTCTCTTATACTTTTTTCCTTTTTCCTTTTTTCTTCTCTTCTTTCCTTAAAAATTTGTGTGTGCGTGTGTGTGTCTTGTGTGCTATTTTCCTTAATCTGTCATGCGTTTTATCTCTCTCCTCTATTTTGTCTTGGATATGCTACGAAGGGATGCTACGGCATCAGAGCAACTCGCTTGCAGGCATGGCAGCCCCATCAATAGGGGCTGCCTTGCTTGCGTGGATGAGAGAAGCCTGTTCCACTTCTGTGTGTATAGATATTCTAGTACTACAATTCGAATAATTATGTGTCTCTGTCAAAGAATGGAACCGCATGTGCCTTTGTATGAGATTTATTGGTAATTGATGCTGCCACGTAAGCGTGTGAGCCAATATGCACGACGGATAGCGAGTGATGTCGGATAAAGGCCCGTTGCTATGCATGTACGTAAATGATGCCTGGAAGTAGTATCGTGGAGATTACACTAACATGCCGTGTTTGTCCTGAAGTAAGCTAGGGACTGGCTGGAAATGATTGAATTGGTGGTTTCACAGGAGCGGGCCGTGCATATGGACTTTTTTCTTCTTTTCTGTATGTAGGGAGAAGAATGTGCAGCAGAGATAGACTTTAGCCACGAAACATGTTACACACCCGAAATCATTGGATGCTCTCTCCTTTTGGTAGGTAACATCCGGTGAGGAGAAATACCCAGGCTGCGGAGAAAAGGGGAGGGAATGGAGGGGTGGTATTTGGAGTACTGGAGTGATACATAACGAACGCCTTATTTTTTTGTATCCTGTTCTCTCGTATTGGGTATTTCTGGAGGAGAAGGTATTTAGGCTGGGGCTGGGTAGATATATGTAGGCTGAATGTGTTTGTTGTTGTTGTGATTATTGCTCTCTTTTCTCTTATTTATTGCTTTAATTATTGTCTTACTTGTATTGGGTGTATTATCAATTAATATAATCATTAACATGGGTGAATAGCAGTAAAACTGGCGTGTATTACCTACGCCTCATGCCTTGCTTGCAACTCCACCGCAGGCGCCTCATTCGCAGGCACTTCATTCGCCGGCGCCTCGTTTGCAGGCATCTCGCCTCGTATGGGAGTCGAGTCCAGCTCGTGGATGCCGTTTGTGGCGGACTCTAGCTGTGCCTTTCCGTAGGTTGAATCGCGGTCGTCGTCGAGCTGCTTGTTTGTCCGTTTGTGGCGTTTCCAGAGGTAGAATGAGAGGCTGAGGATGGCGAGGATGGCGAGGGGGCCGATGACGGCGCCGGCTATCCAGGCGTGGTTTGGGGAGGGTGTTGTTTGGAGGGATGGAGTTTGAGATGGTGTTGCTGAGGATGTCGAGGTTTGTAAACTTGAAGCTACACTCTGACTGCTTGAAGATGTCAAAGTATGTGAAGTTGAAGTACCACTCTGGATGTGAGAAGACGTAGATGATGTAGCACGACTGGAGCTGGATTGACCAGTAGGCGTCACCTCAGCCGCTGCAGCATCAGTTGGCATTAAAAAGGTCACTGTTGAAGTCTTGCCATTCGTCACTGGCACGTTTTTGACGGTATAGCCTTGCATGTGACAGTCTTGGAGATAGGGCAGCAGAGACGGGATTGGCGTTGCGCCGTAGGGGGAGGTGTCGATTGTCTCTTTGATGCATCTTATGCACTGGTCCACGAAGAAGAGGAAATTTTTGGAGGTGCAGAGGGTGCTTTGGGGGGTTTGTTGGCCTGCTGTGGCGGCTTCGTCTATGAACAATGGCGTGTTAGTTGGGAGTAGTTGTAGATTGCAATGCAGTTTTAGGATGCATGTATATATGGGTTCATGTTCGTGTTGGAGTTGAACGTACTGCAGGCCTCCACACACAACGCAGGTACGAGGCTGTCACCGTTTTGGCGGACAAGGATACCGGCATTGCTGCGCCAACTCATTGCGGCTGATGGGAAACGGGGCTGTATACATGTAAAATAAGGTATATGTATATATCCACAGACACTACTGAATCTAGACTTTCACGGGGAGATTTAATGAAGGATTAGCAATTTTGAAATGCTTGAGAACGCGCAGAGCCTGGCTTTATATACAGTCATGCGCTGTGATGTCAGTTTCGCGGTGTTGGAGTTGCATTCGGCCCCGCATAAGGGGGATTGAGGAAATCTTTCCGGGTAAACGGTTCATGGCGATGTTGTTAGTTGCACGTTTCTGCCTTTGCACTACAAGAGAACCGTGCAATTTGCAGATATAAAGCACTTTACCTCGACAACCAAGCACATACGACCATATCCATTGGAAAATACGGGATCCCGTCTGCTCTCCCAGAGTCAAGCCAATGAGAGGCAGATTAGTAGTTGAGTGGGTGACCATCAGCGAACACCGGCTGTTGTATGTTTTTTGCTTCTCATGGCTTTGTGATATCGCCTTTATAACTCGACTCAACACCAAAACAAGCACATACGACCATAGGTAATGGAAAATTCGGGGTCCCGTCTGCTCCCCCATAGACAAGCCATTAACCGGCAGATTAGTAGTCAAGTGGGTGACCATTGGCGAACACCGGCTGTTGTATGTTTCCTTTTTTTGCTCTGTGACTCCTTGTTTTTGTAAATTCATCTAATACCACAATAAGCACATACAAAGGTAATGGAAAACTCGGGGTCCCATCAAGCTCTTTATTGAGTTTGTTGTCTCTCATTTTGCGTATTTTAAGAATCTAAATTTGGAGCTATATGGTTCCCGTTTTTTTTTGCCCGGTGCAATCGCCACCGCTTAGTCTTCAAGCAATTAGCATACTTTGAATTAATTTTAGGGACGTGTTACCAGGCCACCATCGCAGAGTAATTATCTTCCAAATAAACGGGTTCTATGGCGTTTAGCCCCCTGGACACTGGTCCCGGCCGTTCCATATAAAAATAGCTGTAAATAAGGGAGTTTATTCTTATCTGTTTTTAGTGTTTCATATATTATTTAACTTCCTTATCTCTAGAGACCTTTATAGCAAGCAGCCTTAGCAGCCTTCCTATCTTTAAGGGAGAAGTTATCCAGCACCCTAATCTATTATCTAACACCCCAGCTGTAGCACAATAAGGCAGCTAGTTTATATATTAAAATGCATAACCACTAAATAGGTATATATAAAAGCAGTAGTAGCAGTAGTAGCAGTAGTAGCAGTAGTAGCAGTAGTAGCAGTAGTAGCAGTAGTAGCAGTAGTAGCAGTAGTAGCAGTAGTAGCAGTAGTAGCAGCAGCAGCCTAAGCTACAGCTGGAGTGCTAAATAACATAATCGGGGTGCTAGACAACTTCTCTCTTTATTTTTGGGGTGTTGGATAACAGAACTGGGGTGCTGGATAATGGCTCCCATATAATAGTCATCGGACCAAGTTTCCTGTGTCGATGCTGACTCAGGCCCTTGAAGCATTCCATCAGCAAAGACTCCAAGTTTCAGCACTCCCAAGCAAAACCCTCAATCACCAAGTTTTCTCTCATACGGGAATTTAAATACCATGGCATCGCCAGACCTATCGGTTTCTACTCCTCGTACGTCGGTGTCGCTAGCTTCGTATGGGGAGGAGCAGTCGCCGACAATCACATATACAAACGTCAAAGAGCTCCACCAGGTGGTTAGGCAGGTTCCAGGCGATTTCCTCATTGTCCAAAGCAAGTATTTACCATCTAGCGGCAATTACATCCCTAGGATATTCTATACTAACTATTCGTTATCAGATGTTTCTCCTGCCGATTTTGAGGAAATCAGCCGTCTAGAACGTCGCGGTTTCCGCCTGCGACGTTATCATGCCGACAGGAGACTTTTAATCATCACAATACCTACTGCCCTACATGAAGCACTCCACTTCGGCATCTACCAGGCTTTCATGTTCAAGATCGGGCCAATAGCGCAAGATATCTGGAAACCAACCATGAGTACGACCTTTCGTCCACAAGGTCACCCTGGAGGCGACGGTGGTGAAGGCGACTCAAGTGGTGGTCCAATGTCAGTACGCCACGATAAATATGCCTGGCCAACCCTGGTCATCGAGGCAGGGGATTCCGAATCCTTGCATGCCCTACGAGACGACATGAGATGGTGGTTTTCCGCATCAGACCATCAGGTCAAGATTGTCCTGCTTGCCAAGTTTGACCACCGTCTTCAACAGATTCTTATCGAGAGATGGGAGGAAGAAGCTGCGACCCGCCCTGGCGCTACAACGACAACGTTTGGCGCCAGTCAGCCTGTGTTACAGCAAAGTATCACCATCACACGGGATTCGGCTACTGGTTCATATCAAGTCGCTAGAAGCGACTTGGTGCTTTCGTTCCGGCTGCTCTTTCTGAGAGATCCAGGCCCACAAGAGGGAGATGTCATTATACCTACTGGAGATTTGCAGCGTTATGCGCGACTTGTCTGGGCGGCTGTTTAAGATTAGCTAAGTCAGGGTAATCAAACTCCAACAATCTACAGCATATCGAAATGCTGGGGCGTTGACTGCCGAGGAACTATGGCGCATAAATGAAGAACTAAGGGATGAAAACGGGGGCCTGCGTAGGTCTCAACACTCTAGCTGAAGGCCTTGGATTCTTGATTAACAGCAAATTCACTAATATCACCTCTTTGCAAACACAAACCGCCGATCTCAATCGGCAGCTGCAGGCCGCGACGGCGAAAATCGATCATTTCACTGCTTACCACAAGATATTCAAGCAAACAGGGGCCGAATGTGTGGAGCAGATTCAGCATGACAGAGACAAGATCAAGGAGCTCGAAGCAGGGCTGGGCAGGCTCCGCAAGTCGCATGGCAGCAAGATCTTATCACTCCTTTTATGTCTTCACGAACTATGGAACGAACCAGGGCACATCACGCTGGCCTCTAGTTCGCCGGCATCTTTTGTGGAATTCAGTGCCTCCTCTCGCCCGGTACAAACAGAGGAACTTCCTGAGGCAGATACGCGCTCACAACAGTCAACACTGATTGATAGCGAGGATTTAATAAATCTGTCAGAATAAGGGAAGAAATCACAAGATTCAATTCTGTTAAACAAGTTATCAAGGAGACTGCAATATGCAAGTGAAGGAGAAGGTATATGGAACAACATAAATCACGGTCATTATACAATGCTATAGTAATGAATAACATCAAGAGAATGAATGGCGCACACGACGCTCTTTTATGCCCACAGCTATTCTACCAGTGGGCTAGATCATCTCCATTAGTATACGATGCAAGCATGAGACCAAGAATAGAGCATACTTACCTTTATGCACACATGTATCATCTTGAAGAGGTGACCGTCTTTCACCCTTTATAGTAGCGTGTGTTCATCTGCAGATTAGTAGTCAAATGGGTGACCATTGGCCAACACCGGCTGTTGTATGTTTTTTGCTTCTTACAGCTTTGGGGCTTTGCCCTTATAATTTGACTCAACACGACAACAAGCACATACGACCATAGTTGATGGAAAATTCGGGGTCCCGTCAAGATCTATATTACGGTTTAATGTCTTCTATTTCCGGCGCCCCTGGTTTCCAAAATCGGAGTTCCGTTATCAGAAGCAACTGGACCAACAGCTTAAATACATGTATGTATCTATCATAGACTATCTCCTCTGTAATAGTAATTTAGTAATATCCCGGCCAATGAAGGAGCAATTCCATTGTTTCTTTGCTAATCCTCTCATTTCCTGCTGCAGCCTTAACAAACTCCGTTATTAAAGTAATCTGATCTCCATGCTGATTAATAAATAAGGCTATCACTTCCTCACCCTCAGGATTTTCTGCGGCAGCTATAATAACATCCTTTGTAATAGTAATCTGATCTCCACGCTGATTAAGAAGCAAGGCTATTACTTCCTTGCCGTAAAGATTTCCTGCGGCAGCCTTAAGAACATCCTCTGTAATTGTAACTTGGTTTCCTCGCCGGTCAAGGAGCAATTCCATTACTTCCTTGCCATTGTTCCAATTTGCTGCGGCAGCCTTAAGAACATCCTCTGTAATAGTAACTTGGTTTCCACGTCGGTCAAGGAGCAATTCCATTACTTCCTTGCCGTTATAATTTTCAGCTGCAGCCTTAACAATGTCTTCCGTAATAGTAACTTGGTTTCCACGTCGGTCAAGGAGCAATTCCATTACTTCCTTGCCGTTATAATTTTCAGCTGCAGCCTTAACAATGTCTTCCGTAATAGTAATCTGGTTTCCTCGCTGGTTAAGGAGTAATTTCATTACTTCCTTGCCAATATAATTTTCAGCTGCAGCCTTAACAATGTCTTCCGTAATAGTAATCTGGTTTCCTCGCTGGTTAAGGAGTAATTCCATTACTTCCTTGCTGTTATTATTTCCTGCGGCAGCCTCAACAATGTCCTCTGTAATTGTAACTTGATCTTCTGGCTGGTTAAGGAAAAATGTCATCATTTCCTTGTTATTCCGTGAATGACCGCTCGCAACTTCTTTCACAAGTCCATTTACCTTTGCTCCCAAGCAATGTAATTTAGCAACAACACTTATATGTCCCCATTTGACGGCCTCTTGTATGGGCGTGATGTCATGTCCGTTAACGCAATCAAAATCAATAGCTAATGTCATGGTCTTAGTGTTGGACTCTTGAAAGTTCTGATGAGCAATATAATCCACCAAAGAAGCAATTCCCCACCGCCCAGCAACATGTAAAATAGAGAATTGCTGTGGGATATAATGCAAATCTGGACGATGCAAATTTAGACAGTGGTCTAATCGCAGAGTCTCTATCCAGTACTCCCGACTAGGCGAATTGACTCTAAAGAACTCAGCTTCCGAGTCTCTAACTTCAAATCTTGACTGTGCCATACGCGCGTGGTTGACCCATTCTTCAGTTGCGTAAGACAAGAAGTGGACATGTGACTGTTCCTTGCTATAGAGCTGTTCGATAAGAATATTGACACAGCGATAGGCAATATTGGCATGAGCTTCGAGCTCATTGATAAAGGAACTAGGGTCAGCTCTAACTAAATAGTCTTTCACGGACTGATGTAGTAAGAGCACTTTTCCACCTTCGATGATGATGATGAGACGGCAGGATGCAACTTGATCTCGTGTAAACCGGATTCGTGTATCTATATCCTCTTCGTCTTGGTATAGTTGGCAAGCTTCACATAGCTCTAACACGCTTAGCGGCCGCACAGAAACGGCAACTAAGCTTAGGATGTGTCGGACTATGTCAGCTTCAGTCATGTCCTGTTCAAGAGCTGTATCGAGGAGCCTCTCATAGAGTGAATAAAGTCCTTTAGGCATGGTTTGTAAGACTTGAATAGCGTTCTTTGAAGGGACATCCTTCAGCTCCTCGCATGCTAAGCCAACCCAGAGAAAAGTACCTTCGGCTTTCTCTCTAAGGATGTCGCTGACTTGCTGTTTAACCTTGTCTGTGTACTTTTTTTTCTTGGCAAGATCTGCTACTCTTTCCTTGATACACCGATCAACGTCTTGCTTTGCTTGGGAAAAGGATGCTAGGTTCTTGTTTGTGAATTCTTCCAAGTATTCGCGGATCTTAGAATATGGCCGACTGGTGACTAATATCCGGATATTTGATGGAGCATCCTGGCTCAAAAAGGTTTCGTGAAACTGTTGTAATAGAATCTCTTGCGATTCTAGATCGCATTCATCTAGCGCATCGATAATGCAATACTTTTGACCAGTATTCTGATCCGCTGCTGCGGCTATGAATATTGTCCAAAGAGCATCAAACGAGTTAAACAGCTCCGCCCCACGATTATTATAATCGTGCAAGAGATAGTCAAGAAGCTGCGAGTGCTGCTGGATGAGCTGGAGGAGAAGCCCTCTGAGAATTGATGTGGCTGTCTTCCGCTTATCGAAGCTGGAGTCGCAGAAAAAGTATATAAGTGTTTCCCCATCCTTGATAAAGGACTTTTTTGGCAGCTCTTCGGTGAGAAATATGGCCATGGTAGATTTGCCGGTTCCGGGATTTCCATAAAGCCATAGGATATTACTCGCCTGGGCCTCGCCTGTCGCCTGTCCCCGACCAAGCCAAGAAGTAAACTCCTCTGTCTCGAGTAACCACTCACAGGTGCCGCTAGCGCGATCTCCTTTTTTGCGCTTCAATGCCTTTCTATCTTCGGCTGGATCAGTCAGGAAAAGTTCGCGACGACAATCCTGGGCTGTGGCCTCAAGGAAGCTGCTGCTAGCGTTATTAATTACATTTGCTTGTATGATGCTAGCACCAGGCCCAAATGTATTATTATCAATTGCGTTTTGACTGTGAACTGTCTTGTTAACAGCAGTTTTTTGCTGTTTCGCCGAGCCAGAGAATGAAGAGTCGGCGATACTGGCTAGAGGAACAACAAGCTTGGATCGGTTGTCCATGACAATTATTATTGGAAGATATAGGCTCTAGGCTTCTAATATTTTGGAAGATGTATGCTTTAGGCTTCCAATATTTTCAACGCTTGAAGGTGCTGCTTATAAAATAAGATGAGAAGAATATATAGGATCATAAGATCAACTGGCAGGTTAACAATCGTTTCAGTTGAGTTAGATATCCTCTTAGAGAAAAATACGCCAGGAAAGAAATTACTGCCCAAATCCTCGATGCAAAACTACATAAGGCGTAAGGCATATTAGGCTCCGGGGCGGGGTAGCTCTGAGGAGTCAGTGTGACTAGTCAGCAACATAACGTCTTTCCATAGGATAATAAAAAAGAATCAGGCATGAACAATAAGTTGCAATTAACCCTCTAATACTTGATAGGCACAAAATTACAGATGGATTTGTGGCTTGCATTAGCCGCCGTCAGTTGAAAACAACTAGTAAGCTGCTAGCTGGTCGTAAATTTGCTTTAAACCCGTTATTGACAATCAAGGTAACACGATGTACAAAAAATGCCCACTGCACGACAAAAGTATCTAGAACAATATGTCTACTTCAATTGCAACGCACTTTGCACCGCTTTTCTTTTCATCTTCGTTTTGCCTTTTTCTATTATCATTTCATCTCTCTTTTCAGTAACTAGTCTTGTGCTAATAATTTAGTCTTCAGATTGAGATTGATTAGATCATTTTGGAATTGTATCTCCAATACAGGCTCAGACAAACGTATATCAATAGACCACCAACTTGGCCGTAGTGCATAGCGGCTGGCGCATTAAGCTGCGTTTAGACTACAGCTGGCGCGTAGGGGCCTGTAATTGATCACAACTGATTTAGCACCCAGTTACTTGTCCTTGGATCCAGACACTACTAGTATATAGAACAAAAGTGACATGAGCCAGCATGTTGTAGTCTCGAGTCCTTATCTAAGCGAGAACAAAGAGCCAACTTTTCCCTAATCAGGAATTTTCTACTGCGGTTGAAGCGCCGACCAAGCTATTTCTGACTACCTACCTACCTACAAAGGTATGTGGCACTCGATATACGGATGGAGGGACGGCGTATAAGCGCAATCACTAGGCGCATGTAGAGACGGGCTAGAGGCGATACGACTGCAGCGGTGGCTGTGCAGTAGCTGAATAGATGGTGCGCTGTTTGTGGTCCAATCTGTTTGCTGGCCGATGGTCCTGATCGTCACAATGCCGTATCCATCTGCAGAATGCGGCAAAGCAAGCTGCTAAGACGCAGAAGCCATGGATGAATGTGGAAGGTCGGGGCCTTGTACGGGAGTCCCAGTGCCGGAGCTAGCCTCAAGCATGAGAGAGAGTGCGACCTGCATCCAATAATAGCCATGAGTGCATACATGGTGCTATAAAGCCCACAGGTAAGCATGCTAGGGTTGGGCTGAGAGATAGAGAGGCAAGTTTTGAGTGAGATTTGGCTTGGGAGAGAGGCATAGACGATTATGTGCCTCTTCTACAACACACTACGGTAAATGCAAGGGAGAAGACGAGATTATATCACCAACCAGCATGGAGCTTCAACCAGCCAACCGGACCTGGGGTAGGACCGTGCGTAACAGACGCTGCCGTGCCCTTGAACTCTAAACGCAAAGGAGAGACGAAGGCAAAAAACCAGCGTTTCACCCGTGCATTCACTTTTCTGCAGCCAAAACGTGTCTCGTGCCTGACTTCGTATCTGCATCTCATCTGCATCTGCATCGGCATCTGCATCGGCCGGGATGCGCCAAACGGCCGCTCTCTCTTGCTAGTTTCTGGCTGCTGCCCATTCCATCTTACCCACCACTGCCGTAGCTTGGACTTTTGTTTATCTTGATTGTGCTTTTCCTTTTCTCTTCTTTGTTTGTCTTCTTCGTCTTCTCTTCTTTTTCCAACCTGGCCTGTAATTCTCCTTGCTTTGCTTTGCTTATCATCATAATTTTGCTTCACTTCGCTCCGCTCCGCTTTGTCCAGGCCACTTACAAGAGAAGAGGAAATACGCACCACCAGCCATGGCCCCCCCTCGCGGCCTCGGCCAGCTGATGGGCATTTTGAGCATCTTGCTTCTGGCGCTTGTGCCGCATCTGGTCGCAGCAGACTGTGAATGCGGCTTTGTCGCGCACTCTCCCTTGACCAAGCAACAGGCCCAAGACTATCCAGGGCCCGACCAGCTGTTCTTCACAAACATGCTGGAGAGCAGGTTCTATGACATCCAGAACATTTCTCGCGACAGCACCTGGAAGCGGCAGCAGTACAACGTCTCGGCTCGAGCTGGGCGAGGCGAGTACGGCAAGACGTTTGCTGTCGACAACGTCTATAGCGTCCCCCAGACCGGTTCTATGAAGGATCCTTCTCAGCTCAGCGCCGGGTATGCAGATTCTATAAACGGCGGGATTGCGCTGGTTGTCGGCAGCGCTCTTGACAACGATTCCATCCCGGTGGCAGAGCTGGACTCGGCTCGATCCGACATGGGATTTGGCTCGTACCGTGCTGGCATGAAGCTGACTCCCGTGAATGGCACCTGCGCAGCTTTCTTCTGGGTATGTTGATGCTTGGCTCTTTACTCTGACTCTGTTGGCATGAGATGAAGCTTGCTGACAAACAGACAGTACTTCAACGACACCCAGGAGATTGACATGGAGTTTCTATCTCGAGAGTTTGATGTGGAGAAACACGTCTATCCCGTCAACCTCGTGATCCAGTCGGAAGCATCGATGCAGGCTGGCTACGATGCATCCAAGACGGGCACCTTCAAGGTGGTGAACCTTGCGTTTAACCCCACTATTGGCTTCCACGAGTATCGCTTCGACTTCTTGCAGGATCGCGTCCGCTTCTACGCCGACAGCCGGCTGCTCGCCGAGATGAATGGGACCTCGGTGCCCACTAGTCCTGGCCATCTCATTCTGCAGCACTGGAGCAATGGGAACCCCTTGTGGTCTGGAGGCCCCCCAGAGGAAGACGCTGCCCTGACTGTTGGCTACGTCAAGGCCTATTTCAACTCATCTGATGCAAAGGCCCAGTCGAGCTGGAACAGCGCCTGCCAAAAGGCAGTTTCAAAGGGCAGCAACAAGCCGCTGTGTGAGGTTCCCAATGTGACGTCGGTAAACTCAACCACGGGAGGCACCTTTTTCAACACCAGCGATCCGAATGACGAGGAAAAGAACAGCGCGGTTCGCCTGGGCAGCACGTGGGCGACGACGGCGAGTGCACTGCTGCTGGTGCTGGTATTGACCTGCCTATAAAGGGGGGAGAGTGAGGGTGAAGGCGTGTTTACTTTTTTGTTTTTTTTTTTTTGTTTTATGAAGTACTGTGTAATGCTATAATGAGTCCATGACGTGTTTTTTTTTGGAGTCGAGGAAAAGAGGTTGCTTTTGTTTGGCACCTAAGTGGGAGAGGGGAGCATGTGTATATGGCAGGTAGAGGCAGCTGAGGCTTGGGACTCTATGCTGAATGAGATGCTCTTGTTGATTTGCCCGATGAAGATGGCATTGCAGCTTTCCATGGCATGTAGATGCGACATCCGACGCTGTCAAGTGAGTCTTGGCTGGTGCTGGTCGGCGCATCATCTGATGCACGATGCGGTCATTTGCCCCGCAAGACTCCGAGCAGCTGGATCGGACGGGGCTTCGGCTCAGGGCGATGCTGCTTTGGGGAGGTGCCGAGATATGAATATGATGTATATGATTTGATGCATGGCATGATTTGAGTGGATGCAAGGAAGGATGTCGATATTACTTGATGCGATTCTATTCAGCTGGCTGTGACGCTTGTCGAACATCTGATGCATTGGCAGAGCGTGCTTGTTTCAAGGCTGGAATGCAATCGCACCATGGCCTAGGGGCATTTATAAGGCTGCAATGATCCCGTGTAGCACATCAGCCCAAGAAAGCATGGAGGAAAGACAAAAATGACTAGATGTTTCGGAAATTTCATCATGGGGAAGATGGCAGGCAAGTAAAGGATTGATTGGCACCAAGATTTTCAGCGAATCGTGTGTAGATGGACGTAATGATATGATCATTGAGGATTCTCTGGTGGTGGGCAGTGCAAGATGGATAGATTGATGGGGCAGATAAAAGGGACCGGCGTTGCTCGCTTTGATGGATGGAAGTTGCCATTATTCGCTTGTACATGCTTCATCTCGACAATTGCACATCTACATTTACAGCATTTACAGCATTTTGATCATTCTGTACTTATCAACTCAACCATTGTACTGTAACGCCATCACCATGACGCCCAGCACGCTCAGCATCGTCGTCAAGAACAACACGTCGGCGCCGCAGCTCTACGCCTTCGTCACCGGCACGGCCTCGCAGGGCGTCTTCTTCCTGCGCTCCGACGGCGTCACGCCCTACTATCCGGCTTCGCCCTCGTCGACGCTGCAGCCGCTGTCGCAGAACTGCGCCGTGGCGGTGGGCGGCCCGGGCCAGAGCCGCACCTTGACGGTGCCGCAGCTGGCCGGCGCGCGCATCTGGTTCAGCCAGGCCAAGCCGCTGACGTTTCTGCTGAACCCGGGCCCGGCCGTCGTCGAGCCGTCGAGCACAAACGCCGCGGACCCCAACTACGGCGTGCAGTGGGCGTTTTGCGAGTTTACGCTGAATACGTCGGAACTGTACGTCAACGTGTCGTACGTCGACTTCTTCAGCATCCCCGTGTCGCTGCAGCTGGAGAACGGCGCCGGGAAAGTGACGAGCGTGCCGGGCATGCCAAAGGGCGCGCTGGACTCCATCTGCACGCAGCTCAAGGCGCAGGCGGCCAAGGACGGCGCCGGCTGGGACAAGCTGGTGGTGCAGAGCGGCGGCAGCAACCTGCGCGCGCTGAGCCCAAACTCGGGCAGCGTCATGTTCCCGGGCCTGTTTGACGGCTACTACCAGCCGTACGTGGACGCCGTGTGGAACAAGTACCAGGCGGCGGATCTCACGGTCAACACGCAGTTCCAGGACTGGGGCAACGTCGTCGGGCGCGTCGACGCCGCGGGCAAGAACCTCGTCTTCCCGTCTGGCTACGGCAGCTTTGCGAAACCTGCCGCCGTGGACATTTTCTCGTGCGACTCGGGCCCCTTTGCGGGCGGCAGCGGCGTGACGGCGCAGCAGCTGAATGTCGGGGCGAGGCTGGCGGCGGCGCTGAACCGGTCGACGCTGCTGAATGGCGGGCAGCAGCCCGAGGGGGAGGACGTGGGCCAGTATTATACGGACAAGGTGACGAACCACTATTCGCGGATATGCCATGCGGTGAGCGTGGGCGGCAGGGGCTATGCGTTTCCGTATGATGATGTTGGCAAGACGGGCGGAGTGGACCAGAGCGGGTTTTTGAGCGATGGCGATCCAAAGGTGTTGACGATTGGTGTTGGGGCGCCTTTGTGAGGGATGTTTGGATGGTGGTTGTGAGTTTGTGATGCTGTATATAGGTTTTGCTGGGTGGTTGCTGTACATGGTATCTTGATGTTCGCTGTATATATGTAATTGATTGTATATTCTGTATAAAGCTGATTGATATCCCCTTGGATTGCAGCTCTCTGGCTACAAGGGCTGGCATCTTACGTTTTCTACCTTGGCTGTGTTAGTGATGGATGTCTTGTTGGCATAAATTGCATCTTCTATATGTACTCATCTATATGCGTGCTGTGCATGGCATTCCATTTGCACATTATTCTGGCAAACGGCGTCAATTATGCCCCAACCTCGTCATATCAAAGAGGCAGTTGTACACGCAACACAAAGACAAAGACAAGCATCATGTTCCTTGTGAGACGGCCCTGGCCAATTCATCCTTGATCCCATGCATGCAGCTCGCCCAATTAGCCGGCCCCGAAAAAATCTCGCCCGTGTCACTGTATGTAACCCTGCTTATCAGTGCTTCATGTTGCTTTTGGGCTTCAGACAATGTACTACCGTCTGCCTTGTGAAACAATTGAACGGGTCCAAAATTGAAAAGGTAAAGGAAACGAGAAAACAAGAGCCTGGGTGTCTCACATGCACGACATGCCGAATTACAGGCCTGTCCCATACCTACTTGGAGATGGAGGCCCACCGGCCTAAACAAGCGCCGGGGAACTCGTCTTGTCCCCCTCTTGTTTGTGCCACTAGCACGTTGTTTCCCCTGGCTTGCGATGAAATGAGATGACCAGGAGCGGAGATGGGATGGCCGGGACTGACTGACAGATTGGGCTGATGCTGTTGCTGTTGCTGCTGCTGGTGTCCATTGTTTCCATTATGGATTCCATGCCTGTTTCTAGTAGCTATTTTGAGTCTGCTAGGAGCCCGTCTTGTATTGGCCGAGGCTCACATGGGACGGTATCAGATACATGTATTACCGCAGATGCATGCAGCACAGCGTGTCGTGTTCAATACCTATTGACTGATGCGAAATGGCCCATGCCGTGCTCCAATGCATCGCCAAATCATGCATGATACTAGGTGACTTGTTGTCCTCGTACAGAAGCGGCGCCGTTGCGTCTGATGCTACGCTGGCGCTCTCCATGGGGCAGTACTCGATGCCTGTCTTGCATTAGTATTGTGTGCTGTAGGCTGGTGCTACGGTGCAAAAGACTCCGTAATATAGATTGCTTGTTATATTGCCGCCCACCCTTTTCCCTCACCGTCTCATTACTGCGCAGTTTGCCCATGATCAAGGAGTCCATGGCATCAAAAAAAGCGCTTCCGCAATCCCATCAGCAATCCCCTGTAGCGGTGCCTGGCAGCTGCTAAGACGTGGCGTCTGCAGCGCTCTTCGGTACGTGCTTCAACGGTGCCTGGCTTGCCCCACCGTCGTTTCTGCGGCTCAAACTGGAAATTAGGATTCAACCCAAATGGCGAATCCATCCCCAGCCAAACCCATCGCCGACATCCATTCATGATCCATCCATCCTCCCCCACTTTGCAAAAACCGTTTCTTCTGCTGTCCAACTGCCGCAGACGTGGCCAAAAGACGGCAGCTTGCAGCTCGCAGCATTGATAGCACCGTCCCATCACTACCGGGTCCGGCATCCTACAGCTCTTGCATGTGCTACTTCGGCTCTTCCAGCCAGTCCGATCCCATCGCCCAGTGCCGCAACCCCCACCCTGTGTGCCCATCGCGACGCTTTCGCATCTGTGCATGAACAACTCACAGAGAGGGGCGAGGCCAGACGAGGGGCCATAAAGTTGGGCGTCCCGGCTCTGATCCCGATCCTGGTCCCGGGCTTGGTCTGATCCCGGCAATCAAGCAGCCTCGATTTATCAGAGCGGACTAGGCAGGGCCTAAGACAGCATCTCTCTGGAGCATCTCTCAGAGCTGCTGCTTTTCCTCTTTTCCTCCTTCATCCTGACTTGGCAGATATACTCTGGTCCCTACAGCCGTTGACAGTGCCTTCTACGTGGCGGCGCTCTCCGTAACGTCAAGAGAGGCGAGAAACCGAGACTCCAAACCCGCTGCCGTCGCCATGGTCTACTGCGGCAAGCCCTCCAAGGGCTGCTCTCACTGCAGAGAGCGCAAGATCCGAGTAGGTTTGCTTTGCACCGCCTCATCTCCATCTACCCATCATCTTGTCTTCTACCGAGCCTCATTCTCTCGATAAGGCACTGTGGCTGCTTACTTACGTCTCCTCGCTTTCCGCCCGCCTGTAGTGCGATCAGAAGGAACCGGGATGCGGCCAGTGCATCAAGCGCCACATCGAATGCCCCGGCTACCGCAACATGGTGGACCTCATGTTCCGCGACGAGAGCCACGATGTCATCAAAAAGGCCACCTCGGCCAAGCCGCGCATCAAGAAGCTGAAACATGGCGGACGGGCCGCTCCGAAGCTAGCCACGCCTCAAATCGCGCCACCACGCCCGCCGTCGCCATCGTCGGCGGCGCTCGTCATCCGCGATAGTCCTCGGCCGCCCAAGGCCTTGGGGCCCTTGATGCGTCGCTCCAAGAAGTCGCCTCTTCTGTCCGTCCTGCTGGCCGGCCCGTACGCCCGCAAAGATGGCTTTGACGAGGACGACTGGGTCACCCATACCTATCCCTACGAGTATCAACGCATTGTTCGTCGCGGCCGTAGCGACGACGACTATGACTATGACGACGACGACGACTTCTTCGACTTGGACTTGGACGGTCCTGCTGGCGACGCCCTGGTCCATATCCCCTATGCGCCATCCATCTCTCTCCAAGAGCGTGGCACCGCCTTCTTCTTCTCTCGCTATGTGGCCACAGACCTCGGCTGCTATCAAAACTACGACTTCATCTACGACATCTGGAAGCCCCCTACCATGAGCCGGCCTCGCAGGTTCGAGATTCCCCCTCAGGCTCCCCCTATCAAGAGATCAGATGCCCTCATCTCTGCCGGCATGACGGCCGTTGGCTTAGTCGGTCTCTCCAAAATCACTGGTGATAGGGAGACCATGTTGCGCGCCCAGCAGAGCTACGGCGCTGCTCTCCAGCTGGCCAATGCCGCCCTCCGAGACCCAAAGGAAGCTGTAGAGGACAGCACCATGCTGGGCGTTTTGATCCTCGGCACATATGAATTCATCTCCGGACGCACCCCGCAAACGCTCCACGCTTGGCAGGAACACATCAATGGTGCTGCTACGCTCGCCACCCTGAGAGGCCAAGACCAGTTTCACACCAAAGCCGGCGTCAGAATGTTCACCATGCTGTGCCACTCTGTGCTCATCAGCTGCATCCAGAGCGGCCTGCCCATGCCGAAAGCCATTGTGGACCTGCGGAACGAACTGCGGAACGTCGCAGACAGTAAGCTGCCGGCATGGCGTGTCATTGATCCCCTGTACAAGGCCCTTCAGATTCGACACGACATCAAGCATAGGCGCATCACGGGCATGGACGACATCATTGGCAGTCTCGTTGAAATCGAAGACGAGTTTGAAATGCTCATTCGGGGACTGCCGCCCTCTTGGCGTTACCAGAATGTCAGTCTCACCAAGTCCAATCCCGCCATCATGGGCCCTTCGTGCCACGTCTATCCAGGCCTCACCCAGGCCACTTCCTGGAACGCGGTACGGACCATGAGGATACTGGTCCAGGAGACAATACTGGAGCAGCTGTGCTACAGCGTAGAGGATCCCACGACTCTCCCAATGCACCATCAGCTGCATCTGGTCAAGGCAATGAAGATGCTGCGCAAGCTCGGCGAGGCTGTGGTCGGCAGCGTCCCTCAGCACTTTGGCATCGTCAGCTCCCGGGACGTCAAGTACAATAAGAATAAAGGGGCAACTCGGCCTACCGTTACCGCCCAGAATCAACCCTCGACCATTGTGTCAGCGCCTCTCTTGCCGCCGGCCCCCGAGAGAGATGACAGCAAATCTCCCGTCCCTGCCTGGCAGCGAGAGAGTGCAACGACGCGACCGACGTTGCTGGATCCGACGCAGTCAGAGCTGGGCAACGGCCGAAGCGACTCGGAACGGTTCTTGACTCTGGCTACGGCCAGCAACACCATCATCTGGCCCTTGTATACGCTCGGCCTATCGTCGTCTTGTACTCACGAGACGAGTGCCTACATTGTCGATAGACTCATGTCAATCTATCGCGAGACGGGCTTGGAGCAGGCCAGAGTTGTCGCGGGCATGATGCAGAACAGGCAAGAGTCGTTGACCTGGGCCAGCATCCCAACGACTCGTCTGCCGTCCTTGCCCGAAGATGCATTGCCTCTTGTTGTGTAAACTTTTTCTTCTCATCTTTGACGCTTTCTCTTGATGTGCCATCTGTTTTTCGTTGCACGTATTTAGACCCTTGTTTGACAAGGATTCTCTTTTCTGAAAAGCAAGGAGGCATGGTCATATGGACCTTTATTTTGTAATTTTCTCTTCTTTTTTCGTTTCTTCTTTTCCCCTTTGTCTTCCTTTTCTGTTTATTTCTGCATTGTCTTTAGCGATGGATATAATGGGCTTTTCCTTTTTAACGTCATGATCTATTTCACACCTTATGCCGGCAGATTAATCCTTGGATATTAGTTCTAGATTGTATTACATTATATACTCATTATCACTTATATACCAGATAGATTGAAATTTCGCTGTCGCTGTTGTACTGACGCTCCACCCTTTTCAGCTGTCAAAAGTTTCCAACTGATGCCTCACCTCACCAACTGTCAAAATTTCCAAAACCACCCGACTTCATCTTTTTCCGCGGCTGATTCTCCCACGTGTCCACATTATCTGCGTCGCCATCATCTCTTTCTCTTCTTGTGCCGCCATTTGACGCTTGTCCCTGTCCCTGTCCCATCGCCTCCTTATCCAGATACTTGCCTACGCTCTGCTTCGCCTCATCCTTATCAAACGTGCCATCGCCCCTTAGCCGTTTGCCCGTCCACGTCGTCTTGTCGTCTTCTGTGCCGCCCTGCCTGCGAATTTCCTCTTGTCGGCGGTCGAGGCGTTCCTTTTCGCTCTTTTGCGCCTGGAACTCCTCAAAGGGGTCGACGAAGACGACAATGTCCTTGATCAGAATCTTGTTGAGGGGCCGGCTGGAGCCGTCGGTGGGGACGTCTTCCATCTTGGAGAGGATGTCGAGGCCGGATTCGACGCGGCCGAAGATTGTGTGTTTGCGGTCGAGGTGGGGGGTTGGTTTGTAGGTGATGAAGAATTGGGATGAGTTTGTGTTTTTGCCCTTGTTGGCCATGGAGACTGGGGTTATTGTGAGTGACTATGACTACAGAGGAAGAGTAAAATGTAAGGGATATTTTAAACTTACCTATGCCGCGCGCATTGTGTGTCAATGGGCCGTCGAATTCGTCGTTGAAATTCTTGCCCCATATGCTGGTGCCGCCTTTTCCCGTGCCCGTGGGATCGCCGCCCTGAATCATGAAGTTGGGAATGTTTCGGTGGAACGCGACGCCCCTGTAGTAGCCCGTCTGCGCGAGCCTGATAAAGTTCCATACCGCCTTGGGGGCCGTCTCGGTCTGCAGCTCGATGGTGAGGTTGCCTAGGTTGGTCTCTATCCTGGCGTAGCCCTTTGCCTTGACGCGCTTGGGCTTGAGCATGAATTCCTCGTCGGTGAGGAGCGCCCTCTCGCCGCTTGTTTCTGGGGTGAGGCCGGTGCTGGTGAAGCTGGCTGCGGCTTTGCCGGTGGTGTAGGCCGCGGCGTTGGCTGCAACTTTCTTGTCTTGTATGGCGGGATGCCGTGCAATGGCGGAAGAAGATGCGTTTTTCGACTTTTCTAGCGCCCCGGAGCTCTTGTTGACGTCGCCGCCTGCTTCTCTCGCCTTGCGCGCCTTTTCGACGGCGGCCTTTGCCTTGAGCACCTTGTCGCCCATGCTGCCCAGCGCGCCGGCGTTGATGTTTCCGGCCTGGCGCTCTTCCTGCTGCTCCCGTGTCAATTGCGCCTGCTCGCCGTCTTGCAAGTACTTGAACTGGTCCAGGCTGCGGCTCGCCATGTTCTGGGGATCCTGCAGGGTGATGATGTCGGCGCGCGTAAAGGGCTGGTCGTCGAGCAGGTCCTGCCACATCTTGGCCTTGATGTTCATGCGCTCGACCGTGTCCCACGCAAAGACGTTGGCGTAGCTGCCGTGGCGGATGGCGACGATGTGCGTGTTGTCGGTGAAGACCTTGTAGGTGACGGGGTCGACGAGATCGCCCTTACCGTCGCTGAGGCCGGCGCCGAGCGAGTCGGCCTCTGCATTGCGCGCGAAGACGAGACGGATGAGATCTTTTTTTTGTAGGGGTTGGGAGGTGACGGGGTTCTGGTTCGGGTGCTTCTCGAGCCAGGCGGAGATGACTTCGACGTCGAAGATTGTGCCGTCCGGGGTGCAGACGGGGTTCTTGAAGGGCTGGAGCGAGGCGGCGCAGAAGTTGAAGGGGAGGCGGCGGAAGGGGATCTGGGTGGTTGAGCGGGAGTTTGCGCCGGAGCTGGCGGAGAAGGCGTCTGCGGAGGACCATTCGGAGTGGGTGATCTGGGGGAGTCAGTATCGTGGACTGGATGGAGTATGGTGTTGAGACGGAAGAGAGCTTACATAGAGTTTGTCGGTGCCTTTTCCCATGGTTGCCGATTGATGTAACACAAATGACTATGCAAGCAAGATGAAAGAAGGGAGTAAAAGACTATGCAGCGTGCATGGAGGCAATTGGCTGGTTCAATGCTGTTTGTAGTATGGAAGTTGGCAGATGAGCATAGCATGTGAATGACGATGCGCTGCTCCAGAAACAATTCGTTCCTTATCGTTATCAGTGACCACTAGGCCGTCTTCCAGGCACCTCGCCCGCTGTGGAACGGTACATTGCCGGTACCGCGCTCCCGAGCTACCCCGGCCGCAAACTGCGCTCCCTCCAGCGGCTGCGTAATTCCCTCTTACGTACCTCCCGGCAAGCTCGCATCGTGCAGATACTCCGTGCGCGCGCCAATCCCGAGAGAGCTCAACCTGGCCCTTCCTGGACTCCGTTCGACTGTGCCACCTCGTAATAACTTGGCAATCTCTAGACTTGTCATTTACAGCACACAATTATTCTCTAGTCCTTTGACAGCTCTGCGAACAGCGTCAGGGAAACACGGCAGGTTTATCGACAGCAGAACAGGTACTTCTTTGTACTGTGGCCGTGCGGGAAACGGTCGCCTACGAGCTGCACCTTTAGTCTTGGCTGCCGCGCAATTCGCATCGCTGATAAACCACAACCGCCAAGGCCTTCCACGATCCTCTCCCAGACCCCCGACGAGCCGCTTTGCTTCCTCTACAGCAGCTCCCAGCCTCTGCCAGCGCTCAATTGCCGCGTCGCCTGCGCTGCCGCCACCATGAGGCCTCTTCTCGGGCTTCTCGCCCTGGGCATGTCCCTCTGGACCGCCCAGGCGCTGGAGGTTCCAATGGTAATGAACGAATGCGCGCCAAACCTCGGGCACTGCATTGGCTAACGGTGTCTTTTCTCTGCAGAACGAAAAGGAAGGCTCTCGCCAGTACTGCACCGGTATGTCTTTATAGCGCAAGATGGCTGCAAGCAGAGGGTGCTGACGGGTTCGAACAGGAATGTATAGTCGCAAGTCTTGGGGCGGTCCGGTCGATCCCTTTATCCTCGTCAAGTTCCTTAACGATACTGCGCCGGAAGGAGACGACCCCGTCGCCAGTCTGGTCATATTCGAGTGGAGAGATGGCAACCTGGTGGGAATCCCGGATCCAGATCTCCAAGCCCAGGTAAGGCGGCCCATGGCGATGTACATACAGCTCTGTCATTTACTGACGGCGCTCTCTAGCGACTTGCGCTTTGTGACGAAGGCGCCATTAAGAACGGATACTGCAACTCAACCGACAAGGGGCAATTTGTCCTGGCCAAGAATGCTACCGACTTATCCAACCAGGTCATCTTGACCAAGGCCGTCCACCTGAACAACCCGGCGCCCATCAACTACCCGATTAAAAAGACTGGATACTACTGTGTCCTCACCGAAGGATTCAACATTCAGAAATACAGCGCCGTGGTTGAATTCAGAAACGCCTACGGAGAGCTGCCGGCAACCCAGATCCCGAAGCTCCCCTTTTACGGCGGAATGTCCATTTTATACGCCTTGGTAGCTGTCTTTTGGGGCTTTCTTTACTTTCAGCACCGACATGACATCCGTGAGTGTCAATTGACTGTTTTGGGCCTTTGAAATTTGTAGCTTTGCTGACCATGTGTTATGCAGTTGCTGTGCAAAACTACATCACGGCCATTCTCATCTTTTTGACAGTTGAAATGATTCTGACATGGGGATTCTATGGTAAGGAGCCGTATCAACATGTGTAAATATTCAATGCTAACTGCTGCATCTAGATTTCCAGAATCATAATGGGACTGCCGGCGTGGGCAGCAAAGTCTATCTCATTGTGATTGCAGTCTTGAATGCCGCTCGAAACTCTTTCTCATTCTTCCTGCTCCTCATCGTCTGCATGGGCTACGGTGTTGTCAAGCCTACTCTCGGGCGCACAATGATTTACATCAGATGGCTTGCTGCTGCCCATTTCATTTTCGGCATTGTCTACGCAGTAACGAGTTTACTTGTGTCGCCCGAAAGTGCTGGTAAGTTGAAATTGCCTGTCTCTGTACTACTCACTTCTCATGCTAAGCATCTTTCCTAGGCCCCTTTGTTCTTCTCATTGTCCTCCCATTGGCTGGAACTTTGACGGCCTTCTACGTTTGGACGCTTAACGCGCTCAACTATACCCTCAAAGACCTGCGGGAGAGAAAGCAGCATGTCAAAGAAACCATGTACAAGAAGCTGTGGTGGGCCATTCTCATCAGCGTCTTGGTCATTTTTGGCTTCTTCTTCTTTAATAGCTTTACCTTTGCATCGGCCAGCGACCCCGATTTCGTCCCTTTTCACTGGAAGACTAGATGGTTCATCTTGGATGGCTGGCTCAACATTGTGTATTTTGCCGACGTTGCCTGGGTGGCATACGTCTGGCGACCTACAGTCAACAATCGTCGCTTTGCCATGAGTGATGAGATTGCTCAAGACGATGATGGAAACTTTGAAATTGGAGACATTGGCATGCCTGACGACTCGGACGATGACGAAGAGGCGCAAATCGGCAAGCCTACCTATCCTGGGCAAGACAGCGGTGTGACAGGTGCTGGGCCAGCACAAGCTAGTAGCAGCAGAGCTGTACCGGGCGCGCAGTCACAATCAACAGCTCGTGCTGTCCCACGAGACTCCATTGACGGAGAGACGATATTTGCAGTCGGCGATGAAGACGGCGATAAGGCATCGGATAGCGAGGGAGACAGCGACGATGACGAGGATGCCAAGCTTGTACACAAGAAAATGTAAAGACGGAGATACGGCATCATACAGCGAGATGACAGCGAAGTGACAGCGAAGTGCGGCGACGATGAGGATGCCAAGTGTGTACACAAGAAACTACGATGAGGAGACGTGTTGAACTTTTCTGGAAACGCGCTGGGTTGTAGAATGGAACAGGAACGGAACTGGCTTCTCAGGAGTTATTAATAGGGGTTTTTCGTACCAACATTGCTTTGTTGTTTTACGGTGTAGAATAGAAAATTGATTCAATATGACTTGATAGGGGATGGATCTTGTGTGAACTGGGCTAGTATTTACAGAGGTTGATAATGGGCTACAAGGAGGATTGTCCTTGTGAGGGAACCCTTTTTACATAACTTTTATGTATGGGGCCACAACAGATATATATCTAAGCTCCAGCTGATATATAGGTACATTAATATGAGTCTGGTGAATATATGCTCGATTTATAGCCATGATATCTTTGCTAGGGGACTTAAGCTGTTACATCGCCTCCAAAGCCAACTGGTCGACGGCGTCCATCATTCTCAGGCAAGATAGCCATCGCTTTGTACACTTTGCCCATGCCACTCGGTCCTCGATCAACCAGTCGCTTCCACGCCTTTTCAATATCACTAGCCGCAGACGGAGTGATGCCAGGTATTTTGCTCAGAGCCTCTGCGCGCTCCCTTATGCCCATGAGCTCCAAGAAGTCAGCCTGGGAGATGGGACCGTGGACCTCGATTCCGGCGCTGGCCATGGTGGCCGCCTCGGCAATGGCGTGGAAGTCGACGTCGGCGCTGAGATCGACGAGGCCCGGCGCGGCAAAGGGGCTGACGAGGCGGTGCTGGCGGATGCCGCGGAGGGAGTTTACGGGGACGGTGTCGGCGGTGCCGTAGTCGAGGATGAGGGCGGCGCCGGAGGGGGCCGGCTTGGGGTGTTTGGGGGAGCCGCCGATGCGGGAGGCGAAGTCGGCGGCGTAGAGGGAGGCGTCGGGGCAGATTTCGATGAGGGCGTTGGGGGTCTGTTTGAGGGCGCGGTAGCGGGGGGAGGATTCGGGGAGGAGGCGGGAGTGGCGGGTGGTGGAGGAGGAGAGGACGAGTTGGAATTCGGGAGGGGGTGAAGTTGAGGATGGGGATGAGGATGAGGATGAGACGGGGGGAGTGATGGAGACCATCATTTCACGCCATTCCATGGCTGGGGTTAGTGTTGATGCGGTGGTGTCTGGCCGAGAAGATGGCGATGACGATGGCGGTGATGGCGAAGATGGAGGTGAAGTCTTTGAGGCTGCTGGGGCTGGGGCAGGGGCTGATTGGAAGGTGTGGATGGGTAGAGCGTCGAAGAATTCGTGGGCTACAATGAAGGGGGTCTTGTCTGACTCTGTTGGTTGAAGAGTTAGTTTACATGCTTGGTTGAGAGAATGGAAACAGCGGATGATGTGAACAAACCTATGGGAATGGACTTGATCGTCTCGGTCCAGACGATGGGCGTTGCGCCATACTTGCTGGGGCTGTGGCAGCCCGCGTTGGACTCGGTGGAGGGAGCGTCGGGGCCGCAGAGGCGCTTCTTTTGGGTCTCGCGGAGCTCGCGGCTGGCTTCGACCATGAAGACGCTCTCGATGCTGGCGGCCATGGCGGGGAAGCGCTGGATAGTCTGCAGGATGAGTGTGTCAGATACAAACGTATACCTGATAGATGTAAGCAGCACTTACACGGAGCATGTCGTCCATGAGGGTGCCCCGGCCGGGCCCGACCTCAATCAGCTGGACGCCCTTGCTGGGCCGGCCCTGGCTGATCCACTCGGCGATGAACCAGATGCCGAGGAGCTCGCCAAAGATTTGGGAGATTTCGGGCGAGGTGACGAAGTCGCCCTTTGCGCCGAATTGGTCGCGGTCTTGGCCGACGGCGCCGGTGTAGTAGCCGCCCAGGTCGCCGGTGAGGCACATGCGCATGTAGCTGGCGAGGGGGACGGAGCCGGTGGTCTGGATGGAGTTAGTGGTGTTTACAGTAGTTGAGAGAGAAGGGTTGCTTGATGATGACCTGAGATGTATGGAGAGAAGGGGGGGTTGGAGTTTTTCATACGGATATAGCTTCATAGAGCTGCTTGGCCAGCGGGGTGGACCATTGTCTCTCTTCGGAGAGGCGGGCGCTGGTTAATGAGAAGCAGCGAGATGATGTTGATGTTGATGAGATGGCGGCTGATTTTCTGGAGAAACGGAGTGGTGTTTGGAGGAGAGAGCTTGCCAGCCTTTGTCTCTCGAGGGAGACTGCTCTGGGGAGAGAAGCTGTGGCGGCGATGAAGGGCCTCATTGCGGCGAGTGCCTGTGTGAGATGTCTTTTTGTTGCAGGTATTAATTACACATAAGACTATGAATGAATCGAGTGAATGGCTGTTGAGTTGAGTTGTTAATGGTGAATGAATGAATGGCTTTTGGCTGGCAGCTCTAAGACGCTTGAAGCTTGAAGCTTGTTTGCATGTCGTCGGCTTGACCAAATAAAACCGGAGACTTTTTTTTGCTGCCGAGTGCGCCGTGGGTACATGCCGATGGCGGGCGTTGAGCACCTTGTGGCAGGTACCTTTATTTAGATGGCTTTTTGCCGCCATTTTGGAGCTCTAGAAGCCATCGCTAGAGCTACCACAGCTTCAGCTACAGCTACGCCCGAGCCGGTTAGATTTGGCGATAAGATAACACGAAAGCCTTCAGCTGTGATGGCGCTCATGCAAGTTGGAAATTACCATTGAATGCATTTGGATGGTTGACAACTAATGCTGCTTCTGGATGTTGTCCAACACTTTGCTGCTTTTCTCTCTGACTTGTTGCCATTTTTACTTCAACTCTTGCGGAGGCTGTTCAAACTCCTCTTTGGCCAATAAGGGATTACAGTTAATGCGGTGTAAGCCTGCTGGAGGCTGTGAAGAGACTAAACAATCCGAATGACTTGAATCTTGTCTTGTAGAATCATAAACTGTTGTCTAGCCCGCCGCATCTACAAATACATCTTAGATAAGCCTGCTTACTGCATGCACTCTCTTATGCCTGGTCCAAGTCGGCGTGAAAAGGGAGCGGCTTGGGCGCATCAGCAGATGCACGATGCAAGGGATGCAGCCAATTCCAGCACCGGCAGACGCCTAAAAACCAAAAAACTCAATGGGTTGATCTGACGCGGTGGGGCTGAGACGCGCCACCATTGTTGATGCTTTTGCTGTAGCCGGTATGGATGCAGATTAGAGTCAGAGATGGATGACTTGCAGGTTCTGTGTCTGTCTGTCCATCATCCATTTCAAATCCAGCTGGCCGGCAGCAGCACGTCAGCTGTATAACGGCAATAGGGGACCCCGAGCACCAAATACGAACTTTTACCACTGCTGGATGCGCAGCGATCCACCGCATCGCCACCGGGATGGATTTTCTCGTAATGGGGCAGATGCACAATGCGTGCAGGTACCGCCTGTTATTACTGACCATATAGTTCTCTGCTAGGGCCATAACGCGGGATACCTGGGCGGAGACCACAGCATACAAAGAGGGGGCACGGGTTTGGCATGCACGCCATCATAGCGGAGGGAATACGAAGAGTCGATGGACTTGATGGGAAAAAACACGAGCTCGGCGGCTCACATGGTAAAAATAGGAACAGCCCATGGTGCAGCCACGAGGAATTGCCGTTCTAGAGCAATGCACGCAAAGGTTTTATTTTACTCTATTTATTTTATTATTTTATTTTATTTATTGTATTTCCATTCTTTTAAATCCTCTCGCCTCCATCATGTTTGCCTCTTGTCTCTACTTTGTCTTTTCTGCTGCAAAAACCTAGTGCCTGCCCTGGGCTGACTCCTAAAGTAAGCTTCCATTGTGCATTAGCCGTGTATCCCACTCCAAGCGCCGCTCCAACTGCGCAGTTTACGTGAACGTGCTGTAAAATAAATCACATAATCATGTGCACAACGAAGATTTAAGCCCACTCCATCATGATCTACTCGTCTTTATGACTTTTTCTGCAAAATCTCAGTGTACTTGCCTGCACTGACGGCTTCGGCCAGGGCCCTGTTGTTTTTTATTTATTTTTACCAACTGAGCCCGCGCCAGCCCCGATCCCGCCTAGCCCACCTACCGGCCCCTGTCTAAATCATCGACGCTACACCGCACTGGGCAATAGCGCGGCACACTGGCTTCTGGCCGCAGCCCGCATCGGCAGCTACGAGGTACCTGCTGCATGTACCTCCACGATTGCAGACCTGTCGAGAAATCTCGGCCTCTCGCCTCTCCTCCCCTTTTCTTGCCCTCGCAGCTCGTCACCACCAGAGCCTCCGTCGCCTCTTCATCGTCCCTCGCTTCTTTATCTGGCCTTTCCAGTCGCCGTGCCCGCGACTGCCTGACGCTCGCTTCTCCGCCTTTAGCTCTTGATTTGATTTGATATTCCCGTCTACCGGCCAACGATCCGACCCGCTTGTTGTACAGCCCGTCAAGAGTCACTTCCAGCCGCGACGAAGCGCTTGGCATTGCCTTGTCCAACCACTGCGTTATCGAGGGTTTCTCCTCCTTGTCGCCAGCAAACGGAATATTCTTCGCGCTTAAAATCATCTGTTACTGCATCGTTTACGTCTGAAAAGGCGTCTCATCATTGGCTCTGTTTTTCTTGGATATACCTTATACGCCATTTGCCTACAGCCTTCCTCTTGGTTTCATTGTTACAGTAAACAGCCACTTTCGACAGGATGCGTCCCACCGCTACATTGCTGCGAGTGGCCCTGTGCCTTTCCTCTGCCGCGCCTCTGGTGTCGGCGTGGCCAGGCTGGTTCCCCGACGTCGACGCCTTGATTGTTCGTGCTGATGCCGACAACAAAGGTAAGCACACGCCTTGAAGCATGTATTGATAAGGAGCATCGTCTAATCAAGTCAACAGAGGGCAGCAACACTGCGCAGCCCACTGGCGGCGGCAGCGGGCAAAACACAGCCCAGCCTACCCAGCCACCCGACAAAAACTCAAAGACCGCTGACAGCAAGGGCTCGAAAACGGACACCAAAACGGACACCAAATCCCACAAGACTACCACTAAGAAGAAGGGGCCTACACACACCACATTCGATCCCGAATCCCCCCCGGGAGGCGTCGTGATGCAGACGCCTGGTGTCTTTGCTGCTGGTGCTGCCCTCTACAGAATTGGCGACTACGTCACCTGGGGCTGGAACTACACAAACCTCCTCGGCACCCCAACTGCCATTGATGTTCTCATTGGCTGCTCGGCTGTCTCTGAAACGTGGACTCTTACGGCCAACATGACGTTTAAGACCTCTGCGGCATACACGTGGAACAGCTCAGTCCAGGCAACCGATGTCAGCCAGCCTCTCTCCAACAACATGTATACTCTCATCATCAAGGATTCGGATGCCGCAGTCACTCAAATCCCCGACCCTGGTTATCTCGGTACCTATTCGCAATACACTTTTGGCCTGTACACTTCCCAGCCATACGTTGACTATGACCAGTGGTCGTGTGACGCTTGCAACGCAGCCCTGGCCAAGTTTGATCACCACGCGCTTGGATTTGCCATCACCATGGGTTTGGTGACTGTGCTCAGCTTTACTTGGTTCGTGTCCGGAGTTGACCTCGCCTGATTTATGAGCATTGTCTCCAACGACGCATCAATCGAACCGTTGCGGTGCTGTTTGCATTGGCTGCTTGATGAATTGCACCTGCCATGGTCGTTTTGGTTGGATATTTGCATGTAGCCAAGCGTCTTGATGAAATTTTGGCATGCTCTGTGTACGGCGAATTTTGTTTTCCTGTTTTGTTTTACAGCTTTGGAGATGGGGCATTAAAGGCGATAACTGCGGGTCATTTCAAAGGCGTTTTGAATCCTTTTGAGCTGGTGTTTGTTTTGCGGACACTTTTTGGGCTGCTTGGAATAAAGAAAGGAGGAGGAGCAATAAACTGTTTTGGACGACTCTTTTATGATGGGGCCTCTGAAGAAAAAAATAATTAGCTACAAGTTTCTAATGACATATACATTTAATGGGTAAAAAGATTTTATCGTAAAAAGATTTTATCGTTTGACCCTACTCTAGTAAAAGAGTTGGTTGAGTATGGCGTACTTGTGCCGAGTCTATGTATAGTTGATCGTTTTGTTCATCCAACTTGCAAGAGCATAAACATTATGAAAAAGAAATGGCCGCTGTATATATATTCAAAACGCAGCGCTTGCCATCATACCATGCGTAAACTGAACCCGGCACCCTTCTCTTCCTTTCTCCCCTGAAAGATGCCGCTAAAGTCGACATCACCAAGGGCCACAGCCTGCCCACGCACAGGCGCATCGGGCTCGTGACGCCGTCTCCTCTCCTGACCGGCCTTGCTAGGGAACGTGGGGAACAGACTCTCGGGTTTCGGCTTGGGGTCCTGGCGGAAGTACTCGTGCTCGAGCATCTCCTTTGCGGACGGCCGCTTGTCCGGATCGAGAGCGAGTAAAGAGTTGAGCAACGAGGCGCCGGCGGTGGTGAGGCTGGGAAACTTGGCGCGAATGACGGAGCCCGTGGCGGACTGCTGCTGCTGCTTGGGCGGCAGGCGGAGGGAGCGGGCGTTGGGCAGGCGGCGAAAGGAGGGCCAGGACTCGTCGGTGGGGAAGCCGCACAGCTGGAAGATTTTGGATATCTGGTCGACCTCGTTGGAGCCCTGGAGGAGGGGCTCGCGGGCAATGAGCTCGCCAAAGATGCAGCCGACGGACCACATGTCGACGGGGCTGGCGTAGGAGCGGGTGCCGAGGAGGAGCTCCGGGCTGCGGTACCACAAGGTGACGACGAGCTGGGTGAGTTTTGGGGTGGGGGACTCGCCGACGTAGCGGGCCATGCCAAAGTCTGCGATCTTGAGCAGGCCGCGGTTGCTGAGGAGGAGGTTGGAGGTTTTGAGGTCGCGGTGGAGGATGTAGTTTTCGTGCAGGTAGGAGACGCCGGAGGCGAGTTGGAGGAGGAGGCGCTTTACTTCGGAGGAGAGGAAGGGTTCGGGCATGTCGTCGAGGATGGATTTGAGGTCGTGTTCGACGAATTCGAGGACGAGGAAGATGGAGCTGGGGATGCCAAGTCAGCTTTCTCTCAACAGATTGCTTGGAGCGGTATCGGGCTGTTCTTACTTGTCTGGCTTGCCAATATCGTTGCCTACGACAACCTCTTCCAGCTTGACGACGTTGCGGTGCTGGCAGCGCTTGAGGATCTGGATCTCGCGCAGGCCGGTGACGGGCAGGCCGTTTGGGTCGGCGGCCTCGAGCTTGAGGCGCTTGATGGCGACGACGCGCCCCGTGGAGAGCTCGGTCGCGCGGGCGACGAAGCCGTAGGTGCCTTCTTCGATGTCGTTGAGCTTGTCGTAGTGGTCGACGCTGCGGCTGGGGGCGAGGGAGCTGCTGGAGGGGGGGTCGAAGCGGAGGAGTCTTGGGGGAGCTGAGGAGGAGGGTGGTTCGGGGGTGAGTTTTCGGCGTTTGGAGGGTCGGGAGGGATCGTCGTGATCGTTACTGAGGTTGGTGTTGTCGGCTTGTTGTGCTGCGGCGGCTTTTCTTCGAGCTGCTTCTTCTTCTGCGAGCTTTTGTGCCTTTTCGGCTTTCTTGCGGCGCTTTTCTTCCTTTTCAAGCTTGAGCTTTGCGTCTAGCTCAGCGTCTTCTTCGGTGTTTGCCCATCTTGATTTGGGCTTGGTGGACATGACGTTTTTTTTTCCCCTCTCGTGGTGTCGTTGGACTCGCGCGCTGCTGCTGCTGGGGTGATTTATTTTCTGAGTTGATTTTGAGGAGTGAGTGGGATGCTGGCACTGGCTGATTGATTGAGCAGCTGTGGTGGTTGGGTTGGATTGGTTGATTATGAAGTTGAAGCAGCGAGGTTGTAATACGGAAATGGATGGAGCTGAGGTTAGAGGTTGTAGAAAATACAGTGGGCCGAGCTGCTGCTGTCTGGGGTTGCAGTGCATGGGCCGTGGCGTGGGGCAGCCACATGCTGGAAGATGCTGTAATCGTGCTGTATCAGAATGTTTACATACAGGGAGATGTCTACATCTATGCGTGAGATCTTGCTCATTATATTCAACATCATCGCCGTCACTCGCTCTGCCTGCCCGCCTTCTGCTGCCGCTTCAGCTCCCTCCGCTCCTCGACAATGCCCGCCATCTTGGCCCCGACCTCGCTCCCCAGATCCTTGAAGCCCTTGATGACGCCGTCGGAGTCGCCATCGCCCGTCTCCTGGCTCATCTTGAACTTGCCGCCCATGTGCTCAATCCTGATCTCCAGCCCGATGATGTTCTTCTTCATGATGTTGATGTACGGCTCCGGCGCATCGGCCACCTTCCACGCCGACGGCCTGCCGTTTTGGCCCGTGTAGCCCATGGTGACCTCCTCGTTGAAGCTGGACAGCGCGTCAATCTGCCTGTCGAGGAACGCCGACGTCTCCTCGGCGCCGGAGTCGATGTAGAAGGTGGCCTTGCCGTAGACCTGCACGGCGGCGTAGTTCCACGTGGGCACGACCTTTGCCGTCGCGGGCTTTGTGGTGGTGTAGAACTTGGGCGTGACGTAGTGATGCACGGGCGACGTGAACATGACGAGCACGTCTTGCTGCAGCGTCCTGGAGGTGTCGCCGGCGGCCTGGCGGCTCTTGATCTCCTCGATGATGGCCTTGGCCTGCGGGTTTGCGCGCGCCATGTGCGCCCTCAGCACGCCGAGCTCCGTCTCGCTGGACTCATCGTCGACGTCGAGGACGAAGGGGATGTGGCTGCACTGGACGAGGGGGAAGTTGGGCGAGGCGATGACGGTGGTGAACTGGCCGAGCGGGTTCTCGCGGACGAGGTTCCGCAGCACCGGGAGGCTCTTTTCGGCGTGGTCGTTGCGGAGATACATTTTGGGAAGGCCGAGATGAGTGGTGCTGCTCTTCTTTTGCTTCTTCAGGCTATTTATTTTGCGGTCGGGTAAAAGCAGTGCCGCTGAGTCAACTACGGGTCAATCCATCACCAAGTGTCTATATCGTGTGACTAGAATGGTTCCAATCTCATTACTTGATCTAACATGACACATCCGGTCCCGAACCGGAGGGCGCAAGACCGGGCCGTTCACATGGAGTCGATTGCCCGATTTAGCTGCGCGTTGGAGGTGGAGCTCGCTCGTCCATGCTCGACTCAGTTAGCCGCCGTTTGTGCATCTCCGACAGATGCCATAAGAGGAATTGCTGTCCATCTGATTGGGCAGTTGTTTGGGAGCTCGTATTGGTGCTGTCTAACCTAGATGGTATGTAATATCCTTGGATGCTTGCAAAGGATTTTGTCGAGGTATCTGTGGCTTGGTAGTGCAGGATTGCTACGAGGTTTCATTTACATGAATCGGTTGTAATTGCTGGTGATGTTGTGGCTAAATTGGTCTGTAAACTTTGTTAATTGTCTTCTCGTTAATTATCCAAGTTGCCACCATACAGTAGAACTATATACGCCAATCCTCGTTGTACAGAAAGGCCATTTCAATTCAATATATGGCATCGAGCAGCCGAAACGTCTCGTATAATCGTACGGTCGTTTATTTATTCAACGATGTAGCTTGTGGATATGCATGTATAATCTGCCAGTCTCATGACTCAAGTGTCCGTCTCTCGACAGCCTTGGCCACCCAATATCTCAACACATGGGTCACACAGTACAACGTTCATTACATCCAAGACGCATGATTTTGTCTCTTGTAGTACCAGTCACTCGGAGCCAAAGTCATGTGCCCTCCGTTGCCATTGTAATCCTCTCGCTGGGATTGTGCAACTCTGAGCTGCGAAGCCTCGGCCACTCTCTTCTCCCATATCCAGTCACACTCGCAAGTATACCATCTCAGCAAGCTAGAGAGAATATATACATCCTGGGCACAATAAGCCTGGATGTCTTTGCTGAGAGGACGTTCGTTAAACACCTCGTAACTTCCCCCATGCTCTGGGCTGAAGAGCATTTTGCCCTTTTCCTTGGTCTGCATGAACTCGGCTTTCTCGCGGTCCGAAAGGGGAGAGTCTCTTTCAATGCACTTTGCTAGCCCCTTGACATACTTTCCAGCAACAGGTCGAGCGGCAAGCTCCCAAAGCTGGAGATCGACGACGCCAGCCAGTTTGATTTGGAAGTGGCTGTACAGAGAATCTGAATCGTTGCGGACATCGAAGAAGACCTTTGGCGTGGATTTGGACTCTAGGATATCTATCAACGTGAGGGGGCTTATAGTTGCTGGCGTCGAAAAGCACTTCTCTTTAAGAATGAGAACGTCTATGAGGTAAACTTTGTTGGTGGGGTGGATGTAGAGCTGCAATATGGAGATGGTGCCGTGTCTGGAGAGATTGACTCCTTCGAGGTCGATGTATATTGACGGCGGCTCTCTTGGTAGGCCTTTGAGTGAGTCTATAAGAGCTGACAATGCAGAGGGAGTGTCAACCAGGACCGAGGCTGCTGGTTTCTCCATTTCCACTTCTCTTTGTTTGCGGTAACTCTTAGACCGAAAACAATAGAGGCCGGTATGCTGGAAATATCTTGGCTTTGAGATATATTTTGGGGAATATCGTCTCGTGCAGTCTTGGAAGTACGAGACACTCGAAAGTAATTGGCCGAGATTCGTGAATGGGTGTTTGTAAAACAGGACTCGAGACGGTAAATTAGAGATGCGAAGAGAAATTTGGATTCTTTTGCTTCTCGGTTCTTGGGGAATAGCTGCCTACTACTATTTATGCTATTGGCATTTGCAATTTGAGTTTGCAAGGCTTGATTAAGAAATCTTGTGTAAAGATATATACCGCAGTGGCACTTAAACTTTTATCAGGAAGCTTTTACTGTGTGAATCTTTGGTATATCTCGGTGTATCTACGATACATTCTGCTTCGCAAAGCCACCGAATCTTTATTTATAAGCTTTGGGCTGTATTACCCATGAGATAGCAAAGAGAGCCAAGGTTGCTTTTCCGTTATTGGTCCAATTCTAGCGCAACATCTTTCTTTTGCTTGAAGTAATTTATATTACAAGCACTATCTATCTTGTTTATCAAAGCAAGACCTTACTATTTTACTTGCAATTTGAGTAATCAGAGGAGCACCTCGTAATAGTGTGACGCTGTAGAAAGAATTAGAACACTGCATCGACTTTGAGGCTGTATTATCAGTGTAAATTATTTCGTATAATTCAGATGCAAAGTTATTTTGCTCATAAATTCAGGTCTCATAGTTTTTGTCGTCATACACATACACATATGCATACATATAGATGCATAATTCATTCTAGATACCTGCTCATCTGGTTGCAAAGGGGTTCGGAAGAAGACCCTTCCGAAGCGCCGGCTGAGTACATGTACCTGCGTGTATGGACCTCGTATCGCTTCTAAAACACTGCATCTCTCTCATTGTTCAATCTGCTCCGCTATAGATCGTGATATTATCCTTTGCTTCCACTTCAGCAGCACAGCTATTTGATCTGGGTACATGTACCATGCCGCAACAAGAGCTCCGCAAAAATTGCTCCAACTTCCAGCCAATCGACACTCTAGTAAATAAAGCCCGTGTTGCAGAACTGCTTTTCTCTCTCGTTGATACTGACGACCTCCTGGTAGAAGCGTCCACGCTTCCATCGCCTAGATATGGCAGTGGCTTGCGTCGGCTGGGTACCCAAAGTCGGCCTTTGGAATTGATTCGTTGATGCCTGTCTGTCTAACAAAAATAGTCATAGGTCTGCCCTCGCCACACATCGTTTTCCAAAGACAAAGATGCTAAGGCTCTCTTAGACCCTTGGTATTGCTGTTAGAACGACCATTCGCTTGGCACTATGCAATCCTTACACTTACCTTGATCTCCTCCATTATGCGCAGCAGAGCCTCATTAGCCTCAGGAGTCCACTCCGTCGGCCTGGGCTTGGCCACAGCCCTGCGCTTGGAACGGCTGAATTGGTTGGTCTCGACCTCGTTGATGCCGTTGGCCACATACTGCCAAAACTTGGTGCCAAACCACTTGTGCGCCTTCACAAACGCATTGTCGCTCTTTTCCGTGCCCGTCAGCCGGCGAAACGCGTCCCTCATCTGCCCCTGGCCCTGGAGTCGATCCTCGGCACTCGTGCACGTTAGCCGGTCGCAATAGAGGAGGAGGCCAGCTAGCCCGCTGGCAAGCGCCGTCGCGATCGAGCTTCCCGATTTCTGGGTGATAGAGAAGCCATCTGGCGTGCGTTGTTTGAAGGAGATACCTTTGCCGGGGAGCAGGTACTCGAACTGGTTGTTGGGGACCCAGGTACACTTGTCGCCGAGCGCGGTGGCGGCCCCGATCTTGATGCATTTGTTCCACTTGCCCGGGTAGCAGTTCTCTGTTGCGTTGGCGCCCTGGTCACTTGCAGCGCAGAACATCAGGATCTGGTTTGACTCGGCGGCGGAGATGGCTGCTTCCAAGTCGTACAGGTCTAGGTTCTGCTGATGCGTCTGCTCTTCGATGGTCCAGCTCATGGAGATGATGTCGACTTTGCAGGCAACGGCCCACTCGACGGCCTTGAGAAGAAGAAGAAGAAGAATAAAAAATCAGTTTTCAAATTCCACCATGGGATGATTAATAGCAAGGGGGACACCGGGGGGAGAGCTGCTAACTTCTGCTGCCGACTGCACCGTGATTTGACGGCTCATGTCGTTCCGATTGGTGCTCTCATCCAGCCTCGCTACATAGAGCTGGACAGAGGGACAGATGCGGCAGATCAGATCCGCCATCATCGTGCCGTGGTGCCCCGACGGAACGTAGTACGCGTTCGTGGAGTTGCCAGACCCGCTCAGGGGCCAGAATGACCTCCCGGCTGCGATTTTCCCTGTGAAGATGTCTAGCGAGACATCGATTCCATCGTCTATGATGGCAATTTTGATGGGCGTGTTCCGCGCGCGAATCGACTTCTCGCTGGAGAGGAAGACGGCAAATCTTTCGAGCTCGCTGATCCATGAAATCTCTCTGGCAGACACACACATTCTAGTCAACGCGTTTCAAGAGGAGAGGGCCGGGCGATGCAGAAGCATTGACTTACTGGTGGGTGATGATATTGTTAGTACCAAAATAGGCAGCATAGCTGACCTTGCCGTCGTCCAGGCGGTGCTCTACCTCGATGGGCTCCTGTTTATATTTTTTCTGGACCATGATCGAGCGAACCTTTCTTTCGAAAGCTTCTATGTTACCCTCTCTTCTTTTTGTCGACGCTTTGCCCTGTTGAGATCAGTATGCAAAACTTATTCTCTCACGTATAAACGAGGAACAGACAACACTCCTACCTGCTGTATAAACAATCGGACTTTCCGTAGCTGATAGAAGTTTAATAGGCTGGCGTTGGCACTTGTTGAACGCTATAAAAAAAGTCAGGGGCGTCTTACCTGCGGGAACTTCTCTCGATTTAGAAGTCCTTCTGAGCTGGCCCATCCCATAAGGACAGCGTTGTTTCCCGAGGAATAGAGAGAGATGCTCTTGATCTGATTAGACGATGCAGCAATCACGTCCGTGCACAGGTCATCCCTTTTCCAGTCCCAGTTCTCAACCTGAAAACCCTTCAGAGCTTCCTCGATCATCTCATCGCTGTGGCTGGGATGACCATGATCGATCACAGTAACGGTGATGATACTTTTGACACCATTTTGGCGCAGCCAGTCAAAGACATCTCTTAAATCAGCTACTTTGCTCTTCTTGACCGGAGAACTGACGATAGACTTATTAGTAGTGTCGACCTCAAAGATTCGCATCTGGGCATGGGGGCACTTGGGGCATACGTCGATTTTTCACCATTTTCACCATTTTTACCATTTTCACCACTCGTTTCTTCACATTTGTCAAGCGTAAGCTTTGGCAGAGCAACATATAACAATATACTCTCCAATTTAAGATTGTTCGAAAGACATTTGAGAAGGGATTTGGAGATTGTCGGATCCGGTAGCCCGGACAAGTCAAAGTCGATGTCTCTCTCTGTTGACAGCCATGAAGTCAGATATGTTCGTCTTCAGAAAGGGTAAAATTATTAGATATACTTACCGTGTCCTGGCTGGTACAGGCATTCCGCAATACGACCTCGATCGAAGTTGTGCAAACAGTGGGACCGGATCGCATCCGCGACCGGATCCTCGATAATTACTAGCCGGAGGGCACTATCCATATCTCTCTTAGACACCCTAATATCTCCTTGTTCCAAGAACTCGATTAGATTCTTCCAAGCATCTTTGAGGTCCGACAGCCTCATCTGATAGGGCGTCAACTCCTCTGGGAGCTCCTCCGTGGCTTCATTGTCTATGTCGCAATCGACTACGCCCTTATCGCTCAAAAATGTATCGCGGCAGCTGATCAGTAGTCTTATTACCTGCACCTGAGACATTCGGCCTTCAGGCTCTTGGAGGTCATGGACCAGCTTCAGCAGTAGGTCTGACGGCCTTGGGCGTGACCTGGCTCTCTCTGCCCGAACTCAGGTTTATTTTCTTCCATTCATCGAAGATGGAGACTATTTTGATAGTGTGACTGTCTGTAGCAGATGCTGGCTTCCGAATTTCATTGATGCGAAGTTCTTTGTATTTTTGGGCCAATAGCTTTACCACCGGTGATGTTGATATTACGGCCAAGTGCATATGGGTCTGATGCCACATATTCTTCTGCTCGAGGACCATTTCTAAATCTATTATGTTAGTGTGAGTAAGAACTTCCTCTATGAAGACGTAATTCCTTTTGAAAAAGGCAATATGAAGAGGATAGTCTACTAAATCCACCCCCCATTCCATTCTTTTCGTAAGAAAATGGCTGTGATGCTCCAGAAGCCATTTCATAAAGCTGCAGAATCTCCCTTCTGGCCAACCCTGGGCGTCTTCAGCTTCTCCTGGTGCGCTTCTCTCTACGAGGACACGGAGAAAGTTCTTCAGTGTCCTCCGCCGGAACAGATCTTCGTATTTGTTGCGAAAGCGGTCAACTTCGACCGAATCTTGTTTGCTAAAGTCCAATTTTTTGGCCTCGTTGAGGATCGACTCGGATGTGGGAATGTTCTCTTCGGCCCCATTTGAATCGGAGGATACTGCAAGATTGTCGAAACTTATTATGATTTGCGGTGGAGCTTGGATGTTATCTTTGTCATCCATTCTGGTTGTGTTTGAAACCTTCAGATGTTGCTCTAGAGAAAAGCAAGTGAGTGCGGATTAGGGTAGGGAGAAATGGACCGACTTTAACCCCCTTGAAATGAACACAGGCTTTTGAGCTTCCTCTCAACTTTCTCCATGCGGCAGAGGGATGCAGAGTGCTTGGAGGGATGTGTGCTGGTCTTACTACTACGAAGTGGCTGGGGACGGCTTGCATATTTACAAAGTATAGACTACATCTGGGCGGCGTTCGTACGGGCCTGCAACATTCAGCTCCACCAGTCCATGCAACGTTCCGCACTTGAGAAGCTGATACTGCACCACGGGCTGACACTCCCCCTCCCCTAAGGCCTCCATCTTTCCTCTGCTGCCATACCGATCAGCGTCTAGCATGGGCAGACCCTAGTCTTCATACCGAAACCATCCTCGTCATTGTTCGAGAGCATCAATACTCATGGACGAGCTGATAATCGATCTCTCCGAAGTGGCCGACTCTGGGCTAGGGGGCGTTTTTCGCGGCAGAGGGGATCGAAACGTTTACCCAAAGGTCCTCATGGACAGCGGCGAGAAGAAACAAGTCAAAGCAAAGCTCATCCATGTCATCTCTGGCACGTTCGACGAAGCTGGCGATCCCGCTGCACTACTTGTTTTCGAATTTCATTTCCACATGCCCAGCGGCCGGCGATTCAAGCACACGCTCATCACAGTGACTTTTGAAGACGAAAAGGGCCCCTCGATTTTGGACCCCGAGGTCTATCGGATCTCCCCCGAAGGTCGCTACGCCCTGGACAAGGTGACGAACTCAAAGGACGTCTCCCACGCCGTCGACGCCGCTGTCAATGGCGGCGTTGGGGGTGCTAATTTGGAGCTGGGATATCACTGGAAAATGGACCGAAACATTGAAAAGGAGCACTCGGGGACGCTCCGTGGGCTCTCTAGGAGATTCAAGACCTACGGGGAGGAGACGAGCGCCGTATGGGAGATTGAAGAGGACCCTGTCAAGAAGGAGGGTATTCCAACCTTCTTGAGATCTGCACTCATTCTGCGGCTGGACGATGAGAGTGACAAATTTCAGTTCACAGTCAAGATTGAGACGCGCGAGAGCAAGCTGCTTTTTGGGTCCAGATCTTCCAGGATGATCGACCCCTTCAATATCGACCCAGCATCTAATTGTTTGGCAAAAGAGGCAAACATAGATACCGCCAATTTGGGAGAAGTCGACTTGTCCAGCCAGTGTGTTGTCAAGCTAGCAACGCTGATGAGTACAACTTAGAGGGTACGACGGCGCCCATCAGGAATAATCGCCGAGGAGGGAGTGGTGGGCATTGGTTCTATTCGTCGTGTCAGCTATCTATTCGAACTCGTTTCTCATTTGTATTCTCGCCACTATAACTTTAGCTAATACTTATCCATCCCAACCAATTATCCCAAAGACCATAATGAAATGTAACTCGAGTAAGATGAGGTTGGTGTTTTGGCGCAGTTGATTGGCTCAAGCACGATGCAGTACCACGGCATACCCCTCAGTTAGTGAGAGTTGCCCGAGTCTGCCCGAGCTTTGCGTGGTACTGTTGAGAATTATCCGATCTTTGTGTAGCACCGTCCTGCTGGTTTGGGCCTCTAGGTGGGGGGCCTGATTGCCATCCTGCATGTGATCCAACAAGAGTCGGACGCGTCCAAGGATCTTTCAATGTACAGAATACTTGCTGGCTGAAGCTGTTTGAAAGAACATGTGGTCTGTGATTAAAGATGAGAAGCCTCGTGTGGCTGGGAACAAAGGGTGGATTGGAAGACAAAGAAATGCCCACTCTGTTTCCGGAGAAAGATTTTCACATTGACCGTTATAAATAGTTAACCATGAAGTCTGAATGTTGGTATAGAGCTTCTGATAGAGGCAAGTGTTGTCATCGACCTAAAGGGCGTATCAACGAACCATGTCGAGAAACCTCTTGTAAGAAACCTCTCCGGAAACAAGGCTCTGCAGTATGATAGTCTGGCCGTCGATAAAAAGCTGAACTGGCCATATCTTCACATTTAGCTTCATAATAGTAGGGGGGATAACGAGACCATTTACCGATGTTGATGGTGATCCCTCTAGCCTGGTTAGAAAGTTGAAAGAATGGTTCCCAGAGTCTCGATGCATCGTACACAGTCCCTCTATATCAACAGAAGAAATCACAACTGGAAAAGAGTTCATAGAAGAGCAAACAAGCTTGTTACTCCACAAGGTCGCACTCGGACTCGACGTCGAATACAATGAAGACAACATAGGAGGAAACAAGGCTCCAGCATCACCAGGACTAGTGTTCCTTGGCCACGACATAGGAGGGTCCTTAATCATGAAGGTAACCATTCTTGTCGTTTGTGACGTCTAGGCTGCGAACTAACTTTGTAATATCAGGCACTTATCCTGGCGTGCAGGAAAGGCTCATCTTATCGACAGATTTCAGAAAACACGATAGCAGCAGTAAGCACAGGATTTGTCCCTCAAAATCTCGGTAGAATGAAACTAATCTTAGCAGGTTTTCTTTGGAGTCCTTCAGAGGGCTCAGATATCCGAGCCCTGGGACCGGCAGATTCTTAATCTTTTCTCTGTCTCGCCTCTTCGCGTCTATACGTTCTTTTCGAGTACTAGCAAGGACTTTTCTGATGTATTATATGAGCTTTCTGAATCCTTTAGCAATATATCCGGGCCATACAAGCTCTTCAATGTGTTTGAGCAACCAAAGAGTACAACGAGGCCAACTGTGGTAAGTAAATACAAATACCGCTCTATCTATTTCTGCTTGAAACGAGACCATTTTATATTGGGTAATTCCGCACTAACTCAGATATGGTAGGTTATATCTCAATACTCAGCTACCAATGACGCAGTCGTATCGGAGAACTTTGGCGCTGCCCGTGTTCACACAGATCTCTGCGATATTCACGATGGTGATCCACTGGCTGAATGGCTGAAACTTAAGCTCAACAATCTCGAGCATATCATGGACGAGACAACTGGTAAGACGGCCTTTTTATTTATTCGAAAACAAGGACAAAAGCTAAGCCATAGCAGCTATCTCGGATCTATACCACAGTTTCATCCGCGCGCTAGCCAAAATCGACCCAAATCTGCAGCACATAATAATACCGGAGACAACTCCGGCCTCTGGTTCCATGGAATGGGTCAAAACTCATTCCGGTTTCAATCAATGGGCTAATACCGAAGAGATAGGGTTTTTGCACATCTGCGAAAGTCTTGGATCTGGTGCAACAGTTCTCGCGTCTCACATTGTCGGCGTGGTTCGTGAGAAAGACGCGAAGAAAGAAATGTATTTCCTGGGCTTCTCGTTCGACAATGGGGACGTGTATGGGTCTTCAATGGAGACCATGATTCTCTCTTTTATCTGTCAACTGTTGTCACAGAGACCAACTTTATTCCACCATATAGTCCGCCTCGCCATGTGGATCACTCAACGAGAATGCTCCAACAAAAAGACGCTGTGGGTGCTATTCTGGTCCCTAATATCCCATATAGAAAATGGTCAGTTGGTCATCACTATACAGGCTATTCAAGAGTCTAGCTCTCCGGTGAATGAAATTGTCGACCAGCTATATTCGCTCCGGGGCCTTCCAAAACTGGGCGTAAAGATAATTATAACGAGTGATTATGAAAACGGAAAATCGGATTTATTGGGACAATGTTTGTTAGTACAACACCTGCACACGATTTGGCTAGAGAGTGACGAAGATACGAACCTTTCTGTCAAGGAGTTGGTTCGATCCCGAATCGATAGGCTGCTTGAATCCAGAGCATCTTGCAAAGACCTGGGTGACATGATTATGGACTATCTCTGGTCTTCAACGCCGAGCTTCTATTGGGTAACGGCTAAGATTGATGTATTGGAAGCTCAGCTCTCTAAGGCAATTTCTTCGAGGCGCACATTGCTAGAGAAGCTTGAACATTTCCCCTCAACTATTGATGAGCTTTTTAAAGTGATGGTACAGAGGATTCCACTTGACTATATCAATTGGATTCAGCCTGGCAAGGGACTGTCCTGGATCATGTACGCTTTGCGCCCCCTGACGAGCTCGGAATTTGCCGTGGCCGCAGCGTTTGATCAGTTTGATGCCAGCACCACCTTAAAGTTGGACGAGTTTGGGGACACAATCTCATCTGATCTTCCAGGGGACATCAATCGAATTGCGGGCCCCTGGGTCAAAGTCGAGGACGGGAGGATCAACATCGTCAATACAGCGCTGAAGGCTGTGCTTCTTGCTCAATATCCGGAAGATGAGTCATTTATTGAAACAATGCTCCTTTTGAAGTGTATCCGCTACCTCGACTGGGTAGATTTGCGGGTCGGAAATGACCAATCTCGAGAAGAAAGTTGTGAATCGCGGGACTTTAGGAATTCTACCGAGTTTGACTTTGTGCCTTACGCGTCTGTCTACTGGCCGGATCATTTCCAAAGAGCTGCGCCTGTGTCCTCGGATGTTTTGGAAGAGGTATTGGCGTTTTTGGAGAATAAATTGCAGTTTTGGTCTTCTCTGGCACGGAAACACCGACCAAATCTCCTCAGCTTGGATGTCTCGGAATCGCCTCTAAAGACAGCGGCAAGCCTGGGGTTGACACAAGTCGTTGAAAGAATGTTGTCTTATATAGAGAAGCCTATTTCCGAGGAAAAAGAAACACTCATTCAGGAGTCGATGATGCTGGCAATCGAGCACGGGCACTCAAAGATCGCGCTGAGGCTCTATGAGATGCAGTCATTTTGCAAAGCTCCTCAGTTACACAAAGCAGCCTCTGGAGGGTTCAACGAGCTCCTCCGTGGGTTTCTAGAGTTTGATTTGGTCAAGGCATCTATTGACAGCTACAATGCCTTTGGCTACACCCCCTTGCATTACGCTGCTCAACATGGGCACGCTGACACGGTGAATCTGCTGCTCGAGAATGGAGCAAGTGCCAATCTTGTATCTGACGATGGAACCAAGACAACAGCATTGCATCTCGCTGTGCGGGTCGCAGACCTGGATATTATCAAAGCCCTCATCCAAAGGGGCGCTGATGCAACAGCACGAGAGTCTTCTGGGTATAATGCAGTGGCACTTTCTGCTGAAGGCGGGTTTGATGAACTCATACGATTCTTTATGACTGACTATATTAATGTTCAGATGGTTCAAGACACTATTCACGATGGAAACAAGCCGCTCCATCTTGCCGCAATGTATGGACACACGTCGATGTGCAAGTTTCTTGTCCAGCAGCAGGCAGATGTTAAAGCCGTCAACGGCAACGATGAGACTCCGCTTCTTCTGGCTGCCAAAGGAGAATTCTGGGGCACTGTAGGGCTCTTACTTAACATTGAGAAACAGAGTCGAGGAGACCCCAAAAAGACTCGGGAGATCAGCAGCAACGGGGAGGAAAGCGAAACCGAGGCCGTAGATGGAGCTTCCACGAGTGATGAGAGCCGACAAAATGTTGCATCGCCGTTGCAAATTGCAGCTGAGCTGGGCCACACAGCCGTTATCAGGTTGCTCCTGAAATATGATGATTGCACTACAGGTGACAATGTAGACAAGTCTCTGAGGCTAGCAGCCGCCGAGGGCTACGTACAGTCCGCCAAGGCTCTCTTGGATAAGACGACGGCCACAGATCCTGTGGATTCCGAGGGCAACACGGCCCTCCATTTGGCAAGCAGGCACGGCCATGCGGAGTTAGTTTGTGTCCTACTGGACTCTGACAAATTCAGCAAAGATCTCCCCAACGAGGGAGGAATGACAGCAATGCATCTAGCCGCCAGGGAGGGCTATACAGAAGCCGTGGCGATTATTCTGGAACATGAAGGTTCGGCAGAGATAACGAATGCGGACGGAGATACTCCAATGCATATTGCCGCGGCCAAAGGCTATATCAACGTTGTAGAGCTTCTATGTGCTAAAAACCCTAGCATCAGATACGAAAGAAATAGCGACAACGAGACACCCCTGATTCTGGCAGCGAAGAGGGGGCATGTGGCTGCTGTGAAGAAGCTCCTTCATGTTTCCGGCTCTGGGAGCAAGCAGAATGGAAGTACTGAAGTCTGGGGAGATTTTTATCCTCTCCATTCTGCTGCATTAGAGGGCTACGACGAGCTTGTCCGGCTATTAGTAGCCGAAGAGAAATACAACGTCAATATTCGTCGCGATTCGGACCAACAAACCCCTATTCACGCCGCCATGCAAAACAAATCGGCAACAATGATCTCCTTGCTGATACATCTGGGCGCAGACGTCACTGCAGCTGACGAAGACAGAGATACAGCACTTCATTTGGCCGCGTCCATGAACCATCTCGAGGCATGCCAGACACTTCTCTCACACATGTCTGACTCTGGGATCGAAGCAATCGATCTCTCAAACAATGAGAATGAAACACCATTGTACCGAGCATGCTGTTTTGGCCATACTGATGTCGCGAAATTGCTCCTCGATAATGGAGCTGATTGCAATAAGCACTGCACTGAAGGCTGTACGCCTCTTCACATCGCAGCTTTCTTGCGCAATTTGAACGTCGTCAGATTGCTTCTAGATAAGACTGCAGATTATAATGCTCTGGCCGATATAGAGGCTACACCCATCATGCTGGCTGCGCAAGAGGGCCACGCCGACGTCACTGCCATGTTGTTTGAGGCTGGTGCTGCCGTAGACATGGTCGACTCGAAGGGATCAACGGCGCTTCACTACGCTGCCTGGGACGGACACCTCGATTGTGTTGAGTTCCTCGTTGAAAAAGGGCATGTAGACTATAGCCTTCCGCGAAAGGACGGACGAACGCCGCTGCATCTCGCCGCTGTAGATGGACACGTCGATGTGGCCAAGTATCTTCTGGAAAAGGGGGCGCAGCTGAGCGTCACGGCGGAAACCTTCGGAACCCCTTTGGAATGCGCAATAAAAGGAGGCCAACTTGAGGTCGTCAAGTTGCTTGTTGGCAAAGGTGCTGCCACCACGATGGACATGTCGGAGCCCGCGTCGTGGGGGAAGAACATCATGATACTAGACTTTGCACAGAAGCATCCGTTGAACTTTAATATCGCACTTTCGACTTATATGCTGCAACAAGCCATCATCTTGCCCGACAACAACCTTGCGTTGGATCTCTTGGAGAAGATAACAGACGTGAATGAAGAATGTGAGCCGTACAAGACCGTTCTGCAGGCGGCGGCGTGGAAGGACGCGACGAGTGTCATGGAGAAGCTTCTCCTAAAAGGCGCTGACCCCAACATCAAGGGAGGCGAATACGGCAGCGCCCTTCACGCAGCCATCGAGGGCCGGAATGTGCGGTCAGTGAAGCTGCTTCTCGAGCACGGCGCTGATCCGGCCATTGAACACAAAGGAGAAGGGGCCATCTTTCCTGCTTTCCGAGTTGGCAATCTTGAAGTCGTCACGGCTCTCCTGGACAAAATGGACAGCACAGCCAGAGCCGCAAAAGACAGAAACGGGCGCAGCCTACTGGCTTGTGCGATAGGCGTGAAGAACAAAGATATTGGGGACTATCTAATTTCTATGAATCTTGTTCCCATCCAAGACAAGGATCTCTATGGACGAACGCCGCTCATGGAGGCCGTCCTAAGCGACAACGCCGACATGGTCAAGACTCTGTTAAGAATGGGAGCAGACCCCAATGCCAGCGACACCGAACGGAAGACGCCACTCATCCGGGCCATAACCTCCCACAGCATCAACCAAGAAATCGTAACCGCCCTCTTGGAGCATCCCAGATTGGACCCCGAGCTCGAAGACTGCCGAGGGCGGAGCTACAATTACTGGGCTGCCCGGCTAGGCCTCGAAAGGGACGTCATCGAGTCTGGCGTGAACGAGTACGCTAGGTTCTCAATCAAATGGCTCCGATTTAGCCTGGTCTTACAGGCCGCAATAGCTTCGGGTAAGGAAAGCATTATAAAGAGCACCATTGCAAACATGAACACCCGGAACAAGCATTTGACCGAGCCGGACGGGGACGGCTGGACGGCAAGTTATACCACGACGAGGTACCAATTGGAGGGCATGTATGAGCTCAAGGACAAATTGAAAGACTTATTCAGGCCTCTCACAGTTCAAGAGCCCCGGAATTGGCATGAAGAGGATAAGTCACCGTGCCTACAGGTTTCGGACGAGGGGAAACTCGTCACGGTGATGAGTGAGTTTCTCCAACATATCTTATCGGAAGTCCTTTTTATTTCCACCTATCATGCATCTCCAACATGGATTTCATTCAAAAATCTCTGCAAGCCAATCCCTTTTAGGTCAATCAAATAGCTAACCTCTATTGGAATCCTTTTGAGCAGGCAGCCCTGGAAATCCAAGCTATCACTTTCAGACAGAGGCAGTAATCCGTGCCGACCACGCCATGCCCGGCAATCAATTATACTACTTCGAGATAGAGGTCATGGAGGGTGCTAAAGATAAGTCTGTGGCCAGACCTACGTTTTCATTTTTTATCGTTGTCGCAATCTTTTCTGAGGGCTAACAAATTCATTATCTCGGCAGGGTCATTGGCGTAGGATTTTGCGAGGAGTGTGCAGTCCTAGATCGTATGCTAGGTTCGAATAAAGGATCGTGGGGTTACCACGGAGGCGACGGGTATACCTGCTCCTCGAGTAGCTGTAGTAGCTATGGACCGCAGTACTCTAAGGAAGATGTCGTCGGGTGCGGTGTCGACTTTGACAAGGGGGTTGCCTTCTTCACCTTGAATGGCAAATATCTTGGTGAGTTGTCTCTGAACCCAACGAATCTCTGAAGCATATTGCGGAGGAATAAATGAGTTGACTAATGAGTTGTTTTGCACTCTTCAAAGGCATAGCGTTTCGAGGGATCAAGGGCAAGTTATACCCGGCTGTGTCCTTTGATTTTGCATCCGAAGGGTGTCGTGTTCTGGCCAACTTTGGACAGAAGCAGTTTTTGTTCGATGTGTCTAAGTGGAATGCCGAGGAAGCACTAGCTAAGCCACCCCAGAACTAATGGGGGAAGGGCTGTTACTTTGGTCAAGGTTTCTAAAGGTGAAGAGTCAGTTCGGATTATGAAAGATCGCAAACCGCTCCTGAGTGGCGGCGTTGCTACGGAAAGAGCTGTATATATTGTTGGAAGGGATTGGGTGAGGAGAGCCGGGCTTTGTCATTGCATTAGTACATTATGTCCTGAGATTGAAAGGCTATATTCATCGTGTTTCTACTTGTAGTTCTCATTGTCCTCATCCAACGCAACTAAACTACGTAGAAGGCTGTATCGTGTGGAGAACCTTGCACACAATGGACACTGAGCGGGCCGTATCAAGATCTAGAATATAGGGGGAAGCATGCTACAGATCCAAGATAAACGTGGTAGCCGGCTTACTACTTCATCTACTGAGATACTATCCGTCAAGGATGCTTGAGAGCAGCACATATGTATGAAGAGATGGGTTGTTCAGAAACTTTTTATTACATGGTAGATATATGTGGCTATTGAGACAGTAAATGTCTGTGTTGGGAAACCATTACGCGTGTCTGATATGAAGATATGCACTGATATCTTGACAGTGAGAATATGACTAGCCATTTTCATACTACCAATTTCGTTTCATTGAGAGATCTTGTTACGATGGCCCTGTGAAGATCCAACTTCCTCTATGGTTGAATGGCTGGACATTACCTATTTGCGCTCGACTTCAGTAAGGGCATCTTCCACAATACCCGCACTCCTTGTCGCAAGCTGTGAGATCTTTGTCCTCACAATCAGAAGGATAGAAACCAATACTGTGGCGGTCGTAGGATTCCTCATAGTAATCTTCATAGTAATCTTCATAGCGGCCCGTATCGTCATTGTGTTGAGAATCATTGTCGCCATTCTCATCTTCTGCAGTTAATTTCAACTAGTCCATCAGTCAGCTTATACTACAGCTCAAAGACGACCTGCACTGAGATACCTTGTCAGTCAGCGATGAGATCCGCTCCTCTTCATCTTTGTGCTGGAATAACTCTAAAAGCTGTTCGTTGGGCCCGGCCGTGAACGCGCGCATCATGTCCTCTCGGCTTTTGGACACCCAACTCGCGGTTGCCTTGCTTTCCAAGACTTTATTGACAATCTCTTGGAACCGCTTTCGGCCTGGAGGAAGTTGCCGATTCTTGAAAGAGTTACGATGCATCTCTTGATCCACCAAACGTTCGATTGCTTCCAAGGTAACCAACACTGCAGCAGATAGGTGGGCGTAGTCGAAGATGAACGTTGCAATGTTGCGTGAAGTCAATTGAGTTTCCCAATCTCTCTCAATGTCGAGACCAAGGCCAAGTTCTTCATTGACCCAATCGAGACAAAGCAGAGATGCTAGAGCTTTTGGGCCAAGGTTTGTCTTGATAGTCGGAAGCAAGATACGGAGGGCTGACTTGATCGCCGTACTTTCTAGCTTATTGGTACTCTGCATATCTGTATTAGAGGCAGTTGTTTCTAGCCCAACTCTTCTCAACTTACCTCATTAGCCTGCAAAATTGCATTGGAAGAGTTTGAGCTCGATGCATCAGACGTTGGGTTGGGAGGTGATGCGCTGGACTCGGCTCCAACATCTGATCGCTTCTCTTCTGCTTTTTGCTTCAATGGCAAGTCGATATCTGTGGAAGGTCGTGCAAGATCCGCTCGCCAATGGTGCTTGTTGATGGGATTCTTCTGATACAAGTTGACTTCGAAAAACTTGTTGTGTGTGTCGCATTTGAAGTTTTTGTACCTAAGAGCAGAGTATGTTTTGTGATTAGTATAAAGAACAATGAGCTGGCATGATGCGATACGCACGAGTTTAGCTTTTTAAAGTTGGCTTCAAGAAGGTCGTTCTCGGTGATCTCTATGAACCCGGAGTCACCCCCGGCTGGAGTAAAGTATCGGATTGACTCTTGCGGCCCAAAGTTGGCTTGTTTCACGAGCTGTACGGCGTATTCCAAGTTGCTATCGAGGTGAAAGCTGTCGCTGGGGTCGGAAGACGCATATTTAGCCCATTGCACGAAGCGGTCAAATTTCGCTTCATGATCAAGTCGCCGAGGGCGATATGGCTTTATTGCCAGACAGCAAAACAGTTCCGCCATGGATTATGATGAATGATCAGGATGATGATAAAGGCTTCAACTGACTACCTAGAAAGAAGGAAGGCCCTGGGGCTTTCACAAACGAAGGGAGATATTTGTTGGTGTTGCAAACGGGTGGGTGTCTTACATTTCGTCACGTGTGTGTACATTCACTGTTACAGAGTTGAGACTTTTTTTACAATAGATCAGATGAAAATAGAAAGGAGCCTTGTGAATCAATGCATAAGAAACGATATTGAATAGGTTACTGATAGGTTCTCTTGAGAAACTCCGAGATCCTGGTGGCTTGTTACGTAGCCCTCATGGCGACGCCAAACACTGTGTTCAAAGCGTAATTGAATCGCTTTTCATAGATAGAGTATAGAGCATGATGTCTTATGCAGCTTGCCGCAACAGTCTGTGACAGTCTCGTCGAGGATTCCAAATGTTGATAAGATCAATGTTTCTTCTCATATTCTGTAAAGCGATAGCTACTGGGGTTCTACAAGGGTAAGAGTGGCAGTTGACACAAATACAACCATTCCTTCGTACTTGCATAAGCTTCTGGCGCATTAATACCATTTTGTAGCATTGGCCGATTAAAAAGACGAAACGCGGTCATTTTAGCTGTGAAAGCGAGCCATCGAAGCGTTGCAGGTTAAGCGCTTGTTTTACGTGTAAAAAGGCGGCAGCAGCCGACGCTGAATATAAAGGCAAAATTTAGAGTTGGTGCAACTCCACTCACTTTAACTGTAATCTTGCTTCACAAGAGCTTTTCTCTCCCTTTTTCTTCTTCTGACATCACCCAAGGATGACTTCCCCACGAGCAATTTTGTCTCCCACTACCAGTGCCGGTACCATCAGGAGTCATCAGGAGCCACTGTGCATGAAGCTAATAAGCGAGCATGTCTGTCGCTGCAGCAGCAAGGCTGGTTGATTGGTGGGTTTTGTGCTCTATAGGCTGATTGACGAGTTCTCGTGATGCGAATGTAACAGCATCACCCAATAACGACAGCCATGGGATAGTATGGGTGGGTTGCAACTGTATGTAGATGGATTAAAGCCGGGTCATCAATGCCGTCTCTACAACATTGTGGCTCTATGCCCTATGATGCTGTTTAGGAAATGCCTCTGTGTTTTCTCTGCTTCGGTGCATCTCCACCCGCTATTCAAGATCGCTAACGATAGTTGTGTTGCGTAGCACAGACTCAAGCGCGAGAAATGAGAGATGTTAGGCGCCAGGAACAAGCAATAGTCCAGGTGTTTTCCACTCTTGTTGTTTGGCATTCTATTCAAGAGACAGCAAACGGGCTCGTCTGCCTCGACCTAGCTGTAGCTTTCGCGTCTTCACAATTCATTCACCCGTTGTCATTCCTTGCCTTTCAACAGTATCTCCAACCCATACTACGGCATGCGGGGTCAGCAATTTAATCGAGGCGCCCTCCCATACCCAACAGACAGTTGCCAAACAAGCAAAAGACGCCGTTTCAGCCTCGAATCCTCTTACGCGCAGTGGACTTTGAGTTTATGCCAAAAACTGCCGTAGCGTCCAGTCTTGGAGTTCAGCTGTCCAGGGTCCTTCTCCATGCCGTCAAATCATAGCACGCCAACTTTTCAGCCCCAGCAGCTCTATCGCTGTTGTGGTTGCGCTGCCAAGGCGCCAACGGCTTGTTATCGTGGCGCCGAGCAGGGGCTCCCCATGATGGGCTGCATAGACGATGCCCAGGAGACAGAGTTGTGAAGCGAAGTGGGAGTTGTAAAGGAAAAGGATAGTTATTTGTTTTTTTCTGAGAGTGTTGCTGGGAACCTCCTTTTCGCATCAACTATGCCGTGACATTTGGCTTGGTAACTTTCTTTGTCATTCTTTTTCTTCGCCTCTGCTGTAAGTTACGTGCCCGTCTATCCATCTTTCTTATCGAATAGGATAGTCTCTAATAGCAAGTTGTTAGTAGGCCACCGCCATGCGGCGCTCAATTCGGCTGTCAATCGCGCCGGCAATGTGGCTGGCGGCGCTCGTCGAGGCTGATATCTCCTATGTGACGGATCTCGAGATCTTTTCTCTTCTGGTACGTTGATTCTAACGTTCTCATGTACGACAGAGACTCTAATAAGTGCAACGATGACCGCTAACTCGAAGCTCATTTATACAGGCCCCATGCGCCTCCGTAGCCATCTCCTACAACATCGCGACATTAACTTTCGGAACGATATGCGGCGATTCAGAAACCGCGCTGCAGTCATGCGTATGCTCAAATACAGAGAGATATACCAGCATAACATCGTCGATATCCCGAGATGTCAAATACAGCTGCGGCAGTACGGCTACCGAAGATCAACAGAGCGCATCGAGCGTTTTGCAGAAATATTGCACACAGAGTCTACCAATTACATTTTCAACTCCGACGAAGAACGTTGTCGAGGCCTACATTACCGACTTGAGCCAGATGAATTATATGCCACAATGTGCGCAGTCGGCCGTATCAGCAGCTGTGATGGGAGATGTAAGTTGGTGGCGCTGCTATTTACCAACGTCCCAATTACTCGGGCTGCGCTGACATCTACGCGCATTATTGCCATAGAATTACTCCAAATGTCCCGAAGCCGCCAACCTCTATGCCCCTTGTGTTTGCAGCAAAGACGGGATACCTGCCGCAGTCACCGACAGCATTAGCAAATATGTTCGGTAGGTGTCTGAGATGCGCTTTCGAGGCTCAGCCCATGCTAACTAAGAGGGTTTCAAGCTACTCATGTTCTGGTGGAGGCGACATTAGCGATGCCGTGGGCTTTTACAGCGAATACTGCGCCATGAACAATGGAACGACGACGTTTACCGAGCCCCCAGGCCCTCCAGGAGACAGTGCGTTGGATGAGATTAACCCGAGCATTCGTATTACCATGATGATGCTAAGTAATTGAACAGTGACATATCATATCACTGCCTTGCCGCAGTTTAAATCGCTGCGAACATGCGCTCAGAGCGGAGTCGCATCTGCCATCCTCGATGTAAACCTCACGAATGCTAGGAACATCTGATCGAGAACATACTGACACTCATTCATAGCAAACCGATATTTACTGCGCAACTGGCCCCCAAGCTCTCGCCTCATGCGTGTGCCTCAAATCAGGCATGAGCGGCAGAATCTCAAGTATACTAACATCATCCGTCAAATGGAACTGCGACAACACCGCCACTGCAGATGTTACCTCGGCCCTCGATGTCTTTGCATACTACTGTAGTGCAGCTGCAAAAGAAGTTGTTGTCTCAGTTACCGATACCGCGACGGAGACGTATCCTCATCCTACCAATCGTGACACTGCACTTCCTTCGGGCCCTACGGAGACGGGCAGCAGCGGTAGTGGCCGTGGTAGTAGTGGAAGCAGTGGCGGAAGTAGTCCCAGTCAAAGTGGAAAAGATGGATCTTCTTCCGGTGGAGACGGAGGAGGTAATTCGAGCTCAGTCAACAAGACGGCTGTCATTGCGGCATGCGTGCTTGGAGGCGTTGTTCTCATTGCTGGCATTGGCCTCGTTGCATTCTTTGTACGTCGAAAACGCAACAGGCAGTCGAGAGGAGAGCCGTTACCGCCGACAACAGAGGGCCCCAACTATCAAGGACCTCCCGAGCTGGAAAACACGGCAAAGATGGGGCCCAATATCGCAGTTGTTCCGGAGCTTCATAGCACAGAGAGGCAGGAACTTCAGGGAAATGTCACGCCTTATAGCCTGCCGCCTGGCTACAACACTCCACGGCCAGAGCTTCAGGGCAATTCTGAATACAAGCCGTCTGTTTCTCCACAGCCTGGAATGGGATACCAGCCGCCTCACTCGCCTCACCACACTGTTTCTCCTGCAACGCCGGATACGCACGGGGCAGGATGGCAGTCTGGGCCAGTTGCAGAAACGTATGAGCTGGATTCGGCACCGTGGAAAGCTTCTTCATGATTCAATAATATTCGAAAGATGTGGTTGAGATTCACGTCATTATAACCCTGCGACTTGATTTCGACCATTTTAATGATCAACTACCCAAGTGTTTTCCTTTCGCGTTGCTGAAGAGTTGTCAATTACGATTGTGCCTCAAAACTCCTTATGATAGAACAAGAGAGCAGCATCTTACATTTGTTTTATCTAGCGTTTGAACTGTGCGGGCTATAGTTTCGTTGTACATTGTGTAGTGTTTGATACGTAGCGAAAGGGTTGTGAAAAATGTCTATTAAGCTAGATTTGACATTAACAATAATTAGTAATGCCAACAAAATACACGCCGGTTATAGAATGTAAGATGCTACACCACGATACAGCTCAACTACTGCGGCAAGAGACTCGTTATAGGCTCTGAATTCAATTATCCACGGAAGCTGGTGCATGTGCACCGTCACGTCTGCCCATGTCCATTTGCTTTCGTTCATTATGCGAGCAACCAACTGTAAAGCAATTGCTTTATCAGTCGGGTCCAACGTCATGGTTGCACAAATAAATAGGAGCCAGAGCTGGTAGGGGATGAAGTAAGGCAAATGGTGAGCAATATTCGTCATGCTCGGGTTTTGCATGTGTAGTAGCAGTCTGGTGATGTATGAAGCCGGTGAACATGGGTAAGACTGAGCTTTCTGTTTGAGACCCAGGATCCAGAGAAGTATTCCCAAGCGAAGAGCTTCCAGCATGCAGCATGGCCCACCTGTATGCGAGTGAGCATCAGAATCGAGAATTCGGTATGCGATTGGATTGAGTTGGGTGCCAAGATAGACTTCTTCTCGCCATAGATTGTCGCCCAACAACTCTAGTTTCGGTCGAATGAGTTTGCACACACTCCACATGTCTTGAAAGGCGGAGGCTATGACTATGTGATGGGTATCAGTGTTGGAGCACAAGATACCGAGGTTTGATTCAAGCGTTGTGAGAATTTGCGGCAATTCTTGGTTTGACAAAGGAGGTATTAAGAGTGTTGGCATAGGGAATCGGGGCTTTTGGTCAAATATCAAAGAAGATAATGTGTCGACCCTATAAGAAGAGAAGAAGAGAAGGGTACAGTTAGCACTATGAGATTGTCGGTGGAGAAAGGTGCTACCAACCAGAAAAGCATCAGGAGAATGCGACTGTTGTTTGCAAGGCTCTCAATCCCGCCTCTTGCAGCAATCATGACTTTCAGTCCACTTAGATGGACGCGAGCTTGTTCGAAATCCGAAACAATGAACTATTCATTTCCATTCAAGTCAAGATTAGATGCCACTAATTTCCAGCAAGAGGAAAATTACCAAATAGGATGCAACATAATCAGAAAAGGTTGATTACATACATTATAGCAGATGCAGCCCATGACTGCTTGGATGACGTTGATAGCTGTGGCTTCGCTGACGTCTGGTTGCAGCAGCCGCCTGTTTATGCAGGATGTCACTTCCATGAAGCGAGCCAATGCAAAAGCTCTACTCCTTTCTTTCGATTGAGAGTGAATAGCTGCGCGGACTTCGGGCCCGGTGAGGAAGTCCCGGCAGAAATCAGAAGCTTGAAAGGCAAAGGGGAACCAGAACCGCGAAATGGATGGATCTGGAGTTTCAAAGCTTGTTAGTTAATTAGGCTCAAATCAGAGGCCTTTAAGATTTTAATTGCGGCAGATGTGATTGACGATAACAATGCCCCTCGACAAAGATTAACTGCTTTTGGCTCACTTACCGGCATAAGACTGTTCCCAGTTGACAGCCAGGGCCAGGCCGTACGCTGCAAACGCATCCATCCCCCAGTTGTGTTCCATCATGGCCAACGGATGCTGGTCCCAAAATGGACGAGATGGAGGCGGCAAACTCGCCGCACCTGCAGCCAGCTGAGTGCAGCAGCCGCATAGTACCTGGTTCAGCCCTACAGCCGTACAGGAGCAGGATGTCGAGGATGGACCCGCATTCCTCTTTGCAGATCGAACTTCAAGGTCGACCTGAGGATTTCGACGCGGCTTCCGTCGAGCCTTGCCAATGTCTCGCATTACATGCTGCCGGATTTGGCGCGTGGTGGCTTGATCTCGAGGACGGCCGCGTGCAGGCCCGGCAGAGTTAATGAAGAGAAGGGAGCCAGAGCTGGAGCTGGGACTGGCATCGCGGCTACTAGCCTCGGAGTTGGCATCTTTCGGGGGATCCATTGTCCTGAATCGTACTTGCAATACTAAGCAGTGGCAGATGAGGTGAGCTGGAACAGCAGAGGCAAGTAATGGCGATGCTTCGAAGGGGTTTTCATACGCGCGCTGCGAGGACCGTATTCCTAAACGGGCGCCGTGGGCGAAGCATCACAATCAGTCCCAGGAACCGGGGGGGTCGGGCTTGAATAGGCGCTGAGGCCAATGAGATGACGGGACGCCACACGGCTGCTTCACATAATCGATTATTCAGCCGGGCTGCCATGAGTTTTGACTTTTGGTTCTCTTCGGGATCGGGTCCGACGTCCGTCGAAGAGTCTCACTAGACCCTGGAAGCTCACAACTATCCCGAAACAGGCAGCAGGTGTCCCTGTCCGTGCAGCTCTAGCGCCGATCCAATGCTCACCGTGGCTATACGTAATCGTGGGAATAGAAGGAGGGAATAGGATTCGACGAGTTTCGTGACTAAGCGTCATGCGTTGTGCGGTACGTGTATTGGATTCTATGGGGAATTGGATGTTTATCGAATTGCTACGCGGACGGGCTCGCTTTCGAGGGGCTTGGAGAGCGCAGCCCGGCGGAGTTTCGGCAGCTGGGCTATTGGAAATGACTTGTAGCCGTGGCGCTTGGTGTTTGGGTATTTTATGGATTTGTAAAGCTGTAGCCAGTTTGTCAGATTTACAGCATCTTGTAGCGTCTAGGCATCTGTATTCTTATTTTTGTTCTGAAGAATGATTGCGTCTGATGGCGAGTTGTATGCTCTTGTTGAAGGTACTAGAGCTCATTTGTGGAAAATTATCGGATTAAAATCCGTGCGAATAGAAGAGAGGTGCTTTCCGTTTTAGGCATTGGCCTGTCAAAGATAGTCTTACACAAAAATACATATCCTAGGTACTCGATATAAGGTTGTCTGCACTAACCATGTACGAATTATGGGCTGCCAATGCATTGTAAGCTGAATGACGTTATCTCCTGGCTTTGTAAGGTTAGATTGATGGGCTTAGAAATAGCCCGAGCTATAGCACAGCTTGGCGTGCGCCTGGGACAACATGGCGATGGAATCTACAACATGGATCCAACTAGGGCGCTACCTTGGATACTATTAGTAACCAACGAAAGAGAGGGGACATTGAGGTTGACAACTCCAGCTATAAAAGGCGTTGCAGACCTTGTTCGACTGGGAATCTACTCAGCTACTTCATTCTATTATACAATCTCTTCAACAAACAACGACAATCACTTTAGAAAACTACCATTCTACCAGATCAACCATCACAATGTCTGACTTCAAGGGAAAGCTTGCCATTGTTACCGGTGCCTCCAAGTTGAACGGCATTGGTTATGCTACCGCTCTTCTTTTCGCCAAGGGCGGCGCGGACGTATGAATTCCCTCTTCCTCTTCTTTTTTTTATAAAAGTATAAACTAACATTACTCAAGATTGTCGTCACTTACAACTCCAACCAAGCCGCTGTCCAGGAAGTTGTCAACAAGCTCAAGGAGCAAGGTGTCAAGGCCATCGCTATTCAAGGCAACGCCAGCTCTCGAACATTTGGCGATGACATTGTCAAGGCCACTGTCGCCGAGTTCCCCGGCCGCAAGATTGACATCATCGTCAACAACGCCGGCCACGCTACTTTCCCCGGAACTGTTGCCGACTCACCCATCGAAGAATTTGACGCCCTCTTCCACCCCAACGTTCTGGGCCCTCACCTGCTCATCAAGGCTGCCCTGCCTCACATCTCATCGCCTGGAGGTCGTATCGTCAACATCGGTACTGTCGTTGCTCGTACTGGAACCAACGTTGCTGCTTTCTACGCTGCTAGCAAGGCAGCGCTCAACACTCTTACTCTGGCGTGGGCTGAAGAGCTTGGCGAAAAGGGCATCACAGTCAATGTTGTTGCTCCCGGCCCTACTGCCACCGACTATGCTCCTCCAGAGGACTTTGACCTGACCCGCAAATTCCGTGCTCAGCAGTACATCAAGCGAAACGGAACCCCAGAGGAGGTTGCCAGTGCTATTGTGTATGCGGCCAGCGCGGGAGCGAGCTTCCTGTCTGGCCAGGTTATCGGCCTAGATGGTGGTTTGAGCTACGTTTAGAATCCAGAGGTCATGGGTTAGAATGGCCTTCTCACTGGTTAATGTAACCATTCTATCATTTAGAAGCGTATAGAAAAGCAACAATAAAAGTTCAATGTATTATACCAAAGCGCCGCGAATGATTTCATTCTTTTCTCCTCGGTAAGATTTCCATGGCCTGCATATAGGCTGACTTTAAAGGATCAAGTCCATTATAGAGAGAATACAGGGATACATAGTTGTGATCTCTCTCCCTAGGACGAATCTATTTCGAGCGTAACAGAATCTGACGGGTGTTTGGCAAACAGCTGGACACAGACCAGAATGGTAATGAGTAGACGATCGATATAGATTTCCTCTATAAAGTACCAAATGAAAAATGGACATTAGGTCAGACCACTCGTGAGAACTTTCCCGATTTAGATGGGCGAACCAGGGGGTGTATTACGGCTCAGGTGGTCGTCTGAGGAAGTCAATTTAAAGCGTGGTCTCTACGATGATGGACGTAGGGAAACGCAAGGTGGGGTCATAAAGCTTGTCTTTCTATCTATGATATAGGTGGTTGATCTGCTATACAGCACCTCAAGATGCGCTATATTGCTGTTTTATAAGGCTCCAGTCAAGTATAGGTATCGGGCAGTGGCATTACATACGTATGAGTTGGATAAACCTAATCAAAGTAGATGAACTTGATTGAATTGGATAGCTTTGCTTGACTTCATTCTTGGTCGTCTGATTAGTCTCATTCAATTAAGATCTTGGTCCAGGTTATCCAATCTGACCAAGGCCATCTCGTCTGAATAAGCCCATCTACGTGTACCTACCAAGTCTGACTAAGCCATCTAGCCTAATCAAGGTCATCTCGCCTAATTCATGTTATTTGACTTACAAGAAACACACCTACAAGAATAGGTATGTATGTATAGGCATTTCTGTGTTATAAGGGTACACGTACTATAGCCGCCTCTCAAATGCTGAAATTAGATGGAGAGAGTATTTTCGCTGTATTTCCCCTGTATTTCCCCTGTATAACTTTTTGTTTCATCCATTTGCGACTTCAGCAATTTGGAGTTATTGCACAAGTGCAAGTCCATCTCAAGCGCCACCGGAAAGTTGGCAAATAATGGGATTACAGAGGACTTTTCAGAGATAGTCAGGGAATCTGTTTTAGACAAAAGAGCGGTGAGTGGTTTTCTATGACTACATGTATTGTTTGAAATATGAGGTCATAGTGAGAGCTAGAGGTCAAAACCTTTCTTTTTTCTTCGCCCCCAAGTCCAGCTCTTGCATGCTGTAATTTCAATATTATGCGCCATCCAACATTAAATTTGAGACAGAAGGGGCTGGCTTACTGCAGAAGAGACGAGATGTGATTGGCGCTCGGTCACGGGGCCGGCCTCAGCCGGATCTCGCCAGCACGCTCTTATATGTCCAATGTTTCGTCCCCCAGCCTGACTCGGTTTGCTTTCCATTCTATCCCATCATCCTGGCCCAAAATGGCCCATCGAGCGCTTTTACCACGAGAGGGGCAGCGTCACGAGCCGCCCAGCGCTGAAGAGCCAACCCCAGTTAAGCGTCGATTGATATCTGCCGCCTGTAACAGTGAGTATCCCTTGTGTTCTGTCGCTGAGAGACGAAAAGAGAGGCTAAATGTGGACAGTTTGCAGAAAGAAGAAGATAAAAGTAAGAGATTTCACTCGCTCGGGAAGACGATAGACATGGTCGATATATATTCATGCGTCTTATTAGTGTAATGGACGGCGACCGGTCTGTGGACACTGCGAGCAAGCAAACCATCCATGCCAATACGCGGTGCCAGAAGGCATGACCGCCCGCCAAGCACTAGTCCAACAAAACGAAAGCTTGACTGAGAGAAACCGGGTTCTGTACACGGCATTTGAGAAGCTGAGAGACGAGGGGAGAGCTGCAGACGTGCTTCGACACATCAGAGAGGCGTCGTCAACTGAGGCTGCAATACATTCCATATCCGATGCCCTCCTGCTCCTCCCACCTTCGAATAGTGGTATTGTGCCATCGAGTGGGCAATCCACCGCCACTAATTCTAAACCATTGCTTCACCAGGCATTTTATAGCAGTCTCAAGGCCTCGAAGAGACTCGGCTTTAGGTTCTACAGCACCTCCTCACTCCATTAATCAATCAATACTAAGTCTCGTATAGGGAAGCCCAGGCCTCTGTCATATTGGACTGGCCAAAGGTTGAATCACTTGGAATTAATGATAGTTTGAACGGGGTGGTTGTCAATGTGGCAACTGAGAGTCTCCCCATCTCCAAATGGACGCGAGCTTCTAGTGACGATGTGCATCTCACGCATTTGTTCAATCTTTTTTGGACATGGGACAATTCGATTTCGAGAGTGATAGATCGGGACATATTTATGGCTGATCTGAAGAATGTGGCTAGCCCTGGGCAAGACTACAGCTCAAGCGTGGGAGAATTCTGCTCATCATTCATGGTGAATGCTTTGCTCGCAATGGCTTCTGTATGCATTCACAATAGTCTGTCTGGCAAGTGTAACACGGGTCTGGCTAACGAGCTCTGTAGATGTATTCATCAGATGAGAGGGACCTCACCGTGCCGGGAGATGTCATGACGCGAGGGCGAGCTTTCGCAGACGAAGCATATCGGCTGTTTGAGAAAGAAAAGACTTATTCACGACCGTCTTTAACGCTAACACAGGGTGCGGCTCTTCTGTGGATGTACGAATCCAATATCGGTGACGGCGCTCTAGGACTTCGGATATTGGATGAGCTGTACTCCTTTTACTCAGACTTTGCATTTGGTAATCCGGAGCCCAAAGATTCTGCTTATTCACCTAGATCACTAGATGCGACTAGATGGAAAGCTAGGTCCCACTTGGCTTGGGGATTCTATTGTGTTGCTGCGTTCGTGTGAAGAGCTATTGGATCCGTCGATGGCCCTGTGACTGACTGGCAACTTAGAAAGGTTGAACTTACATTTTCGAGACCGATGAGAATCAGCAAACCCGCCATCACTAGATGCTTAGGCGACAGTGGCTCAAGCCCTTTTAGCAACCATATCTCGCCTGGATCTTGGTTTGCCTACCCAGTGTCGGTGGAAGCCCACGACTCATGTTATGGAGATATGTTCCAGGCAGAATGCGACCTTGCAAAGTTAATCGAAGAGCTACTAATTTTTCGCGAAGCTAATCACGTCAAAACTGCATCTCCTAATGTTCTAGAAGGCGTTGGAAACATGTATAAAAAACTCATGATTTGGAAACAATCGCTTCCAGATTGTTTACAGCCATCAAGTTCCGAGCTTCCGTCTGTAATAATGTTACAGTAAGTACATCTAGCCGTCGAATGTTTCTACTTGCAAAGTGTCGCAGGGCAACTGATTTACCGATTGTTGTAGTAACACCCATGGAGCCGCGGTTTTGAAACTCTTAGAAGGATTGCCAAATGCCCCGGGGGGTATTGACGGCCAGGGTTTGGAAACGCTTCGCATCGCTCATGCCACATCCACAATGTCTGGGGTATGGATATACAGGTCCCAATACGCCCTTGGACGAGAATACTGGGCAATACAGGGCTGTTTCGCTGCGGCAACCGCAGTACTCGGGTATCTGTCTCCTGGCGCAGTTCAGGTAGATACCTTCATTAAGGCATGCCAAGCTTTGGCCGAGATGAGCGTCATATTGCCACTTGCGGGTTCATTTTTGGAGGGTATTCAGCAGCTCGTATCGCTTCATAACATAGCACTGCCCCGTTACGGGATGAAATACTTGGTTGCGCCGCAAAATCAACAAGGTAGGGCGTATACGTCTGCTATTAGGGTGTCTACAACGTTTCGAGGTGAAGAGTCCGGTGCTATTGATGGGAACGAAAGCCACAAACAACGCGACCTTACATTTGAAGATTTAATTTACGACAGAGATGTGGCCGAAATGGAAACAGACTAGATGCACAATGCACAATAACTAGATGCACAATAATCTCTTGATAGAATCTGTTGCCTGGGGTCATTAAGAAGAGTGTTTTTATATATACCTTAATATCAAATAATTTATACTATGCAGTGAGACACTACTATTATCATCGAGAGTCATTTGCATCTCCTAAACAAGTAGCAACAAGCTTTACTAACAAGAATATGAGTTACTACACTAAAACATTGATTGACGTTATGGCGTAACTGTCGCAGAATTAAATCCCGGCTCATTATTGAATCGATTTCTGAATCTCCCCATGTCAACGCCTGGAAGCAATTCCTATGCTGTCGGCGCCTCAGGTTACGCCGCGCTTGACGGGCTGAAGCTGTTGATAGCGCGCACAAGTCTCTAGCGTCTGACGCGCTGATGGCCTGCAGGGCGGAATAGCGGCTCATGCTATCTTAGTCCTGGTATGAAATCAAGGAAAGATTGATAGAATTAAGACATATCGGTGGCTGGGCGTGGCCAGCCGAGGATAGACAACTGAAACGCCGGCTACGCGAAATTGGCCGCCAGACTATTTTCCGTGCGGCTATGCTTGGTCGTGTAATTACTTTGATGCAAGGGGTTGAAATCATGGTATATATCGGTATTAGTACGGATGACTATGTGCAATAATGGCCGCCACGCGCGTAGAGTAGGCTGTGGCTGTATAAAAGGCATGTGTCAGTGCTCTTATTGGATGGAATGGTATAGTCTAGACAACGACTATTGCTCGCTTAACATGTGCTACTGCAATGCTGAATCCATGCTAACAAGTCGTGCAAACATTTCTGACACTAGATTCATGTGATAGTAATGGCATCTCAGCCGCATCTCATGGGGATGGCCGTGGAAGAATCTGCGCCTTGATGGTACTTGTGTGCAGCTTTTCTATTCTCTAGAGATACTTCAAGGAAATGCATGTTTACAAATAACAAGTGATTCCCAAACTTGTTTATCTCAGCAGCTTGGCTTTCTTCTTTCCTGATACAATAGTAAAACATCAAGATCGATCACCATGACACTCAAAGACGGTACCTACGCCATTTCTAGCATCCTCCCTACCAACCCGGTCCTTGATATTGCCGGTCCCAACCCCTTTGCCAACCCCCTCGCCGGTATTATCTGTTTGTCAGTACTCTTGAAACCCACTTTCTTCCAGATACGTATTTACACATCTCAAGCACAAAAAAGACTATCGAGCCCCAGAGCCAACAGTGGCAGGTAACCACTCTTCGCCCGGGTGTCTATAGTCTACAATATATCATTGGCCCCTGCTGGATTACTGCTCCCGGTATGCTCCCATTACTTTGTTATTCTGCATTTTGCCTATAAAAGGATCACTTAGCTGATCTTGTCTCTGGATAGTCGACGGTGGCGTTGCGCAAGTTGACACGTCTAGATATGACCCCAACCTGGCGACTCGTTGGAATATTTCCGAGGCCGACCCGAGTTCTGGCAACTACCTGTATGTCTTTTCATTATGATTAGCCGTAGATTTGACGTGGTCATTGCTAACAGGTTGCTTAGGATTGAGAGCGTACAGTTTCCCGGCCGCGTTATAGACCTTGATCATGCCAGCCACGCTGACAATATTACTGCTCTTCTGTATCCATACCACAAACAAAAGAATCAACTGTGGCAGTTTACTCCTGTGGAAATAAACTTCTAGTGCGTCATTCTACCTAACATGCCAAATATACTCTGGTGGACTTTTTTGTGATGGCTACGTTATGTTTAAGTCTTCTCTATCAAGGTGTAGAAACCTGACAAATACAGCATCAGACAGATATCTCGCCTAGCTTTTGCACAACTTTCTCAATATACATAGCCCCTACGGCAAACCCATCTTCATCCTTAAACTCTCCATCATCTCCAAAATCTTCATTGTCCTTGTCTAGGCACGTCAAGCAAGTCTCCACCACTTTGCTGTACTTGTTGCCCATGCTGCGTCGCAAAGTGCCTCTTGCTAATTGTAGCAATTTGTCTTTGACTCGTTCGGGAGATTTCAGAAACTCGGGTCCGCTCGTACTATCACTTTCAGCTGCCAATTTGGAGCCTAGACTAGACGGTCGAAAGTTCGTTGTTGCTAACGAAGACTGGTCTTTGTCGTCAACTTTGTCGTACTCGACGAAACTGCCCCACAATCCAATCTCAAGCAAACAGACACCGACACTGTAAATGTCATGCCGCATAGTATAGTCCGTCTTCAGCGTCTTACCCTGTCTTTGTGGATGGCGATATAAGTTCTTCTCCCAATCATCGTCACCAAGACGATTTGTTTTACCCTCGGCATCGCGGAGAACGTCGAAGCCGACCAACACAGTCGTCTCGTGGCCTCCAGTATTAGCAGATCCATAATCTCCTCTTCTGAGGATAAGTATTGTCTCGGGTCGAATGTTCTTATGCACAAACTCATACAGATGCACATAACTGACTGCATTGACAAGCTGTCTCGCAAGGTCAAATCGTGCTGATAAAGAATCATGTTCGCCGCTTGGTCCACTGAGCAGTCGATGACGAAGGCTCTGCGCATGCGAATGCGTTGGGGGCACACGGAAGACAAAAGACAGACCCGTTGGGGGTATAGCTGTGTCAGGCTTTGTATCTGCGCCGTCCTCGTTCAAAATGCCCTTGCATTCCAGCAGCCCAAATGTGAAAGGGTCTGTGTGCTTCAACCGCCTTGCAAAGTTCCGAATGTCGCGCAGTGCAGAGTTGATGTTTGCCCTGGAGATGCAAGTGATGGGATCAAGCACCACGAGTTCGCCGTTGTCAGCTCGACGAGCTATGCGGACTGGGCTGTAAGCTAGGCTTTGGACGCTTTCAGTGTTGAGTCCCCCTGGAAGGAGAAAGACAGTCTTTCTTGTACCATTGTCGTCGATAGGTTTAAGTGCGCGACGCAGTTGCTGTGTAGTAGGGATAACTGCTTTTGTCTCGTGCGTTGAGATGGGTTGTTGTTGTTGCGACATGAAGTAGAGCTGCTGGTCCACCTCGGGTCCGGCAATCTTCATCATCAAAAACCAGCTGGGATCAAAAATACCCTGCCAAACCTCCAGATCGGTAATTGTATCGGCGAGTCTATCCTTCATAAATGCGTACTTGAGTCGCTTGACTTCGACGATGATGGCCTTCTCGCCTGCGCCATCTGGTAGAGCATCAGATTTCTTAACCAAGCCGGAGAGTTTGGTGTTTGCGGCGTGTAGCTTTTGCAGCAGAATCTCCAGCGCCTGTTGCTGAATGTTTTTATGCCATTCACTCAGCTGAGGCTCTAGTCTGCGTATGAATTCGAGTTGCAGCTGAATCTTTAGCCAGCAAGCTTCGACGCGCACAACGCTCTCGTGAAGTCGCACTTCGGCATTTGCAAACGCTTTGCAGAGTGCGACGAGCTCTGTTCCCCAGTGATATGCAGTGTCTATAGTGCCAATCAGGCCGAGGACGCCAAACGGGTCGACCATTGTGAACAGTTCCCAAAGCGACAGGTTTACTTCAACCGGCAAGCCACCTAGCTATATGGTTTTTGTTGTGAAGTTTTCAGAAACATCCAGGCAATCCCCATCTACCTATTTATAAAAGTTGCAAACCATCGGCAGGCAGTGTGAGGCTGAATTGTGTATAGCCGCCGCGCTCTGGCTACAGCCCCGCCTCTGGACCCTGAACGCCTTACTTTGGCGCCGAAGGATTCAAGCCGTCGCAACAGACCGTTTATTAATAGCACATGGACCCTTCGGTGCTATTGTTCTTCCTCAACTCATTTTCGAAATTTCATCAACGTTATCAACTGATAAAATCTCAAATCTATACAGCTGTTTTACCCCTCGCTGTCTTCGCCCTTTAGTTGCCGCTGCCACTCTCGGACGGCGCCGGATCCTCCCGTCGGACCGGCCCCCATGTTACGATGGCCGGATCTCGTTCGTGACACCCGCCTCAGCACGAAAGTCGAAGACGATGTCACGATCCACCACCACGAGGACTCAGACGATGAGAACAACGCTCGGTCGACATGGCGAGAGGAACGCTGGAAGGCGACGGTCCGTCTGGGCTACGGCGGTTGTGGTAGCGTCTGGCTGCAGGAATGTGTCGATGGAAAGCGAGGGATCGACAGGCGTGCCGTCAAAGTCATTCCTCGGATGAAACTCAAAGACAAGAAGGACAACTATGTGTCTGAACTGGAGGCTATTGCCAAGTTCTCGCAAAAACGTGTATGTGGGTGCATTCGGTCTCTGATGGAGAAGGCTATCTCTGATTCTCGTGCGTGTAGTACTCAAAGTGTTTTGTCAAATTCCTCGGGTGGTATGACGATGACGCCTCGAACCTTTATATCGCCATGGAATACTTTCCTCTTGGAGACCTGCAAAAGTATATGGACAAGCCTGGGCTCATAGATGAGGCGGATGTACGCGAGATATCGTTCCAGGTGCTTGAAGGGCTGTCTTACATGCACCGGGAAGGGTTCGCCCATCGGGACATCAAGCCTGATGTAAGTTCTCCATAAGCCACTGGATAAAGAAAACACCATTAATTGCAAAGTGTGATATTTCAGAATGTTCTTATCCGGTCACAGCCACCAACAAGTAAGTGGTGGGTCAAGATTAGCGACTTCGGCATCAGTAAACGCGTCGAAGGGCCCAACAAGGTAGTGTCAAGTATCAAGGGCACGATTCCGTATATGGCCCCAGAACTTCTCTTTCATGAGCCAAGCAGTCCAAATCCAGTCGACCATCAAGCGGCCGACATGTGGGCACTTGGCGAGATGGCATATCGCCTTCTAACCAAGACGGCCGTTTTCCCTACCCAAAACGCAATGATCAGGTATCTAGTGGATACAAACTTGTTTCCTACAGACAATCTCGACAAGAGAGATGCAAGTTTGGATGCAGTCTCCTTCATTCGCGCGCTTATGGAGCCTCATCCTGATAAACGCCTTGCATCGGAAACGGCCATGGAGCACGCCTGGGTTGCACCTTTACAGGGCTATAGGGCACATGTCTTTAAAACGTCAACACCCATACCATTGTGCGCATTCTATATCCATATTTCTTGACATTTGGGCTAATTCTTTCCAGGGATTCATCTGTTCCAAGCCGCCAGCCTGTACCAGCTCTTAATTCGAACTCTTGGGCCACAGCATCGACTACTAGTTCCAGCTATCAACCATATACAAGAGCTCCGGGGATGAGTAATGCTTCATCTCTACAGATGTCGTCCCCTGTACACAGCGGCAAAGAAATTGAGACGACACAAAGTTCAGACGCGAATAACACTACTGAGGATAGCATCTATGAGCCTGTGCTTGATGTACCCCAAGTTTCTGTCGGCCCTTTGAGAGTTTCCCAGGCTCTGCAGTCATCATCTTCTCAGCAGCCGCAGACTCGTTCACAGCCCCCTCCCCTAAAGATGCCCTGGCCCCGTTCTGCACTTCCTCAAGGACCTCCGCCAGTCCGGTTAGGCCACAGCCGTTCCCAGTCTGTGCAAGGAACCTCCTCGACAGAACCACGCTCACAAGATCTGATCGAGCGCCCAAAGAGTGTGCAAGCCCCTCGCTGCACGCAGTGTTCAACTCCCTTCAGCTCCACCAACCAGAAATACCAATGCCCTAACTGCAAAAGCCTCTTCGATGACAAATGCTCTAGTCAAAAGATAACGATGTGGTGGGTGGGCCTCGAACCGGTCAGAGTTGATGATGAATGTTTCGCCAAGTTGTCTGGAGAAAAGCTACTAGGTTAGAATCCAGAGAGCAGTCAGCCTCCACCGACAGCTCAAGCTTGTGAAGTCAAATTGGAACAAAACGGCTAACTAAAGACTCAGTTGATGAGACTTTCGACCTTTGTCCTTATCTAGAAAAGATAAAACGCGAACTCTTCGACGAATACGCGATGATTCGGAATAGGCGTTCTCCTGGGAAGATTAAACCTTTACCCAAAACCCCGGTAGAAGCAAGACGTCGTAAAGGGACAGAAAAACTCGAGGAGCGTGAGTTCGACCGGCTGCTCTCCGCCTTGGACATCTATTGGCCAACAAAACCCTCAAAGGACGACTATAACGATCCAAAAATCTATGAAAAGGAATTCGGTAAATACGTACGCGAAGTTGAGCAGAACCTTGAGATGATGGAAAAACGCGCAATACACGATCAAGAGCAGCGTGCGAAGAAGGCCGATGCTAGGTCTGCTGGACAGAAATTGAAGGATCTTTTCAAGTTTACTGGTGAAGAAAAGAAGGGGGCTGTTTAGGTGAGACGAGACAGATGATAAATGGACATCATTCCTGGCTTCAAAGTCTATTCTTGTCTAACAAGGCACCTTCATCTCCCTTCCTCTTGGGAGATGCAATCTCAACTTAAGTGTCTTATAGATCAGAGTCTTTCGATACCTTAGCACATACGGCTATAAGCAGTGAAATTTCTGGGGGGATACGTGCATAATAATGGACTTGATCTGGGTATTCCTGTTGGTAGGCAGAACGGGTCCAAGGAGCTTGATAAAGAGGACTACAGAAAGTACGGCAGAGGCTTGTAACATGGTATCAAGACAAAGATTGAGATAAGTGGAGCTGGGGTAACAATTTAATCTAAAATGTGCTGACCTTCGCTAAACTGTGCCTGGCAATAAGAGCTTTGATCTGAAAATTTGGCAATTTTGCGGCTACAACGCTGATGAGTAATTTCCAGTGTATTATATTGTATATCTTTTTTTTTTTCATCCTGTCTTATTCGAAATTTTCATGCTCTACTCTTTGCTCGTTTGTTACGTTCAACTCCAATGAATGCTGGTCTTATAGTCAAGTATTGCTTTGTCGCTGGGATGTTATTCAGCAGCCAACGGTCGGTTGGGTTGGAATAAGTTGGGATGTGTTGTGCTGGATGTTGATCATCACAAACAAACTGAGTTAATTATAGACCGAAATTATCTCAGTTAGTAAATGTCTTATTTTTTACGTACCAAAACGCCAAGTTTGGAGCTTCATGATCCCGTTTTTGGTGGCCAACCGATCCCCGCGCCGACGTGTTTTATGCGACTCTAGCTTCTACGATTGTAGGCTTGTTCCAGTACTTCACAACCGATGAATTTGCGTAGATACGCTAAACAAAGCCAGGAGTCTTGTTTCATTAAGTGATCTAGAGTTACAAAGAATTTGAGTGCCGTCGTGTCATGGCTCCGATAGGAACACCATGAAGGCTCGCCGACAGCGTTGCCCATGTCATCAAATTTCTCAAGAGCGCTGAATGGTATTATTTTCCGCTTTCCTTTCTTTATTATTGTAACAAAATATAGACTAGGACTACTATATACTTGTCCTTTCAGAGACATTCAGAGAGAGGAGAACTGAGAGTAATATACTGGCGAGTTGAGCACAAAGGCTCTGAGCCCTTCATAAAACCTTGGCAGTAAAAGCTTAACCATATCATGTTCCTTACGGATCTAAAGGGACTCCTATGCGGGTTGGAATGAGATTCATCCTTGGCCTACCTTCAGATCCTGTATCTTCTATAGACGATAGGCATCTTTGCGTTTAGCTAGTTTGGTGAGGCTTCGTACCCAAGAATATGTTATGATGCCCAAGTAAGATGAAGCAACTCGTATACTAACCAATGGTCTCTAGGATGTATTATCACTGACGTGTCTTGGATTGACGTGTCTTGCATCCATGCATAATGTAGTGTATGTGTGATGCGTGTGGAGGTGGCGGCAGTTCCAGCACTCTCAATGTTTACAGACCCGAAATATGTTTGGTCCACACTTTTGGGATATTTAGGTCACTGCATGTATGACACGCTATCCAGTACGGAGTGATACGCAATTGGATCAATGCCGTGTATCATGCATGCATAGGCATAAGTAACCAATCAATCTGGAAGGATCGTTACCGAACCGAGATTTTATTGGTTCATGTTTGATGAAGCCCAACCATGGAATTAATTAGGTAGCTGAGCATAATGTACATCAACGATAGCAATGCTCACGGTTCACTTCCAAGCAACACGATCTCGATTATCTATGTTTGGCATCGTCAACTGCAAAGCGACACAAAATTCCATATGCTTGTTGCGCTGTCGAATAAAAAGATCAGATGTGTTAATTAAAGCAAAGAAGAAGAAAACACGAGTCTCCGCTGTAGAATCGCCCAAGTTTCGGCCTGCAGATCAGCCCACTTTCTTCTTTCGTGGCAGCGATGCCCAAGGACTCAAATGACCTTTGGGCACCTTATCCCCACACGGCATATCACATACGCCAATTAGTGACTCTGCATTCCGTCATGATGGTGATAGCCTACAGAAAGAGGCTCCTACTAGATTTATAATTTAACCTTATGTTCCCCCGACGTCGCGTTCAACTTAATGCAATGTTCAGTAAGCGGGGAAATAACCCGTCATTATCTTTTCATAACACTCGGTCTTGGTCGAGCAGGTTGCTTCTAGTTTCAACCAGCCTCTGTAAATAGCCACTATGAGCAAGAAGCCTCCGATTCGTCTAACCCACCAGGCATACACTATTGGATGGATATGTGCATTGCCAATAGAAGGCGGGGCGGCAAGTTTCATGCTGGACGAGGAGCACGCTGACCTTGTAAATCCGGGAAGCGACACAAACTCATATTGGCTTGGAGCTATTAGCGGTCATAACGTTGCCATCGCTTGTTTACCATCCGGCAGTTATGGCAATAACAGTGCCGCGACAGTCGCAGCCCGGATGATTTCTACCTTTCCCAACATCAAAGTTGGCTTAATGGTAGGGATTGGAGGCGGCATCCCCTCAAATGTTCGACTCGGTGATGTGGTCATCAGTCAGTCCAAGAATGGACATAATGCAGTTATCCAGTGGGATATGGGGAAGACTGAGGAAGGCGGCAAGTTCAAGCGAACGGGCTCTCTGAACAATCCGCCAACCGCAGTGATGACAGCGCTGAGCAAGTTTCAGGCTAATTCAGTACGCTCTCGCCAGAAGATTAAAGCATGTCTGGAGGGACTGAAAAGTCGTGAGGAGGCAAAAGCCTTTCTCAAGTCTGATTCAATGAAAGATCCGCTGGATGCCACTCTGGGTGCCCACGATACCATGGGGATACATTACGGTCTGATTGCATCGGGAAATCAAGTGATTAAAGATGCCGCAACTCGAGATAGACTCAACGCGGACTATGATGGAGATTTGCTTTGCTTCGAGATGGAAGCAGCGGGATTGATGAATGACTTCCCATGTCTCGTCATCCGGGGCATTTGCGACTATTCAGATGAGCATAAGAACAAGGTCTGGCAAGAGTACGCGGCGGCTGTAGCTGCAGCATGTGCAAAGACATTCCTCTCCGTTCTCCCTGCGAGCGAAATTACAGGGATGAAAACGATCCAAGGTCAGTAGGTCTTCAAGATTAATCGAATCAATTGAACTGACAGATTTGATAAAGATTTTGTTCCAACAAGCTTTTTGCAGGATGTCAAAAAGATCTTCTGGGGCGACAAGAAAGAAGACGCCACTCCGCCAGGTATGTTTTGATATATGAAAGTGACACTTATGACTTTCACTAACCATTATTTACCTATATAGCTGTTTCTGAGAAGATTCTGGCAAATGAGGCGAGCGAAAAGATGGATGACCAGGCGTTGCCAACCCAAGCAGACAAGCCTATAGCTGGTGACACTGGGGCTCCGTCCAAAGACACGAAGCCTCAGCAAGATTCTCCAACACAGTCATCACAGCCGATTTATTCACCATCGACATCACCACAGTCATCCTCCCAGGTGCACGAACTTGAATCTGGAATGAAGACAATGAACATCAACCGCCATCAGACACCGCCGCCTCCAGCAAGAGGAAATAGAGGCAATGATACTGAGCAGGAGAAAGATGCGAATACACAGCTATCTCAGCATGAGTTGAAGCAAAAAAGGGATAGTGCCTCTGAACTCGACAGCAGTCCCTCATCTCAAGGCCATGAAGACTATAGCCATCCCCTCAAATCACGGCCTCAAGTGCCACAGTACAGGGGTGATCATTCTCAGACGCCACTTTCACAAGGAGGACAGTCCAAGGGCAACCATTTTGAACGAAACGACTATGGAGGCGAACCCCAAGGCCAAATGGGTAACAATTCTGAGAGACAGCCTACACATCCTGAGAGCGGTAACTACAGCCCTGGAGCTCCCGGCCTACGAAATGCTCCTTACCAGGCAACCCGATATCTACCACCAGCCAATGACAGCAACAACAATTTTCCCAGTCAGTATATTGGCAACCCTCAAGAACAAAGCGGTAATAATCTTGAGAGACAACCTGGAGGGCCTGGAAACGATAATTACACTCTTGGGACTTCCGGCCCACAACATCCTCCTTATCAAACATCCCCATACCAATCACCAGCCAGCAGTAATAGCAACAATATGCCCGGCTCATATAACGGCAGTTATGGTGGCAATACTAAAGTTCAAAACGGTAACAATCTTGGGAGACAACCTACCTGGTCTGGGAACGGTAATTACAGTCCTCAAACACCTGGCCCACGAGATGCTGCTTACCAGGCGCCCCCATACCAATCACCAACCAACAAGAACACGCCTGGTCAGAATCATGGCAGTTATAGTGGCGTTCTCCAGGATCAAAACGGGTTATATCCTCAGACACCGCCGTCTACATGGTCCAGAAATGGTAGCTATACTATTGGGACCCCTAACCCACAAGATAGCCATTACCAGACGCCTCCATATCAATCGCCAGTCTACAATAATAATAGCCAAGTGTCCAATCAGTATACTGGAAACTATACTGGCAATCCCCATGGCCAAAACGGTAGCAATCCCCAGACACCGTCCACGTGGCCTGGGAACCTTGGCTATACCCCTGCGACTACTGGCCCACAAGATAATGTTTACCAGACGTCCCCATATCAGTCATCAAGTTACAGCGGTAATGCCAGTCCGCCAGGTCAGTACTATGGAAATGGTACCGCACTTGCACCAACAGTCTCCTACGACTACCCGCAGAATTCGCCTGCTCAAACCCCGGGGTACAGCAGTAATCACTATCAGAATGGCTTCGAGGCGGGACATGGCAATTATCACGATGGCTACAGCGGAAACAACGGCGCCTCAGTGGGAGGAAACGGAGGACCGTATGATGCTAGCCCCAGGCAAAACGACGCGCAGACCAGGCAAGCTCTGTTCCAAGCAGTTGAGTCTGGGAATGCACTTTTTGTTGAGCAACTTCTGAGAAACGGCGCTGACCCGGATATGAGAGACTCATCCGGATCTACGCCGCTGTGGAGAGCCGCGCAGACTGGACATTTGGCTATTGTTCAGCTACTTCTCCAGTACCCTGTTGATGACAGCACCCTGCTGTTGGCCGTTGAGGCTGGCACCTGTGGTGGCAGGAGACGCGATGACTTGGTCGGGTTGCTCATCTCGCACGGGGCTCTCGGCGCCATTACCGGCTCTGACGGGCACAGCGGCAACCGCAATGACCAGGAACTCGCCTGGTGGAGGCACACACTCGTGGGGGAGTGGGCAGGGAGCTACAACTATCAGCCGGCTTCGAGCGCGGAGCCCATGGGATTCCGCGTCGGTCAGGTCTTCAGGGAGGCTCCCAGCGTGCTGAGGAAGGGCCTCATCTTGTTCTCCGGCGGCGGTGAGGATACCGTTGCCCCGTTTGTCGTCTATGGCCAGGTGCTGCCCGGAAGAAGTGTCCGATTCGTGAAGCTGTATCCCGAGTTTGGGTGGACGTATCAGGGCAGGATCGTGGGAGACGAAGGCGGTGGGTGGTGTCTGCAAGGCCAATGGGGGAAGCAATACAGCGGACCGCCTGGCGGGCACTTTATGTTAAAATCGTGGTCCAGAAATCTGCAAACGTTGTACTAAGAATCACTAAAAATGACGATAGACTTTCATAATAGAATGAACTTTATGGCATATCTTGATATTTGGCAAACCCCAACTTGGCTCTGCACCTGTATCCTCTCCGGACTTCTTCCTCTCACGCGTCTCAACATTCAACTCTCTTTATATTCTTTCATTCTTCACTTTTGATCAACGGACAGCCTTGTCAAGTATATTTCCATCAAAATAGGCCATTTCACCAACTCGGATGGGGGCTTGGGTTCCCTTCTACCCTGGTCAGCTGTGCCTATCAGCAAGAGCAACATGATGATTTCATTTAGGCTTTGACATTTACAGCCGACTCCCCTCTCAATTTGCATCCTTTTCTTTATTACATCTCAGAGCGGTTGTAACAATGGTCTTCAGCTGGCTCAGGGCGGGCTGGAGACCTCCTTAAAGGGTCACATTGATTGGCCCATTGCTTTCCAACGAGCCGTTTCGCTACGCAACATGCGTCCATAATAAGACCTCAACTTGTTTCATATTCCACTGAATTGTTATAATTCTACAGTGTACATAGTTGTTGAGTGGTCACAGACCCGCCCTCTTAGCAAGCCCACTGTCAATCCGTTTGCAATCCGTTTGTTCTTGGTCAGGGTATCTTTCCCTTCCTCTCTTCGATAGTTCTAGTTGTTGCAATACAATCCTCTCCATCCCCTTTCATAATAGTCAACATGCATGGCCAAATATACTATCTCCCAGTTGCGAGTTTTCCTGCGCGAATCCTGGCACGCGCTCGTACGAAGCTCGGACACCCAACAGGTGGGTACATACGGAACGAGGAATCACAAAGCTACACGGTTGAGACGGAGCTCTTTCATTGGCTCAGCCGCGTTGTTTTCGTGGCATCCGGCGAGTCCAAAGTCACGCGGCCCTGCTGCTTTCTCCAAAAGGGGTCGTATCCAACTGAGATCATCTCTGCCCCCTCCATGACTTGGTACAGAGCAAAGACTGACCCTCTCCCATGTACTTCACAGCCATACAAACAATGCCTTCTTCTCTCAGCAAACCATTTTGGGGTGAGGCTACGTCTTATCTGAAGTATGTTTTGGAACTTTCTGCCCATGCGTTGCGGTCGTTATAGCTCACAGCATACAGCTTTTGTAAAGAGGTAGTCCTCTCCATGCCCTCTCTCGCCCAGACAGCTGGATGGCCGGACCCGTTAACGAGCCATTGCGAAATGTTAGGATTATGCTATTACGAGATATGTCGCTGAGTTTATCAATACTCTCAGCAGCTTGGCTTTCGGTCCGTCAAATTGCATACACAGCCCACCTGTCTTGTCTGTCTACATTCACTAATCTGGTTGTACTGTACTGATAGTTGCCTATGGAGTATATGGCCTGTCCAAACCCGGCTACAATGGCCAGACTCGCGCTCGTCTGCTTTCCTACAGTGGATTGATTGGCGTAGGCCTTTGCTCTGCCAGTTATCATATGACCTTGAAATATCACACTCAAATGTGTACGTGCCACCACCTCTACCCAGCTGTTGCTCAATCTCACCTCACCTCCAGCGGATGAATTGTCCATGCATCTTTTGACGACACCAATGGTGTATCGCCTCTTGACGTTCAAGAGCAGCCCGCAGCGTACCAAGGTTGTGGCCGTGCTTCTTACCATCCTTTTTACAGTGGTCATGGTCACTCACATGGCCATGGACGAATTCCTCCTTCATGCAGCGACTTTTGGTCTTGCCGTCTATGTAATCGCAACTCGAACGCTAAAGCTTATATTTCAACAAGTGCCAGATGAGCACATTAGAAAAAATCTTCGGAATATTGCACTGTTTGGCTGCTGTATGTTGCTCGAATTCCGTGAGTCGGGAGTTTGAACTTACGTTTTGCACAGTCAATTTCGCCTTTGGGTACTTTGTATGGCTATTGGATGGCTGGCTATGCTCGCCGCTGACTTGGATGAAGCATTCAGCTGGCCTTCCTCTGGCTTTTTCCCTCGAGTTACATGGATGGTATGCTTACTTTGTAGTTGCATAGTTACTCTTCGGTGCTATCATGTCTAACGATGCTTGAGCAGGTGGCACATCTTTACTTGTATCGGGGGCTATGTTGGCGTGGCTCTCGTCGACGCATTAACATCAGGCCAAGTCCGTGAGGACCCGATTCATCATCTTGCCTGGCCTGTCTCATCTGTGGCGAGATTATTGGCAGGTGCAAACGCAGCACCAAGCAGGAATAGGTTTGCCCATCAGAAACTAAATTTACCACAAAGCTCTTTGGAGGAGACATGATGGATGGGTAACTGGATGGGCATTGAGGCACAGCGCTTCGCTTCCTTATATTGGTATGCCTAGTGATAAGCTCTGTTCCGTTGCACCAAGGTCTTGAATACAAATTGTCTGGCACTCAGGAACTACATGTATCCAATAGCTTTGCTGTTTTTCTCTCCTTCTTTTGTCTCTCCTGTTATATTGACTGAATACTCGACGGCGCAGGCGCGATACTCCGAGGAACCCATGATAAACGTGGAATTCTCTCAATATTCTTTCTTCGCTGGCTCTCGTTCTATTTGACCAGTCGATATCCTTCTATACTTGAGTTTTACAGTAACTAGCGTTCCAATGGAGAAAGTGGCTGAATATGGGCTCTATAGCAGTCAATGGAAAAGTCTATTTATGGTGTCCAATCACTCAAGAAGTAATATGAGACTGGCGCCCTGCCGCTGGAGCTTAAATTAAGCAGCTTATACATCAACATACTGGCAAGGCGTCAAAGATCCATTGAAAGAGATTGACATTGTTTGTATATATGACCATGGCCATTGTCAATTCGTCTACTTTGGCATCACAAGGTAATCCGCAACTTGAATTCGAACTGTCCTAGATTTCTCTTCGAAATAGTTTACTGCACGTCCTATAAATTTGGCACTTCGATGTTGAACCTTGGCCGGCCGCGCAATCAACCTGTGGCGCATGACAGTTAGGATGCTGGAAGCGTGGATCGACAACCCGGAAGATCCGAAGTGGAGGACAGCGGAATGTGGCGCAGTATCATTATACTTTACTACGGCTTTGTTTAATTTGCTCTGAGATGTTTTGAAGTGAAATGGAATTGGAAGATGTGGTAGAAAGGTCATGTTTGCGGTCTATGCAAAGACGGTAGTCAATAGTCTCCATCTTTATAAGTTTAAGCTGTTTCAATTCGATGACAATAGCTGGAATTTCGCCTACTCTTATGATGCTCCTTGCACAATAGATAGTAAGCTGATGCCGATGACGAGATTCTTACACTGTTGGGGTAAAGCTCATTGAGCTCTAGACGCGGAGCTGAAATTGTGGCTGCTAGGCTAATATACTTTAATTAGATTGCTGCTCTTTGTTATAATGAACCACAGCGCCATGTCAATTTTTTCAAGAGACAAGGTGTAATTAATCGCTGCTGCAGAGTCAATTGCAGACTCACATTTTGGCTAACGCTGCGTTGATGATGAGTTGGGAATAAGCCAAAACTACGTCAACTATCAGTCAGCCGATCAACAGTTGTAACCGAATTCTCGATAAACATCTTAATTTTTGTAACAAGGTTTCATAGTTCAACTTTTCATCTCTCGAAACAGAGCTCTTCGAAAATGACTCGCTTCTATAACGCTCTGTTCAGCTTCTCTGCGTATTTCTTGATTCTTGGTGCGCGGATACCTGAATAACACTGGGACCAGGCTAATTTGCTACATAATAGCATCGTATTTTTCACCTGGAGTTTTAGCATATTTAATTCCCGAAGAAAGAGCTGCGCCAGTTGCTCCCGATGGCTATACTCCAGCCCGGGTTGATTGCCCGGCTAACACGCCAAGAGTTCGCAGAGCAACGGGTTTGTCGATTAATGAAACCGATTGGCTGCCTCAGCGCACAAATAATACTGTCTCGGCAATGAAGGATCTGCTCAGTCGTATTAATATTACCGGTATCGACACTGGGAGATACATCGATAACCTCACTAGTAATGGCGGCACGGGCCTTCCACGAGTTGCCATTGCTATTTCTGGAGGAGGCTATCGAGCTCTCATGAACGGCGCCGGGGCCCTCGCGGCATTTGACAATAGATCAACAGACGCGACTCAAACTGGCCATCTCGGAGGTCTTTTGCAGTCAGCGACGTATCTCAGTGGCTTGTCTGGTGGAAGCTGGCTCGTTGGCAGCCTTTACGTGCAGAATTTTACCTCTGTTGAATCTATAGTGCTCTCTACCAGTGGATTTCTCAGTACCCTCTGGCGGTTCGACCATTCCATTTTTGACGGTATGTTATGTAGTAGATTGCGCCGGATGTTGTCATCAAAGAGCCTGCTAATGTTTATGATTAAAATTAGGGCCCGCGGACCTCAATATCGTAAGGTATTATACTCAGCTCTTTGACGCTGTCAACGACAAAAAGAAGGCTGGCTTCAATACGTCAATTACCGATTACTGGGGCAGAGCTTTATCCTATCAGCTTGTTGATCCTTCCGACGGAGGGCCTGGTATGACTTTTCAGCTAGATACTCATGAAACACGCTGACTATTACAAAGCGGTTACGTTTTCATCCATCGCAAATGACACCGAGTTTCGAACAGCTCAAGCCCCAATGCCTTTAATTGTGGCTGTCGAAAGAACCACGGGACAGGTCCAAATCGCTGCCAACTCAACAGTCTTTGAGTTTAACCCCTGGGAGATGGGGTCGTACGACACCGGACTCGAGGCATTTGCGCCGCTTCAGTTTGTGGGCTCCAACTTTACTAACGGCACCATTGCCAGAAATGGAGTTTGTATCGCTGGAGTTGATAACGCAGGCTTCGTCATGGGCACATCGTCCTCTTTGTTCAACCAGGCGCTCTTGCAAATTGGACAGGTTCAAGGCGTACCAGACTTCTTGCTCAACGCCATCAACGATACGCTAACAGACATTGGCGACGATAACAGAGATATCGCCGCCTGGCCAAATCCATTCTTTGGATACAATCCCAGTGTAAATCTGAACGCGAACGAGACACAGCTGACTCTTGTGGACGGCGGTGAAGACTTACAGAACATACCTCTACATCCGCTAATCCTACCGCAGCGAAGGGTTGACGTGATATTTGCGGTTGATGGCTCTGCTGACACGGCAACCTTATGGCCAAACGGCACGGCCATGGTGGCCACTTTTAATAGATCGGAAGCCACAACCTCCTCAGCTGACGACAACCGCTTCCCAGATATTCCGGACCAAAATACCTTTGTCAATCTGGGCTTGAATAACCGGCCTACCTTTTTCGGCTGCAGCAACCGCAGTTCGGGTCCTCTCATCGTCTATCTGCCTAATGCTCCCCTCTCATTTCACTCCAACGTCTCAACGTTCGATCTAAAGTATACCATCGAGGAACGCAACCAGATCATTCAGAATGGGTACAACATGGCGACCAGAGGCAATGGCTCGGTGGATGCGAACTGGCCGGCATGCGTCGGTTGCGCCATTCTGTCGCGAAGCTTCAATCGAACCAGGACAGCCGTTCCTGCAATATGCAGAGACTGCTTCACGCGATATTGCTGGAATGGTACGACGAACGACACCTTGCCGAATACGTATGAGCCCGCGCAGATTCTGCAGGGTGCTACGGAGCAGTCGTCTTCTTCGGCTGGTCGGGCGAGTGGGACGCTGCTGTTGGCTGTTATTGCGCTGTTACTGGCGATCTGAGATCCAAGTAACATTGAAAATGGGGGGAGATGCACTGATGTGGGTTTGAAATGTTGCCAGAATGGATACTCGCAGCATTCTTGCAGGAAGATGGGCTCTTGGAACGCAATATCGGCACCCATATCGTGATGCTTAATGTATAAGTAATGGAAACGGCGAGCCCGTTACTGTTTTGTGAGAAATACTGCAAGCAGAAACTTCAATGCATGTTAAGCGACTTGACAGCTTACGGTTGCTCCGTATGGGGCAATAATTTCTTGAGTACGACCCGTTCGAGTAGAGTCCTCCAATAAGAGTCAGCGGGAGGCACTCGGATACACAAATGAGGCAAGTGGCCAAGACTCAGGTGCACTAAAAGATGGAATCAAGCGGCGAATACAATCATTATGATACTGTTGAACAAGACGGGCACGATTATGCGCATCTTAACCTCATGTTTTGCACTCTCATAGCTGAGACAGTATAGAGTACGGTGAACCCATTTTAAACCGTTCACTTAAAGTTGCAAACAAGTTTACAAAACAAGCTTCAGTCGAGACAAACGCAAAAGCACCATCCCTGCAGCCTCGTCAGCTCACAACTCTACACGGCTAGTAGAACCATCTTCCCCTTGTCAGCGCGCACGGCCCATGCCGGGGAATTTTCTTTGCATCGACGGAAAAATAATTTCGCTTCGTATAACGCCCTATGATTGTGCCCTTCAAAGGCCCAAATAGGAAGCTTCAGAATCTTCCATGTCGAGCTTTAGAAGTAAGCTAATATTGTCAGGCGGCTGCTGGTTTCGGAAGCGTTGGCGAGTCCTCCAGCTGCCTTATTTGTCTTGCAGAACGAGGCGCTATATGCGGTGAAAGGGGGGATCGTATAGAGAAGCCATGAATCGGAAGAGCCGCTAGTCGTCACCGAAATATTGGCAGAGCATACAGCAGGGGCAAGGATGGTCAAGTATTTACACGATATTTACGTATCTGATGATTCATGAGCGCCGGGATAATTATTTACAGCTGTTGGTGAGATTTTAGCTGATGATATTGAATGCCAAAAACATCTTTAAACGAGGAATCGCGGCGGATACAAGAGGGCAGTGATATATATAAAGGTTGAGTAGTCCTCATGAACGCCATAACGCATTAATCGTAGCAACAATTCTTTGAATCCCTCTTCAACAAAGCATTTCTCATCAACAATCTCAAAATGAAGTTCTCAATCTCCGCCATCAGCCTTGCTCTGGCCGTCACTGCCTCTGCAGTCCCCATCGAAGAAGAGCAACACGCCGAGCGATCCACCATCACTGGCTCCGGCCCAGGCTCAATCTTCCAGTTCGGATCGGCTTCCAACTGCCGAACCATCTTCTGGAACTCAGGCGCCTGCGGTCTCAGCACATTCTTTCCCAACCAGGTCTCCGCCAGCATGCCTCTAGTTGCGCTTCCTTCTCGCATCTTTGAGGCACATGGCTCTTCGGACCAGGACAACCCCCTGTGTGCCAAAGTTATTACCATGACGCACAACGGCGTTACTCGACAGGCTGTCATTTCGGATGAGAACACCAGTGACGAGCAGTCTATTGATATGTGCTTGGACTTGTGGCAGGCGTTTGGTGGTCACGATGGCGATGGCACTCTTATCGAGAACATTTCTTGGTCTATTGCCGCATAAAAATATGGAGAACGAATGAGGGAGTGAGTTGGTGGCTTATGATTATGTACATATTCTCAAAATTGCCAGACAGCCATTTACGGCTACATGTATATAAAGATACAGCAACTAAATAGATGTACATGCATACATGATCTATTATCTAAGTAACAGCGTTTTCTATTGAATTGGACAATTGGTATACATCAACTTCTATGTCAAAGAGCCCTAAAGAAGCCAAGGAACCCATTCTTATAGCATCATCCAAAGCATGCTGTTGAAGGGGCTTTCATGGATTAAGGATTGGTCTTGTATTTGTTTATTTTTATATATGAATAATTAAAAGTTAATTGATCAGCTAGATGACCTATGCTCCGTTCTAATGTCATTCCACGGACCGTGCCGCACCTCTACTTCCAAGCGAGCATCTCGCTCTGCACAATAACAAGCCAGGCGTCCTCAGCCTCAGCCCACTTCTCGACGGCATCTAGCGTCTGCTGAATCTCGTCTTCACTAATTCCTGCATCCACCCAGCTCTGGTAGAAAGGGTCTCCTTTTTGCAGTTGGCCTTTGGCACGCCAGAGCATCCGTTTGCGAGCTTCCGCTTCCGAGTGCACAGAAGCTCCCGCGCCAACACGGACTTTGCCAGCGTCGGTGTCGAAGCCGGCTTTACGCAAAAGGTTGGGCATCATTGCTGATGTCGAATCGGTTTCAGGCGCGCCCTTTCGCGATGCCCGAAATTGGTTTTCTCCCCAGAGGTGATCGAGATTGAGGCTCTGTGGGTAAAAGTGGTGGTTCATGCCGTCGCGCGTGGCCAAGATGCCGCCCGGCTTCAGGACACGCCGCATCTCGGTCAACGCTTTGAGGGGAGTGTCTGGCGCTGGCATGTGCCCGATGACCTGTGAAGCAAAGACGACGTCAAACGTGTTATCGGGATAGGCGAGCCCATCTACGACATTGCCTTCTTCGAATACCACAGAGCCGGGTCCCTGAGTGGGAATATTTGCTTCGGCCGCCAGTGTCTTTGCCTTTTGCAGCACATCTTTAGAGATGTCAATGCCGACTATAGTACCCTCGCTGGCATATTTAAGGAAGCTCGTGGTGATGGTGCCGGGCCCGCAGCCGACATCGAGGATATGGTCTGTCGGTTTAATGTAAGGCAGCAGGAAGGCGGCATCTGACTCAGCCTTGCGCCTTAGATGCGTTGCGATGGTGTAGTCGGAGTGGCCCCGGGCGTAGTAACTTGGTAGATTGGTTTGCGCCATGTTTACAGTGTAGTTGGTGAGATGTTTGACGTTTCAAAATTTTGACAAGTGAAGTGGTTTCTCCTATTTATTTGTAGTCATCTGTCACAACACACCTCGGTGAGCCGGATTTGTGTTACTTGATAAGGCTATGATCGTAAATAAAAGCCGACCCTAATGTCTATTGCCTGCTCAACCCCGAATTCCGTGAGACTTACACCACCAAGTTTTGTTGTAATTGCTCGGAGATCGGGTCCGTGTTTCCCAATATGGATTAGTGGACCCGAAAGACCGCCGCCGTAACGGAGCCGTTTCGGCCTCAATCGTGATGCTTGGAAGCTGCTTCACAGCTATTGCCTCTATAATAATCTAGAATAGAAGATAAAACACCTCTACAGAATGTTTTTTCAGGCAATTCATCAAAAGTATGGCGGTGAGATGTCTAGAAAACAAGGTCACAAGTTCAATACGTGGCTTCGAAAAGCAGCTGTATTGTAATAGCAGCCCGTATCAATTCCTGGGTGCAGTCCAATGTATTGAGTGTGGAGGAAAAGTGGTGGATTTGACTGCCAAAACTGCCAAGAACATCTTTCTGATGATGCGATATTTTAAGTCTTCATAGTTGGAGCAGATCATTCCAGTAAGTCCAGTCTAGAGATTCGTCGTGCATCAGATCGCCTATCAGTCCAACCTGCAGATTTTCCGTATCTGATGCTGGGTCTTGTGTATCATCGGCAGCGCCACTTACTGCCTGCAGCCTTTCGATAAATTTGGGAGCGATATCCTGTCTATGATCTAGTGTACGCCGGCGTGCCGCCCATGCCTGTAGTATCAAATCCACCAGCGCGGCGTAGAATTTATGCTCTCCCGGTGGAATTGCAAACTGTTCGTCAAACAGTTCCTCCAGCAACGTCCACGCAGTATCGACGAGGCAGCCACTCATACGTTGTCGCAGCTCACTAACCATGTACACCAGAGCATCAACCGGTGTTCTGCATACCATATGGTCCACCAAGTTTATCGAGAAGTTTGTGTGGCGCACGTCATGATTCAACTCCAGCAACCGGACACTGCTTTCGAAAACAAAGTCCTGGTCGGCTTGAGACATGTTTCTGCCACCTCCAGGTTGATGGCGAGGATGGAACATTGAGAAGCGCTGATTGTGGACGGTAAGCCCCGCCAAGGCGATCGAGAGCCGATGCAGTGGTATACTCTGGTCAAGATACGCAAGATACCTTTCCTGGAGCATGTGAGTTACGTTGCTAAGCATCATTCTTTTCACTGCCATGTTTTCAACACTCGTCGAGGCGGCTAGCTGAGCGGCTTTTTCTCTTGGGTTGGGATCACTAGAGAATCTGGAGGACTTCCGAACATAGTTCCAGAGGTCGTATTTCATCAAACAATAAGCCATCTCTGTGGCGGCGGTATGCTGAACTGCTGGGGGTTTCTCCATGAGCGGGTGAAGATCTGCGTCGTTGACATTCATCGGAAGACGCACGTCGCCCAGGTCATCAACAGTCGATAACAACCCCATGCCTCGACGGGCGCGTGAGTTGAAGCCGCGAATACACCACCATAGACGTACTTGCATCTCTTGCTCAAAGAACGGCATATGAGAGTCTTTGTCGGCATGATGCAATCCCATTTTGTGGGCAATACGCATAGCTAGCGCAGCTGCTGTGATTGAGAGCTCTGACTGGGGATCAATCATCTAAACGCAAATGAGGAAAAAGGTAAGAATGTTATTTCCTTTTAGGCGAGACAAGGCGGATCAGACTTACAAGAACAAGAGTCAAAGCCTGCAGTACCTCCATGTCTCTCGTTGAGAGTAGATCAGTGCCAGATAGAGCTTGTAACGCTCCTTTGCGGTATCTATTCACAAGCACTTGCTTATCTTCTCCAAATAGATCGATACAGCTAGCAGGCTTCATTGAAGCTACAGCTAGCGCGTATACTGCAAACATGGTAGCCTCGAGCGGCCTTGCAGTCGAATTTGGAGCCCATGCTGCCTCGAAAATCTTCTCTTGAAGAGTAGGCGCGTGTATAATTTTGATCAAAGGGTTGACGTTATCCGCGAACATCTGCCAAAGCTTGAAAACGTGCTTCGGATCAGGATGTAATTCTAGTTGCCCTCCAGTTGTAGAGATATGAGTAGGAAGTAATAGAGAGGGCTCGCTCAGGTCTGTATCGTTGTGGGTGGACCTATTCCCTGCCTCCTCATCTGGTTGTTTGAGTTGCAAGATTGGAGGGTTTTTCAACTTGGAAAGCTGTTAGTACAGACAGAATGCTGAACCAGAATCAACATACGCACAACTTCAGGCAACTCTGACCAAAGACGTGCTGCAGCAGCCTGTCCATCAAGCAAACTGTCGTTGGTTTGGTCCAGGTTTGCCGCGAATTGCGCCTGTAGAGATACCTCAGTCGTCGCTGCAGTCTCAATGAAGCGTGCCTGGGTCTGAGGGCTCTGGGCAAGCCGTTCTTCCCACCGTGAGCTAATCCATGAGTTATCCAGCGCTTCAAATGGAATCCTATTGCTATGAAGGATGGTTTCGAGCTCCTGGATCTTGGACAGGAGATCACGCTGAGTCACGCGCTTTCGGTATCTCTGCGACGGCACTGGGTCTCGATAAATACACGCGACTTGTGACTTGGAGCAGGCCGAGCACGGGCTCAGCTTGTCGCATTTGACTTTGCGCCGGGCACAGGTTACGCATGAATACCGGCTTTGAGACGTCATCTCGAGTTCATGGCGATGCGCCGCAAATGCTTCAAACGAAAACGGGCGGCGTCACCGACAGATCTCGGAACGTCATACTCGATTTCAGGGCGATTAATTTTCAAGAAGCCGTCAGTTGGGTGTTTTGCTCTACAAGGTTAGAGGCCGCTCTGAGATGCCATCCAGCATAAGACCAATGTCAATCAGGGCATAGAATAGCTGAGTGGTGAATGTTGTGAGGATATGAAAGCCTGCGTGCTGAGGATTCTACAATTACTGGCGCTAAGATGGCTGCCTGATCCGTGTTAGACACTGTGAAATCTTGCGCCTGAAGATCTCCCTATGAAGTACAGCTACCTCATCTGCCTGGCTTTTAGTAAGGCCACCTGGGAAACATACACGTGCATATACCTTGGTATAAAGAGTTGAATTTGATAATACGCACTGTGTTATAATTACGTGCTACCTAGAAGCCGTGTCTTCTGACCAGTATCTGTTGAGCATAAACGAACGGCTGGAGAAATTATTAAAGAACGTCTGGACGAGCATTGCAGTGGAATTAAAAACGACCTACTTACCTTTTTTGTAATATTTTTTTTTGAAATCCAGCTGGCGGAGCTCTCTTACCCACATCCATAGGTAGAGATAGTTAATGCAGTGGCCTGTGATATTTCTAAAATAAACGAATTAATTAAGCAAAAAGAATACAGATCTTGAACAGATCTTGAACAGATCTTGAACATAATGGCTAATGTTAATCGTTGACGTCAGGCAGAGAAAAGAACATTCAAGTGAAAAGTAGATAAACCAAGTCAGCTAGCTTAATGCAGTCGATCTATGAAGAGCCACCGTATACACGTATGTATTAGGTACACGATGCTGGGGTTAGCTGGGGTTCCTTGACCATAGAGCCTGAATACACTCAACAGAATGTTTTGCATGTTATTTGGAGATATCTACTTTTTTGATACATATTCACTTCTTTCATCTAGGTATATTTCTCTTTGTCCATTTTTGTGCCTTTTCGCTTCTTTTCGTTGTGGTTGAGTGCTTAGTCACATCGATGAATGCCTCACTGCTACAACGACAGAGACGACTGGACCAAGTAAATTCGACTACATGTATCATCTCCCAAGTATTAGCACCATCAAATGACTACCTGTAAGTACCTCTGATGAAGAGTAGAACAGAGCAAATACGTAAAATGATATGGACTAATACCAGTTTCTATATAAGTTCTACCTTTTCATCGTATAGTCCCTCATGGGCCTCAGATGGGGTCGCTCATGAGTACCAAGATGGGACGCTTCGCTGAGACCGACTTCTACCTGATTATCAAAATGTCTATGAGACTTGTGCAAAGACTCTCCCGGATAGTAGCTACATACCTAGGTACATGTAGGTAGGTACAGTTCAACTCCTACATTGTATCTTATCCACTTAAAGGCCACGCACTTCCAAAACCTTAAGTCTGCACGCGTCTTCGTTTGCGTTTTTTATCTGCGTCTTTTTTTCTCTCTTATCTTCCCTTCTTTTCTCTTCTCTTCTTTCTTTTCGTTGATGAATGCAATAATCTTGTCTTTGCATGTTGCTTCCTCCCAACTTTCGGCAGTCAAGCCAGTCGTTCATGGTGAAAAGATAGCTAGCAAGACAAACCAGCAAATCCTTCGTATATAATTGTCTGCCCGTTTGTATTTATAAAGATCAAATCTCCATTATGGGCAACGTTATCGGCGCACCGGCTGCAGGACCTGAGCAGGAGGGAAGAGAAGAAGATCATAGGCCAAGAAACCAGGCGCCAGAAATCCAAAACATACAGCTACCAGCGCGCTACATACGACCACTGAATATAGGTGCCTTGCGAGTTCCAAGGTGTCTCAATTACACAAGAGAAGTCTGCGGCCGAGGAAATGACTGTCCCTTTGTACACGATGGCGATGATCCCCAGCAGCAAGCACCGCGACCTCGTCCAAATCTACATCAGCCTAACTTGGGAGATCCTGTAGAAGAGAATCATATACAGATACTAAGAGTGTGTCGGTATTTTGCACAAGGTCGCTGTTATAGGGGAGCCCAATGTCCATTTTTGCATGACAACACTATTGCTACACTCGCAGGGAATCAGGTGCGGCAGTCTATCATCGACTCTTTTGGTCACATTAGCTAACATGAATCTTGCTTACTCTTACAATAGGAAGATCAATTTAATGGCGGCGATACATATGAGCTTGGTGGCGCTTGGGTGAAATTCGAAAGCGGTGCGACAGTATCCAAAGTGTCTTTCCCCTCCGACTACAAATACTCGACTATCATCATGGAAAATCTGCCGGCAAATACTTCCAGATTATGTGTCATTAAACTGCTAGCCGCCGCGGTAACAACAAAAACACCGGTGGTCGAATTACGTATCTTGTCGCAGAGGGAGCAAAACACATGCAGCGCAATCGTCAAATCCGGCGATATTTCATCTATCGAGAGAGCTTGCAGCAAGCTAAACTCACTCGCTCCTTCTCCAGGGTTCAAGGCTTCCATTGAGCCTATCAAATTACCAGCTAGCCAAAGCCCGTACCAAGTTCATTGTCGGAAAGTTCACTGTGCCTGGAATCGGCCAACCCGAAGAGCAAATCTAGTCTTTGGAGACAAGACCACTGCTCTCAGTGCGTATAAGCACCTCGAAGCAAGGGAATGCAATATCCTTGGATCCAATATTAGTGCATCTTACCCATATAGCCAGAAAGACCAAAGGAAATGGGTAGTAAAGCTTGAGGGGTTGAGCGATGCAACGAATGAACAAGACATCATCATGGCTATTCCGAAGTTTGATAGACCTCAAACTGTCCATCTTGGAGAACCAAGCTATGTCCCTGATCCAGACCGCGACTCGGGTATTGTCAAATCCATGCTGCTAAAACTTGGTCCCCTGGAACAATGGAGTGTATCTTCTGATACCGGAGCGAAGCGCTTCAACGCATATGCCACTTTTCTCTACGAATCATCCGCAAGAGACGCCGTGTCCACCCTAAAAGACACACCACTGTCGTTCAATGAGACGACAAAGCTGTCGGTGGCACTTGTCGCATCTGCCCAGTTCAAAATACAAGCCAAGGTTTACAATGCTGTAAGTCCGCAAATAGACGAACTGAAAACAGTCTGGATGAGGCAGCGTATTGGCGTTTCCGAAATTCTGCTCAAGTATCCATTTCGCATGTTGAAATTAGAATGCGAAGACCATAAATTAATGGTGCAAGCTAAAACAGCTTTGGAGAAAGTTGTCAGCGGACAGATTGTTAAGATGGATGGAAAAGACTTTCGATTCGGAAACTTTCGACAAAACGGCACAGGGTTGAAACACATCAAGTTGATAGAGGACTCGTTCAAAGTAGTCATCATCCCCGATATGCGCAAGTCTCAGTTCCGAGTTTTTGGACCAGAAGAATATTCACAGTCAACTTTGGATAAAATTACGACAATGCTGCAGGACTGCACGCCTGAGGGCCATGTTATTGAGCTCAATAGCGCTGATTTCCGCTGGGTATTAAGGGGCGGCCTTAGGCTTCTCAAATCGCGGCTAGGTGAAGGAAAAGTATACGTCAAGATCTCTACGTCAAAAACCAGACGTCTTTTCATCAGAGGGTCGAAGGAAGACTATAATAACGCCGTGGCAATCATCGCCAGCAAGCAGACCATGGCTTCTGGAAAAGGCTCGATCTCTGAGATGGAATGCCCGTCCTGCTTGTGCGAACTCGAAGACCCGATCCGCATGTCTTGCGGTCACATCTATTGCAGCGACTGTTTTATCCAAATGTGTGAAGCGGAGAAGACGGCGACGAAGGAGTTTCGTATCCGTTGCGTGAAAGCCACTGATGCCAGGGGATCAATCTGCCAAAAGCCCTTCTCGCTTTCAGAAATCCAAGAGCATCTTCCCGTTGAGGCGTTTGAGGCGGTTCTCGAGAAATCCTTCGAGTCCTATATCAGTCGCCATCCTGGTGATTTTACATACTGCCAAACACCCGACTGCAACCAAGTCTACCGGAATTCACCTCCTGGCCCTGAGCGCCCCGATACATTTACATGCAAGCAATGTCTGGTGTCCATTTGCACATTTTGCCACACCTCGCACCCTGGCAAGCCGTGTGACGAGGCCAAAAGAATTGCCAAACGAATTGGCAAGAGCATTCTGAGTGATGAGACGAAAAAAGCACTTGGTATTAAATCTTGCCCTAATTGCTCAATGTTGATGGAAAAAAGGGACGGGTGTAACCATATGACTTGCAAATGCGGCGCGCATGTTTGCTGGGTGTGTCTCATGTCCTTTAACGATGGTGAGGCATGCTACACTCATATGACCAAGGCGCATGGTGGATATTAGGAGCATTAGCTGTACGGGATCTTTGACCATACTAAGCTGCTGTGGCCAGAAAGGAAGAAAAGGGGGGAATTATGGAGCTTGTTGTTGTGAGAACTGATATCATCTTTTGCGGCGTATCATTTCTGAAGCAGATCGCCACGTCAATCGAAGAAGCATGCAGGAACATAGAGGTAGAATTGAATGGCATCTCTCCAAAATTTTCTTCGAGATTCTTTGTCGGCTATCTCCTACACTTCTGGCTCCTGAAACCGGAGCTGGGAGACCCCGTTTAATGAAGTTATATAGCCCCGCGATGAATCATTCACTGCCAGTTGTAGGCCACACTAGAGTATAATTAAGGGCGGTGGCAATGTTTTATATCGCGAGAATGCTATGGGGCAAAGAAAAGAAAAGTACGAGCGCAGCTGATTGCAAAATTCTTCAAGTTGTTGTCTCGCTAAAGAGGAGTCCGGCACTTGCGCCTCCTTCTTGGTCTTGGTATTAAAGACAAGTGCCGAATTACTAAAAGACTTTAACAGCTACCAGGTCTAATAACGCCTAATAACGAAATAATCGCATGAAAAAGAGAGGTAGATCCTCTCGGTTATTTATTTCATGCAGGCTACTCACTGATAGCGGCTGCTAGGGATCAAGATGGCTAAAGCACTGGAAAGTAAATAATATATGCGGCGTAGACCTACAAGGAAGCGATATACTGTAACAGTGTGTGATGGACAGCCTTGAAGTAGGTGCCAGACTAGGTATATAACTGTTAATTTAGTGCGATTCTGTGTACAGTTGCCTTCTGGCGTATTTCCTCATCAAGCTTGGCTCAATTATCACACCAGAGCTGTCATGTCATATCAAAGTTTGATCATCGAGCCTCCTACTTGAGAGCTGCGCCGCGTTCTGATTGACGAGACAAATAGACGTATTATCTGCATGGTTATTCCCTTTGATGAGGAGGAGAAGAGGGACTTCCGAGTACGTAGAATGGATAATCAGTCTTCTTACTAATTCTGCAACTGAGATTTTCGTTGCTGCGAGACAGGGGCCTCTAGCACCATGCAAGAAGTTCGCTTAGACTTCTCACGGCGGAGTAGCTTCTTGATCCATGGCAACTTCCGCACTCTCGCTTGCGCATCCTCTTTGCAAGGAACTCTCAAAGAGAATAAGTGCTAGAATTGGGTTTTTGGTAAGTGCTTTGCAGATTGCATTTGATAAGTAGCTCCTTCAGTCATGCTAACGGTATAGCAAGTATTAAACGGTTTTGTGATGTTGCGCTTCGGCTAGTAAACGAGGAGTAAGTGATCGATATACTGCCGCAGGAGTTTATCACCTCTGAGTGAAAGCACTCTAAACCACTTTCTCAAAGAAGCAGTTTTTAATTTCACCACTGGGACGCACCTCCACGGGTGTTTCTTGTTCAGGTACACTGGCAGCAAGTGTCAAGCTGAGCATAAACACATGCTTGTGGTATCTACGCCGCTACGGTCACCTAGAACCACCGAATGCCGCGCTTGAGAGGGCATCTCGGGGGTATTTCAGAGCCAAAATCCGGCAGAAAAGGCTTTTTGACAAGTCAAGAGTTGTCGCTGGAGCCTAGGACATTATGGCGAGTCAATGGCAAGCCCACTTGCAGTCTCATAGCGGCCGCCGACTTGTCCTGACTCGTGTAATACGCTTACCTAGTGACAAGCTTCTGGCGACCCCTCTCCGCGAGGTTGTCGCAAGCTCGCCAAATCTTTAACGGAAATCCATCACCGGATCTCTAATCCCGTCATGGAAAACATCTTCGCCGCGTGTTGAGAAGCCAAGGAACCGTTCACAAATATTGTGTGGCGTAGCGACGGCGTTGAAATTATTCGCTCTGGCGTGTGTCATGTACCAAGACAGCCCCTTGAGAGTGGAGCGACAGCTGTCTCTGTTTCTGCTAGGGTTGGCCTAAGCTATGGATGGGCCTGCTCGGAGGATGAACTGGATGCGGAAACCTCCAGCTACCGGCTCTAAGGAACGGCCCAGCGGGCGGTCGACAACGGGAACCCACCATGGCTTGACAGCACTGAGGAGATGGATGTGGTCCATGCCAAATACTCGATTTTGGAGAACGTTGCCATGTTTGCTTTTGGCCTCTTGGCTGATGTTGACCTGCGCCATCTGAATTCTGACCAACAAATGGCGCGTCCATAGACTTTATCTTGAAGCAAGTGGCTCTCAAATACTTCGCGACACGATTCAGCCATCAAAGATGGCGGTTAGGCATGCCCAAAAAAACTCCTACCTGCGTTAACTTTGAAACTGCGGTGAATGTTCCAAGTGCCCTCCAAATGCCGTTCGGAAAACCCTGATTAGCGTTAGAGCCTAGATTTTGGAAACCATCGCCAACAAAAGTCGAGAGAACAAGATGTACAAAGCAAATAGTCGGGTGGTGATACCAGTAGCAGTCGCCTACCAAGCCTCTTCATTATGCAACCCTACGAAAAAGAAAGAAAAGAAGAAGAAGAAGAAGAAGAAGGTTAGAAGTACGTCAAACGTAGGGCTGGAATGAGTGGAATTCACTGGCTGCACAAGCGTCTTGCATTGCCGAGGCAGGTCGCCACAATCAAGAGCTCTACGACCCATCAACAACGTGCCCCAGACGCCATTTTCCAGCTTCTGCTTCGTTTAGCGCCTCTCAGCTGCTCTGCCGAGGGTCGAGCATCCCTGCAATCCATGTGTTGACAGTACATACATGCCCACCTGACGACTCGACCCTCAAACATGGCTTTCGGTCAGCTTCGTTGTAGCGATAAATATAAGAAATGTTACGAATTATATATTCTAATTTCCGGCCGGTCTGCCCGATCAGATGGGTCTGTGGCAGATACGCCTGTGGAGTTGGCCCCTAGCCTTAGCATCTATCAGATTCATACCTGTCATATTAGTCCTTGCATATTGTCTAGTAAGGTACTCGTATATATTCATGCAGACGCAATCCAGAGGATTCACCATGTGTCAGTGTGGATGTCAGGGGCTCGACTACCGATGGCACTTGCTACATAATACTAGCTGAGAACACACAAGGAGCGTCACGATCGTCCCCAAGTCCATCATTTGGGGCGTCGCGTAAGCCTTCCGTCTAAGAGAGAAAACACACAAACTCCGCAAAATGGTCGCCTGCTAGTTCTCTCGTCGGGCGCACTAGTCGCCATACCCTCAGGGAACCCGCAAGTACTTGAAGTCGGCGCCCGCTGTTTAGCGAAAGCCTCTGTACATATACAAAGCCACCGGCCCTATGGGTCTCATTTCGAGTTCCTTTTGTTGTTTGATCTTTGATTTGGGTCTTTGACCGTATTGCCGTCTTGTTGGAAAGAGGAAGATGTCTTCTTCCACGTCGGACATCCAAGTAGCCTCTGTGGCGGCCGGGTTCACCCTCGGCTTTGGGTTTCTGACGGTCTGGAAGGCAATCCAGCATACTATGAGAAACAGGCGGCCATGGAAGAGTCCGTACATCTATATGATTTGGGGAGAGATTATTGCAAACCTCTGTCTCGGCCTTATTGGATGGTTCTTTCTTGATGGCCAACTCGGTCCAGAGTAAGTGCAGAACATATCCCTTCATGGTGGACAAGGCGATCAAGCAGAGAAAAAGAGAAAAGGCGGACGGTAATCGTCCATGGTGATGCATAGCGCATATAAAAACACGATCCCGCTTAGATTGTACCAAAGGGGCAAGCTTGGCTAACAGAGTGCTGTAGGGTGCCCGTTCTATTCTTTTTCATCTTTTTCTGGGTGTTTGAGATCCAGCTACTGATGCAAATCATCATCAATCGAATTGCAATTATCGCGGAAGACGACAGCACGGTAGTAAAGTTGAAATGGGGCACAGCAGGCGTTATTACCTGCATCAACATAGCCGTCTTTTGTATTTGGATTCCGTCGCATACCAATCCTCCAGTTAGCGAATTGTGAGAACCAGATGGACCTCAATTCTTTTATGATACGATTTTAATTGCTTACACGATTTCTGGCATTAGGTTTGTCCGCATCAACGACATTTGGGATCGCATCTCGAAGATCTTAATTTTAATTGTCGACGCTGGTCTCAACTACTATTTCCTGCGCACTGTTAAAGAGCGCCTCGTTAAACAACACGGACTTAGAAAATACGCTCCTCTAGTCACTTTCAATGCCAGGCTAATGGTAGTATCTATCCTCATGGATGTACGTTTACGGCCTTGGCCATACCCGCATATGGACTCGACAGCTAACAATGGTATGGTAGGCTATGCTTATCGGACTTATGTCACTACCGAATCAGGATGTTTACATTCAATTCCACCCTGTTACGTACATGGTCAAATTGAACATTGAAATGACAATGGCAGACCTCATTATGAAACTTGCAAAAACCGAGAACTCAGACATGAGCATGCCATCCACGTCCCGCCACCGAACCGAGACTCGGGAAGAAGATGAAGAAGAAGACACGAATGGGCAACAAAATTACAAGATGCAGCCTGTACTCAGCACCAATCCTACAGGCGAAGATTTCTCTTCCATCGACGATGACATGGGTCAGTTCGACGAATCTAAAGCTGCTAGCACGCGAGGAATTTTGGACGGAGGGATCCAAGTCGAAACTACCATCTCGTCGAGAATCTCTCGAAACTCCAGAGTTGGTGGGGGGCAGAATGATGGCTCAGATGACGAGCTTGCACTGTCGTATCCTGTCCGGTGACTGGGCCAGGATGTTGGGGAGTTTTAATTTGGTGGCTGTAATGAATTAGCTGCGTCGCAACAGCATGGCGTCAAGGATACCCAAGGCGATAGAAACCCCGAATCTAGGTTTACTGTGATAGAAGAAGAGGGCGTCACGCAGTTGACTTGACTTTTTTGGGAGTTACGTATATTAACATAAACGATGCTATGAATATGCTAGTTTTTTTTTATGCCTCTTTTTTCGCCAGCGCTTTGCAGTTTGCTTTGTATTCCTCAATCAAATCTCCTTTAAGATGCGCTGCGTCGCTCTCCTCCCACGGGTGGTCCCTTTCCACCTTTCGGACAAGATTGGCGTACTTTTGGTTTCGCGGCCTGATGCTGTATGAGAATAGATGAGGGTGATCAACCAGACCAGCTGAGTGCTTAAATTCCACATCAATCGGCTTGCCGTTGTCGTCTACTGCCCTTTCAATTGTAAACGCCGCAATAAGTCGTGCAATTGTGAGATAAAGGCTTTCGGTTGCAAGGTATCTTCCAGGGCATACTCTGCGGCCATATCCAAATGCGTCGCCCAGAGGATCAGGTTCGTTTCGAGGTTCCAAATAGCGTGCAGGATCAAAGGCTTCGGGATCGTGGTAGACCTTGGGGTCGTGCAAGAACCACCAGATAGACGGCAGAATATACGAGTCCTTGGGAATGCGGTAACCCCGGAAATAAAGTTCCTCTTCCGTCTTATGCGCTGTCCCAATTGGAACTACCGGGAAGTAACGAAGTGCTTCTTTGGCAATAGCATCGGTGTAGGGCAGATTGTCTCGGTCTTCGTACCCAGGCAGGCGGCCAGAGCCAACCACGCGGTCAATCTCTTCTTGGGCCTTTCGTTGAACATCTGGAAACTTGATCATGGCAATGATGAACGTCATGAGGGTCGATACCGTAGTGTCTGCGCCACCGCCATACATGCTTGTGGCCGTGAGCTGTATAATGTTCATATCTTCCGGGCTTACCCCAGAACCATCTTCGTTGCCATAACTTCTAATAAGCCCAGAGACATATGACTCTTCTTGGTGGATACCCAATTCCATTTGTTTTCTAACAAAGTGGTAAGGGGTGCTGACGACGGCCTCATTGATGGCTTTCCATTTGCGAGCAGTCCGCTTGAAGACTGTGCCAGGGAACCAATCTGGGAGATGTCTGAGAGCGGGGATGATATCAACAGACCACGACATGGGTACAAAGGCAGCAGACAGATTCGACATGACATCCTCGATGAGCTTCACCAGAGGATCTGGGTTCAGCGGCTCAATAGTATAACCATAGGTAATTTTAAGAATAATTGCCGATGCCTCGCTGCAGAGGAATTAGCCAAAAGATATTTTTTTTATAAAACGCCGAGAAAATATTTCCAACATACGCTTTTATGTGCTCCACAAGGTTTTCAGGATCGTTTAGTATGCGCAATAGAAGACGCTTAGACTCTACGTCCTGGATATCGCTAAACCGAGCCGCAAGGGTTTTAGTCCCCAGCTGCTGGTGAATATATTTGCGGTGTTGACGGAATTCGTCATCATATGGCATAGCAGGAAGGAATGCGGCAAAGCCACACATCTCACTTGCAAAAAACAACTGGGCTCGTGCAGATGTCTTCAGCGAAGTCTTCTCTAGAAGCTCCTGGACGGCGTCTGAATCATGAAGAATGACCATTGTCTGGCCCAGTACATTGACCGAGCTGACAGGGCCATATTTGTCCTTGAAAGGAAGCCAGTGTTGAAACTCTGGTACACCCGGGGGTGGAAGATCGTTGATGTTTCCAAGAATGGGAAGAGGCTTTGGGCCTGGTGGTAGTGGGAGGAGTGCGTCCTTCTTGCGGAAAAAGAGGCGATAAATAATAAAAGCCAGGGCAACAACAATGCCCTGGACAATTATTAAATTAGACATTGGGACTTGTATCGGAATACGCCAGGCAGGTGCACTTTTGCCATCCGAATGGGAATGTTTAGAAAGGGTCTGACACAGGGGCATGATCAAGCTATATAATTCGATTATAACAGGTGTTTGCCGCCCTTCACCAGCTTCTCCACACTATGAGCTCCAATCACAATCGAAACATTACGTGTATCTTGATTCTCTTTTTATCAGTGTGGAAAGCAAAAATAGATCGCCCCTCGTAATTCTACATAGTGTGTGCGCCTGCCTCCATATACCCTTGTCCCTCATCTATATACTACAACTTGACCGCGTACGCTAACAAGAACGGTTGGCTCGCTTGCATGCATTTTTGCGAAAGGGTGAATGCTATTGTCTATTGAGGCATAAATTCAGAACAAGATATTCCTATCTGGGTTAAAACTTTGATCATCCATGATTCCACATAGACCGCGGAGAAAGCCCTCCCCAAGTTAGTCGTCCGCGATTTAGCTCCAATGAGCTCTTGTCTTAGGGCTGTCTAGGTGGGTTCCCAGCGCCCGCAACGCCATATTAAACAGCGTGAACTTTGAGCAAGAGTTTCGCAACAGTGTGACGGAATGAGATTGATAGAACGTGAGATTGATACTTCGGGCCGGATAAGCCAAGTTTCGACTATTCAGACGATATACACTGAATTGACAACATTCACTAATTGCAACTTTTAACCGACCGTCATATTCGAGCAATATACTATTCCAGTATAGTCACATGCATGCTAGTTAAACACGACGATATAGCCGAGCACAAAGTTGCCTAGTTGTGGCGTGGACACTTCTCCGAGAATTAGTCCATCTTAGCAGCAGTTTCAAATGCAATATGATGCGACCGACTACCGGGTTAAGCTAATGAAATAGTAATCGCGGCGCGCGGCTATTACCCTGTCTCGAAAGATGGGCTAAATGGAGTTTCGCGTAAACTTTCCACGCCGGCGGGATGTTTGCGTAGTTGTTTTTTTCCTGAGAATGGGATATTTAAAACTGATGCTTGCCCCAGCGTAACTGATCCTGCTCGTAGGGCTGTCGCTGACTTCAATTCTCAGTTGTTGAGCTGAGAATCGTCTCCGCCCCACAGGTTCGCGAAGCTCGCTTAGGACAGGATGGGAAAATGCTGGTAGGCCGAATAGGGATGGTGCCACGTTTGGAAGATATCCCACTGTTGCTTTGAACCCAGATCAGATCAGTGCCATAAGGAGCAACCCCGCGCAAATGGAATGGAGTATAGTAGATGGATGCAGCCATCAAGTTCCTATGGGAAATACTATCCAATCAAGTGGATCAGAACATACAGAGAGACCGGTTAAATGATCAACAGATTTGTCTGGATTACTTATCTAGTCTATTGTCTCTACCCACCTGCCAATAGATTTCTTGCAACTCTCCGAGTGCGCGCGTAAACTAACGCAACTAACATGTCGCTTTGCTTCAATGCTGACAGACATAGAATATCTCACTATGAACTTCAAATTCTTGACGTTGCTGACCTTGGCTTTATAATTGTTTATTTTTAAAATTTATGTTAATATTGAAATAACCTTACTATTTGTGAAACCCTGTCTCCATTTCGCAATCTTCTAGCTAATCATGGCAACCAAGACGAAGTTCGAGTAGACTTCTATTTTTCTAATAGTGCCAGAAGTAATGTTTGGGACTTGGGGAAATCAGCATTTAAACTAGCTTTTAAGAAGGGACAACCGCATCAGCAGACAGCAGAAGCATGAAACAGATTATGTAGATATATGGAGCTCCTTATCGCGATTCGCTTGGTATTATGACCCGTTTGGCTTGGTTTCCTTGATAATGGCTATTAATAGCTCAATACCAAACTGTTCCTCCGTCTCAAAAGTTCGGTGCACTATAGTCTTTCGAAAACTGCATATATCCTTCGCGTATGTCCTTGGATTTGGTAAATTACCGCATCCTTATGAAAATTCACATATAAAATTACAGCGAAGAAAAAATTAGAGCGTTATGTGCAACTGCATATTTTGTCCTTTAATACTTGCTCTGAACAATACCGTTTACTAAATTGGGAACTAGAAAACCGTTGTTTAGTGGCTGAAAAAGAAGTAGTTAGTTAGTGCGACCGAAACGAGTTTTCTCTACTTGTTAGGTAACTAAAATCTCACTTTCATAAGTTGGAACTTAGTTGATGAGTAGCGTAACTGGGACTCCGTCACTTGGTAACTAGAAGATAAAAACTACTGATAGTTTAGTAACAAAATTTGTATTGTATATTGACTCGTATGAGGTGGATGAGAACGTATCGATGGAATAGAGTGGCAGATGAAATATAGATGCACGTGTTCGCGTGAGAGCTCCCGCTTCTCTCGTCCAATGGAGAAGTTTAGTTCAATTTGCTAGACAGGCCAATTTCAGCGGTTCTGAGACATGATCTTTGTCGAATTCTCTGAATTACAAACCCTATAGAGTAATGTTTGCGGACTGTATTTCTCTTTCAAAATAACCAAAAGGGTTTTGAAAAATCCCAACGAAGCTTTTGTTAAATATTGATGCAGTTGAGGGATGCGTTCGCGAAGTACTCAATTATCACGCACTCCACTCTTGCAATAATATGGTTCGATTGAGATGAATGACAATGGGTGCCTAGCTATATGGCTATGCACACAAAGAACGAATGCATGAAAGACAATTGGAAACATCCGCTGGTAGATGGCGCGAGGGGCTCAGCATTCACCTACCCTGTATTACCGCATTTGGTGCCGGAATCAACTTCATCGCATGCTTCATTCACGAGCAATTTTGCAATTGTTGCAGCAAAAAATGCCATAAGGTCTTCGGCAGAATGTGCCGTATTAGGCAGGAGAGTAGACATTAAGTTTATCGTATAAACTTCAAAGTTATAGATTGCATGTTGTATCATTCGCTCTGCTTGACGGCCGATGTTGCCTGTCGGCATCGATTCGTGATATTCGCCATTGATCCCCCGCCGATGCAATGCCTAGCAATACCGGCCCTGCAATTACGCCTTATCACGCAAACGGTTTTCGGACATGAATTCTCAAAATGGCCAAGAACGAAATAAGAAAGATACCTGAGTTTTGAGACAAGATTATCCTGAGGACCAGATAGTTTCAAGCTTGAAAATGGGATGCAAACACTAACACTCCCACGGCTCATGCAAGAAGATATCTAGGCACATCTTGTTCATTGTACCTAATCCTTCTTGAAAATCTGTATATAAACCATTTCGGAAGGTAGTATTCAACGATATCTTATGAGATGCGATACTATACACAACTGAAGGCTCCGGACATCTATAAAAGCAGACGTATTCCCACGTTCAAAGGGGATTGAACAACAGCATTCAGCAGCATACTTCAGCATCAAGCGCCAAGCTTTCAGCCAAAACATTGACAAATCTTTAGCAATCGCTAAATATTCCCATTTTTACAATATGAAGTTCTCCGCCATTACCCTCAGCTATGCGCTGTTCGCTAGCTATGTCAGTGCTGCCCCCCGAGGCCACAGCACTCTGGAAGAGCGTATTGCTCGCAGAGCCGCAGCACGCTCATCCAGGCCCAATCAACGCATCGAAACATCTGACAGGAGCAACGATACCAATGTCTCATATTCCACCAACTGGTCGGGAGCTGTCATCACGTCGCCCCCATCTGGACAGACCTTCAACGCCGTCTCTGCCAGCTTCGTCGTGCCCACGCCCAAGGCCCCCTCTGGAGGATCCTCTCGTGGAACTTACAGTGCTTCCGCTTGGGTCGGAATTGACGGAGACACGTACCAAAACTCGATTCTGCAGACGGGTGTTGACTTCACCATTGAGAATGGTGTAGTGTCATATGATGCCTGGTATGAGTGGTTCCCCGATTATGCCTACGACTTCTCCATCCAAATCAACGAGGGTGATACCATCAAGGCTAGTGTCAGTTCAACCACTAGCACTTCTGGTGTTGCTGTTATTGAGAATGTCACCACCGGCAAGACCGTGACCAAGTCTCTCACCTCTTCCGCTGCTCTTGGAGGACAGAACGCAGAATGGATCGTGGAAGACTACGAGGAGGGCTCGTCTTTGGTGAGCCTTGCCAACTGGGGCAGCGTTGTTTTCACTGGTGCTACAGCTTCGACCAAGAGCTCCACGCTTGATGCCTCTACTGCTTCCATCATTGATATCCAGCAGAGTGGCAAGACACTTACCAGCGTTACTGTCAGCGGCTCAACTGTCACTGACAAGTATGTCTAAATTGGTGAAGCAAAAGCTGTCCTCAGTTCCACTAGACCTTTCATCATTAGTTCGAAGTTTGATAGGCCTACTGCGGATAATTGAGGAGCTGAGTTGTCTCATTCATGAAAAGACGGCGTCTGGAAGCATAGGGGATCGTTGATAGTCGATATTACAGATTCTATAGTCAAATTCTAATCTGTTTGTTTGTGGAGAACGTTAGCATAATCGCCTATGAACAGCGGCTGTAGTGATCCCTGACATTCCATTTGGGTTACAAAGAGCCTGAACCTCCCTATCGTTCCTTTATCCACAAAATAGCTTCCGAAATAGCCTCAGCAGTCAACACTATCATTGGGGATCGGACAATTCAAATTAGGTGGGTCAATGAGCTCTCTTGGCATACATCCCTGTTCGTCGGAATTTATTTCGCTAAGGGAGTTATAACCACAGGATAGGCAACTTGCGAGTTTTTACTATACACGGCTCTCTAATTGCACGCATCGTAACAACGCCAATTCTCTCCACTTACATTGCGACAGCTGCATTCATGTCTCCAACCGATCTAGGTATTCTCTTATGGGATCCTCTTTTGGCATTTTTTGGATCGTATATCGCGTCATCACTAGAGCTGCACTGATGGAATCAGCGATGGATCCCACATAGCCACGGACGGGACAATTAATGCTCTGCTAGTAAGAGCCAAATCAGTATAAATATCCCGGCGAAGAATATGAGGAAAATTTCTCAGAATATGAATTGTTTTATGACTTTGGCTAATCAATAGCCAGTTTATCTGGATGCGTTAGTGACTGCTCTATGCCTCTGTATGTCGGGAACACTGAAATGTTCAAATGATGCCCCGCCCAAAGTCGATGCCGCCGGATCAAGCGGCACAGGTGGCCAGGGTATTTTGTGTGGTTCGTCATTCAAGGTCATTTTGAGGGAATCATGCGAAATGCAATGAAACGCTACCTTTCTTGCAAGTAATGGGTCACTGTTGAATCATTGGAGGAAGCGCTTCCATACATGGCGCATGTTTAAGAGAGCTAGCTTGATTTCGGGATCTATAGAGCGAAAATAAACTTGCAGATATACTTCAGAGATGGAGGTTAATTATTGCAGCCATCAAGAATCTTATAAATGTATCGAAACATCCGGTCAAGAAATGATTCAGCAGATACCTAGGTATGTTGTATAGCGTCAAATCTGCCTATATGTAGATTACGCAGCGATTCATTGCACCGTTGCCTACACTAGGCATCAACGTAACATTGAGTTCTTTAGTATGCCCAGCACGTTAAATATCCACCTTGGGCCTGAAAGCAGAAACCAGACGAGTAGCTATATAGTAAGGTGAACGTCGCATATCTCGATTGAAAAGTAGCAGGAACGATTTTACTCACGATATTTTCCAAGCTGCTGGCACCTTGACAGTTTCGACTAGTGACAAGACTTAACTATTGCTCCGCGCGGATAATAATCCGACACTCTTTACAAAGGCGCATAAATGGTATTTGGAGACAATGTTTTTACCGCTTTCGAGCTAAACATTCTGTCTGATGAACATCCACACGACCGAATTGATTTAGGTACATCATCTTGAGCGTAAGATCTATGATCTACCTGTGTGCTTTGGCGCCTGGCCTACCCATGCGCCCCGTGTAGAATCTGAACTTTTAAGAAACCATTAAAGTCGAGCATTTGGAGAGTTTGGTCGTGTGAGAAAGCAAAATACTAAATCCGTTGCTGGGAATGTAGAACCAGAAACGTCTAGATAAAAACTTGCGAGTAGGGTGTCGGTTTTAAGTAGAATAGTTCTGATCTGCAGCTTGGGTCTCGTCAGGAGACACCACTTCATCCGCATCGAAACTCGGCCAAAAAGCCTATGTGATGTTAACTGGGAGTTTACCACTTATACGTGGAGAGAGGGCTTACCGATGAGTCCAAATCCAACCAGTCTGTGAGCTGCCAATCATGAAAGGTGGGCATATCTGGCATCGAGTTGCTCTGAGAGATGTTAAAAAATACACCTCCATCATTCGTATGGAGAGTAGGAGTATCTGGATTTAGATCTATCGACTGTTCATGTAGTGCATTGTTTTGAGGTCTCATCTGCTGTGGAGTCGACTTGTTTACCGCAGCAGCTCGAAATCCTTCCAGAATCACAGCATATCGCCGACTAGGCGAGTTTGACGATGTTGCTTGAGCAAGATGGCCGTGACAGTGCTCTGCAAGTTGCATCAGTCTCGCACTATAACCAGGATCGTCTGCAGCGCCCATGCGATGTTGCTGTATAACCCATACGTATGTTACCACCAGGGCACAAAACGTCACATAGTGAGTCCACCAAAAAGCGTGGAAAATAGGGCCGTCTCGGGCCATAGTGTCTACCGATTCCAGAACATCTTTCGCGGCCTTGATACAGTCGCTCACTTGTGAAGTATAAACAGAAGCAGGAGAACGCATCAAGAACAGGCGATTGACATGCATAATAGCGTGCGAGTGAGCGAGCCCCAGCGCCAAAGCTGGTCTTCGATAGCTGGGGATCAAGATAGACGGATGAACTGCACCGAGGTGAGCAGGTAGGCTTTGATGCCAATCTTGAACCCGTTGCGTCAAGTCTCTCGCGGCGGCTATTCTTTCGACTTCAGAAGTGAGCTTGGTTGTATACATATCTTGTGAGATGGCTCCAATTATTTGGGCAATGCTAGTAAATAAATGTGTCAATTCAATGCCAAGCTATAGGTCCGAGAGATGATATAGAGCATCAAAATATGCTTACCGGGCGTGAAAAACCAAGGCATCAGTATGACACCCCCGGCGATCGTCAAGGTCACCAATTGGCCCGTCTGCTGACATGTCTTCATCATTGATCCGATCAGGTAAGTCTTGATCAATGAATTCATCGTGAAAATGGCGTGGTCTCCCAAACACAACCCCAAGGTAGTTGTCAAGAACATATGCAGTCCAAAAAGTTCTGAGAGAGCATTGTCTTTCGATATAATCAGCTGCTGGCTTATGTCTCCTTCTCCAGTCGGCACGTCGCTGCAAACCCAGAGCAGAAATAAGCTGTAGTGCATTTCCAAAGATGTACCAGCTCTGATTGAATCGCGAAGTTGTTAGAAGATATAGAACTTGGACGATGCGAACTTGGGCGGACTCTAGCCTCGGAAATCCAGTCTCTTGCTCGGTGAGCCTCATTGAGAAGCGGAAAAGGTTATCAGCTAAGCGAAGCGCTTGACAATCTTTGGCAGGATATCCCTTGGACTTTTCACGATGGAATTTGGCAATTGATAGCATTGCGTATATGGTAGCCGCCTTTGTTCGTCCAATCGTGTGCCATATATCTATCCCTTCTCCCATATTGCTCTCCATGAGGCTCAACCAATTTTCGGTGGATGGACGATGCAAGATGCGGTATGTAGCGATACAGACATCAAAGTAAAGCGCCAACAGAACTCTGGCCTCCAATGGGTCGGGAAGAGTATACTGCTGTTGACTGCCTTCGCTTTCGATTGCCAGTGGCTTGTCTCCAGCCATATATACCAGCTGACTTTCTGCTGATGACCGGGAATCATCGCTCCCATGGCTGCTTCCGTGAGTCGCCAGGCGCTTGGACGCTCTATGAAGAAATGCCAGACTGGACGTTGGATCAAATACCTGGCCTTGGATTTCTGCCATTCCCAACTCAGGGGACGCACGAGAGGGAGCAGCAAGTCCTTCTGATTGTCGCAAAGCCTGGGCCAATTGCCCATTACCAACTGGGGTTAAACCAGAGCTCGGCATGAAAGATATAGTTTCAGATACGGCGAATCTGCTGGCTGAAGAACGCCTGCTATCGCCTGCCGACTGCAATTGGCTAACATCAGACGACGGCGGAGGCGTAGGAGGCATGCCGCGAGTATACTTTGCTTCATACAAGCATACCCGGCCTCTTGATATGCATTTTGCACATGGTTGGTCGCCGCTGCATTTCGCCTTTCTTGACTTGCAAAAGTCACAAGCGCGGCTAACTTTACGCGCCTTCCGGAATGCAGGGTCCGAGGGCTCTTTTGGAGTATCTTCAACGTACTCGGAGCTCCTCTTCTGACTTGTAACTTCTGGCGCCATTTGGTGCTTACCTAGTCGATATGTGGTGGATACGGGCTGGATACGCTTCTTGCTAGTATCACCGCAACGAAGTAAGGAAGGATCCAAGAAGGCGGAAAAGAAGCCGAAAGATGAAGTATTAATATTAGGACAAGGCAGCGGTGTACTAAAATAGTAGGTACCTGCGTCTCTTTCCCCAGTGGGAGAAAAACCGGGGGAAATGAAGATGCCGCGTTGCGGGGATTTAGTGACAAGATACGAGTTCTGGTCCACCCTGGGGTCTAGCCTCAATATAGAACCTCATAGGCTGACGACGTGTCTTATAATGAAGCAGCATAGTAGGCCTATTCTAGGGCATATTTCAGGTGCTATATGAGAACAGGTTGCCGAGGTTGTGGTAAACAGTTATTCCGTACATATACTCTCGTTCAGCCTATCTAGCTTAGAGCAATTGATACTTTGGCCTTTTCACAACGGAATCACGCAATAACTAGGCTTTTATTATAAGTCAGAATTTTTTTTATTTGACTTGTTCTCATTTTGTTAAAAGCAACAATCCAAAATTTGACCAAACTTGAGCCGCAGATATGTACCCTTTGAGTTGACGGCTCTAAAGATTATAAATACCTTATACGTCGTCCCTCAAAGCGTGTACCTAAAAAGCAAACTCTTGTCCCCCAACCTAAGAAGCTCATCTTCCGAGAACTGCGCTTTAATATGCTCTTCAGGAATCTTGGACCTTTGCTTGTTAGCCCATATATAACTCAATTCTAGAAATAGGGCAGCAAGAACGCCAGAGCCACCAAAGGCCAAAGAAAGACCAAAGCCTGTGTGGTAGAAAGGCGCTTCTTTGTCAAGATACATGAAGCTACCGATAATGCCACCAATGTTGCCCATACAGATGCAAAAGGCAACTCCGATCGCGCGGCGGTTGGTTGGAGCCAGGTTGTTGGCGGCCCAACTGGTTCCGGAAGGCTGGACGGGATAGATACCCATGCAAGTAAGCACAAGAGCAAAATAGCCAGGGCCGGTATGGCTGCCTCCTAGGTCGCCGTTGAAGCCCATCACAACAGAGTAGCCTATGGCGATGAGCAATAAGGGGATGACGACGAAGGGCATCCGCCAGAGAAAACGATCAGATAGGAAAGCGAAGAATATTGAAGAAATGCCCCCAGCCACATAAGCAGGCACTGTCATGAGTTGAGCGATTGTGTTGTTGGAAAAGCCCATTGCCTTGATGATGGAGGGGAGAGTGAACTTGGTGCCGTATGAGCATGCCGAGATACAAAGGAGGATGTATGCTTGAAGATATAGCCTCCAGTTGGTGAGAACCATTTTGAACTCATACCAGTCGAAACGATTCTCGGCTGATTGTTCCGAGAAACGCCCACCTTGCTTCACAAATGTTTGGAGCTCAAGAAATCTGATTTCGTCTTGCGACAACCAGCTTCCAGAGAGCGACGGAGAATCGACGAGGAAAAAGAAGCAAAGCACTCCAAGTAGAGTAGTAGCAATACCTTCTAGGAGGAAGATCCACCGCCAGCCCTCATAGCCACCAATGCCGTCCATTTGGGCAATTGCAGCAGCCAAGAGACCTGAGAATGCTCCAGATAAAGCGCTGGTGCAGTAAAAGTAGGCAATTCTCGTGGCAAGCTCTTTTGGCATGTACCAAAATGTACACAGATAAATTGCACCAGGGTAAAATCCTGCTTCAAACACACCAAGCAGCAGTCGCACAGCTAGCAGTCCGCCAAAGTTGCGAACAACTCCATGCATGGTCATAACAATTCCCCAAATCGTGACAAGCGAGCCGAGATAGTAGGAGGGGCGTTTGAACTTCTTCAATAAGACGTTGCTGGGGACTTCGAGCAAGATGTATGGTATGAAGAAGAGGGCTAACACAATGTTATACTGGTTGCCGACTAGATGGAGATCTTCGGAAAGTCCTTCAATTTTTGCATTTCCGATATTTGCACGGTCGAGCTGTGAGACGAGATAGAGAATCGCCAGCATTGGTACAAGTCGTAGATCAATCTGTAGTAGAAGAATGGTAAGCATTAATCTTTCTCAACAGAGACAAGTCTGTCTGCTCTTTCTCACCTTTCTGATAATTCTCTTCCTCTGATCTCGTGTTATGCTATTATAGAAGGCTGCATCATCTTCGCTCAGGCCCAGCACAGGTATGCTGTCAATAATTCTGACTGGGGCGGTCTTCTCTATGTCGTTGGTAGGTATTTCATCTTTATCATCAATCATGACAATCTCTGCTTTGTCGGTTTTGGCAGCGTTTAGCGCCATGTTGGCTTTGGGACAAGATTAAAGAAGCTGGATAAGGTGCTTAGACGAATGTCACATAAGATCTCTGTGACAAACTGTGAGAGAATGGGAAGGGCACCGCTTGAATCTTATGCTATGCAGCCATTGAGATTGTGTCAGAATTTTATTACAAAGTAGCTATAAGCTGTGATTAAATATGGCCTGCAACATCAACTGATCTGATTACATTTCATCCAAATCTCGGGGTCGTTTAGCATGAGCCCCGCACTCGAAAATCTGGGGTAAAGTTTCTACTGGGATTCTGCTAATGAAAAGCCGGTTGATGTTGAGGATTTTAATCCGAAATTCCACGATCGTCGTCGTGCTAGCGGATAAAGATCCGTAGAGAACGAATATCGAGAAGGAATATCGACGAAGCAACACCTGGAGTAATTGATTGGCTGTATTCTGACCGTTGTTAACCTTAGATAAGCATTGGATACCACTGCGGCTATTTTCAATCTCAGTACAAAGTACGAGGTACTGAAATAGGTCCCATATCCCCAATTTCCAACTGTGCAAAAAAGCATCTGCCTAGATATTTTCATAGAATATCAGAGCTTTAATCATTATGCCAGCTGCTATCTACCTCCCGGCTTCTCACCAGGCATCTTTGGATCCCTCACGGAAGCCTGTAGTGAGGCCATCGCCAACTTCAGCTACCAATGCATCCAAGGTCGAGTCCGTACCCCGCACAATAGATGCGCTGTTACGCCTGCGCGCTATATCTCATCCTCAGGATCATATTGTTTCCTATCCAAAATCAGGAATAGACTTCGTCGACTATAACTTACAGCAACTTGATGCATTCGCTTGGAGAGTGGCGAATCATTATGAGCTGCTTATTCCCGCCCGAAAGTCATCGAAAGAAAAGCCGCATGTTGTAGCGCTATTGGGCGTATCAAATTTTGAGTATCTCATTACGCTTCTTGCTTTAATAAAGCTTGGGCATACGGTTCTCCTCCTTTCAACGAGGATCACAGTTCCAGCTATTGAATCTCTTATCAATGCTACTTCGGCTTCTACAATCATTGTAGACAAGAAACATTGGAGTACTGCATGGGAGGTTCAAAAGCTGCTGCCGCGGTTGCGACTATTTGAAGTAATAGATCGTCCAGTATTCGAGTTTCCAATTGAAGCTCATGGAGACACTCAACTAGACTCTCATTTGGATCCGGAAATTGAGGCGCAAAATATTGCTCTTATCGTGCATTCAAGCGGTATGCGAACTAAAACTTTACACTTTGTGGACTTGAAAGCTCACAACAATATAGGATCAACTGGCCATCCAAAGCCAATCTTTCAAACGCACAAGTCATGTCTTGCAAATTATGCAAGCAGCATGAATATGAAATCGTTCATCACAATGCCATTGTTTCACAACTATGGCGTCTGCAGCTTCTTTCGCGCAATCCACTGCCGCAAATCTATTCATTTTTACAATGCTGAACTTCCATTGACGCATGATAACTTGTTGAAAATATTCCAAGCGAATAACTTTGAGATTTTCTACGGCGTCCCATATACCCTGAAGCTGCTTTCAGAATCGCAAACGGGCATTGACCTCCTTCAAGAGTTAAAGCTTGTAATGTACGGTGGATCAGCCTGTCCGGATGATTTGGGAAATCTTCTTGTTGAGAATGGGGTAAATCTTATAGGACATTATGGAGCGTAAGTGAACTCATACTCTGCATCTCTGCAAAGAGATTAACAGAATGCAGGACCGAAGTCGGGCAGCTCATGACCTCTTTTCGCCCCAAAGGGGACAAAGCATGGAATTATGTACGGGAACACGATGCACTTTCACCATATTTGAGATGGGAGCCACGAGGCTCAAACCTGTTTGAGTGTGTTATTCTGGATGGCTGGCCATCTAAAGTCAAGTCCAGTCGGCCAGATGGCGCTTACGCAACCAAGGACCTTTTCGAACCTCATCCAAGCATTCCCAGAGCCTGGAAGTACATTGCCCGACTTGACGACACAATTGTCCTTGTCAATGGTGAAAAGTTCAATCCTGTGGAAATGGAAGGCAAAATACGGTCGGATAAAAACGTCACAGAAGCCGTCGTGTTCGGTGCTGGTCGTGCGCATCTTGGAATCTTGCTTGTCCCAGCTGCTGGATTAGCCACTCACACTAATGAAGAGATACTTGATATAATCTGGCCAATCTTCGAAAGTGCCAACAAATCTGCAGATGCCTTTGCCCGAATTTCGCGGGATATGATCCGGCTATTACCTCATGATTGTGCCTATCCTCGCACGGATAAGGGGAGCATAATACGACAAGCCTTTTACCAAAAGTTCAAACGGGAAATTGAGGAAACTTATGATCTTGCTGAATCAAGCTCAGAAGAGCTTGTGCAATTTGATCTTCCAGAGCTACAACAGTTTATAAGAGACCTTCTTCAGAGGACTCTTGAAACACCTACACCACTTCAAGACGACGAAGACTTTTTCTCCCTGGGTTTAGACTCATTGCAAGCTATCCAAATGAGAAGCGAGATTCTGAAGAAGGTAGATATTGGCAAAAGCAAACTTGGACAGCAAGTTGTATTTGAGCAGCCGTCAATCAGCAAGTTGAGCAGCTTTTTACTTTCTCTGCGAACTGGTAGCGATGCCAATGAGAAGATGTCCATCGAGCAACAGATGGAGAATCTGGTGATGAGATATTCGACAGAGGCTTTGTCTATACCGACTAGTTCATCAATTGTAAGCTCCCCTACAATCACGGTGATGGAAATATCTCTGACCTCCTGCTTTCTAGGTTGTTACTGGCGCTACCGGCTCTCTTGGAGCTCACATTGTCGCAAAGCTGGCTTCTAGACCCAATATTGATCAAGTCTATTGCCTAGTCCGTGCTAGTGATCTAATGCATGGCTATAAACGAGTTGTTAGCTCGATGATACAGAGAAGAGTCTACCACTCGCTATCTCTAGCCTCAAGGCGCAAAATCATTGTCTTGCCGTCAAATTTGGCGGAGCCAGATCTTGGATTATCCAAATCAGCCTACGAGTCAATCGCTGAGAATCTTACTGCAGTGATTCACTGCGCTTGGTCTGTTAATTTTAACATGCACCTCTCAAGCTTCGAGAAAGGGAATATTGCAGGTGTATCGCATCTTATTTCTCTCTGCCAATCAGCGCAGCCACCAGCTACGATGAACTTTTGTTCGTCTGTCAGCACCTGCTCTCACTCAACAGTCATTCCAGTTCCCGAGCGTGTTCCAGACTTTTCATGGGCACAAAACATGGGATACGCTCAATCCAAGTCGGTAGCCGAGCATATTTGCGCTAGAGCCGCATCTCAGGGTGTGACTACTCGCGTGCTTCGTATTGGACAAATCGTTGGCGATACAGAGCATGGCGTATGGAACCCTCAAGAAGCAGTTCCCATGATAATGCAAACTGCGGTAACAATCGGCGCTCTACCGAGACTCCAGGAAACCCCGTCGTGGCTACCAGTCGATGTTGTGGCAGATGTCGTCACAGATATATCGCTTTCTAGTGCAGGAAGCATATTTACAAATGTCACAAACCCACAACTCTTTAGCTGGAATGATGATCTTCTACCTGCTCTACGCAAATGCGGGCTTGCCTTTGACGAAGTTGAGCCTAGAGACTGGATTAAGAGATTGCGGGCATCAAACCCGGACCCAGTGGCTAATCCGCCTATCAAGCTAGTGGATTTCTTTGCTTCTAAATATGACAAAGACTCGTTTGGCCCGTCAAAGACGTTCTCCACTGAAGTGGCACGTTCTTTCTCTCCAGCTTTGGCCAAAGTTCCCAGTCTTGTGGAGGAGCATGTAGTTAAATTTGTTGGCTATCTCAACGGAAAGGCATGGAAGAGCTCATCGTCTTCTACAGAAGCTGAGAAGACAGTCATTGTGATAATGGGTCCCTCTGGAACGGGAAAGTCGACTATGGGAAGTGGGATAGCGCAAGCGCTTGATATACCTTTCATTGAAGGCGACAAACTATACTCCCGCCAAGACATCGCAACAATAAGGTCGGGCATTACACTATCCGATGAAGATAGCTTATCCTGGATCGATAGAATTAGCCGAAGAGCCACGGAGACGCTCACAGACCTCGGATACAATTGTTCGGTCGTCAGCTGCTCTGCTTTGAGGGAAAAGTACCGCAACCAGATTCGTCGCCATATGGTTACGCATAAAGTCAAGACCATCTTTATTGACTTGCAGGCTGAGAGAAATATCCTTCAGAGACGTTTACAAAAGCGCCACTGCACTGTACTAGAGACCCTGTTAATTTACAACCAACTCGATGTATATGAAAAGCCCAGCAGCAGGGAATTTGACGTGGTACCTGTAGATACGGAGAGGGCTGAAAAGGCGGTATTAGATCAGATTCGATGGATCATTGAAGAAGCAGCTGAATGGTTTTAGAGACGTTTCCAGCTACTTAAAGCTGTCGTACAAAATATTGGACTACATGAATATTTGTAACCAACTTCTTGTTCTACCTGTCTATTTTTTGTTCAAAGAGTGTAACTTGAACTCTGGTTATTTCTTTTCACTTTTGGTTAAACCGAACTTGTCCTCCTATTAACTCAGACAAAACTATTGACCATAAGCTACTAAGCTAATGTGTCATTCAAGGATGCTTGTACTTGGTTCATAGAGGCTGCATAAGCACCAACGGCCCCGCGGGTACAATCAGAGGTCCTTGGCTCTCCAGCACTATCTTCCACCTTGAATCCGCATAACCCAGGGCATACCGCGAAATGTTGGGTTCCGTTGTGCGATAAAATGCCGCGCGCAATGGTCCTTCTTCATTTTGATCCCAATATAGCCGCCGGAGCCAGGCGTGCAACCGGGGATAGTCGTGTCTGATCGATTTGAGGTTGCATTGAAAGACGCTATGGTACGCAACATCAAACCGCGCCATAGTGGTGTAGAGACGAATGTCGGCCTCGGTGATTGAGTCGCCGAAAAGGAAAGGCTTGCCGTGGCCGAGATGCTCCTCAAGGCGATCGAGGGATGCGAATAGGGGGTATATGTTTTCTTCATATGCTTTCTGCGACTTGGAGAAGCCAACCTTGTATACCCCGTTATTCACGGTGTTATACACCCAGTCATTCATGGCATCGATCTCAACTCTGAGATGCGGCGGATATAAACCTTTTCCTGGTCGATTCTCTTCACGGAGGTGCTCGGGCAGCAAGTCGTCAAATTCTGAGTAGAGCATGCGGATAATCTCTGACGATTCATTATTGACTAGAACGTCGGCTTTTTTATCCCATAATACAGGTACAGTGTAGCGGCCAGTATAGCTAGGGTCGGCTTTGAGGTATAGATCTTTAAGCTTCTTGAAGCCGTGCAGAGGATCTTCATCAAGAGAGCCCCCTTCGCCACTGTAATACCATCCCTCAGGGCCCATAGTGAAATGAAGCTGATAAATGTCGATTATAGACTCGAGTCCTTTCAGAAGCCGGACTATCATAGTTCTGTGTGCCTACATATGACAAATATTAGCTATTTTCCCATACAACATAGATCCATTCAATCCAGTAGAAGCAGAGTGAGAGAATGCGACATCACTTACCCATGGGCAACCAGGGGAGAGATAGAGGGCGTAGCGGCCCTTTTCAGCGGGAAATCGTGATTTTGGGTCCTTGGAAATGAAATTTCGAAAAATGCTATCTGGGCGTGTAAAACTGCCATCTTTGTGATAAACCTGAACAAAGTAAGTGATCGCTCCAAGTGATAAGATAGCTCTTACGAAATACCAACCATTTTTGCTGGTGACATGTCGAATAAGCTATGTGAGATGGCGCGCCACAAAAACTGAGTCAGTCAAGTATGAAACTATTTGTCTTCACTGGTGCGGATTTTGAATCTCAAATTCTTTCAATATTAAATTTATACAAAGACGTTTGAGGTACGAAAGATATATGATTGTATAGGTATTTTACATAGGCAGCAGCTGGCACTTGCTCCCATTTAACTTGTTCGTGACGTGATAGACAAGCTTACAAATTTTAAAGCCACAACGCGGGGATTGGATTTCCAAGCCTTTATCAATCAATATTGGAGCTACTGGAGCTACTGGACGATCTAAGCCATTAGGTAAGGCACCGTGCCAGTAGCAGTCTCATTTATAAAGTCCCTTGCTGCACATACGTGTTCTAGACGATGATAAAATGAAGGCATAGGATAAAGTAATTTTGGAGACATTGATGTAGTTTCGATGAGATAGAAGTTATAGAGACGAAGGCTACCAAAATGGGAAATTCTTTCGTAAGTGCGACAAAAAATAAAAGCTGGACTGAAGGAGGCCAGTTGAGATTACTAGTACTAGATCAATCTGAGCAAGGATCTCGCCTCGTAAGGCTTTTAAACGCATCCCTTTCAATGATGAGGCAAAGATCGAGGCAAGAGAGGGAGATGAAAAGTTATTTATAGAACTATTATCAAGCATGAATTAAGCTCCATTGCACATTATGTCCTGATTTGAATAATCGGTAACGGTACTACGCTGCTACCCCTCATGAGATTACTATTAGAATGTAATCGTATCTCAATCGCTATGCATATCTACAAACCAACGGTGGCAACCCTTTGGTGATACTATGGAGAAGAGCATGAATCCTTTCGGCAAACAATTAAGCGGTCAGCGCGCCTGTCATGGCACACGATTTAGTTATACACTTGTCAACTCCCTATCAGTAGTTCAGCGGCTGGCTTTTACAGAGGTAAACGCTAGGGCTGGTGAGTCGCCATACCTGTAGATAAAACATCTTTATTCTTTTTCTAATCAACGTTGGCAGTGTCGAATACATGTTTTACCTCTCCCAAGCAATCGAAACATATTTGAATGAAGCTAAGCAAGAAGCTTGATCTGCATGACTCATATCATTATGTTGTAGAGTTGTCGAGTTGTGTTGAGAAACTCTGGCCCACAACTATTTGCACCTAAAATCTCACACTAATAAGGTTGATGGCATCTAACGAGCAATAAGCTTGCAATTAGAAAACATGGTTTAATAAATAATCAACTAGACAGAACAGGCACGTATTTCGCGTATTTCGCGTATTAATGAGCGTGACATCTGATATAATAATAGTACATGATAAATATCTCGATTAATATATAAGTGTTCCATCGTGCCAACACCGTTGCTCATTAACTTTCTGTATAATCCAATTAATGACATCATCCACATTTACCATCGCTTGCTTCAACTTCAACATGGCAACGTCCTCAGGCACCGTTACAACTCTTGACGGAGTTTCTATCCGATATATTTCTGCCGGGGATGCAAACAATCCTGTTCTACTGTTCATTCCTGGATGGGCGCAAACGGCAATCCAATGGCGAAAGCAGATTTCATACTTCAGTGCCAAGTACCGCGTCATTGCTGTTGACCATCGCGGCTTTGGCGATTCCGATAAGCCTGAATGGGGATACCGAGTTACTCGTTTGGTAGCAGATCTAAACGACGTCATTCTTCAACTGGATCTCAAAGACGTTACTTTATGTGGCCACTCCATGGGCTGCTCCATCATCTGGGCACATTGGGACACTTTCGTTTCTTCCCGATCACGTATTTCTCGTCTTATACTTGTCGACCAATCACCCTGCATGATCATAGATCCAGCATGGGAGGAAGGCGTGGCCAGTTCCCTGGGATCCATCTTTACACCTTCTACTGCTCTTGAAATGGGCGCCAGTTTACGCGGGGCCGGAGGAAGTGAATATGCGGCAGGATTTCTGCGGTCTCTTTTCTCGCCATCGCTGAGCGAGGAAGATTTCGTATGGCTGAAACTTCAGTGGAGCAAAATGAATCTCTCTCATGCAGCTACGTTATTAATCAACCACGCCGTGGAGGATTGGAGGGATGTTATACCAACAATTACAGTTCCGACGCTCGTTGTCGGAGCTGAAGGAAGCGTATTTGGGATACATGGTGCTCAATGGATTGCTTCCCGAATCCCAAACGGCAAAGTGGAGATCTTCAAAGAAAATGAAAGCGGCAGCCACTTTATGTTTTGGGAGAATGATGCTAAGTTTAACAGAGTTATCGAGAAGTTTTTGAGTAGTTAATAGCGATATTTTCTGTGCTTTTGTCAACCATGAGGAATACATGTATCTTACACTATGTTTGTTTATGTAAGGTCGAACAAGAATAAAACTAAGTATAGGACTACTGCATTGACGCCGTGATGGAGAAAATAATGTCCATAAGCTTGACTGATATGATCCGATGTGGCTTAACATGATGGCATTAGTCATTTATTAAGACTGCTAATTTCTGCATTAAGCAGCGATATAGATATTCTGAAAGCACTATGATTGGATTGTGAAAGTTCGTAATGCACAGGACTGTAAGACGCAGAGGATTGGCTGGCAAAACTGGTTGCTGTTGGATAATATATACTACCTAGATTGAAGTGAATAAGAAAGAACGAAAAATGAGAATAAAGGATAACTAGATACGCCGCATGTTTCAATGAAGTGTGATAAAAAAAAAACCCCCCTGTCTCTCTCATAAATCTTCATCATCAGACCCCGGCAGAGGTAACATTGGGTCTGCGTAGAAGCCTGGCTCCTCGGGTGGTTGGAATGGATCTGGGACTGCTTCCGAAACCTTTTTGAGATTGATTGGAATATGTCGATGAAAGATGTTTCCGGCGTTTAACTTGGCTGTCGCGCTCACGGCCCCCCCTCTCTTCATCAGGGCGATCTCTGACATAAAGGTGATGGTCAGGATGTAATAATCCAGCTGGCCAGCTGCATTTTCGTCGCGAGTCCATCGCTTATTATGCCACGTACTCGTACCGGTCCATCGAGATACTTCGTGACATTTGCCCGACACGTCCGCGTATAGAACATTACCGTCAAGTTTCTTGAAGAACCAATTCTCGGCTATATGCTGGGCAATGGCATCAATCTGATCCTTTTTGCGTTCCAACGATTCGAGCTCAAGTCGAAACTCTTGCATTGAAGGTGACATCCCCGTTTGTACTCTGTTAATCCAATCCGCTTCGAAGCGCAGCGGCTCGTCGTTTTCCCAGAGCCACCAGTCCGTGTGGCGAATTGTCAGCGTCAGCCGGCGAGGATGTAAACCGGAGGTGTGTAGTAGCTGGGCCAACCCGCCATCCTCGACACGATACATTTGCGCAAAAACATGAAGGCTTTCAATTTCGACTTTGTCTTGGTTCAACTGCCGAGCGATTTCAGGGAGCAGCCGTTTGAGTTTCGTGATGCTGTTCCAGCTATTGTAGTTGGGAGGCGCGCGATCCGGGGCAGAAATCCAGTGCGTCTGCTCCGTGAGAATAAAGGGGAGAAACCAGGTCTCTCGGTATATGGCGCGGCATGTCCTCAGCAGCTCAGTGCTAGTCTTGCGAGGGGCGAAATACGAAGGTCGCGAATAGCAGGTGTCGATGTGGTATAGGGAATTAGTGTCTTCATAGTCTGACAGCACAAAAGCAAAGACTTTGGAGCGGATTTCAGGAGGTAAGAGAGAGAACAGCGGCGATTCTTCCTGGGGCTCAATTTCCTTTGCAAGTAGTTGCTGGTACAGCGGCTCTGGTGGAGGAGGCGCTGAGTTTCTAAGCCCAGGTCTTCTGCTAAAGCGAGGGCTTTGTGTGTGAGGGCCTCTCAGGGATGAAAAGAAGAAGCTCATTCTGATGGAAAAAGACGGATGAGTGTCGCAAGAACAAGATGTAGATTAACAGACTAAGGAAATTGTTTATGCTTTTATAGAATCTGTAACAAACTGTCTACGATGTTTAGTTGGTTGGCGACATCCCGGCTAAACAGGGAAACGATAGGCAGCAATAGGCAGCAATGGGTGGATCACAGTGCTGGGAGCAGAGCGGCCCGCAACTGGGCCACTGATTCGTTGGTGCCATTGTCTATCCATATCAACTGTTGAATCTTAATTTGGACCAACCAGCCTTGAGAATTCGCGGAGCAGTGCCCAGATGTATTAAAGCAGGATATGGGGCGAGTCAACATACGACCAGGAGACCTGGAAAGCGCCTGTGTGGTTCTTACGCCTAGTGCTTCTTTTACTTGCAGTTCCGTGAAAATACTGCATTGCGGCGTTGATGCACCCAGGAAACGGATTATAGTACCTCAGTAGTAAACGAAGGCACTTACAGGCAGAAGCTACCCATTTACGTAGCGACAAATGAGATCGCTTTAGACAACAGCCGATCAAACCGGCACAAATACCAAAATGTGATTCAATAAGAGCTTTCGTACTCATCCGTCTTTTCTTTTATATTGCGTATCTACGCAGTAGAAACCGAAACGAGTGTCCGCCTCTCTCAATAGAAAGCTTCTCTCCGCTGGACCTTGTCTGTGGCGCATCGTGGCTGATACTGTGCGCAGCTCTAAAGTAGATTGTACCTCTTGGGAGAAGGCCATCACTGGAACTGGCTTTGTGCCACCGCGTCGGGGAATTTTTTTCCGATCATCTAATTTCTCATCTGATTACTCGTCACGGCATTGATGCACAAGCGGCTGCAGTTTGAAAGGGCAATCGCCATAGTGCGCTGGGTCAAGGACCTGAATCTAGTGAAGTCTCATAGCCCGAGATAGGGCGGTCGACTTTACTCGGAGGCTTTCGGTGACAGCTAAATATTCTACTTTGAATGGGGATGCAGGCGTAGACCTAGAGTGGGAAAATGAGGATGCAACAGTAAATGCAGCCAACATCTATTATTGGCGATCTAATTACTTGTATGGTAATTAAATATGGCGCAATTCGCAATAGTGATCAGATTTTCTCCCCCTAATAACTATTACAACGAGCGCTCCTATTCAGAGTCAAGTTCCAACTAGGACGGAATGGCGGGCTAAGAGGAACCGCGGCAACAAACGTCACTTAATACCGACTGTTTCGATACAGCAAGAACATGCCCGGCACCAATGGCCAATATCTCCCCGCGAAGGCGGTTAAACCCAATTTCCATACTGTCATCCACAGCACAACGGGCCATTCAAGCGTTAGTTGGGCCGCCTTATTGCGTACCTCAAATATCCCAAAGGAATAAGTTCGGAACGATGGCTACACGCCTTGCAACTCTCTCTGACCTTGAGGACCTCATCCGTCCTAATCCCGCCTCTCCAAGTCTGCCTTGCCTGCATGTGGCGTGGTAACACCAAACGAATAAACATGCGGGGAGCCGGGAGTTCCTGCCGACGTGGCAGAGCTCCGCTGAATTGCTGGCATTGCAGGATTGGCTGAGCACGGCTGGTGCTTCGATAGTCGAGGTACACCTGAGACAGACCTCGACATTATTCCATCCCAGAGAGTTCTTAATCTCGCGCCAACATATTGCCGCCTACTCGAATCTTCTTCTTCTTTGTTTGACTTCATGAGCTTGGCTCTTCCTTTCGTCATGGACTCCAGCCGGAACCTATTCGAAGCCGCGTTAAATCCTAGCACTTGTGATAGGAGCAGTGCTCCTACAGGCAGCCCTACATTGGAGAGATATTTCCCAGAAGACCCCTTCAGCGGCGGGGCCCTCATGGCCGTGTTCGACGGAAAGGGGTTGCTCTACAGGAAAGATACTTATTTTCAAGCTAAATTGACGACGGCGGAGAGAGTATTGTATGAGGGCCAAGACGTATACCTCCTTAGTTTTGAGTTGAACTTTATGAGATCCTTCTCCCCACAGTATCGATTCCGAGGCGCCGACATCAATATTACTTTCCAGAAAGACAAGTCTTCGGACTCGGAGCCTTCAATTACACAAATTTTCCCTTCCATAATCGCGGTTGATGTTGGCGGGCGCAACGTTCAAGACACCGCCGAGCTTACCGCCGGTGCTGGAGCATCAGCTGGACCTGGGCAAATTAATGCAAGTGCGAAGCAGATACACAACGACAAAACGACCTTTGAGGGAAGAAGAAAGTTTCTTGGCCTAATGAAAGGAGATAATACGGCGTCCTGGAGACTCTACGAGGAGCCTGGAAGTCAAAGTGGGATACCCGCAGTTTTCAGGCTTGTCACTCTTGTTCGGTGCCTTAAAGGAGGGTTCAAAGTTCAACTGGAAGCATCCGTTAGGATGGCGGGGGGGCCTAAGCTCTTGGGCCTCCACAAGCTCTTCTTCGACTCTACCTTCAAAGCACGTTCATATACACACACCATCTCGGCTCAGCCTATTCCCTTTGACTGGCGCAAATTATATGAAGAAGCCAAAAATCTATCCCCAGATAACGAAGCTGACAGGGAGGCTTGGAATAGGGATATCAGCGAATTTTTTCTTGAATCTGAAGCTGCCATTGGCCTTACCAGTAAGCAGATGAAGGTCTTGGTGGGATTTCGCGATGATTTTGGAGGAGTAGGCGGGGGAGTTCGAAAAATGAAAGCAACGGCCCTGGCTAGACTGAAAGAGGATTTGGCTGGTGAGGACGAGTCTAAGAAATTTATACAGAGGCTCAAGGATAGGATGGGTATATCCGTTCCAGACAAGCAAAACGTCTCCTTTGAGACTGCAACGGAAATCGCAGGAGAGAACGATGCTTCCGATTTGCCCCCTGCCAACCCGCAAGTTGACATTTCCGGTCTGACTGAAATTCCGAAAAGCGATGCGAACATATTTAGACCCTTCAAAGTTGAAACCCCAGAAGTTGGCCTACCATATAGAGCAACTCCATTTGGGACTTCTCCGGCACCTCCACCAGGTCCTGTGTCGGCGTCAGGCCCTGAGACGCCTAGCACCAAAGGTGAGTTACCTCGTTAGGGATCTTTACAATTGGCATTAAAGTGCACTTACTAAGAAGCCAGCCACGGATTAAGGTGCCCTTTGGGGATCCCTTTGGGGATTTCACATAGAGGAGGACAGTTCTACCAAGGAACTCTATCTGCATCTTCACATATCAGCCAGTGACGCATACAACCATTACTCTCCGGAAGAACTTCGACTGAAAGATTACAGTATATAAGTGTCGTGAAGACTTAGTAGGGTCTCAGAATTGCTCCAGAATCTAGCTAGCTGGTTGCCGCTTTAGAAGGTCTAAGTGATGCTGGCTGCCGTCACTCCTTCATTACTTTTCGGACTTTGGAGTCCTCCCGGATGTTGCTCTAGAGATACCACTCATGAGTCTTAGTCATCCATGCGGAAAGAGATTCAATATGAATAAAGCTGGATACCTATTTCGGTTTCTCCTGTACTTAAGCTTGCATTACTCGTGCTTATGAGACTCATCATGGTATCATTGCCTTCAACGAGCATTCAGGGCGTGATATACGATTAACAATTGCGCTGACATTATTCATTTGTTTTATGAAACATCATTTTATGATACAGTGCGCCAAGAATGTTGGCACCAGTTTAGAATAATATACAGCTCTATGGCATATGGATATTTGCAGGTTTGTCCATTTTGACCTTGACCTTCTCCATCTCAATGATTTCTGGTTTGCCTTCTACCCTGTGCTCCAACACGTAATTCCTAAACTGTCTCGTTGGTACTTCTTTGTCAAACATTTCGTTAATATCCTCCAAGCTCCTCCCCTTCATCTCAGGAACACAGAAGTATGCAAATAGGAACGAGCATATAGCCAGCCCCCCGAATATGAATCCTACTTTGGACTGCAAATTCGCATACGGGGCGTTGAGTAAGTATGGAGTGAAGAAGGAAAAGAGAAAGCTAAGAGCCCGGATGTTAGTGTATAATGTCTCTAAACCGGTGGTAATGTAAATTTAACTTACTTAGTTACAATATTAACCATAGAGGCAACTCTTTGGGTCTTATCACGGAGTCTTGATGCTGGAAGCTCTGTTGTGACAATGTAGTTCAAAGGGTCCCAACTAAAGGTCAGACTGGCTGACGACAATGCCGTGGCGCCAACGATGACTTTCTTTTGCGCAAGAGAAGGATTTGCAGCTGTTCCAATGCCCCCCATAGTAAATAGCCAGATGATTTGGAGAACGGAGCCGGTCATTAAGATTGGGCGACGGCCAATTCTATCCGTGATGGAAATCCCAACAAGACAGGAGAAGAAATTGATGGATGAGCTCATGATGGAATAGTTGAATGGATTAATTGAGCCAACAGACTGTACGAAGAGTGTTCCGTACGCAGCAGTGAATGGCGATCCTGTGGCTTGGATGAAAAAGTTCATGCCCATAGCGACAAGAGTACGCCTCCGATTGGTGCCACGGAAAAGATCCGAATACCGTCCTTGATTATGTTCGTCGATCAGAGACAGCCGCAGGACTTCGAGGTCTTCAAGAGCATTGTATGATGGATCGGAGCCGCGAAGCGTTTGGAGAGACCGAAGCGCATCTTCCTCTCTATCTTGCAGGAGTAGCCATCTGGGAGACTCTGGAATAAACCAGACGCATGATGCCACCGTGATGGGCACGATGTAAAATAGACCCATTGGGATTCTCCATGCCGCATTGGACGTAAGCTCACTTGTGCCGCGGCAGACACTGTTGATGATTACGCCACCGAGTAATAGACTAGTTTGATATGTTCCAACAGCGAATCCTCTGATTGGAGCTGGGACAATCTCGGCTTGGAATGGGGGACATGTAGCTAGTTCCATTCCTATATATGTATAATTGAGGATACGGCCGGCGAGTACCTGCCCCCTTGTCGTAGCGGAGATGAGGACAGTCGCAGACATGATTGCCCAGAGGGACATGCAGAACATGGCCATTCTACGGCCATATTTAGCACTGATGTTGCTGCCAACGTAAAGACCTGAAAGCGTCATGTGTTAGATACAAGATCTTCTGAAGACGTGCTTTGTTTAAGCTTTGACATACCAACGGCAAATCCTATAAAGTTGAGGCTATTCAACAGAGACAGGTAGTATGTTGGGACAGCATATGTATTGGTCTTTGGGTTGTAGTCTCCGAATTGCTTCTTATACGCAAGCATTGCTTGGCTCGTCGCAATACCTTGGTTGTCAAAGCCATAGTTGAAGGTAGACAAGGCGATTAGAGCCACAGAAAGGGCCAGACGAGGGGTAAAGTGCCGAGCGAATCGGTTCTGGCGAATGAACGAAAACGCCATTTTCGATAAAGCTGTTTTATAAGCTCGACAGCATGCGGCTGTTTCAGTAATAATGCCACGGGGTGCAGCCGTGCATATATATATACGTTTATGAGCGCGTCAAGGGGCCATCGCGCCTTTACCAAAGCATTCTTCCGTTACCAAAATAACCGGAAAGCGGACTAGGTGGTGTCGTCTTGCGACTACAGAAGGGATTGTCATTTTACGAGCATGTCGTGATAGTGTATGGCCGAGAAGCCAAGTTTGACGTTGACAACCGAAGGGTTTATGGGCGCGATCATGTGCGTTGAAGGCTAGAAAATCTTTCCGCGCCATCAAAAATCTTTCCGCCTGTCAGAGGCTCCCAGGCTAGTTTAGAAGAAAAGAGGCGACTATAGTGAATGGCAGTGCTGACTCGCCCAGTCCCCGTTGCTGCCATCGCGCAGCTCTTAGTCCTATGGCGCAATAAGCTAAACACCACCAACGTAAACCGCAGGACTTGAGTCGTCTCCAGGTTCTCGTTGATGAAAAACTTGCACTCGTGAATGCTGTTCTATGGCTCAGATGTGATGAGGAGATCGATGTAATTACTCTATCTAGCAATACGACATGCCAAGCCGACCAATCTCAAGATCCACGTGTAGACACTCCCTTCATCTTCATCCCCGCATCCCTTAATCTCCACAAAGCTGATGGTTTAGCCCCACTGAAGATGACTAGTTGCAAACTTTATGCGATGGCTTAAGATAAGGGTGCATGTCAAACAGGGGGCCACTCGAATCCTTTGCAACCTGTACCACTTACTGACAAATGCAGCCTGAAGTGGGAATTAATATGGCTCGCGAACGGGCCTGCGATGCGTGCGCAGCTCGAAAAGTGAAGTGTGATCGCGGGCTGCCGTGCAGACGCTGCCAAAGCCTGTCGATCCAATGTGTGGCCGAGAGAAAGCGGCTGAAGGCCGGGCCCAAGGGGCCATGGGCTCAGAGGAAACGAGAGGCGCTGTTGAATAAACGAATGGCGATGGAGAAGGCGATGATCAACAGAAAGTCTCCAATTCCGATATCTGATGGCAACGCGACTTATCAACAACCGTCGACTCAGCCTCATATTTACCCTAGCTTGAACCGCATTCCATTCGCGGTATTTGACCATTATCTCGGCCTTTATCAGCAAGCTCTATATCCCGTTTGGCCAGTCGTGAATATAGAGAAGTTGCTGTATCGACTACAAGACTCTACTGATATCGAAGCATATGCCCTTGCCGCAGCAGTCAGTGCAGTCACAATTGCACAGCTCAAACTTTCGTCTGATGAGACCTTTGGTCGCTTTGAGGGTGACGATGGCGCGTTCATGGCTGCTGAAGCTTTCAGAGCGAGGAACGAAATGGATCATCTAGAGCATCCATCTCTAAGTGTCTTGCTGTCATCGTTCTTTTTGCATGTGTCGAGTGCAAACCGCGGCTATATCCGAAAAGGGGCGATGCTGTTACGTGAAGCCGTCACATTTGCGCAGATGCTGGGCCTGGATAAAGCGATGCATTATTCTGGACTGCCTAAACTTGAAGCTCAACTTCATCTTCGGGTTATATGGTTACTATTTGTGACGGAGAGGTGAGTCAACTTCTTTTTTCCCCAGCCAATTTATGACAGAGCGTTGCTGAGAAACTCAATATCCAGAGGACATACTACCCGGTTCGATTTCCCTAGGATATTACAACTTGACCCCGAGTTACCTGAGCTAGAAGTAGATGAAAACCCTCCAATCTTATTCGCCTTCATTAGCCTAAGCAAACTTTTCCAGAGCTTTGCTCGTGCGATGGATGGCGACGGGACTTGCCAGACGCAGGAATATTTCGCATCTATGCATGACCGCTTGCGAGAGGTCAGCCAGGCTTCTCACAATTCCACCGACTTACAGAGGGCAGACTTCCTCCTGACACAGCAGTGGATGAGAGTCGTTTTATGGAAAACGTCCATGTACTACATCAACCTTTCATCCGACGCGACAGATGAAGGCCTTAGTATTTGCTTTCCGAATCGGGTCGCACGAAATGTAGCCCGAAATATAGACCTGTTCCCCCGGTCTGTCATCGAGGCACATGGTCTTGGAATGGTATGTAAAAGGCTGATTTGGCTGAGATGAACCCATGGCTAACATGCTGGTGCCTGTAGGAAATGAAGCTGTTCGAGGTGGCAATGTCTCTAGCCGATATTTTACTGTGTCTGCCATCGAACTTTGAGGGCAAGCAGTTGATGAATGTTGGCCCGAAAGATGTTCTAAACCGCCTTGCTCAGTTCCTCACTCATTTTCGCGGTGGCGGCGACAACAACATTAAGCTCCAAATCTTGCATGATAAGATGCAAGAAATCTCAAGTAGTGTTGTCAAACAACCTCAATTACTCGAGGACGATGATCAGGACCCAAACGCTGAGTGGACTGACCCAAGAATGGTTTCAATGATTGAGTGAAACGAAGGAACAAAGTCAGGACAAATCTGACTATAGCGTCTTATTTCCGGGTGCTGCAAGGTCAAAATCGAAACGATCTGGAATCTGCAACCCAGCGTCTATGTGTCCTTGCATCTCCGACAACGACACTCCATCTCGAACCAGCCACGCATCCTGCGTTAGTCGCTGCCAAGCCTCTAGCTCTTGGCGATACCCCAAGAGTAGTTCTTTGTATTCCGGGCGATCCGCGAGATTTTGCACCTCCCTCGGGTCTTGTTGCATATCATACAGCTCTTCGGGAGGCCGGCGGATGTATGCCTCCAATGGTCGCTCCCCAACCTTTATTGGGAATTGCGAATTGCGAATTCCCTCCCATGACAGAGAGGCATAAAGATCGGTTGAGAAGGGGAAGTCGAGCTTCCAGGCAATGTTGCGATGATATTTGTATCTCGCTGTGCGCAAAAATCTTGTGGGATAGTAGTTTGTGACCTCATGGAAAGTATGGGATCCGAATACTCTAGACCAATCATCATGTATACTAGTTTCGTCAATGATGGGAAGAAATGAACGGCCTGGCCGAGGTGGAGAGTTTGACATCGAAGTTGCAGTAGGGCTTTGTCCAGCCCAATCGATGAATGTCGGTAAGATGTCGATGAATGAAATGAGATTTGGATTTTTCACTGCAGGTTTTCCTTTTGGCCGCCGTATAATGAGAGGCAATCTCACACCCGCATCGTAGAGAGTAGTCTTTGAGTTGAGAAAAGGTGGTCCGTTGTCGCTTGTCAGGACAACAAGCGTGTCGTTGTCCAAACCAGCGCTCTTCAAAGCTTTCATGATCAAGCCAAATCCTCTGTCCACCCGACCGACGGAACGATAGTACTCTGCCATTTCTTGGCGGACTTCAGGGATATCATTGAGAAAGCTAGGTACTGTAATTTTTGCAGGGTCATAGGTCGCATCTGGTCCCGATACGCTGTCGTCGCCGTTGCCGAATCCTCCACGAGTCGAGTCTCGGTGAGGATCCATGAATCCGACTGTGAGGAAAAAGGGACGAGGATCCTCCTTTGCTGATTGAAAGAATGAATCGGCTTCCTTGGCAACCCAAGCCACATCTCGACTTGGGCTTTCTCTTTGCACTTCCCATGGGTATACATTATCTGGACCAACGTGAATCTTTCCAATAATGCCAGTGAGGTAGCCAAAGGTCCGGAAAAGCTTGGGAGCAGTCTCGATATGGTCAAAGGTCAAGAAATGATGGTTGCTGTGCTGCAGCCCATATTGCCCGTTCTGGTGCGTATGGAGCCCAGTATAGATGACGGATCTGCTCCCGCTGCAAGAGGCTGTACTGGCGAAAGCGTTGTCGAATAACGTGCCTTCTGCGGCTAATTGATCAATGCTAGGCGTTGATATCGTGGTATCGCCATAGCAGCCGAGCGACTTGCCCATGTCGTCGGCGATGACGAGAAGAATATTTTTCTTTGGTGCCATGGCGCTCTCACAATCTCTCCCACAGTAGTCTGTCTCAGTTACAATAATGCACCTACATGTGCCAGCGCTCTGAAACGTGGGTTGTAGGGAGTAAAAAGTGGAAGAGAATTGAGGATTGCCGTATTTATGGCATTGGGGTTATTAATTTCTTTATAATCGTCATATCGGACAAGATCCGCGCAATGATAGAATACGGTGAAAGCAACATTGGTGGATAGATTCGCGGAAAGTTTTTGGGCGGGAGCTGAGCCTAGAATTGGGTGCTTTGACGTCTACTTCGACCCATTTAAATGGAGATGGTATGCGGCATAATGACGAGGTATTTATTAAGAAAGTTCCAGTACTACCTATTGTGAGACATAATCCGGAAATAGAAACAGTAAGTACGTTTCCGTAGCTTTGAGTAAGAACCAGTGCAAACACCTAATACCTACGTCCTAATATCCTATCGACGTCTTGCTGGCTGCTGCATTTCAACAGTTGTCACGCTCTGACTCCTCATGATTCTTCAACTTGGTTGAATGAAGGGACACTAGCAGTAACAAGTGCCTAATAATGCCTTTACAGTAGTCCCAGAGCATCCAACCTTAGAGTTGCATGAGGAATGCAGATGAAGCTTCTCTTTAGGTTATGATGCAATAGCCCAGCTATTCTCCGTTACACCTAGAATCTAATTGAGAATAAGTCGCACCAAAACATCGAAGCGTAATTGGTTTAGTGGTAAAATTCTCCGTTGCCATCCGAGCAACGTCGGGGAGCCCTGGGTTCGATTCCCAGATTACGCAGCGCAGTCAATTCTTTTTTTGCTTGTCTTCGCTACTAATCAGCGGCGAGTAATTCCCAAGCCCGCTTTGCTTGCAACAGAGAAATAGTTTGCTACAATTCCCTTGGATTTATTTTCAGAAGCAAAAGAACACTCAAGTCTCTTTTCATGTGAAGTGACTTTGATCATCATCATTTGATGAACATGGCGCAGTAACAAGGAATGTAAGCGGCCACTGCGCTAATTGGCAGACAGGAGGATAAATGGCTACGAATAAACCAAGCTATGCGTATTCTAGAATTGTTTCTTCCTTTTACAAAGACGTAAATTCATATATCAGTACCAGAGATAAGCATGGCCATACGGCTACAACAAGTCAATTGAACAACATGAGTTTATTCAATAATACTGCTCCGTACAGTGATGAGATTATAGTGCAAAATTGCTGTTTAAGTGATATGGATCCGCGAAAAGAATAAAGTTGTCAACTCCCCAACAATTCTAGGTTATCGTTAGTATAACTAATAGCTTTAACAAATACTGCTTTATTCACGCTATACACACAATGCGACACGGATTTTCTAATGCCATCGGACTCTCTCCGTTTATTTTCATTGACATGTCAAAAGTTCCAGTCACATGTGCCGACAATGCCGGATCCCTCTACCATTCGATCTCCGGGATGTTGGCCGTAGCGTGGATACAGGCGCAAAAGTGCCTCTGCGCGAAGATCTACGCTCGCTGACCTTCCTGAACCAACCTAGCTATCACAACCCTGGCAGGCTCTGTATTGTGCAATTAGGCAGGAATCTCGCTATAACATCAATCGTTAATCGGTGAATGGACGATTTCGGAACGCTAACCCGGCCACATAAAAGCACTGCCCGCCCGCGATAGCCAATGCATAGCCAAGGTATCATCGTCGAATGCGACGCGGGCAAGGCTTAGTTGAACGGTGTAATGTGTGGACCCGACCGTATCTATTAGACGTATAAAGCTTGCCAAGATCCCTCAACTATGTAGACGTAGAAGAGGTATCCTATCTAAAAGATTGGAGCCGTGACAGATAGATTGCAGTTGTCGGAGTCGTCAAAATGCGCTTCTCTTCAGCCCTTCAGGCTGCTGCTCTGCTGGGTTTGACATCAGGCCGCTCTGTCCCAGGAAATCACGTCGTCCACGAGAAACGAGCTGTGCCGCGCTCAAGCTTGCATAAACGCGTTTCGCCCGATGTTGTGCTTCCCGTCCGAGTAGGCCTGAAACAAAATGCTAGGGCCCTGGAACAGGCAGAGGATTGGCTGATGGAGGTGTCCCATCCCGGTTCTTCCATGTATGGAAAGCATTGGAGCCCAGATGAAATCATTGAGGCTTTCAAGCCTACCGATGAGGCCATTGAGACAGTGGCCGCTTGGTTGACCAAAGCTGGAATCTCCAAAGAAAGAATTACTCACAGCGACAACAAAGTATGGCTAGCATTCGATGCCACGACGGAAGAAGTGGAGAGTTTACTGCATACTGAATACTTCCATGATGACCAAGACCGGGCTTTAGTCGCTGCTCACGAGTATCATCTTCCAAGCCATGTTTCGGAACATGTCGATTATATCACCCCCGGAGTCAAGGGAACATTCATGGAGCTCCGCCGAAGAGACAAGAGAGCGCTCAACGCCGAGTCCGAGCGCAAATCTCGCCGTCGCCAACAGCATATGAAGCCCTTGCCTGACCTACCAAAAAGCTGGTCATCAAGCGATCTCTCAACTTGTGATCAAGTCATAACACCCGAATGCTTGCAAGCACTTTATGACTTCAAGGCACCTAGCCCTAACGCGAAAGTTAGCAAGAATAACTCTCTTGGCATCTTCGAAGAAGGCGACTACTATGCGCAGCAAGACTTTGACAAATTTTTTGCTCAATATTTTCCCAACGTTCCCAAGGGCACTCATCCGATTTTGAACTCAATCGACGGTGGCAAAGCCCCTGTACCAGTGGCCGACGCTGGTGGTGAAAGCAATCTCGATTTTGAGCTCGCATATCCCATCATCTACCCGCAGACCACAACGCTCTATCAGACTGATGATACTTTCTATGCCACCTCTAACGCTTCCACAGCCGGTGGAATCTTCAACACCTTCTTCGATGCTATCGACGGCTCCTACTGTACCTACTCGGCTTTTGGAGAGACAGGCAACGATCCCAAGCTGGATCCCAAATATCCCGATCCGAATGCCGGTGGCTACAAAGGCAAATTGATGTGCGGAGTTTATAAGCCTACCAACGTCATCACTATCTCGTACGGTGTGCAAGAGAGCGACCTCCCAGCTTACTACCAGCAGCGTCAGTGCAACGAGTTTTTGAAACTTGGTCTGCAGGGCGTTTCCATCTTCGTTGCCAGCGGCGATACCGGAGTTGGTGGATATCCTGGAGAGACCCAATCAGACTTCTATGGATGCTTACGCGACGACGACGTGTTCTCACCTACCCAGCCAAACAGCTGCCCGTGGTTGACCAACGTTGGAGCCACCAAGGTCTACCCCGGCAAGACTGTCCACGACCCAGAGAGCGCTGTCTTTGATCCCAGCCCGTCATTCAACTTTAGCAGCGGTGGTGTAAGTGACATTGTATAATTTCGGAGTAAGAATAACAGCTAACAAGCATTTCAGGGCTTCTCCAACATTTTCCCCGTTCCCAAATACCAGCAGGGAGCCGTTAGCAGCTACTTCGAGAACTACAACCCACCGTACCCGTACTACACGGACGGAAACTACGAGAACAGCACAGGCATCTACAACCGTAACGGCCGAGGTATTCCTGATGTGGCTGCCAACGGCGACAATATTGCAGTCTGGGTCGGCGGTCAACAAGGAACATCTGGTGGCACTTCTGCGTCATCTCCCATTTTCGCGTCACTCGTCAACCGTATTGTTGAAGAGCGCATTAAAGTCGGCAAGGGACCATTGGGCTTCATTAACCCAACGTTGTACTCTAACCCAGGAGTTTTGAACGATATCACCAATGGAACCAATCCTGGCTGCGGTACTCTTGGATTCAACGCTACGAAGGGGTGGGATCCTGTTACAGGGCTGGGTACACCAAACTACCCGAAGATGCTGGATTTGTTCTTAAGCTTGCCTTGAAGCGCGTGTTTTTTATAAATCTATAGTCTATACCATTAAATGTTCTCACCAGAAACGTGAGGCTATCTCTCGATGCTAAATGTTCTTCCGAATGCCTAACAGTCTTGGACAAGATCGCGTTCGCCTGAGATACAATGTGCACTCAAACGACCACATACATCTCTCACTATTGACCTTGTCTCTATCATTTTGACAATCTGATTCTCCCTTTTGGTTTCTCCTTCTCCTCATTATTATCGTAGTCATACCAGCCGTTATAGTTGTCAGCTCGGGAGGTGCTACCAATAGACATGCTTCCGTCCTAATTGCTTTGGTTGAGCCTCGTTAATAGCTAAACCAAAAAGTGTTATAAAAGAGACATAACGAGAAAGAGATATACGTCTCACTTCGCCGCGGCCTCTAGTAAAGGAGACGCTTTTCTCAGAGATGCTCCCACGCGATTAAAAAGAATCGGCATAAAAATCAGCGCTAATGTGACAAAACCAAGCAGCGAGTTACCCCAGCCATACCCGAGTGCTTTATACATTGGTGGACCAGCAAGAGGAAGAAGTGCGCCAGCAATAGATCGAGTGACAGTAATGGCTGCGATAGCAGAGGCTGCATAGCGAGGAAAAGAGTCAATCGCATAAGTCTGTAAAGTCCCAAAGATTCCAATCAAGCCAAAGGCAAATGGAAAAAGTCCGATGATGGGGACAATCCAATGAGTACGAGCTTGGACAGACCAGCCGTACCAAAAGAATGATATTGGAACAAAGAACGAAAATGGGATAGTGAGAGGGAGGCGCATTTCGGGCTCAAAGACACCATTGTTGCGAGCTTTCAGCTTGATGAGGATTCTATCGCTTAAAAGACCAAACACGACTTGGCCAGCGACAAATCCCAATCCTAGTCCAATGTAAGCCAATCCACTAAGCTGTTCGCTCCAGTGGTACACGTCTTGGAAAACTTGTGTAACGGTAGTGAAGAGGAGATATAGGCAGCCATATACGACCGCGATATACAGTGCCACGATCAAGATGATGGGCGATCGAAACAGCAGCTGAAATGGAGTTGATAGGCGGTGTATAAAATGTGCAGTTTTGCTCTTATCTTTGCTAGAATCGTCATAATAGCTGCGAAGATCAGGACGATCGAGCTCCTTCCTCAAGCGCTCTGTTTTGTGTTTAATTATAACGGCCGGATTCGTTTCTCGATTGAAGATCATGACAAAGATGGTAAGCGTTCCACCCACAATCGTCAGAATCCAGAACACCTGCGTCACTTCGTTAGTACATTCACAATCTAGCAATGGCTAATGAAGATGAACGTCACTTACCCATCGCCACCCAATATTTTGGGCAATGAATCCGCCACATATCGGTCCTAGAACAGGTCCAAAGAGCGGCCCAGCAGAAAATATAGCCATAGCAAAGCCTCGGTTTTCGGCCTCGAATAGATCTGATACAACACCTCCTCCAATTGTCAGACACCCGGATCCTCCCAAACCCGAGAGTAGTCGAAACACGATGATGGAAGAGAAGTTGGGAGCAAGAGCGCATCCAATTTGGAAGAGAACAAAGGCCGAGGTCGACAAACTAAGAATTATTCGACGTCCGTAAATTTCACTAAGTGGCGATAGAAATAACGGACCAAACTATCAATTATTAGCTATATAGCAATACCAGCGCACAACCATATATAAATACTTACACCATAGCCAAATAAGTAAGCACTGACGCCCAAGGATATTAATATCGAGTTTGTGATGCCATACTCTTCAGCCGCATTTCCAACTGCTGGAGCAAAAATAGATGACGAGAGTGGGCTTTGGAATGTTAGCCACTGTATTTCTACCGCCGATAATACAAAACACAAATGCTACACGTACCTGATTAGAGTAATCATGCTAACAAGGGAGAGGAGAAACCATTTTCGAAAGGCAGGATAGTTTCTGTTTATACGCCCAGTGTCAACTCCCTTCTTTTTTAGTCATTAAGCACTTGATAGGGTTTACCTTGGATTCAATGGATCATCTTGTCGCTCCCAAGCTATGATACCGTTCTCCAGATCAGTTATAGGATACGTTTCTCGTTTTGGTCCTTGTTGCTGTTTCCTATTAGCGTTGTATATGATATAGAGATTCTTTTGCTATTCACTCTTTCAGCGTCTGCTTGTTCAGCCTTTTCAGTCGCCATATTAGAAGAGATGTATTAAAGTATTCAGAACGTTTCGTATCGATTTATGTGAGATTGAACAAAGAGTCGCTGTAGGAGGCGAAGTCAACACCAGGCTAGGCTGAGCCATTATTTGAGGCGATAGGGAGATGCTTTTATAGAAAGAAGATAATTATTATTAATTTTCAACATTTACGTGCCACCGATACTCGGCCCTCTCAAACAATCTCCGTTACTGAGGTCACGGATTGCTGAATAGGGCTACTTGAGCGACACTCCCTATGGTCGGTGCCGATTCGGCAACATCAAAAGCGGGCACCGCAAGGCAACGCTATTCTGTATGGAGAATCTCTCATTTCTATTTAGAGACAGGAATTGGCTTAGCTAAATCATAAATTACACATAATTATTGAGATTTCGATAACTTAGAGGCGACTCTTTCCATTAAGTTGGGTGAGAGCAGTAGGTGCGAGGTACCGCCGACAGTCCCGTGAAACGGCATGGCATATGCCGCCCTGAAGAGTGATTAGGACATTTCATTTGACTTGCCAAAAACATAGCCACGCTTCGGAGCCTCTGGCAACTGCTTTAAAATCCAATTTGAGCAAACTAAGACAGACGTATCTCCTCACAACCCATAGTCAGCACAGAATCACTAGTAGTAGCTTGACCTAGCTGTGCAAAGAGACATGATGCTGAAAGACTTTCAGGCAGGGTTAATAGCTGGTTTGTTCGCGACGTGGGTCGCGTGCATTTGCGGAACAAGGCCTAATAGAGGAAGACTTGAGTCGCAAAGATGAGTTATGAAGGTAATTTCTCTGCATATATCGCGTCGAGAAAATTAGCCGTCTTATGTACTTTGCTTCGGCAGCTGAACTAGCGGAACGCAAAGTGTCCTAGCAATGTCGTGTATGTACCTGTCGAAGGCCTGCGTTGACCTATATCAAATGAGTTCGCACTGGTAGCAATTCCTAAGTACGATGTCTGCTTATTTGTACGTATAGCAAATACAGTCATATGTAAGTTGAGAGATACATATTAACTGTCGTAAAACAACCATATCGTAGGCACGCACACTTTTGTGGCGAATGAAACGTGCTGTCCAGGTAAATCCTACCCAAACTACCAATAAGATTTCATTGTAGGCTAGGCTTTACGTTAGGCTCTTCGGACGCCAGCCCAATCTGACACGGCCTGATTTCTGAGCATTTCAGTCTCATCATTCAATCTTTGGAGCTTTCTTGTTTACACGAGGCACATTGTATCTATGATTCGAGATGCGGAATCGTATCCTGGACACTGGAATATCTGTTGCATACGAGCCTGAGAACGGCTCTCCCATCGTTGAGTACGCTGTCACTCCACGTTCAAGGTTCATACATCAACTAACCTTGGCTGCGCAGCATTGTATTCATCCATGGTTTACACGGTCATCCATTCAAATCATGGGCCTATCACCTTGAGTTTCCTGGGGCGCATGAATCGTCGGCCACTTCCCCAGTAGCAGTCGGCAAACATGAACGTGGAAGCGTCATTCATCGCGTCGCTGTCCATTTGCGTCGGAAATCGTTAAAAGCTGCGCCGATGGAGAGTACAGAATCAGCCTCTGCTACAGATACCATAAGCAATGGCGCCCAGGGCGCGCATATGTTCTGGCCTGGCGATCTGCTCCCAAAGCAATGTCCTGATTCACGCATTCTTATGTTTGGGTATGACGGCAAGATCACCAAATACGCAGCCGGTGCGATAAACCAGAATAGTATTCTGGCTCATAGCAAAGACCTTTTGTTTGCCCTATGCAGAGAAAGAGGTCCCAATCGCCCGTTGATATTTGTTGCTCATAGTCTTGGGGGCATTATTGTTAAGGAAGTAAGTTAGTCTCAACTCTCTGCTATAATTTCTCATGTTAACTTTTTGCCTCCAGATGCTCGCACAATCATCTACGTCTGTTGAACCTGAGTATAAAAGTATTGTGGAATGTACTGCGAAAATTGTGTTCTTGGGCACGCCACACCGCGGTAGCCAAGATGTTGCAGCACTTGGTGAAGTAGCACGATCTATTATTAGCGCTTTGGGCATGGAGACGACACCTACTATTCTTGACGCGCTGGGCCTGAAGTCTTCGGATCTCAATCGCGCGCAGGAAGAGTTCTCTAAGCTATGGCAAGAATATGACTTTCAGGTTAAGACGTTTCAAGAGGGTCTCAGCTTGGCAAAGCTTGGAAAAAAGATTGTACCCGATTACTCATCTTCAATTGGAGATCATGGTGAGCATTCTGAGACTCTTCAAGCCAACCATCAACAAATGTGTCGCTATTCTGGAACAGACGACCCAAATTATCGCAAAGTAGCTGGGGAGCTTTGTTCGATATATAGCTCCCTTGCAAGGCTAAACTCGACCAAACCTCGCCAAAGTCGACGTGCTCAATCAGTACTGAGTGCCACTTCATCGGGAGACTTACTGCAATTTGCCAATGATAATCAAGTCAACGACACTTGCCTTGAGTCGCTATGGTTCCCAGCCATTAATACTCGATACCAAAATCTGGAGAGACCGGCTGATAAGACTTGTTCATGGTTGTTTAGCCATAAGTTATATCAAGAGTGGTTCAATGGTAACAATCGACAAGAAACTCATGGTCTTCTTTGGCTGAAGGGAAAGCCAGGCTCAGGGAAGTCAATTCTTATGAAAGAAGCTTTTCGTCAAGCTGTTCTAGAGCAAGACGAATCAAATTACCATTCTGCTGCTTTCTTCTTCTGCGCTAATGGCAACGAGCTTGAACGCTCTTGCCTTGGTCTCTTCAAATCCTTGCTATATCAACTTCTCCCTGGAGATAGGGTATATTTACAACGCTTCCAAAAGATATGGGATAAACAGAAAGTGCCTTTTCATAGGATGGGCACTGCCGCTTGGCAAGAAGGTGAACTCGAATTTTTCTTCAGGTCAATGTTTATGGACATGCCAAGGAAAAGGACGATGCCAAGGAAGAAGACAATTATTTTCATTGACGCGGTTGATGAGTGTGAAGGGCACAAGGTACGATCTATGATCTACTTCTGGCGGAATATCACTTCATCTGTTTATTTCATTGAAGGGGATCTCAATGTCTGCCTATCTAGTAGACACTTCCGCTCAATTACTTTTAGTAACTGTCCGGAAATAATCATTGAACAGCATAACAGTCATGACATTGCAACATTTGTGGATCATAAGTTCCAACTCGGTATTGCTACGCAACCCCAATGGGAGCTCTTGAGAGATCAAATCTTGGAAAAGTCTGCAGGAGTATTTCTTTGGGTTGCTTTGGTGGTGGAAGATGTTTTGAAGAGCTGGGATGATGGCTATGATATGCCGCTCCTAATTAAAAAAGTTCAGGATGTTCCAGATACACTTAGAACTCTATTTTCTAATATGTTATCTAATCTCGATTCCGACGTCAGAGAGTTGACCGTTAAATTCTTCCAGTGGGCCATTCTAGCCACCGCACCTCTTCGACTTCACGAGTGGCACCATGTAATGGCGTTCATCAGGCAGCCTACTCTTGGTTCACTCAACGAGTGGCGTCAATCAGTAAATTTTACTGACAACGATGATCAGCTCGAAAAGCAAATCAGGAATGTTTCGAGGGGTCTAGTTGAAGTCAAGAAAGTCGGTTCAGATGAATCACAAGATAACGGAATCGAGGAAATATCCGTCTATGCAGGAGCAGGATCGCTTAACCTCGAGAATGGCAACACTAGAATCGTTCAAGTTATACATGAGTCAGTGCGCGATTTCTTCTTACTGGAAAACGGATTCTTTGTTCTGGATTCGAATCTATACATGGATACAGCAGGCATCGGCCATCTTTCAATAATGAATACTTGTCTGGACTACTTGAATATTGCGGAACTCGATGCACTTGTAGAGGCACGGATTCGCGCAGCTGGGCGCAAAAATCGTTCTCAATTGGAGCGACGTCTTACAAGTAATTTCGCCGAGGACATATGTTCCACCAATTCTTGGTCTTATGGTAGCCTTGAAAGACACCGAGATCCCATAATCAACAACAAAGGCTTGCCGCAATATCACAAGCCATCTATGAAAAGCGGAGAGGACAAGTCTGTTCTTGCGATGTTGAATTCGTTTGACTACGCTCCAAACGTAGATATTGTTGAATGGATGAAAAAAGGCCACCCTGTTTCTGCTACATCGTCATCTCCACATAGCTTTACTCATATATCCCTCACCCACTCCTCTGAGATGAGTCAGCCCCAAAGGTTAAAAGATTATCCTGCACTACTCTCATATGCCACAGCTAAGCTATTTACCCATGCTAAATTGGCTGACGAGCTTGGAGTTGATCCAAGCCCGATAGTCGAGCGTTTGAATGATGGAACAACATGGGCTCGCTGGGTTGCACTCAAAGAAGACATACCAGAAGGGACTACAGTTCTCACATATGCCGCTAATAGAGGTATATCATCATGGGCCAAGGCTATCCCTCATGAGCCCACAGCGCCTCCATTTCATCCCAGATTACATCTTTCCTTCGAACGTGAAACAGACCCAATTGCATGGAGGGCCAAGAACAGAGATAAAGAAGAATTAATTTTTAGTGGTATATTCGATGATTCAAAGATACGCCCGGATGATCTGCCTATCCGTGAATTCTATCACCGACCCCAAAGTGTCGAAAGCTTTGGCTCTGCCAGCAGTCATGGTTCGAGTCATATTGGAAGAGCATTTGATTGGTAAAAGGCTTTTTCATTGCCATCTTTTCCAGAAGAAAAGTATTGGTTGTCAATTCATGTTCACTAAATTCCAGAATCAAGACCTTGGTTCAGTCGACGTAACGGAGTGCGTAGGTAGCCTGGACAAAACGTGGTGCTGCAAGATAAGCCCTATTAGTACAAGACTATTGACATATGATCCGGTGGGAGAAATGTCAGAGGTGCGGGAAGGACTACTCTGTTTTGAGAGATGATAGTGATTGATTTAGGCGGAATTTATCGATAACTCGGACTTTCTACCACATGCACCGTACTCTCGTCTCGTTTTCCCGTACCCGACCTGTAAAGCCCCAGTAACGAAAAATAAGAGAGTAAAGGACGCTCGAAAAGCAACACAGGATGTGGATATTTCGTGGTTAGATGTTATTTTGCAAATTCAAGAGGCTTCAGCAAATGGAACTCCATAAGAACCTAAATGCGCAAAAGTATGAAGATATGAATTGATGGCCAATAGCTCGTTGAGACCCCAAGTTCTGCAATAGTACGGTACCTATTTGCTGTTAGTAGTAGTGGGCACTATCTTGTTCAGTATATCCTGGGCTTTATTTACAACCTCAATTAAGCAGCTTAAAATACCATACCATATACCCCAAGTTCTAAACTCAAAGGTACTTCATACCATCTCCCATTATCGCTCCGGAAACGATTTGGGGTCTTCTCTGTTTTGATGGACGGGGGTCCACAAAAGCATCAAGTATTTTCGTATGGCTGCTACTCGAGCTCTTTCCCTAGTCGCCGTGCACGAGATGGGATAGATGTAGTTTCGTCAGAAGTGGGAACTTACGCTACGACTCATATAAGCAAGCACAGGCTTCCAAAAGACATCCTCTCACTTATCTGCTACCAATATAACAGAAGCTTTATCACAATACCATCAATTTCCGGTTGTGTAATAACAGGGGTGAAACTGTCCTTACCATGTCTCATGATGTTATGATTGACCCAGAGCCTTAATATTAAGTACTTGCCCGCACGTTGGATAACGTTTGGAGTCTTTTACGCCTTGTAGTGCTTGAGATGCATGGTCTTTGGAACGGAAATCGGGCCTCGTTTTACTATTTTAACATAGAGAATCTCTAATCTCTATTTAGAGACAGAAATAAGCCTAGACAAATTGTGAAATACGCAGAGTTACTGAGGTCTTAAGAAGTTGAAACAACACGCAGAACAGAGTAATAACGCGGGTTCTCAGTGGGCTTAAGACTTGACGACGTTTAGCACTTCGGAGCCTGTTTTTAGTGCTATAGAGTAGCTGCCGTCTTAGCTACGAGCGCAAGCAACATATAGATTTACGGCTTAACCTAGATGATGAGCTTTAAAGCCTTCTTCGCATTTGATTGCTTCTCGCCACTTGAGACAGGCGTAATTCAAGCAATTTATAACACATCCTTTCTCCCCGGGGAAGAAGCTTTCTTTTGAAAGTGCTATATCTCAAGTAGAAATACCCACATTTGTAAGTGACCATCTCCTCTACTGAAGCTAATGCTCCTTGAAGCCCAAAGTTTGGACGGCAGGATATTAGTACAATATTGCAAGTGACAACGATCAATAACCAATGACAAGAGAATCAATTGATGAAATATCTTCTATGCTTCTCAATTACCGTGTATAAATGCTGTGTGAATGGTATCAGATTCCCAAACAGGAGTTATTCTTTCACCGCCACTGAATCACCGCCGGCAATCTTCATCATTCATGGTTTCATTCATCGCGAGACTTACCACCAAAATTCTAATCATTTATTTCTTATTTCAGAATCTTTTTCCTTTTTGGGTCACACCTATCATCCTGTCTATTAGTCACGCTGACAGAATGCATCTAAGTACTCAACCTCGGTAAACACTACAAAATAGGCGAGATGTTTGACAAATATCTCCAAAAACAGCTTGGGAAGCTAATTTAATACGAAGACTAGCATCTTTACAAGCTCTATGTAGAAAAAGCAGGGATCAATTGATTCGTGGAAGAACTTTAGGCTATGACCTTCCGTATGTAGAAACTAGACTCATTAACTTAATGCATACATATTCAACAAGATATACCACATCCTGGAGCTTTAATTTAGTATTAGTGATCTAGTTGAGAACAGTTATTGGCTCTGAACTTATATATATTCCAACTGTTTCATTGTTCTCTTGATCTTGCTGCTCTAAATGTCTCAACTTGAGTGGGTCTTTTTTCCTCAGGTTCATTTACTCAGACGTGTTACAAATCAACAACTACTTGATTAATTACTATCAACACAATGGCAAAGTTTCTGAACGCTATTGCAGTCCTCGGCGTACTTTTACCGTTTACTCAAGCGCAGTCCAGCTTCATCGATGACTGCACAACGTTCAATTCAAACTTATATACGAAGGCCAATTGGGCTGCAGGGCTGGGTTCGGTGTTGTCTAGCAATGTAAACCCCAGTGGAGGAGGCGTTCTCAACTTTGAGATTCCCGTTGGCACCCGAAATGGGGGCGAGATTGTTTCCAAGGCTCAATATTCCTATGGACAAGTAGAAGCTCAGTTCAAAGTCCCAAATCTACCTGGAGTTATCTCTAGCATCTTTATGTATCAGGGGACTTCTACTAGCGATGAGATTGATGTCGAGGTATACTTGAACCAGGGCAAATGGGAGATTGCATTCACCATCTATCGCCTAGGAGTCAAGGAATGGTCTCATGGGTACTTTCCAACCTGGGATCCGAGCGCTGGCTACAACGATTACATGATTGACTACCAAGAAGCCGCTATCTCTTTCTATGTTAACGGCGCTTTGGAAGCTCAGTTCCATACACCTTCGCAGCAGCCAACTCACGCGATGAACATTCAGCTTAATACTTGGTTTCCTGCATGGCTGAACGGTGCTGCAGCATCGTCTACCCAGTTTATGCAAGTCAACCAGATATCATATACGCAATCTTAAGCAACCATTGGTACTGCCTATTAGGAAGATGCCATCCTGTTTGACCGTTCCTGTAAGCACAGCCATTTCATATGATACGCACCTCTACTTATAACTATATAGATTGAAGACCGCGCTTGAAGTTTAATTGTTTATTTATTACCTAAAAAAACTCATGAACTTTGTGTATTTTCCAGATTCAAGAGATAATTACATAAAATAATTGTTGTTGTTGAAGCTCCCAAGAACATTGCATGTGATATTATATAAATACCATAATTGATAGTATAAACGCAAAAGCTTTGTAGCCCTACATACAGCGGTATTGCTTATTTATTGACGATGTGATTACTTGCGAGGCTGAATACGCATATGAAACCGAAAAGAAATGAGTTGTGATGGCCAGTAGAAAGCTGTTAGTACGAATCAACAGGCGTATAGTTGGATACTGTTGTACATACCTACATATATAGAAAGTGGGTGTAACAAAGTATTAGACAAACAATTACGAAGAGCATTTGGGAATTTACAAACGAGGCAAGTCATTGCGCATTCCTATATAAATAATGAGCCACATTTTATATGACAATATCTATCGGAGCGCCTCCTCTAAGCATCTCCAACATTGCTTCTTACGCTATGATAACTGGTTCTATTTCCTACATAATAGTAGCCACCACAAGTTAATATTGAACTTCATATCTGCCGCTAATTGCTGACAGTCTGAGATGCAGAACCGCTGCCGCCCCAGCCTTCAATAGCAATAACCTGGTAGTTAAAGGTTCCAAGATCTAAGCCAAGTGACTTCCACGCATTAAAGTGATTCTCAACTGTCACAGTCCCGCTAGTTCTATGAGAATTTCGAATGGATATGTACTGGTTAAAGGTTGCAGTGCCTTGAATAGAAGGCTCGTTTACCCGGGTGTTCTCCCATACCGTGTAAGATGATCCATCGCTAGTGACAGACCCCTTTTGAGTGCCGGATGTGGGAAAGTTCGAGTTGCTCTCGATAATGTAGTACTCAACAAGAGGATTGGTGGTCCAGCCGTAGACAGAGAGTAGGCCAGTTCCGCCGCTGACACCAAAAGAGCCGCTGAAGTTGATGGGTCTACAAATCACATTGTCAGCAAAGTAGATGAAGTACAGAGAAAAATGAAAACTTACGAAGTCGATCCAGTGGTCCAGCCAACACCGACAACGAAGTCATCTTGAGTGTTCCAATTAACGGAAAATCCAGTACCGGATGGGGAGTAGTTGACAGTTCCACCAGTTTGATAGTTTTGGTCGTAGTTAATGCTAGCACGGCGACGAACGTCATTATGAAGCCCAAGAACAAAGTCATGAATGCCACGCTCTGTGATGTTCACACTGCTGGGCGAAGGACCAAGGCCGGTTGGCACGGCGATCACTACGGCAAAGCCGGTGAAAGCCGCGAAGAGGCTGGAAAAGGCGACCATTTTAATCCTTTCTGTGAATATACTGGGAATTGATAGGTGTGCGGTGCTGCTTGACTCATAATACGAAAAGAAAGGTTATCGTCGAGACCTTATATAGTAAAGTTTTCAAGGCTCAATACATTGAGCATCAATATAATCTGTACTAAAAATTTGAGTACAAATTAGATACAGCGAACTGAACTGATACCAAGTCGTATGCCATCCATGGATCTTAGCATTTTGCCTAAAAGGCATCCGCTAGGTACCGGGTCAAGCGGCATCGATGTGCCGAGCTAGATCAACAGCTTTTCAGAATATCAAATCAAGATCATGTGTAGTGGTCCAGTTGGGCATCACGACAGAGTGCCAGATCTGGCACTTCGGGTCTTATGCGACCAGTTCCCCAGATCTGGGGTGCATCCGGCTAATAAGCTGTTCTATTTAACCTGCCAATCATGTCGAGAAGTGTCTGAGAATTATGCGGAGGATGTAGTATTCCGGTGGGCCGCGTTAGTCCTGCCAGTAAAATTTTGCAATGACGAAGCTGTTGTGCAAGCAGTACAGCTTCCAACGCCGGGAGATAATGCTCTCGAAAGCCTTGGCCTCGGAATTTAACTCTTGGCGTTTCAGATTGATGCGACTTTACAATGAGTATCAAGATGACCGCTCTGCCCTCTATTTATCCTCTTCAGTTGCCAAATATGTGCTAGATGCTGCAGATCTGTATTGGCGCGCGGTGGCTCATTGAGTAGAGCGCATACTATGTGGCATTAGGTGGAGACTCTAGAGCTTTTTCGTTAGGTTCAATGTTGTTATTTAACCCTCGACTGTCAAGGATACAAATATCAGATTACGGAGGCTTACAAGGCCTCAAAACCGGCGATAGCATGGCCATCTAACTTCATTTATCGACTTCCGCAGACGACATCGTCTTAGTGTCATGACGTGATCTTCTCAACTTCGTAAGTCAGCGTACATACGCATATTATTGTTCATCTAATGCAACAATGCCTTCCAATGGCGCAAGAAACCAGTGCATAGTTGTAACCAGTCTTCACCTGAACATTTTCAAGTCCGAGTGCCGAGCTTCAAACCCTCATCAGATGGCATAATCAAGCAATTTACTCAAATTATCGCTACATACTTGCATCCATGATCCGATGGCTAAATAACCACAAGAGATGTTTTTAACTAATCAGAGTTCGACTGGAAAGCTGGCCCTTCACATAACGTATAAATTAGAATGACGGCATCATTATCAATTTAAAGCTAGAGGCAGCTATGTGATGTACAGCCCTACCTCAACTGTCCAGCCCACCTATACAGGAAAGTCATGTGTTGTAAGAAAGGCGTCGGGCCGCATTCTTGAAGATGGCCTAACCAAAAGTGTTTTGGCCATCACATTAAGGCTTCAATCTATAGACGTTTCCAGAGTGATTTCTTTGCTCTCATTATCATCTATACCATAGAGTTGGAACCCGATTTTAGCCTAAATCCAGGATCGCCCGCATTGCTTAACCAACCAGACGATGCCAGTCATGACGAATCCGTGGCGGGTTATCACATATAAAAGGCGTAATTTTTAACATAAAGGATTTTCAGAAATGTATCATTGATGGCAAGACATGTTATCAGGTAGTAATCCCTTCTCAAATGCCGCAAGTATCTTACAGCGATGAGAAATTCTCTGCTTAGAGACATTGAATGCCTTCCGTTACATCACTACTCATTACACCATTTCTAATTATATGGTATTTTCAACCCTTCTTTATCTTCGGTCAAAGGTTCAAATATACTTACTCATCGCAGGTAGGAAGACTAACTTAACAGAAAGCTAGCAAGAGAAATGCATTATCGGCGAATTGTCGTTCTTGCAAATAAAGTAAATTAATCTGACAAAAAATAGAATATCGAAAAACTCATATGCCATGAGCCATGACCAAAATACGTTTAATCAAAGTCCAGATAACAGCTAGCTAGTCTATTTCATTAAAATGCGATTCTCACAACGATCAAAAGAATTGAAAATGGCTTCCCTCTTAGCATGTTTCGATGAATGCGATGTATATTGTTCATAATTTTGTATTTCCTAGTGTTCAAGAGAGAAAGGAACCGCGTCAAAAAGAACACCAAGCGTCGCTTGTGGTGCTCATCTGCATCATGTATCATGTGCCTACTGAGAGCAAATGAACCATTAATAAAATGACTTTTCGCCATATACTATAGAAAAGAGACTTATTGGAGAAATAAGCCTCCTGTCACATTGGCCACTATCACGCGGCTTATCTTTCTTATCAAATTTGGCAACGGCATGCAGCTTGATCCTGATCGTGCTGGTGGAACCATGCCATTGCATAGGTAAGCCAGGGCGTTTTATCGGAGCAAACTCAATCAAGGTTGAGATTGAGAAATGCCAATCACATCGGGCCGCCCGCGATCGATGTTAGATCAACCGCTGAGTGAAATGATCTGCCTGGGCTTGCTAACTTGGGGCGTTGGCTGCTTAACTTGCATCTTCATCCACCCAGGAGCATGCAATGTCTGTTTACTTACTCCCTTATGGTTCGCCATATTACATATCGGTTTCCTTTGCAAGTAACAAAATCTAGGCTGCTTGGCTTTTGCGCTCCTACTAACTTGCTTTGTGTGCCTTACCTATTGTTTGTCTTTTAGTTTTGCGAACAATTCTAACCGCAATTAGTTACATGTTAATGTAATTTCTTATGACTGTATGCATGTTGGCCCGTAGCGTCTCAGGCTCGAATGTAACATACAAGTAGGTACACACACGCATAGCCACCTAACCTAGTGTTGTCTGGTTACATCCATCCCTGCTATAAAGCCTGCGGTGCCCTGCTCAATCAATTGGATCGTATTGCAGAATATCAATGCTACAACTGCCACCAACCCAGATAATCTGCCTAAGCACTGCCCTATGGTCGGGGCCCCCATCGAAGAAAACGCCTCCCATTTTATACCATTCTAATGGCCTTGGTTTAATGAGGCATCGCTGTTATTCGCATAAATGGCGCCGATTTGTCATCTCCCTCTAGAGATTACCGGCTATATAGTTGAGCGTCTTTCGTCCAAGGATTTATTGTGCCTACGTCAAACGTGCCGCACGCTCCATAATGCGACGCTTCACACATTTTCCCAGAAGCACTTCCGCACGCGCCGCGTGATGCTTGAGCGCCGAAGCTTGGAAGCACTAGCTAATATTGCCGAGCATCTTATTCTCGGCCCATGTATTGAAGAACTGGAAATATGCACCAATCACCTCTTGCCTCTTGATGAGCTGCGTATTATTAAACCGCCCTCACGGCCCATTAGAGAGGTTATTTCCAAGAGAGACCACTGGGAAAGTGGCCAAGATGAAGAGACCGACGGAGAAATGGAGGAAGAGGATGAAGGAGAAAACACAAGCGGTGAAGAAGCCGACAGTGATGATGATGACCACTGCCCTCACTTGCGCCGGCTGAATGAGACAGCTTATTGCAAGGCGTTCAATGACCAGGAGGAACTCATTGAGCGGGGAGGCGACATCGAGTACCTCACGCGCGCCATGAAGGGCCTTGTTAATTGCCAGTACATAAGGATCACAGACGACAATCGAGTCTGGGGCCTGCGACGTTTGTGGAAAGAAATTGGCATACTGCCGCAAAGGTGTCTTACCTTTAAGGCGCCAAAGAGTGTTGAGCTGGTCCGCCGAATGCTGTATGCTTTTTTCACTGCGGTTGCCGAAAGCAACGCCTCCATCGAGTGTTTAGAGGTCGGTTCTGGCTGTCTTGTTAATAATGCCAACCGTATGAGCCCCGACATGCTTGCTAAGCCTTCATCTGCCCTTCTGGATAGCTTTCGGCTCAATACCTTGACTACCCTATATCTAAGACTCGATCGAAAGTCTCCCGAGCACAATGCTACCTCTATTCACTGGACATACGATCTTATTCAATTTGTCAACAGATTTCCGGAGCTCTCTGAACTTGGCCTTGAGTTTGAATATCGTGATGAAGACAGGGATAGCTATGACGACACTCCGGTACAACTGTCACCAGACTTCCAATATGGGGACCACGTTACCTATACCCGCTTCCCAAAGCTTTCTCGATTGCTCTACATTCCAAAATTAGAGATAGTCCGGCTAGGAATGTTTGACTGCACAAGCATGGACCTTGCCTTTTTTCTCCTTCGTCACCAGAGGACTCTTAGGGACATTCACCTTGAGGGAATCAATTTTGTTGATGCCAAGGGTGAGCTTGGGGGTTGGCCTTGGCTTGTTGAGGTAATCCGAGATTCTTTCCAAATTACATCTTTCGTAATAGAGCGCTGCTGGGATGAAAACCTTGGAGACATACTCAACCGGGAGGCTAAGCATCTGTATCAAGATCCGGAGAATCGTGTTTTAGAAGCGATTGATTCCGAAGGCCTTGATAAAATAATAAAGCTTTTACAAAGGCGAATTAGATAGATATCCTATATATAAGAGGGAGGCTGCGGTATAGATAAAGAGTACATTACCTATAGCTTTATATACTCCGCCTGTATATGCGGAGTAGTAACGCATAAATTTAGGGCCCACCGGCGTGAAACTTGCTCTATGGTTTCCATTTACTGGGATCTTGGGATGTGCAAGACTGTGCAAAAGTTGCTAGTTGATGTAGATCGATATCTAGCATATATTGAATCTCTCATTTGACACCTATCTGTGCATTACTGTCCCTTACCGGCGAACTGCCATAGATACGGGCAAATGGGCTAGCAGTCAATTCACGTACTATTATAGAACTCTCTCTCTGAACGCCCACTCATAATCCATTACAATAATGTAACTTGGTATGGAATTGCTAGCCTGGCTGTTTTATGTTTCTATTTTATCCTGTTGCTAGTGGCCAATATGTGCTGCTAACTCGGGGTTGTAAGTGGTAAGATATGAGTTTGTGAGCTAGACCGCAGCATTGTTTTCGCGACCTAAATGCGCTCGATATATTATAGACGTCCACATCTTGTTTTGAAGAGGACGACCAGAATAATGAAAATGTATCCATCATGTATCCCGTCTTAGGCCAGAGCGGCCATTCGGTACAGTGAATTAGCACATACCTAGCCTGGCTAGATCGAATACCACATTGTGAGCTAATCGTGTGCGCAAGCTTGATTAGACTGCTTTTTCTTGCAACACCATTTGTGAAATTTATGGGTGTGCTGGCGCTTTTCACAAACAATTTGACGCATTTCGGCATTTATTGCGATGATCCCGCTTCTGAACATATAGTCATGTAAATACAATGTGCTCTATGTGCGACTGGCCCCGGCCGAGGCGCAGCTCGCTATGGGCCGAGGTTACATACGAAACAAGGGAATACCGAAAGCTGCCCGAGATTTAAATAACCGTAGGGAAAACGATGGGAACTAATTAACTTTCATGTCAGATACTCAAAACTATTAGCACTTGACGTTTCTTAAACTTTATACATATTCATTTGTTCATGGCTTTTGTATGCTACTTTATTACATGTTTAAACCGCTCCCAAGCAACCTTGTATGAAGTGGAGTTCCAGAACTATGGAAACTCTGTTTGTCGCGCACAATCAACTCGTGATGCGACTTTGTAGGTGTTCGAAACAAAGAGTGATGAGATACACACCATGGCTAAGTTATAACATAACGCATTCAATAAACAATCAGCGTCTAAAATAAAATCGAATCAGACGTACTGCAAGTCGGCAAATTATACCGAGTAGACGGTGTATCGCAACACCGAAGCGCCGAGATGCTCAACGGTCCGGGAAAATGCCTTGGGATCGGATTGGCGCGCTTTTGGTTGTCGCTTCACGGCTATAACTTTAAACATTATCCTTAGTTAAATCCCGATCCCCCATGCCAATGAGCCGCATTTAGATGTACTGGGCATAAAACTGGTTGGTGGAAAGATCTGGGGTATGTCGGTACTAAAATGGAGCACTTGACGACACACGAGTTGCAAACTATTTCTTTTACCCCTATGGCTGCCTCGTAATGGGTCAGTCCTGTTCTATTTCCTCCTTTACAGGCCCAATAATGCACATCGTACTGCGTCTTATTAATTAAATTTGGGTTGCGGATATGAAACTTTGGACCCTAAAACAGCGGTAAAAAAGGGGGCCTGGGGCTCCGATGGTGATTACAGCCTGTTGTCAATTGACAGCCTGAGAACTCAACGTGCAGCTCAAATACATGGGTTGATTTCTATATAAACTCGTCTGATCTCCCTTATTTTCCATCAGAAAGGACAAGAGACGATTCAATAGACAGTACCTGTCAACAACTCGACTGGACATTTTTATTACTCCCATCTAAAATATGACCAAGGCCTCGCTTCTCATCGGAGCCTTTGCGGCTTCTGCCTGTGTTCAAGCCTTCGTTGTGCCTTCTGCTCCTGAAGTTACACAAGGGCCAAAACTAGAAGATCGGGCTACAACTTGCACTTTCTCCGGCTCAAATGGTGCGTCTTCAGCCAGCAAGTCGCAGAAATCCTGCGCCACTATTGTGCTGTCGAACGTTGCGGTCCCTTCTGGCGTGACGCTCGACCTCAGCGATCTAAATGATGGTACTACCGTAAGTGGTTGTAAACGATCAAACAATCGATTCATCAGACAAGCATACTAATTTTACTCATCTCCGCAGGTTATCTTTCAGGGAACAACCACCTGGGGTTATAAAGAGTGGTCTGGCCCTCTGCTCCAAATCGAAGGCAATGATATCACCATTCAAGGTGCCAGTGGTGCCGTTTTGAACCCTGATGGCGCCCGCTGGTGGGATGGCCAAGGTAGCAACGGCGGCAAGACAAAGCCCAAGTTCTTTGCTGCTCACGATCTCACTTCTTCCACCATCACCAATTTGTATATCGAAAACACCCCCGTCCAAGCTGTCAGTGTTAATGGTGTCAATGGATTGAATATCAATGGTATGACGATTGACAACAGCGCTGGTGATAGTGGTGGCGGTCACAACACCGATGGATTTGACATCGGCTCTAGTTCGAACGTTGTGATTAGCGGAGCCAAGGTGTATAACCAGGACGATTGCGTTGCTGTCAATTCCGGCACGGTACGATATTTTCACAAGTCAGCCCCCCCAAAAAAATAAACAGCTCGCTAATTTATTGACACTAGAACATTACCTTCACTGGCGGTCTTTGCTCCGGTGGCCACGGGTTGTCAATCGGTAGTGTTGGCGGCCGAGATGACAACACCGTTCAGACAGTCACTTTCAGCAATTCTCAAGTTACCAAATCAGCAAACGGTTAGTTACACTGAATATTATCAAGTAACTTTTGACTCGCAAGCTAATCGTTGTGCAGGCATCCGCATCAAGGCAAGCGCTGGAGATACTGGAACCATCAAGGGAGTGACCTACTCAGGTATTACTTTGTCATCCATCACTGGGTAAGTTATGATAATTTGGAAAGCAGATGCCAAGTTTACTTAATGACTAACCCTTACTTACAGCTATGGTATTCTTATTGAGCAAAATTATGACGGTGGCGATTTGCACGGAAGTCCTACAAGCGGTATCCCCATCACCAACTTGGTTCTCCAGAATATTTCTGGAAGCGGCGGTGTCCAATCAAGCGCTACTAACGTTGCTATCGTCTGTGGCAGCGGAGCTTGCTCCAGTTGGACATGGAGCAATGTTGTTGTCACTGGAGGAAAGAAATACAGCAGCTGCCAGAATGTGCCAAGTCCTGCCTCTTGCTAAGCAAGTGCTGGCTGTTCTGATCATAATTATGACAGATGTTTATGTAGCCATGAACCAAAGCCCTTTGAATATATACGGATCTGAAATTATACTTCTAAACATATCCAAGTACACTTGCAGTATTACTGGTGGTTCTAATACCCTCTGCTGCGTAATGGGAATACTATATATACTCTTCCTTAGCAGACAAACCTAAGGAAGGTTCTTTACTAGCAAACATTTATGGAGAGTATTTGGCCAAATTGAAAGCCAGAAGACTGTTATGTATATAGCGGTTTTGTTCAAGCAATACAGTATTAATATAATAGCGAAACGTCCTTAGGGTAGGTGGTGACTATAGCAAATTGATATAATGTAATTAATAAAGAAAGAAGTTATCCAGCACCAAAATTTCATTATCCAACACCTCAGCTGTAGCGCAACAAGGCAACCAGTCCACATATAAGATGCACAACTACTGAATACAAATAAAAGCAACAGTAGCAACAGTACCGCAAAATTTGAAGTCCCTATTGGTTGAGCTTCCTATTGTCTACCAAGGCAGCAACAATAAGAACGACATGGATTTACGGTTGTTGATAGTGTCTTCTGTGCACGAATAAATGATGATTCTTTAAATAGTCTATGCATTATACGAAGATCAGCCTACATGTGAAAGCTCATTTTATCATTGTTTGACGTCTTCAGGCACATAAGACAATAGTATAACAAGGCTCTAATCTACTCAGCTCATCAGCTCTACTAGCCCCCTCCCCTATTTTTTTTTTTTTTTTTTTTTGCAATTTTTTCAAGGTAAATCCACAAATGATCAAGTTGCGTCAAGTAATACTTTGTAGCATATTGAGCAAGCTGCACCAACAGTTGTTATTGGAGTATTTTGTCTTGACTAGAATGCTCAGATATGACCGGCGGGAGGGTGCTTACATTATCAATTATTGTCAGCTACTGTATCTCTTTTGAAACAGAACATATGTAAACAGGCTTGTTTTTTTTCTCATAAAAATGAAAGAGCTCTGTATGTCCAATGACTTGCACCCAAAAATCGGTGATTTGAGCATCTGTGATTACACTGCTACATCTACTACATCTATTAATTAATATCTATTACCTCTATGAGGCCGCCGAACTTTAACTTTGCCAGCTCGTAACTTGGTTAAGAGAAGCGCAACTCTTTACAACGGCTAGCCATTAACCCAATGCAATACTCAGTTGCCAGAAGAACAGTTTCCTCATTTTAGGCGATATTGAGATCTTAGGACGGATGGAAGATCGCAGCAATGCTAGAGGCAGTTGGTCGATGCAAGGAAGAACAGACAATCAAATATTCGATGTTTTGGCTCAAGGCTCTATATTTTGACGAGAAGTCATTTCAAGGGCACATCGTATTTAAGTGCTCGCGTTCCTACGGGAACCACTTGTATTAGTTATCAGCTATGGCATTACACCGCTGTTTTAAGATGAGTAAACGATGTAATCAATAATCCTTTTTTTAGTAACTGAAGCACTTCTGCTTACTTGCCTTTGTTCGGCATGCTCTTACATCCTACTATTGAGACATGAACCCAGGAAAGAAAGAGCCCATCGGCTAACTTTATTTTATATGCAGGGTTATTGGACAAAGAACTGCCGTTTCAAGAAGAATGCTCATTCCGTAAACTGATGTAGGATATTCATATTCTTCCGTACGATCTTTGCGAGTTAACCGAGATATTCGTAAGAAAATCTAGATTGCCATGGAATTTGAAGTTGCCTGGACTTTGTACACGAAGTCAAGGATAGCTTCGCGGTTGCTCAAATAGGCATGGTATAGTGATTGGGACCCCTAACGAGGTATTTTCAAGCCGTTAGTCATTGCACTATTGTTTCTGCTGAATCTAATTCTGATACCGCTGAGAATATTTGGAAGGTGTGGATGCCGCATTTGAGCCTCCGGAGAAAATATTGCTAGGGCGTTTTTGACCCTCTTTCATGGCACCAGCCCTCCTTTGCCTATTTCACGGGACCAAAAGCAGATAGCCGCCGTAGACAGTCAGCTAGTTTGAGCATGGCATTCATATTCTCCATGTCAAAAAGGGAAGGTGGATCGATGATAATGCGCGTAAGCTCTAAGAATATCGGGCAGCCAAGGAACTAATTGTGGACATGACCCGATATGCCAGAAGACGCACCAAAAGCAAGGGCTTCGTCATCTGTTCTCTGCAGATTTTCACGATATCGTGAGTCGAAGCAGTTTCCAATTTCCTCCATGGTTGAGCCTACTACACTATGCAAATCTCCGATAGAGACTATTGGCTCCAAGTTTACGTATTTAGACTGAAAGCTCTAGCAGTTTATAGCAACTGCTACGGCTCAACGGATGATGAAGAGTCATGATATGCATCAAATGACCCAGAGGCTGCGACTAGCCATTCATATTTCACAAGCAACAACGGACCAATGGAAATGTTGAAACCGAAATAGTTTACTCATCAATTCGGAATGGCCTCTCTTCTTCTAGGGCTAAAAACCGGAGTACTAGTGTTTCTCCGAAACTATTCCCTCTCGTTGCTACCCTACGGGCACTAGAATGTCTATAATTGAAGATGCTCATGTTTTTGGGGTCGAGTAAGCAAACGGACCCTTGGATTTTAGCAAAGTTATCAGTATGCATGGCTTATGCTAGCGCGACCATGCTTAAAGCAGCATCAACACCATCAATTAATCGAAACTAAATGATCACATTGAAAGTTTGTGAAAGAAACAAACGCGCCCTCGCTGAAGCTTCTAAAAGCCTTCGAGCCTCACCTGAGCATGAAGCATATACTGCATGTAGACAGTCCCGAAACGGCAAGGCCAACACATGTGAATTCCCCACCAAGGCACCAGCCGCTGCTTAATAGAAAGGCTGAAGTATAAGTTTATGCACGCGGACTGACTATTGGCCCTGCAGCCCGTCGGTATCTCACGACATGCTGTAGCGGGCACCTTGTATCAGCATGCTTTGGCTTGTTTCAGGGGTGAAAGTATATTGGATGCGTGTAGGTGGAGGTGTGCCTCACGCGCCAATGAAGGACCAATTGCGCGCAGCTGAAGGCTCAGCTCCCACATTTGTCTTCAGCGGCCCTTGGAGCATCACATTACTGATGTGTGTTATAAGCAGTAATGAAGCTGCTAAAGGTCCTGACCATGCATGTCCAGAAGTTTTTTTCCAGGATGAATGCACATGCCGGATTGCCGGGCTCCATCACGACCGATCTAACCTGGCTGTAAATCATCTAACCCCAACGGAAGCATGGTTTGTCAAAATATTGGATGAGAGTTCGGAGAAACCCATCCCAAAATAGTCTTATTTTGTTTTTCCAACTTCCTTTCCTAGAAAAAGCTATAATACTATGAAAAGGCAAAGCTATAAAGAGATGAAGCCTCTCCGCCATAGACAGCGTTCTTTCGCCAGTCAACCCAGCTCACTCAGTCCAGCATCAGAGGAACCTCCGTCTTTAGACACTCTCAACAGAAATAATGGCTTTCAAGAATATGTTCGTCGCCGCCCTGGCTGCTCTGCCTGCCGCCTTTGCCTCTCCCATCGAGCTTGAGCCTCGCGGCTGTACCTACGGCGGACCCTACCAGAACTTCCCCCCCATGAGCTCTTGGCTGCCCTGGACTACTGTTTTCGGCCTTTATGAGCAGACCATGGTCAACGCAGGCTCCAGCTGGGACGATGTTGGCCGTATCAACGTGGCTATTAGCCAAGCTGCCGCGAGCATTGGTGTTGATGAGCGTGTTATCCTCGCCATCATTCTCCAAGAGAGCACAGGTTATGTCGGTGTCGAGTGCACCGGTGGAGATGACTGTGGATTAATGCAGTGCGAAGGATGTCCTTCATTCCAGGGCCAGAATGAGCTGTCTCAGGTAAACTGACGTTTCTTGCCCTCTGTTGTGTAAGATTTCTCATTCTAACGTTTTCAACCTAGTCGCAAACCTCTTCCATGATCAACGGTGGAACTCAGCACTTCAAGCAGAACTTGGAGGACTGGGGAAACCAGTGGGCTACCTCATCTATCTACCCTGCCCTCCGTGAATACAACTCAGGCAGTGTCAACAGCGGCGATCTCAGTCAAGCTGCCGGTGGCTTCGGCGTGCCTTGCTACGTCAGTGACGTTGCCCGCCGCATGATGGGCCAGGTCTTCTAAACGTTCTACGAATTGGGAATGGAGTAAACAAGAAGATGGATGATGCAAGGATTGATACCTTGGAGCGATGATAATCTCCATCAGTTTCTCCACTTCTGCTTTTGGATTCACTTGTCTATATTTTGCCTGAATGGCTCTTTACAAAACCTCCCAGAGGTCATGTCTATATCTAAGAACAACGTATATATCTTAGCTTCTAGCCAAATGCGGTTTGCTATCACATTTCACTCTTACAAACTGACGTGATAACTTCTCAAGCAGAAGAGTAAGTGATTAAGAGTCAGCTAACTCATAGCCGTAGCAAATTCCAAGTGAGATGAACTAACGCACGAGCTAGAGTAGTGTTGAATGGCAGCTTACCACGTGGGTCTTGGACTACAGGAAATGAGAGCTGAGAAGCGCTCAGCTGGACACTCACCAACTATCTGAGATAAGCAGGCGGGAAAGGTGAATTGCTACGTGGTTTTGGGCGATTCTAGGAGGCCCTATAGCTAGTAATGCTTAGTAGTTTCTCTAATGAGAGCTTTGTCTTTGATCATTGTATATGGTCAATCTTCTAAAAATTGGTTTCCAGAGCCTAACACTTAGGACACTCAACATTACCACCCAAGGCCATTAAATAAGGTAGCGTTCATGTTTTGATTACTTGGTTGCAGCCGGAAAGGTTTCAGTTTGCAAGTAACTGCCTCTTACGGATGTCTAGCCATCTTTTGGAGCCTCATCAGAGAACTGAACACTCAAGTTTCCTTTTATGGTAAAGGCTTTGTTACCATGTCCAGTGCGATTATGCCACCAATAAAATTACAGTAAAAATAATTAAAGTCATCTAGAACACGATAGCGCAGGCTTTTCAGGCACAAACATATTTCAGGTGTTGGTAGCTTCCTATTCGATACCATGTAAGCTGATAGCAGCGCAGTGATTGGGTCCCTAAAAAAGGGCCGAACGGTATCAATTTTCAACGGCGCCTGGAATCTCACAGTGGTTCATGCCTAATCCCTATGCTAGTGTGATTTCCAGGGTCTTCATGAGCCGCTTCTTCCGTAATGGCTTGGCAAGGCTGACCTACTCGCATTGCAGGCAGGCATTTTAGTTGCATTTTCTCTGTGTACAGGTGCGGTCCATTGTTTCCTTTCCAAGGGTAGAGAGCTCGCTGCAAAGCATAAATAAGCTATAAATATATTCATGTCGTCGAGTTAATATTACAAGTTTATGAGTTTCAATATATAAACGCACTGTCGCCTGACTGACCACTTTCGTAGATGGCAGTGGTCAGCAACCCAGTAGTTTGGTACAAACTCTTTGCTCAATTAAAGAGCAGTGCTATTGAAGTTACCAAAACGCCGATCCCAAACTTTATTCTACAAACATGCGTGAAAATGGCCAATGTTTATATGCAGCGATGATCTGCAGATCAAGATCTAGCGGATTTTTCTGGTATCTAGGGGCGGATCTTGCGGAGGGATTCGTAATATGCGCATGTACGCTTGATCGGCCCCAGGGCGTGGGGGCGCTGAATAAGAGGAGCTCTTCCCAGTGGCCAATAACGATATGTACATAAAAATGTGAGATACACCGTATTGCCTACGTAGAGCAATGAACAACTTGATTAGACAACTCTTTATTCATAGAGATCAACTGGTGAAACTCGTAGAGGATAATCTTGCAATAGATCTTCCGCAGACAATGCATAGTTACACGATGCACAGATTCACAAACCATGTTCAAGCCATTTGCAATCAACAGATGCTTCGCGTCATCCCTCTTTATTCATAGCTGTTGGATATAATTTAGAAAAAATAATAATAAACGAAAAATAGCCATAAAGTATACTCATTACTCCTTTGTGAACACTTCCGCATCTTCCTTGACAATATCTGCATTTGATGGCTCCGGGAAGAACTGCCTTCTGTCTTCAGCGTATCCACTATTAGACAATGGTTAGCAAAAATGTCTAAGAAATGTTGTCCACCGGTCAAACTCACAAAATAACGTCAATTTCATCTAGAGTCTTGCCTTTCGTTTCTGGAAGAAAGAAGAAGGCCCAAATAGTTGCGAGCAGCATCCAAGACGCGAAGAAGAACCAGGTGCCGTAGCCCAAAGAGGCAAAAATATATGGCAGTGCCTTTGTAATAACGAATTGTGTGAGCCTGTGTATAAATGTTAGAAAAGATAGTTTTAAATGTTTACTAGACTTCATACCATTGGCAAAGTGCCGCCCACGTTCCAGAAAAGTTACGCAAAGCTCCAGGGAAAATTTCGGCGGCAACGATCCAAGGAATTCCATTAAGTCCGAAAGACCAGCTATGAAGAACAAGTTAGCTATTAGATGAATGCAGACAAGACTCAATAAAGATGCCATACAAGACGGAGTATATCATGATCATGCCAGTTGCAGCTTTGCCACCGGCTGCGGTGGATGGTGAAAGTTGGTGTCCGGCTTTGATGATGTCGGCTGGATGCCCAATCTTGACATATGCGCCGATGACCCAGAGACACAGTGAACAAGCGATTGAAGAGAGAATGGTTGGATGTCGACGTCCCCAAATGTCGATTAAGAAGACGTAGAAAATGATTGAAGCAACTGCCTTGACAAGGCCATAGATGCCAGTGTAAAGAGAGACATCTGAGATTCCCAAGGAGGCAAATAGCGTAGGCGAGTAGTAATTAATAGCTTTGGTAAGTGATATCGTCAGCTGATGGTTCTTTTACTAAATTGTGTTTTTTGCTCACCTGCAGCTCCAGACATATTTTGAAGAGCAAAAGAACAAAATACGAGAATGACACGGTTGCGCATGCCCTTGCGAGACAGTTCATATAGAGCTCCACGGAAAAGTGCCCACGATCCAGTACCGTATCTACTTGCGATGTCGGTTTCCTCTAACAGGCGACCTCGGATCATTTGTATGTCTTCTTCTATGTCTGCAGGATTGTGAGCTAGCTGTCATCTTTAATAGTAAGGCGGGGACTTGGCTTACACTTGTGATCTCGTGGCAATTGGCGAATTTCTTCCAATGCTTTTGTCCCTTCTTCCACTCTATCATTTCGGAAGAGCCATAGAGGGCTTTCGTGTAGAAATGCGCCTCCAAGTAGCAGCATACCACAGGGGATAATTTGAACTGCCATGGGAATACGCCACGAGGCCGTTGAACTTTGGTCCATGTTCTGGTTAATTCCGTAGTTGATCCAAAAGCCAATAACTGATCCTATCTGGTACGCAATTTCGAAAAGTCCAGTGAGTATGCCGCGGATAGAAGGGATGGAAAGCTCAGCGATGTAGCTTGGAACCGTCGCAGTGATTCCACCGCAGGCAAGCCCAGTGAGGACTCGACCAGCATCTATTTGCCAGAGGTCAGCATTGGCCATTGAGAGGACAAAGAATCTTGACGGCTATAGCATAAACTAACATATGTTGGATAGTGAGTGTGTCGCAGCCGTCATAACAACTGCGCCGATAAGAAACACCACATTGGAAGTGAATAGCGCCCACTTTCGACCGATCTTTTCGGTGACTATGCCTCATAGTTAGCGTCTGTGACCGGGTATGAGTGTATCCAGACCTACTAAAGAAGCAAAAAATGGCTCCGAAGAAAGCGCCCGCTTGGAACGCAGACGTGATATTGCTCGAAATGCTACTCGCATCGGCCGGTAGGATACTAAAGTCTTTTTTGAAACTTGCGCGAGAAATGGTGGTTCCGATAAATGCGCCATCATAGCCAAAGCTGATTCACTAATGTATCAGAGAAGTTCGCCCAGCAACACAACGATCTCGAAACCCGATACTCACAGCAGAGAACCGGTAGCAATAACGGCGGCCTCAAAGTATAAACGCCAGTTGTACACCTCTTTCGGCGTTGGCCGGTCTTCAACAGCACGAAATCCGCCCATGATGCTGAGGGCTTGTCCGCTTTGTCAGGAGTGTGAGTACACGAACAAATGCGCCTGTGACGGTAGCTACACAAAAAAGAGTGCAAGAATGAAGCCAGAGTTTATTAAGAGACCAACATGATGAAACGAGCGGATAATATCGTCAGTTATATGATGGTTGTAAGGTCTGTCCATCACAACTTTAGCCTGGTGCCATCGGATCTGGAGAAAAGATGGTGGGGTCTTCGCCAACTAGCAAAAATCTGGGGTCATTCTTCGCCGAAGCAATGCACCCCAGCTTTGACTGAGCGAGACCGAACGGGGTGCCGTGCGGGGAACTTTGGGGTGAGAATATGGAGTAGATGAACCGATATTTTCTGGAATTGGCGAGAGTACAGGAATCCCTCATAACGAACCACAAGAGCCAAACCGACCTATCGGCAAAAATGGAACCATTCGCGCCTTCAGTGCCTTCTAATGAGAATAACGTGCGCTGCCGACGAATTATTGCTAGTGGCGCTGCGCTATGCAAGAGTGGCAAATGGGGATTGCGAGGCTAATGGGAGCGTTTGATGCTTGGCAGCTTAGCGATGGATCCGATATCCGAGCCGATCGGCTTTGTTCCGACAAGTAAATTGAGTTTATGGGGAGTTGTGGCTTTAGAAAACGGCCATCCCGATCGCAAACAGGTCGAAGCGGTTAACTATTGGCTTCTTTTTGACAACGTACACAATAGTCTATTCCCTTGTCACGCGTGAAGGAGCACAAGGGACAAGATTCCAGGTATCGCGTAATTTGTGAACACGACTTCCAAGGAGGGAAATCTCCAGATTAAAACAGAATATGTGTAACATGTTTTATACTAGGAGATATTGCCCAGCATTCAATATTTTTTAATATTCGGCACCTTGGGTGTGGCTATTGGTGTAAGTTTACTATGTTTTGGGCATGAAACTGGAACGAGATAGACATTGATGGATTCTATTTTTCCATTTTATGCAGACGTTGCATGACGTTAATAAACTCTCGTTTTATTGGATCTTATTACGGAAATCTAATCCACTCTGCGTCCAATGACCAAGTCTCAAATTTTGCCCACTCTTACACTGAAAGTTTGGCGATGCTTTTCTCAGTTGCCTCCAGAGCGCCAGCAACACCAACAATCCACTCTTGCTGCGCCGCGTTGTCAAATTTTGGGTATGGTCGCCTACAATGGCAGCTCTCTTGAGGATACCCACGCAACTTCGCTACCACCCATTTGGTACCATTGATTCCACCTTTGGCGAAACCCCATTCCATCTTCGATAGGTCCAGTTGTAATGTGGTAGCCTCTTTGACTTTACCAGCCTTGAAAAGGTCGTAGATTTGGATACAGGTCTAAGGTTCGTGAATGCGTTGGTTAGCAATGCTCTTTGATGAATGCCATGATACTTGTTTTCTGAGGCAAACTCACCCTGGGATATAGATTTGCTATTCCGGTAATCGTGCCTGTACCTCCAACTGATAGTGCTGGAAGAAGCCAATCGCTCTGACCTGCAAGGGCACTAAAGTCCTCGGGGCTGTAAGTGGCAGCGATGCGCGATACTTTGGCAATACCACCACATGTCAGTTTCACGCCGACTATGTTCTTATGCTTGGCAAGGCGGTCCAGCATTTCGGAGTCGACGTCGAGTCCTGCAACTACACCGGGATAGTTGTATATCAGGATGGGGAGCGGGCTTGAATCAGCTGTCTATCCACATTACATTAGCATCAGCGCGGCATAGCCACGTAAATTCGGAAGATTACTACCATACCTCTTCGAAGAACGCAACAATGGCATCCTTGCTCATTGCAAAGTGGAAGTAGCTGGGCACGAGAACCAAAACATAGTCTGCGCCCGCTTCTTGCGCCATCTTGGTCTCGGCGATGACATCTCGTGTGCACTGTCCATTACTTCCCAGAGTAATTGTAATATCCGGTTGCCCAACTTCGGCAGCGACGCGCTTTGTTAATGTGATGAGCTTGATTTTTTCCTCCTTTGTTAATGTCACAGCTTCGCCATTTGTCCCGGCCAACACAACTGGATTGATGCGCATTAGCTGTTGTCAATGATATGAACAATGTAGAGAAGTAATGCGCATACCCCCATGAAGGCCAGAAGTGATCAAAAATCTCAAGTGCTGCTCTTGCAAGTCCCAGTCGATATCTTGAGCGTCGTTGCTGCTGAACCAGGTCAGACAAGGCACATGAATGCCCGGCGGAAACGGCTTGACTACTTGTTGCAACGAGCCCATTATTGCTAGTAGTGAGGGAGAAAGGTATACGTTAAGGTGTCTATTATCGAAGATTGAGTTGTTTCAAATAACGCAACAAAGTAAAGATTTGGGAACGAAGATGTTGTACGACAACGCTGAGGATGCGAATCAATGACTTATATAGTGCCCCGCAGAGTGCGATAAGACGAGGATGAGTACATGTATACCTCACTCAAAAGCTCTTTGCAGAAAGGAGTATTGAAAGCCTTAGACGAGAAATAATAAAGTCACGAAACTAGCAGTCAGATGCAACCAAGTGTACGTTGCAGGCTATCGGATCACCTTCAATCCATCCAAAGCGACGCGATACCGTTAATGTGGAGTTTCCTCTGCCGACAACTATTCCCGATACTGCCGACCCGAGCAGACACCACCAGGTTTCTGTGCGGGGTGAATCACAAGATCGCAAAGCACGAATTAAATACTGAGTGCATCACGGAGCGAATGTCCGCGCGAGCTTTGGTGGCTTCTTGGCGAGCCTGGACCTCTTCCAAGACCTGCGCCGTGATTCTTGCGTTCCCGGCAACGCCCTCCATTCTCATTATTTGCGCCTTGATCCACGCCTTCTCCTCTTCATCCTGTTCTTCAGCCCCCAGCATTAAGAGAGGCCAGAGCATATTTACCGGAAGTGAATCTTCAGGACCTAAATCGGCTGAAATCTGGTGGGCCAATTTGCGGATTTGAGCGAGAGCATCGGCTGCCTCTTTGGTCAATGGCAAGTGTTTGTAAGCAACACGGTGAAGATGCACTTTGCTGGCGAAGTAGTTGGACAAGTATGTGCGAAAAGCTCGAGTGATGGTGAAAGCCAAGTGTGCCGAGATGTGAGGCTCTGAGAGCTTTCCGGCCACCGCATAGTCCATGAGCGGTGGGCGCTGATCGTATAGCGACCGCAGGTCAGAGGCAATGGAAGCGCCAATATTCATGACATCAATCTCGTCTTCCACGGTGCCTCTTGACCTATGCCACGGATCAATCTTTGAAATGCGGCCCATGAAACTTTGAACCTTTTGGAAAAAGACGATGCCAGGCTGGTAGAGGACCTGGAATAAAACATCTTCAATGTCGTCGCTGGATGCGTCTTGACTTTTTGCAGTATCATCCGTTTCAGCATCGAAACTCGCAGGTGAAGGCTCTACAAGTTCAATCTCATCGTCTCGTGATAGAAATAGCCCTTCACCTCCAGCAGACACCGCTCTAGCATCCAATAGCCGAATCCAAAGAAGAACCTGCTTTTCGACGTGCGAGAAAGAGGCCTTGTCCCCTCTCTGGAATATTGTATACGCTTGTTTGAGATAGCGATGTGCCATATCGAGCCTGGTTTCTATTATGTCAACATAGCTTAAGAAGAATAAAGCGGCGAGGAGGCATTCGCGCGCCAGGCTGTGCTCGTTGAGAGAATCTGGATCATGGGCCTCTACTTCAATGACGGCTTCCTGGTAGTGATTCTGGTCGTCAAAGGCCCAAGAGGGGTTGCTACGACATAAAAGGGTATTTGAGAATGCTAGAATAGCACAGCGTAGGACGCGGGAGCTTTTTGACATTGCGACAAGGCCTTGGCGGATTGAGGACCATTTTCTCTGAGACTCGACTCCGGCTATAATTGGCGGTATAGCAGATTTTATGAAGAATTCCATTAATTTTTCGCTTGAACCAGAAGAACTTTGACCGATAAGCTGATTTCTGTCCTCTTGTATGGCTATACTATTGGTGTATGTGTTGATTGTTAAGGGATCTGCGTGTCTGTTCATAAAGGCGCTTGATTCCTACCGCACATTGTAAGTTATTTGACCTTTTCGAAACCCTTAAGAGGCAATGAAAATGTTATTTGAAAATGCTTACTATAAGATTTGCATCAAGTGCAATGGCAGTCGTCATATCTGGGCTTTCTTGCTGCCACAAACTGCTACTTGGATCCCACATGAAGCTAGCGTAGTCAAAGACTTCATCCATGGCCTGCAGCGTTCGTAATCCAGACGCAGTTGGTGATCGATCGGTAGAAGGAGATGTGATTGGCTGACTGTCGCCTGTAGGCCTCTCGCCATTGGCGTCATTTCGTTGCTTAGACAAGGCGACAGCGTGAAGGGGTCGCCATTTGCATTCCAGATTTAGCCTCTCGCAGTGCGAGCATCGAGGCCGCTGCTCATCGCATTTGACTTTGCGGCGTCTATATGAACATGGTCAACAACGGTTTCTGTACTTGACTGAATAACTGTTAGGGAGGAAGTCTTACTTGCAGGTCAAGCATCCGCAGCGTGACCTGTTGTAACGCCTTGTTGGCCCAGCGCGTTGTGGCGAGACCGCGTTCATATTGTCATCATGTATAGGAGGCTGTGGCATGATAGAGGCTGGAGATTTTGGTTAGTGATTATCACCAATATCTAATGGTGCATATTAGAAGCAGTATTCCATATTATGACAAGAAATGCCCCTTTGATGAGCCGTACGCCTTCCATGTATTGCGAAAGCTGCGAGAGAATGTTGAAGCTGCCATGCTCGTCAAGCCTATGGCAAATGAAGTTAGCGTTGGAGAAAAGCAGACGAGTTATTGGAGCTATGAGTCCATCATGTGACAGACTTTGCCAATTCTGTTCACACAATTTCCACGCCAAGGTTCTATATATACGGTATTTGCGGTGAGCCATACTTGTGTCAAGTCATTCTGCATACCAGAAAGTTGGCTGGGCATTTCGTCCATGTAAATGATGGACAATCGCGAATGTAAACCCCATCCAAACACACAAATATGCATGCATGTTAGTTCCGGACTAGCACTCAACACGCTAATATATAAGAGCTAACCCAACATGTTGAATTTGGGCGAGGTATGCTGAACTTTGGACTTTGCTTACGTTTCCCAGCATGAAAATACCTGGCCCTGAATGCGGGATGGCCAAGCTGACACTTTGGGCAAACTGGAGAATCTCTCTGGCGCATGGTCCTGGGCTGTTGACATACGCCAGCTACCTTGTACTATCATGCCGAATATAAAGGAACCCTTGATGGGATGACTAGATAAATTAAGTTTATTTTTCTTCATTATAAGTGCCTTTGTCTTTATGTCAACCTCCTGCCACGATAATTGGCGCATACCGATATGTCTATCCACCACCACCTTAAACCGTATCGCTTAGCCCCCTAAATACTATGACGCACTGCCTCTGAGCCCTATATTTCTCTAATTGATATGACAAAGTATAACAAGACCATACTATCACTATCGCTGGTATAGATTGGCCATCATTTCATAAAGTGTTCCCACAAACACACCTATCAACTTCGCAGATATTACGAGAGGGGGGATACAGTACACAGCGGAAAGACCATCTACTGCACAGCCTATGCTCGATTTGTTAGTTAACGCATGTGGGTCTAGTTGGTTCAAAAGATTGGCTCAAATCCAGCTGCTCCCACTACGCTACTGCACTCTCGCCGTCATCATTCACGAATAAGCTAAACTACCGAAATTCGGTACCTTACCCGGGCAAACAAAAGTGTATAGCAAAGGATCTTTGTTCTAGAAATTGGGTGTTCGACTATCAGCACACTGTACGTTGTGTAAATTTCAAGACAGGACGTTACCTTCACAGAGTATCTAGCATTGTTTTCTCATAATTGAGTCCCGGAACAAATCTGTTACAATCTGCTTGACCACTACACTGTTATTCGTTGTAATTATATTTATGCAGTGACGGGATTTGTAGGATCAATAGGTCTCAAAGTGTCAAAGGTTTGAGAAACATCCTGCCGCTACCGATCTCGGTTAGATAAAAGGTACCGGAAACGCCGAAAAAATTAATAATATCTGAACTGAGCAAATCGTTCGTACCCCGCCGCCAGACTTCCCAATTAGGAAACCTGTGATGGTATCAGGCCGTCGTTTCAGGCATTCAATTCAAGAGCAAAGTTGTATATAAGACGACGCAATTCGGGCTTTCTGAGAAAAAAATTTCAATTCAGAATTCGCCAACACTTCCAACAATTGCAACAAACCATCCAGTTTTGCAATTGCATCAAAAAATCTACACCAAAACGGCCTATTCTCCTTTTATAATAAATCGTTGCCTCATCATTGCCTGAGTTCTGCCTTCGGTTGGCCTCATACTCACTGTCGGTCCCCGCTTACGTCATCGCTGTCCTTTCTCTGCTAACATGTTCAATTGTCAGGATCAGCCTCTTATACATCAAGATATCTGTTTTTTATTCTTAGACATTTCCAATTGCCAGGATGTCGACCAACGAGATTGCGCAAAACGGCTGGACCGCTCTGCCCTTGGATCCCAGCAAGCTCTTTGGCGGCAAACCATTTCGGAATGCACCTGGACAGCTCCTGGTTTCCGACATCAAGTTCCCAGAAGATGATCCCATCGTCGCTAAAGTTCAGAGCTATGCCAAAGAAAAGTTGCCCATCCAAACTTACAACCATAGCATGAGAGTCTTTTACTACGGTACAGAAGCGAGTAATCTTCATAAAAATATATTGGCAACTAACATTCATTCTATAGCGACCGCCATTGTCAGACAGCAGTTCCCCGAACATGCCGCGACATTCTCCCCTTCTACCCTTGCTCTCGTCTCCCTCTTGCATGATATTGGCACCGCTGAAGAGAATTTGGCAGCTACCAACATGTCCTTTGAGTTTTACGGAGGTTTCAAAGCCATGAATCTCCTATTGGAGCTTGGAGCCTCCAAAGATCAGGCCGAAGCAGTTGCTGAGACAATCATCCGCCACCAGGATCTTGGGACAGAGGGAAACATCACATTCGTCGGCCAAGTCATCCAGCTGGCCACGATATATGATAATGTCAGCGACCACCCGCACCTGAAGAACCTGATAGAAATCATCCACACTGAGACTCTTAAGGATGTTGTGAAGACTTTCCCTCGTCAGCAGTGGCTTGGATGCTTCGCCAAGACAATTGATGAAGAGGAGCGACTGAAGCCTTGGTGCCACAGCACACACATTCCTGACTTTTCTCAGGCGATTCTGGGCAACAAGTTCATGAAGCCATACGAGTAATGGGGCACGTTACGATAGATGCACCAGCATAGTTTTATGATACAAAAAAGTACATGCAGAAGGAAGAAATGTACAGTCAGCGTCAGAAATTCATCTACATAGCCATGTACACTGATTATACATGTTTCATTACATCTTGGTAAAAGTTTAGAGTCTAGAACGTGGTGTGTCTAAGCCTTTACAGACTGATGATAGTGGTATCAGACTCGGGGATTGTAAATCCCTTTAAGCGGCGAAGAGAATTTTTGTCAACTTCACTTGGAGAAATATTGTATCTATGAATTTAAACAGAAAACATGCTATACTTCTATTTGAGCTGGTTTTCCCTCCCAGGCTCTTTTCAGCAGCTCGCGAATCGGATCCCTTTCAACAGGTCTGGGGTTCCAGAATGGCTTCTTTAGCAGATTATCTACTGCCACCTCAATATCCTCTTCTTTCAGACCAAGGTCCTTAAGACTATATGTAATTTGCAGCTTAGATAGTAACTTGTTCAAGCCGCTGACTGCATCTCCATTACTTTCCGGAATAATGCCAGACAACTCCTGCATAATGTTGGGGATGCTTGGAGCAATATATGCCAGCGCATGAGGCAAAATAATTGCATGCGTTTCCGCGTGAGGCAGATTAAAGGTACCCCCAAGGACATGGCAGAGTTTATGATGCAGAGCTACGGATGCCCCAGCGAGACATTTTCCGCAGAACCAAGCACCAAGTAGAACGTCGGAGCGAGCTTTGAGGTCTCTTGGGTTTTGCATTATTTGAGGCAGCGATCTAGCCAAAGTTTGGATTCCCTTGAATGCAAACATGCTTGTGATGGGATTGGCATCTTGAGCGTACAAAGCCTCGACTATTCGACATTTGTTCACATTAGCCGCTGCAAGTTGAGCCATTGAAGACTGCTGTCAACTTATACGTACCCGCATGAGCTATGGCATTAAGGCCGCTTGTTGCGCTTATGTTAGTCGGCAGCGTCAACGTCAAATTCACGTCGTAAATGACAACTGTCGGAATGGCTTTCCGGTCAATGTGAGTAACTTTGACCCGGTTTTCTGTTTGGCCTACGATGGGCGTCATTTCACTGCCAGCATACGTAGTCGGTATGCAGATGTGAGGCAGCCCTGTGCGAATAAATAATGCTTTGCCCAGTCCCACGGCACTCCCGCCACCAATTGATACAACGCAGTCGGCATTGACGGATCTGAGCTGCTTTAACGCTTCTTCAGTAACTTCCTTTGGAGTATGCATTGCGACTTGCGTAAATGAACCCGCAATCTGTCCATTTAGAATTTTCGCAACATCGTCAACGTAGAATGTCTTTGAAGGCGTTGTCAATATGAGTGGTTTGGTGCAGTTGAGCTTGGTAAGCTCATCGGGAAGTTTTGATAGGCTGCCCTCGCCAAAGATGACTCTTTGGGAGCTCTCGGTGTAGTCGAAAAGACTCATTTTGCCATGTATTAGGAAAACAAAAATTCGCCGACAGTTCTAGATGATGTATGTAGCAGAAAAGCTCTGGTGTTGATATTTGGAGACGGGCGATAATGTTTCATATGTCTTTATATGTCAATTACTCGACTGCGGGGTGACCAAGCTATTACACAGGTTCAAAGTCGCCGCCACCGTTGCCATGAATCAGCACTTAGTAAGTTCTGTCTGGGCATTTATGGATCTTGGTCCACCAAGTTTTGGACGAGAGCGGCGCTGCAAGACTTGCCTATACGGCGGCAGACCTGGACAATTTCCAAATTCAATTCCGTACATGAGATCAAATTTGACGTCAAGAAAATTTGATGTTTGTATTCAGCGGGAGATTGTCATTCGCCTGTGGATATCTGCACTCTGCACTCTCCACTTGCACTGGACCGGACACATGGATGTCAGCCAAGTTTCGTAGGCGAGTTTAGTGCCTCTCGCCGGAGCTGTTCAAAGATTGAACCTTTTAGCGAGTAATCAGTGCTAAGAGCAGTCACGTGCAGACGCGTTCTCCAATGCTGGCTATTAGTTCTTCAGCCAAAGACTGTAAGCAGTTGAGGTTCAATCTCAGTCTTACTTTTGACGTCCTATAGAATATGAAGCCGACTAGTTTATCAATGGTTTCGTTATAGTGAAGAGCTACAAAGTCGAGTTCCTGTTTGGGAGCATGCTCATGGTCGTGTTGTCAGATGTCTTCAGAGGCTCTTCCCGCTGAGGTCCCCGGAGACCAAACAGAGCCACAGGATTCGCGAGAGGGCGAGCCCCTTGCAAAGCAGCCGAGGCGCAGAGCTTGCAATGAGTGCAAACAGCAAAAGGTATGGGCGCAATGTCTGCTATTTACACTGTAGGCGTGTCAAGGCCTCCTGCATTAACGGCTCGTGTTTCTTACAGCTTCGATGTGATTTGGTTGCCAATGACGCTGTCTCTAGCACATGCTCTCGCTGCCAGAGGCTCAAACTTACATGTAAGATAGACAACGATTTTCGCAGAACGAGGAAGAGAAGGTATGGCTCGTAGCTCTCACGACTGAGTGGATGAAAATTAATGGCACCATGTTTCATTTTTAGGAAATCTTTCGAGCTCGAGAATGAAGTCAGAGACCTCAGACGCCGCCTAGCCACTCGTGAGGCGAGCAGTAATGCAGCGGTCGAATGGCCAATTCTCACTCCAGCTGTACCCTGTTAGTATATCGAGGCTTCTTATAAGAAAGATTGATATTGTCGCATAAACTGTCTTATGAAGCTAATGGTGTGTGTTATAGCAGAGACTCGCGCCAGCGATGCAATACGGTCATCGCCGTCCAACACGTCAGGCCCATCGCTGGATCCAAAAGAAAGCTCCCGTGTCCCTGGCCTGACGACTCAGCCCGTCATTGACCAGCCTCAAGCGCCGCGAAGATCGATCATTGCCATCCCACGGCCCAGGAAGCTAGGCAATGTTGAGCTCTCCGTCGAAGAGATTGATGAGCTGTATCTGATGTATGACTGCCCGAAATGCCTTTCTTACTGAGATGTGAATGAACTCACCAAGTCATGCAGCTATATACTTCACTACCATCCATATCTGCCGTTTCTAGATCCAGGCACAACTATTCATGAGTATTACGAGTCATCTGAGCTACTGTTTTGGTCCATCGTCTCTGTCGCTGCTCGACGGCTACAGAGCCACCCAACGCTGCTGCAGAAGCTGGCAAGAAGTGTCACAGACTTGCTATGGAAATCCCTTCGCTCAATTCCTTACTCTCTTCGGGCAGTGCAAAGCCTGATTATTCTTTGCACTTGGCCATTTCCAACAAGCAGTAGCACTGCCGACCCGACTTACATGCTAGCAGGCATGATGGTACAGCTTGGGACACAGATGGGCCTCCATCGCGCACTCAGCGCAGAGGATTTTGTCAAAGTCCCGCTGCATCTCAGCATGTATGAGTATTCAGAATGGATCAAGACATGGGAATCTTGCAACATTGTCGCACAAAGGTAATGCCATATACGCAAACCACACGCTTATTCAATCACCGTGTACCAGAAATCTGACTTTGCCGCAGTGTGAGTGTTGGATGTGGCCTTCCTGCCACTATACAGATGCAAGACTGGTCCCTCACGATTGCACCCGAGTCAGCAACATTATCTCTTCATGACATTGCCTTGAGATGGCATCTTCGCATCGAGCAGTTCAGACATAGAGTGTCTCAAGCCTTGACATCAAATGCTCTGGATCCCGCTGGCTTTACATCAGTTCGTGAGCGGCTCTCTCTCTATCGGCTTCTCAATGCGTCACTTGTTGATTTGGAGCGCGAGGCTATTAATATGACTCGTAACATACCCAATCTCTCTACAACCTAAATAAACATCTGCTAACATCATGACAGCCATAACTCGCTACTATCTCTCCGCTGCCCGTCTCCATCTCCACTCATTCTATCTCTTAGATGAATCAAGCGTTGACGGTTATTCTGATCGCATTGTGGTATTGTATCAGACTGCATATTCGCTGATAGAACAATGTCTCGAGATGGACAACGAAGAAAGCGGATTCTTCCACTACTGCCCATTCTTTTGCTATCAAGTTTTCGTTTCTGCAGCATTCATAATCCTCAAAGTCATGATGAATGGATATTTCGAAAAGCTACTCGACGTGAAATCGGGTAGAAAGCTCCTCGATGCTGCTATATCCTCACTGCGAAAGATGTCAGTTGCCAACAACGACCTCCCCGGCCGGCTCAGCGACGTGATTGGGTTTTTCTGCACTTTAACCGACCCTCGTGTCATCAGCGGTGATTCGATTGACGATTTACGCTTGCGGGTTCGGAATCGCCTCAGTATGAGCATCGTTTATGACTCGTTATGGGAATGGCGAAAGCATTTCCAATCAGATGGCAATCGCGACGAAAACTCTGAAATAGCACAAGATAAGTGGACAAGTCCTTCTTACAGCGTTCTCACTAACACCATATCCACAGCTACTATTTGGTTCTGAGGATATGCAAGATGCGATGATGTTTGATCACCTCAGCAGCCTAGCAGATGGATTCAATCTGGAATGGCCGGTATGATAGCGCTATTTCTTCGCACCAACATTTGACAAACAAGACGCAATACATATAAGGCACATACAACAGTACATATATATACCACATGCGGACCAATGACTTTTTGTTGTTTATGCAAAGTTTATTTACAGCATAATCTATGGACGCAAACTTTTATTCGCGGTCAATTAGTATTACCACACTTTCTCGCTGGGATGATAGCGTTATTACTTTGCGAGGACACTTAACGAAGACACAATAACAATACAACAATACATCCACCAAATGCGACCCAATAGCCTTCTATTCTTGATACATATTTTTATTTTCACTTCATCTATGGACGCACATTTTTATCCGCAGTCAATTGGCATCATCACACTTTGCCATACAATTGTCCTCCAGCAGCAACATCCACCGCTGTCGCTTCTTTCAGGCCTACTATCGTGAACAACTTCTTTGGTGTAAAAGTCGGGTCGATGTCAGTGACACCAGTCTCTTTTATCCTCTTGTAGGTGCTACGAATGGCTTCATATGCCGGAGCAAGAGCTGCGAAAGGATAGATGATGATTCTGAAACCCATATCCTTGGCCTGAGCTACAGACCAGGATGGTGTGGCTCCATTCTCAACCATGTTGAGGAGAACTGGGGTCGGTGCGAGCGCTCGGCACACCTCTCTCGCCTCTTGCTCATTGTTAATGCCCTCTAGGAAGGCAACATCAGCGCCGGCGGTAACTGCAGCCTTTAGACGACGGATAGCCTCTTCAAAACCATCAGTCTGTAGAGCATCTGTGCGGGCAATGATGACAATGTCGGAATTCAGCTTCTTCCTGGTTGCAGCGGCCGCACTGATCCGCTGCTGGAAGGTATCAACGTCAACAACCTCCTTTCCTCCAAGGTGCCCACAGCGCTTAGTCTGAATCTGATCCTCGATATGCAGACCAGCGACGCCACTGCGGTGGTATTGCGCCACCGTGCGAGCAACCATGTTGGGCCCGCCGTAGCCCGTGTCAGCGTCAGCAATGAGAGGGACGCTGGGATCCAGGTTGGCAATCATTTCAGCGTGCTCTCGCATGTCATTAAGCGAGGCAAAGCCCAAGTCTGGCTGGCCGAGCTTTGAAGCGCATGTTCCAGCGCCCGTCTGTGCAAGGCAACGTAGTTAGCACTCTGCAAGCTTGCATACATGTACATTGTGTCCTACTTACCATGTAGAGGCCATCAAAGCCAACTTCTAGCGCAATTCTAGCAGTGAAACCATCATAGACGCCCGGCAGAACAAGCAGTTCATTGCCTTCAGTGAGCATTTTCCTCAGCCGAGTTGCGGCCGGAGTGGGGCTGGCCGCATGGCCGTTGGTCCCGTTGGAAGCTCCGTTTGTGTAAGTCATGTTGATGTTGGCGAGAATGATGGAAGATGACTGTTGAAATGAGTCGAAAGGGTCAAGATTGCTGGTGAGAATTGAGCAAAGCCAAAGGTCCAAGTACAGTGTTTTATATCCATCTCTAGAGCCACAGTGATTCTCAAAAGTATGGATCTTGAGTGAGGAGCAAGCCGATCGGCGAAACATGTCCGATCGGCCAGGCCCAACGCCGATCGGCGTCAACATCGCGAAAGTCTAGGTAAACGCCAAGAGTCAACCTGTTTTCGCTGCTAAGCACTAGACCCCGGATTCCCCAGCTGACCGAGAAACTATACACTAATAGGTAGATTAATATCTGGGGTCCCCGCGTTGTTGCTCTGCCGGTCCGGGGAAGGCTTGCGCTATTGCTCTCATACTCATAGCCTAGAACTCAGAGTATATAATTCCCACAATGCAGCCCTATCTTGCATGTCTATCCTGGAGGCTTTTTGTCGTTCTGCCTTGCTTGCATATTCACAGTGCCGACATATACTCTCATGCGGCAAAGTTAATCATATTCCACAGAGTGTATCTACTCAACAGCCTCGACAATGTCCTCTGATACTATGCCCGTGGGTGGTGAAGCCCCATCCGCGAAGGAGACTACAACTGGCCTAGAGCATAAGGAGTCGATTCCCGATCTCAGCATGGAGAAAGGCGAAGTTGTTCATGACGAACATGTCAACACGCCAGAGTGGCGAGCGCTCGAGAAGAAGCTGGTCCGCAAGCTTGACATGACTTTGCTGCCGGTAGTGTGGATCTTATACTTGTTCAACTACTTGGACAGGAACAACATCGCGTATGTACTCTACTTGAAGCAAACAACTATCTCATATCATTGGGTGCTAACAAAAATTATATTAGCCAAGCCAAGCTAAACACCTTTGAGAGAGACCTTAAGCTACACGATGACAATTTCAATACTGCTGTGTCTATCCTCAACGTCGGGTTAGTCTTTTTTCGACGCAATGATACTTCGGCTTCCCTGGCTAACAGATCGACAGATATATGCTTGCTCAACTACCATCCAACATGCTCATTACCCGCATTCGACCCAGTCTCTACCTGCCTGCCTGCGTCGCCGTATGGTCAGTCGTGTCTGCCGCCACAGCAGGTGCACAGAACTATGGAAATTTAATTGTGATTCGATTCTTCCTTGGCATTGTGGAAGCCCCTTTCTTCCCTGGAGTAAGTCTCAACCCGACATCTTGATAGAGCAGTAGCAATACATGAGCTGACACATTTTCTCTCCATAGGCATTCTACCTCCTGTCCTGTTGGTACACGCGAAAAGAGTTGGCCTTACGTACCGCCGTCTTATACTCCGGACTGGTCCTTGCAACCGCATTTTCAGGCTTGATCGCAGCTGGTGTGTTCTCAGGCCTCGATGGGGCCCGAGGTATACCAGGCTGGCGGTGGCTCTTCATCATCGACGGTGCAGGCAGCTTCTTTGCTGCAATGGTCTCCTTTTTCCTGCTGCCAGATTATATCGAATCCAAAACTGGAAGTGGCAAGTGGCTCTTTACAGAGGAGGAGCGAGAATTGGCCGCGAAGAGAATGGCTCTGGATCGCGTATCATTGCCAGAGGCTGATCACTCTGTCTGGTATGGCGTACGGCTGGCTCTGAAAGACACTCGAACTTGGATATTCGTAAGTTATATCATCTCCCAATTACTTCTGGATATTGTAACTCACATGATCTCTCCCAGGTACTCCTTCTTTGCTCGAACCACACTGCCTACGGATTCAACTACTTCTTTCCCACCATTGTAAACGGCTTCCATATCGGCTCGCAGACAATCACTCTCACCCTCACAGCGCCTCCGTATCTCTTTGGTGCAGCTGTCTCTTTTCTTGTTGCCTACTCCAGCGATCGCCATAACGAGAGAGGCTATCATATATGCGTTCCTATGGCCGTTGCATCCGTAGGCTTCATCATCTCGGCTGCCACTCTCAACATAGGTGCCCGCTACTTTGCGTCTTTCCTCTACTGTTCAGGCGCTTTCGCAGCGAATGCCATGGTCTACTCGTGGGCTGCAAGCACGCTGAACCAGACGCCGGAAAAGCGCGCGGCTGGAACAGCAATCGTCAACTTACTTGCCCAGCTCGGTAACATTTGGAGCCCATATTTCTTCCGTCCCGGCGATTCGCCACGGTATGCGCTTGCCATGATACTCATGATGGTTTTTTCTTTTATTAGTATCGGGTGCTCTTTGTTGCTCAAGTTTGTACTCCGAAGAGAGAACAAGAAGATATTGGCAGAAGCAGAGGGGACTGGGCAGGCTGTCACACTGTTTACTTTGTAGCTGGGACCTATGCGTCCGACATTTAGTCACGAGATTGATGAATTATATATTTGCGTTGCCGAATATGGCACTTTTTTCACGTTACTCTGTAACCCTCTAGATCCATGTACCTACAGCTTACATATGGCACGCATGAATGAATGAGCTCTCGTAGATAAAAAATCAAGTTCCAATTTGTATGATACGCATGATCCTAAATACCATTACTCGTGAGACAGAAGCGAGTGTAGAGAATGACTAGTTGACAAATGATTGTTTACAAACTCGAGCACACACTCTTTTCCGCTGCCTCCACACAAAACGGATTGGCAGTAAAAACACCATTGGGATCAGCCTTTTTCCGGATCTGTCGCAGTTTCTCGTACGTTTGAGAGTCATAATAGTGCGGCCAGACCTTCTTCATATCCCAGTCACCATACGAGCCCCAAAGAACGCGGCGATCGTCCTTGCTAAAGTAAGTGACCGACCCAGCATCGTTCTCATCCTGCCACTTCTTGGCCCCCTCATAGTTGTCTTGGTGAAAGACATCCCAGGTTCCGCTAATGGTAGCATCTCTCCAGCCATAGGCAGTGCCATTGTTTGCGTTATTCGCAAACATGGAAGCTTTGCCGCCATAGACCTGCAACTGGGATGAAACCCACAGGCCGTTCTTTTTGTTGGAGATGATTTCGTCGATACGCCCAGAGAACCATTTGGACCATCCAGTCTTGGAGAGCGTGGTCGAGTTGGTCGTATTGGTACGCTTGATGTAAGGGTAGGGGAACTCGCGTCGGCTTCTAAAGAGCCACATGGACGTGATATAGGACATCGAAGCAGTGTCGTCAGTCTCCTTTGCAAACTTGAAAAGATCGTGTTTGACACCCTTGATGCGGTTGAAAAGCTCTGGCGAAAATTTGTCGATTCCCAGATTGACCCATTGGGCGTACACAACAATGACTGCGTACTTGAATTTGAAGACATTTGCAAAGTTTGTCTTGCCGTCGTGAATGTTGTCTGGCAGTGCCTCTTTGAGATCGTCTTCCGTGCCTGGGAAAAGGTCTAGAAGGTTTGTCTCTCTGCTGACGACGTTGACAGTGAAGTCGTAGCTGCGCGGGAAATTTGGGTCTTCTCCTTTCTCCACCAATATGTCGAGAAGCTCCTTCAAAGTGTCTGGATGGTAGTGGAACGCCATCCACAGGCCTTTGGAGCCTTTATACTTGTTATCGTCCTGGACTTCCACGGTGAAGTGAGTCAAGACCCCTATGTTGCCAGGGCTACCACCGAGAAGACCAAAGAACAGGTCGGGCTGCGTCTCTTTGGTGACAGTGACCAGCTCGCCAGCGTGGTCCACAATATGCAGCTCACGGATGTAGTCTCCGAGAAGCCCAAAAGAGCGAGCTAGCATCCCAAAGCCGCCTGTCTGGACATGGCCACCAAGATGAACCGTGGCACATTGGCCCGTGGGCATGAAGACGTGGTTGGCCAAGAGAAAATCGTAGACTTCGGACAGGGACCAGCTAACACTTGCTTTGATGTAGACCTTGTCTTTGGCGGTATCACGGATCAAAACAAGGTCCTTGTTCTTGTCTCGAAACGTAAGTTCCAAGTCCAGCTGAATGCCATTAGGGCCAGTTGAGGAAGCACCACTATATTGGTGGCCGCCAGTCCTGATGGCAATCGGCTTGCCAAATTTGTTGGCGTATCTAACAACGCCCTGGATGTCCTCTATGCTTGTGGGCTGTAGGATCTCTCCGGGGTTCATGTTACGCTCTTGCCCATATGTGGACGTGGCGTAGATGTCGTTTGCCTGGTCATAGGCTGCTGTGCCTGGCTTGAGCTGGCTGCCCTGGAAATTTGGGTCGGAGTTCATATTGTACGATTAATAGAGTACTTTTGTTCTTTTTTCCTTTGGAATGTAACTGAGATGAAGAAGAGAGAGATGCTGTTTGTACTAGAGGTAGGTCGCCAACGGCCTCTTATATGTACTTGTTCACACCCCCTTATATGTGCATGTGCGCCACCTATGTAGTCATACACAGCTCAGCCGCATAGTGCAATCCTCCATAAGCAATCCTTCACGAGCAAACAACCTCGCATATCCCGAGACTGTGCACATCCATAAGCCGCGGAAGACACCGAGGACAGCAATCGCCGTTCTCCGGCTTTCTTAAGCTAGCCCAAACGTCATTTCTTTCTGTTGGTATTCACAAAAAGGGTCTCAATGGACAGCCGTCGTGTTAGTTTGACCATAGACTTTGCGATGGAATGCTGGCATCTTGGTCACCGCAGCCTTACCAAGGTGGGGACGTGGCTTGTGATTCGGGGAACACGATGCAAGGGGGGCTGCCACTTGAAATTGATAGGACGTGTAGGTGAGCGCGACGCGTTAAATGCATCTAGACTATTGGTCAACAGATTCGATAGTCACTGCAGGGAGATATTCAATAGTCTTTGGGCGGCCTGCGAGGCACACTTTTGAAATGGATGGATATCCAGCCATAGGAGAAACAATATTGCGTGGTAGATTAGTCCATGAAGTAGGACACCGTGAAAGCTACGGGCAGGTTGGCCTATTTTTAGGATCGCATAGCTTAAAGGGGGCGGAAATTTGAAACATATTTACATCTGGGAGGCTTCAGTTCATTGCTTTTTAAATTGTGTCATCCAGCGCGCAACGAGCTTCCAGCCTTACCCCTACCAAGCTGAGGCTAATCAGTATGAATCACATGCATGCATCCTTATGTATCTAAGTATACAAAGCTGAAAATTGTCCTTCTGACTGCCGTCATCCAGCCACTAAGGATTATACCGCAGAGAGTGTCTCTGCTAGCTACATACCTTGTACATGTAACGATGACACTCGGTTTCAAGCGCTTAACTTTTTTTCCCTTGTACACTTTCGTTGGTTATTTACAACGCAAAAATTATTATCACTAGAATATATGCTATTTACGAATCGATTGCTATCAATGATAGCAAAATAGATGATACCTAAAAAGCAAGGTTTGTCGCGTTGTATCTGGTGCCGACCGTCAGCTCTATGACAGTCATTCCTCCATGCTATTTCATCTTGATCAGGCTGGCGGTTAGTTTCTTCTTCTGGAAGCAAACTCGTTATGCATCGCAGTCGGCTGTTACAGCTCTAACGGGCTATGGGCTCAAAGCGATCATTTTTCAACGGCCAATGTCTATGTCTTGCCATTAGATGCTAGAACCAATGTTACATGTCGGCCTGTCACATGTGAAATGCCATTCTAGATAAGTTCTTCTATACGTCTTGAATCGCACACCATATGACACGGCACTATATGAAAAAAGATCCCAACTATTTGGGTTTTGCTTTAGCCGTATTGAAACGCATATGGGCGGTGGCAGCTTGAAACCATGCAACGGTCTACTTACCAACATCTTTGGTCAACGTTCACGAAGATGGCTATCCACGGTAAAGACAGTTTAAGTCTTGACTAAAGAGTCCAACTCTTCCTTTCCTACCAAAGTCAATTTATATCCACCAACCATACTATTGAATATATTGATTCATGTCAAAAAGGATTCCTTCAAATATCTCACTTTGGGTCGATGAGGCGCATAATTTGATAATGCCAACCAAAAGCAGCAGCGATACACTACGCATCTTCCATATTGCGTGCACCTGCGCGATCTCTCAGCGCCCTTTTTAGCAATCCATTGTCTTCATCCCTTTGTAAGCTGTCTTCAACCTCCAATGTAGCGATTGGGCCAAATTTATATCGTCTCATGTTCGGGGAGAAACTATCATTTAGCGCGGGCACTCCCTCTCTTTCGTTTACCCTTCGCTAAAATTTCCTTTTTTCTATGTGGAAAAGAGTCTTCTTAATAGAAAATTCATTGTCAAGTCTTTCCAGTGGCGTTCTTGGGCAAAACTCAGAGGTGCATATTGAGTTCATCAGTCACCTAGGTAACGTAGGACGAAAGGTTTGATTGTGATAACGATCATTCGGTGAAATTATCTATAGCATGAACCCAAAACATTTGTGGCCGTTTGGAAAAATATATATAAATATCTCATGCCACAGGCATTCTATTTTACTCGCACCATCTTCACCTTTGCTTTCTACACACATAGCAAACGCAACGCGGCAAAGACGCAATACAGCACAGCTACCATCTTCAAAATAGCCTCTTTGATGATCAACAACGACGCTACTTTCCAAACGGGGTTGTCAGACTCTACTCAGCTCGAACATCTCAAGCACGACATCATGGCTATGTTTTGCCACGTCTACTACAATGCAGCATACTTTCGCCTGGTGGTCTGCGCCATAATGTGGGCGGGTGTTCAACAAAAAATTCTTTTGCAATTGACACCCTTTACCCGCGAGTGCACAAGGGTCAAGTATCGCCACGATGTGTTCAACCTAACAAACTTTCATTCCTTCATATAATTACTACTATACTTGAGTACGTATTTCTCTTTTGTCAAAAGGAATATACTATTTGGGTCACAGTCTATGAAAGCAATCGTCGTCTTGATTCCGCTTCTCGTTTCTCATGACTTCTACTTCGACTGGCCTATTATGTCAAGAGTTTTGCTCATGTTTTGGGCACAAACATGGCTTCAAGACACACATTTATGGCTCATAGGTATGGTATCTTGCTTCTAGTATCTCATTTTCAAGGCTAGCATATATTCTCTCTATCAGTCTTTATTGTCTACTTCTCTATTATTTTCCGTTTCGTCATGTACGCGATAAGCATCTTCTAGGCCTTATATCGGAGGTTTATCATCTCAACTTTCCCAAATGAACCATGTCCTAGTTTCTACACAATGTATGCCTCCATTTCCGAAAGTCGGCCATATCCTGGTATCTTCGTGGAGGCCAACTCGGAATTAGCGCGGTGGTTCAAGTTGTCTGTATCTTTGGTCTGGAAAGGATTATTTTGGAGTTAGACCGCCGCTTCTTCTACCGCTGTTACTGATGATACTTCTTCCGCCGCCACACCTATCATGGCTTATGCGATGGTCGTCTGAGAGGAAGCAGATCCAGTGCGTGATCTCTACGATATCGAACGTAGGGACGCGCAATGGGGTATCAAAAGGCTTGTCTTTTCTGTGATACGGGATCTATAGCTACTTATATAGATGTGGTGGTCTGTCCTTCCTTCCCTGGCGACGTCAGGGCAAGTGTCCCCCAACAACACCCCCCTTTTGCCTGGACAGATCATGCTCATAGAATTGAACCGTACCTTTTATTCTCACTACCAATAGTCACTAGCTATACTTTTATAGTTGCACTGATGATGAGCGCTGAGAATGAGCCTAGAACGATCATCCAAAAATAAATTGTCATTGCGCAATTGCAAGTTAAAGTTAACAGTGGTAATCGTCTTTCGCAGACATTTGGACACGAACTACTTCACGCAATATTTAACCCACAACCCGCTACTTTATAGTATATAAATGACGTTGGTCTATCATAGACATTGGATGCAAATTGCACCATCATGGTGGCGATCTTGCCCCTTGATCACATGTAAATGGGCAAAAAGAGCAAAAAGAAAACATACAACAGCCGGTGTTCGCTGATGGTCACCCACTCAACTACTAATCTGCCGGTTAATGGCTTATCTATGGGGGAGCAGACGGGACCCCGAGTTCTCCATTACCTATGGTCGTATGTGCTTGTTGTGGTGTTGAGTCAAGTTATAAAAACAAGACGCCACAAGGCCAAAGAGCAAAAAACATACAACAGCCGGTGTTCGCTGATGGTCACCCACTCAACTACTAATCTGCCGGTTAATGGCTTATCTATGGGGGAGCAGACGGGACCCCGAGTTCTCCACTACCTATGGTCGTATGTACTGGAAGTCGTGTTGAGTCTGGTTATGAAAGAAGAGAGTTGGAAATGTTGAGGCGAGAAAAAATGTCAACAAAACAATGGCGAAAAAAAATTATTATCGCAGCTTCCCCATTGGTAGCGACCCCCCACTCCACTATCGGACCCTGGTTCAGGGCCCAGTCCTCATTAGGACTAAACCCAGGGGTCCTCCAACCGCCCCAGAAGAAGTTTTGCATCCATAGGTCAATACACGTAGCGGCCCCCTTTAGCCTCCTTAGATCCCTCCTTGAGACCCTTTTCTGGCCTGGACAATAGTTCTCCAAAACGCCCCAAGACGCCTCAAAATGCTTAGACCGCCGACACGTGCAGGTTAGCCGGGCTCTAGGCGTTGATCTTGGCGACTTGAGGCTCAGGACTGACCAACCGAAGGCCCCTGCTCTGGAGCGGTAAAGGAAACGAGGCCAGCTCGCTTCGTGGGAAGATCTCATTTCATCTTACGGTACGGAGTATAATTAGCTCAAGTTGCCAAACCGACTGGACTCCCGAGCGGTCTGCAACACGAGGTCGAGGCTTGTGCTTAGCATGGAGTACAATGGGGCGCCCGCTTACTCGCCGTCGTGGAGCAGGTCACGCCTGTTATCGCCGTTGGCGTCGATAAGGAGAGGAGACCGCACAAAAATTGGATCAGATGCTAAAAGGAGAGTGGAAAATTTGATACCCGTGCCCGACTATGGATCTTCTCCTTGGTCCCTTTTTTTCTGCCTTAAGCTGGGGCACTAGGTGAGGTGGCCTTAAAAAGAAATCTTTCACTCCTCAAAAGCAGACATCAGGCATCTCAGTTTTCTTCCATTGAGTTGCTGGCTAGATCCGTTCAAGATGGCTACCACCACCACAGTCACCAAGAGAGGCGCCGCCGTGGCCTCAATGTCAGTGCTCTTACAGAGGCCCAGTTTTAGAAGAGGAACAAGCTGACTCCAGATTTAGCACGCTGCCTGAGAATGACAGCCGCTTCCCGGATATCAACACCATTCGGGCTGCCATTCCCAAGCACTGCTTTGAGCCCAAGGTGTCCATCTCCATGGCCTATCTGTTTCGAGATGTGGCCATGATTGGTGCTCTTGGCTGGGCCGCCATTACTTACATCCCGGCCATTGAGAATTCCACCCTCAGGATCGCCGCCTGGATTGTCTACGGCTTCGTTCAGGGCCTGATTGGCACTGGTCTTTGGATCCTGGGCCACGAGGCCGGTCACGGTGCCTTCTCCAAGCACTCTTTACTCAACCACGTTGTTGGCTTCTTGTCTCACACCGCTCTCCTGGTCCCGTACTACTCTTGGAAGTTCTCTCACCACCGCCACCACATGTACACCGGCCACATGGAGAAGGATATGGCTTTCGTTCCCAGGACCAAGGCCGACTATGCTCAGCGCATTCTGTCTGCCTTTGAGATGTTTGAGGACACTCCCGTCTACCAGCTGATTGCTCTGCTCTCTCACCAGCTCCTCGGATGGCAGATGTACCTGACCTTCAACATCTCTGCTGGCTCAAAGAGTCTTCAGAGGCCTGCATCCAACCTTTTGGGCAAGAGCCACTTCGGCCCCAGCAGCGCCGTGTTCCGTCGCAGCGAAGCTCCTTTCATCCTCCTGACTGATGTTGGCCTCTGCGTGATGCTCTTCGCTTTGTACAAGCTCGCTGGCGTGGTTGGAACCAGCACAGTGCTGCTGGCCTATGCTCAGCCTTACTTCTGGGTTCACAACTGGCTGGGTAAGTCTCAATACAAATAACATTATTAATTTGCCATCGAGCGGTATAGCTAATGATATTCCAGTCGCCATCACTTACCTGCACCACACTCACATGGAGGTGCCGCACTATGAGGCCGACAACTGGACCTTCGTCAAGGGCGCCCTCGCAACTGTGGACAGAGAATTTGGCTTCATTGGCCGCCAGCTGTTCCACTGCATCATTGAGCACCACGTTGTTCACCACCTTTTCCCGTATGTTTATCATTTACACCTGATTTGCTATCTGTCGGCGACTAACATGGCTCTTCTTTAGTCGCATTCCTTTTTACTATGCTGGAGAGGCAACTGAGGCAATTAAGCCTGTCCTCGGCGATTTGTACTACCGCGATGACAGATCCTTCATTGGACAGCTCTGGACCAACTTCACAAAGTGCAAGTACGTTGAGAAGGACGAGTCAACTCCTGGAGCTCTCAAGTGGGCACAGTAAGTCGCATGAAGCAATTTTTTATTGGCTCATAGGAAATATTGGTAGATGTTATAGAAGATTTGGCGGTAAAACTCGGATAGACTATAGAAGCTGGGGTACGGGGTCGGATTCGCGTTCTTATTCGCTGATAGACAATGGCTTGGACTCGAGAAGAGTTTAAAAAAAATAGATGGATACGGTTATCATTTACCGTGATAGATTTTGAATAATGCAGAGCAATCCCAGTGATTTGTAGCGGTAATGTGATGCTGCATGCACCAGCAGTGAAACATGAGATGGCGATGTTTAGGCGCGCCGAGAATTGCCACATGGAGTGCATGTATCTAAGAAGAGTCGGAGTACGTATCTGAAGTCATCCCAGCATGGAAACAAAACATCAGCTTTGAATAGAACCTTTATACACCATTGCCTGCGTTAATACTGACCTGTCACTAAAACGGACCCATGAATTCCTTCAATCTACAGCTAATCTAGAAACCAAGATTTACACGTATCTCTGTTGAAGGCCCCACCAACATCACCCAGATTCGCCAACTAATCATAGATCGCAGCCGTATCAGTCAACTCACTCGCACGGGCCATACCACACCGAAGTGGAATCGAGTGGTCTGTATGTCTCAGTTCAGGTAACCAGTTTTGGTGAAGACGGACCGACCCACTCCTCCTACACGGCATGTCGCTAATGTATGTATGTTGTCTTCAAGTGGCAGATAACGATCGCCTATATATGCAGGAAATAGAACTAAACCAGCGTTAAAAAAACTACTTTGAGAGGCGCAGTTGCGGTCGCCGCGAGTACTCGCTGGGCGTGGGATATCTTGCACAAGTAAAGCACCAGGCATTAGGCCGACCCGACCAACCCAATGTTTACGGTTTAAGGGCACGATTATATACAGAACTGGCGTGGAATATACTTTACAGTAAAATGATGTCACTGAAAGAGATGCAGAGGGAAATACTCGATAATAATAATAAAAATATTCTGCGCAATTCTAGCTGCTGTTCTCAAATGGGTACGCTTCGCAGTTTGAAGGTATGGCACTGTACTACATTATCAACCGCGCTTCATGTTGAAGGAAAAGAAAAAACTGAGTTACGGATTTTGAAATGGGAATAAGATACTATCGAGATGCTGGACCTTTTTCGGGAGATATGGGTATTCATGTGCTCTGTGCCTTACTATCATCTATCCATGTAGTCGCTTTCTGGGGGCTATACGCAAGTCGTGAATCTGCCACAGGCAAAGCACCATGCATTTAATTACATTGGCTCTTTTTAAATGCTTTTATCACTTCTAAGAAGGCTTGCCTGCTGTGCGTATGTGCAGATATTTTTTCTTCGCACTATTGAGCGCTTGAGCTCAAGAATTCAGCAATAGCATGCTCTTACAGGGTAACGCAATGCTTTCCCACATATTTTCTTCAATCGTCGGGCAACAGAGGTAAAAAGCGTGGGCGCAGTAGGTTGTTCAAAGTTTTATAGCCCGCTTAATAAAACACCCTCACATCAGTATTCTCTACCTGGTGTGGCCAGCCTTTAAATCTCCCGTTTGCTACGGGCTACGGTTGACATTGTGAGTACCAATCATTCAGGTATGTGCAAGTTCCTTGTGCGCAGCACGTCGCACCAAGATATCCATTGCCTCCACATTGGCCCCATAGGATGGAACAGCTGCCAGAAGCGGTCGGGCCTGTAAGAGTCGTCGTAGATGGAGGAGGGGATTTGCCGGAAATCGCCGCGACATGATCTTGAACCACGCAATGCCAATCCGACGAGCCGTAGTTGATGGAATATGAATCGCCATAGCCAGACACAAAGGTCTCGCCCCATTGCCAGAAAAGATCGCCGCCCATACCAAGGCTCGCCATGGAGGCATTTTGCCAAGGAACCATGTTTGTGCAGCGATCAGTCACGGCGCCATCTATTGCCATGTATTAATTCAGCCCACAAAAATGCGTAGCAAGATTAACTTACATTCTTCCATAATGCATATCTTGCCCGCTTCCACGCAAGCTTGGGCATGAGTTTGCACCCAGCTGCTTCCCCAAGGGTAGGTTTCGCCCCCTAAGTGAGCGTCAGTATTGACGGACCTTTTTTTCACCAAAGGGGAAAAAACAAAAAAACAACTTACAGCCATCTGGATAAAGGTGAAAGGTGCCAAAATCAAGCGACTCAATTTGTATGTTTGCGGCAAAGTCCGTGCCTGAAGCATAGGAATATGGGTAAGAGCCATCTCCCGTGCTGAGACCGAGTCCTTCATCTCCTAGCGTTACGAGATGGTTTGGATCGAGCGACTTGATGTATTGAGATACACCTGTAGCCCACTCGGCTATTACGCCGGTATCACACCCGGCACAGCGAGGCTCATTAGCCAGCTCCCACGCAAAGATGGCTGTCGAGTTGATATAGCGACTGACGACAGCGTGGATATATGTGCGATACTGAGATTGAGCTGCTGCGTTGGTGAACCAAGAGGTTGCGTTGCCGCCAAACGCATTTACATAGGCGTTGATGCCGCCAAAGTCGTCCCAGTTATTGACAAGCGGAATGATAAGCTTAAGACCATGCTGCTCGGCTGAAGCAACTACGTAATCAAGGTTCTGTAGGCCATCGGCCCCTGTGTTGATTATAGACCCTGTGGCATTTAATAGCTGGAACCAAATCTCCCCAGTTGGAGGCAACGTATTCCAGTCACTAAACCCCAAAACGCGCACGACCTTGAGCCCCGAGGAGGCAATATCACTCAAGGTTGTGTCGACCTCTGCGGTGTTGTATGTAAACGGACACCAGTAGCAATTAGTACCCGCAAAGTAACCCACCTCGCCGTCAATGTCAAAATGAGATCCTGAGATGGTCACGAAGCTAGAGGCGCGCGGAGCCGGTTGTACTACTGCGGCCAGCGTGGAAGCTGCCGAGAGAGCAGCGAGGACATAACTCTTAATGGCCATCACCATATTGCCAAAAGGAAGTACCATAAGATCTAGTAAGCAGTTGAGACGGATAATTTGTCGGGGAATCTACTCTATATATTCGACGTAAACATTTGGGATAGTCAGCCAAAGACACTCGGCCCAAAGGGATGCCCCTACAGATGCTGCAGATGCAACAAGAGGATGCTAATTTGCCTATCCCATCATCGTGATTTGCTCCTCTTCCATATTAACCATAGTACTGGAACGGGCTAATGCAATGTTATATTACAAACCATCCGCCCTACCTTATATTTGAATGGAAATGAGGGTTTGTTCATGATGGATCGCGGGCCGTTGCCGAGGGGAAAGCACTCTTTCAAGCACGGAAGCATTGCTTTGAATCCCTTGTCATCCATCAGAACTGAGTTGACGCGGAAATAGCCATCTTTGTATCTCGATGATGTAGCATAAAAAGATGTGGCCTGCTTTGGAGTTTTGGATCGTGCCACAAGGCCATTCAGCCGCCTTGCTAGCCGCATAGCCTAAATTGGTCTTAATTTTTAAGCTTGAAGCCATTTTGCCTATAAGACTTGGAAGTATATTTGATGCGGGTCGCATTATTAGACTTCACTCGCCAATCAAAAGAACTCAGGAAAGAATAAGCAGAATCTGCTATGCAGTGCTTTCTCATTCAAAATAATGCATTCGCAATAGTAATGCTAGGCGTACTAACTCTTGCGCATAGCTAACACTACAGAGATTGAGGTGTTCTCAGTGACAGGTTTGCAACCAAATCAAATCCTCGGGTTGCGACAAGGCTACCGTGTATATCACCTGCCCTCAGGAAAAATACATACAACAGACTGTTGGTGTCAAAATCTTGCAAAGCCCGTTTATTCTAATGCTAATATGCCAGTAGTGATAGAACACAATGTAGAACAAATTGCAGAAGCATTTGACATGGTCATTCTTGCTGCCACCCCGTAATAATCCAGCCAAAGCTCAGAAAAAGGTTTTTCGTGAAGCCGAGGTAGCATTTCAGGGATTCTCAGTACCATTAGCCAAGGAAGCATGTTCCTTTTAGTGCAAGATGATTGATACTAGGCGCTCTCACTGTTGTGTATATTGAGGATTATGAAGCTGTAATCTTCTAATCTAGACTCACATTAACTGCTGTTCTCCATCATATCAAGCCACACATAAGTTTATGAGGCAAGCTGATGCAACATCAGCCCATACAACCATAGGCAATGGGAAATTGTCGAGTTCTACAATATGGTGCAACATTCTCTATTTCCGACCCCCTTGGCTTCCAAAATTGGAATTACACAATAAACAGGGCAGCGGGACGAGCCAATGCATAACGTACACTTGCATGCGCCCAATACCCAAGAGCGGGGTCGGCGCCTGATGCAGTGTAAGGCAGTAATGCTACGGCTTGCTAGATTTTGAAATAGGTCGCATCAAGTCTATCAAACCGAAATGCGAGCCAGCCTTCACTGCCCAGAAACGGTTCTGCGTACGAATACCGGACAGCTCTCAGTCTGTTGAGCGAGTACCTGCCGCGAGAGCCCATCTCATCCGCCCAACTGCCGGTCCCTGCAAATGCCTCGCCGCGAAGATTTCGAGATCGCGATAGTCTGCAGCTTGCCGCTTGAATACGATGCCGTGTCCCTTGTTTCCGACGAAGTTTGGAAAGAGGATAGAGAAAACAACGACTGCAAGACAGGCCGTATTGGCGAGCATAATGTTGTCCTGGCTCTACTTCCTGGCATGGGTAAAGCGAGTGCCGCAAGCACAGCAGCCAACATCCGTTCGAGCTATCGCCATGTACGGCTTTGCTTTCTTGTCGGGGTCTGTGGCGGTGTGCCCCAGACTGGCAGCAAGGAAATTCTGTTGGGTGACGTGGTGGTCAGCAAGGCCATTGTCTCATACGATTTTGGCAGGCAATATCCCGACGGGTTTACGCTTAAGGATGGCATTGAAAGCAATACGGCGGGGCCAGACAGAGATATCCGCAAACAGCTAGCCATATTTGAGACAAGTGATGGCCGTTTCCGACTTCAAGAAGAGGTTGCCAGTTTCCTCGAAAAGCTTCAGGCCAAGGCGACACAGCAGAGGTGTGGAGCAAAATATAGTTATCCTGGAACGGACGAAGACAGGCTTTTCAAGCCAGAGTATCGCCATAAACACCGTATATCTCCTACATGTATCTGCAGCAAATGCGAGAAGGGATCTGACCCCGTATGCGAAGATGCTGTCAAGTCCTCGTGCCATGATCTAGGATGTGCGGACCAATACCTCGTCCCAAGAAGGCAGCTTAATAGGAAGCTAGAAGGCGAGATCAAGAAGGCTCAAGATCCAATCATCCATATTGGAATCGTTGGATCGGGAGACAGAGTTATCAAATCTGGGGAACATCGTGATAGCATTGCCAAGCCAAAAAGCATCATCGCCTTTGAGATGGAAGGTGCCGGGATCATGGAAGAGATTCCTTGCGTGGTAGTCAAAGGAGTGTGCGATTATGCAGACTGCCACAAGAGCAAGAAATGGCAAGATTTTGCAGCGGCTACTGCGGCGTCTGCGCTACAGGCCATCTTGGGATACATGCCACCAGCCAAGAGCCGAAAATACTCTGTCGAGCAAGTCCTGCGAGAGGGCCATTTCCTTGTCCCGTTTGGGCGAAACGAGAGTTTCGTCGGGCGAGAAGATATCCTGCAGCGGCTTATCACGAGAATCACCCCAGGTGCTAATACGGATGACTGTCAGAGGACGGCTGTCGAAGGCCTCGGAGGCATCGGCAAGACCCAGATCGCACTTGAGATCGCGTTTCGCCTTCACGACGCCCACCCTAGCTGTTCCATCTTCTGGGTCCCGGCCGTGGAAGCCGCTGGATTCGAGAAAGCCTACCACGAGATTGGCCAGAGCCTAGGGGTAGTAGGAATCGACGAGGACTCGGCCGACGTGAAGACTCTCGTAAATGCCGCGTTGAGCCGCAAGGATGCAGGAGCATGGCTGCTGATTGTTGACAACGCTGACGACACAGATCTCCTCTGTGGTCCGGCAGGGCTACTAAACTCTCTTCCATTTAGCAGAATGGGCTCGATTCTTTTTACGACGCGGAACCATCAGGCTGCGGTCGAGCTAGATATTCCAGAGACTGGCATTGTCAGTATGCCGGAAATGAGCCAAACGGAAGCAACCGAGCTGCTACAGAGGAGCCTGAAAGAGAGTCAAACACAGGATACCGCAAGCTTGACGAGCCTCCTCGATTTCCTCGCTTACCTGCCTCTTGCGATTAAGCAGGCGTCGGCCTATATGGCTAAGACAGGAATGGCGATACCTAGGTATCTTCAGCACTGCCGGTCTAGCGACAAGAATTTGATCAAACTGTTGAGCAAAGACTTTGAGGACCGTGGCCGCTACAGGGGCATCAAAAATGCAGTGGCCACGACTTGGTTGATTTCCTTTGAGCAAATCTCGCGGGATTACCCACTTGCCATACAGTACCTGCGATCTATGTGTTTCCTTGCCGAGAAGGAAATCCCTGCATCTCTGGTGTGGACAGCCGATGATGGACTGGAGGCGGACGAGGCGATGGGGGCGCTGAAGGCGTATGCGTTCATCGCCGAGCGAGCAGGCCAAGGGCTGTATGACATGCACAGACTCGTTCGATTAGCAATACACAGTTGGTTAGAAAATGGTGGAGAGTTTGAAACATGTGTTACGGCTACGCTACGTCAACTCGACAAAGTGTTTCCCTCTCCTGAATATGAAAATCGGGCTGACTGGGTACAATATTTGCCGCATGCGTTAACTGCGTTAAATTTCAGAGAGTATTCAACTGACAGCATGGCTGAATCGAATCTTCTCTTTAAAGTGGCTCAGAGTAGTTATCTCCTCGGCAAATATCAGGAGGCAGAGAGTTTCTACGATCAGGTACTGGAACTACGGACTAAGGTGTTAGGCGCCGAGCATCCTGACACGCTGCTGAGCAAAAACAACTTCGCAAACACGCTTTATAGCCAGAGAAAATATGACAAGGTCGAGGTGATACATCGGCAAATACTGGAACTACGGACTAAGGTGTTAGGCGCCGAGCATCCCGACACGCTTAGAAGCATGACCAACATCGCAAGTATGCTTCATAGCCAGAGGGAGTATGACGAGGCCGAGGCAATTTTTCGGCAGGTACTAGAACTACAGATTAAGGTACTAGGCGCTGAGCATCCTGACACGCTTAGAAGCTTAGCCAATCTTGGAATTGTGCTTCATAGCCAGGGGAAAATTGACGAGGCCAAGGCAATTTACCAGCAGGCACTGGGAATACAGACTAATGTGCTGGGTTCTGAGCATCCTGACACTCTTCAGAGCATGAGCGAGCTTGCAATTGTGCTTCATAGCCAGGGGAAGAGTGACGAGGCCAAGGCAATTTACCAGCAGGTACTGGGAATACAGACTAAGGTGCTGGGTTCTGAGCATTCTGATACACTATGGAGCAGGCGCAGCCTCGCAATTGTGCTTTATAAATTAGGAAAAAAGGACGAGGCTAAGGCAATTTACCAGCAGGTACTGGAAATACAGGCTAAGATGCTGGGTTCTGAGCATCCTGAGACACTCTCAACTGAGAGTTACTTTTTAAAGTACCATTCTTAGCCAGGGGAATTACGACATGAACAACCTCGTAAGTGTGCTTTTTAGTCTAACGAAACCGAAATGTGTTTGCTAACGCTACCAACTAAGGGAAGCTTTGCCTTTTTAAGGCTTCATGTTGAGACACCGTATTACTCAAACTAAATGCAGTATCCGAAGATGGCTTTTTTTTTTACGCAACTTGGCATAGTGATAAGTTAATAAAATTTGGCATAGTGATAAATTATTAAAACTCGGCATGGTGATAAATTAATAAAACTCGGCATAGTGATAATATGGATATAGGTAGTCGATGTTGGTTCTCATCGGCTTTTCTGTCTCTCTCGCTCTTGTTTTTAATTGCTTTGCGTTCTTGAGAGTTGAAGGGGCCGCAGTAAGTCTATATCTCTTTCTTTTACAGTATTGGTAGAAGTATTTGAACCTGCTGGAACATTCTAGGTCGAGTCGTAAGCGCCAAAGCAGCACCATACATATATGTAAGTGTTCGGGTCCAAAAGCGCCAGGGGTCTGTATGTTAAAGGCAAAAAGGGATCCCCCAGAAGACTACTGGGGTACATACATTGACACTGTACACACACGGGCCACGACTTGGCCAGCAATCTCCCTTCTTTGCCAGCGACCGCTCAGAGTTGTTTGGTGATTCGCGAATAATCCACGTACTGAAAAGTGTGAATATATGTATACTACTTGGTAATTGAAACCGCAGCACTGGTTCAAGGGTGTATCTCGAGTGCTGAGACTCCTGTAGTTTAAACAAGTTTGCTATGTTGCGAGTTCTCGTCATATCTACCTCATACACAGCTACCCAATTGTACCAGAGGAAACATTTTTTAAGTATTTATAAAGTTCTAAAATTCCCCAAAGGCTTTTCCATTGCGTTATACTTTGTGTGTAACTTTCAATTCACTTGTTATCTCGCTGTTTAAGCCTGCGTCTCAGCCTGAGATAGGCAACAGCTGAGCTAGTAAGATAAAATGTTTAAGTGCCATGTAAAAGTAATCCGAGATAATAAAGAGATAAAGCAGCGAAAAAAGCGAGATAATTCTTTTGTTTTAATGTATATAGCAAATCTTCCTTTCGATTTCCTTTTGGTGGATTTGAAGACTGAAACTGGAAGACGCTATTTCCATCATCTGATTCCGTGCCCTATTCTCGTTCCACATGCAAGTTCTTGCACTCGTCGCCGTATTTGCACGTTCCGCTCCGATAAAACTTGCATTTCTGCTGCTTCTTTGTTGGTGAGCCAGAGTGAGAATCCCATATTGGCGTTGCCGTTACTCTCCAGTCTCTGGAGGCGCCCTTGGTCGACCCAGCCCCGGATCGAGGCGATTGATGACCAGGAGAATCCTGAGCTGGAACTGGCTGAAACAAGCCAGGAATCTTCTCAATTCCCATATCTAATTGCTTGTAATCATCTTGAAACTTGATATCAGTTGAGGTCACCAGCGTGAACCGGTCTCTGATGCCCGAATATGTCGTCAAATCAGCAATGTACCCGCTGTCGTGACAGCCCGCGAAAAAGATGTGCTTGCACTGCGGGTTCGTGGCATATAGATTGAGTGCAGCGCGCAGCTTCAAATCAGCCGTCTCTTCCCACTCTCCGACGTCGACAAAGTCGAAGAGCCCATGAGACCTGTTGAAGCCGGCGACAAACGGAGCGAGGGATCGCTTCTCGGGACCTACCAAGCGTGCTTTGTAGAGAGTCTTGGATAAGCCGGCAATGTCTGCATATACTCGCACCATGATCTGGCAGTGCTCGAGGTCTTTTGCCTTGAGGCTGTCCATGATAGACTCGGTGAGGAGTTGTGCTGCAGTTCGTCCACCCTCAGCACCGTCGCTCACTAAGCTTTCGTGGAAGACGTAAGCATCGCCGTCAACCAGGATAAGCACAAAAGGATTCCCGCCTTGGCCTTTGGACAGCTGTTTGTATCTTTCTCTACCCTCACGCTCTTCTTCATAATCGCTCTTGAGGCGCTTATAATTCTCAAGCAAAACGGCATATCGGTCCAGTATGTTGGGCAGCGTGGTGCTAATACGGAACTGAGCCAACTGGATGGCCGCTTGTTCAAGGTCATCATCGTTGAGCATTATAGCCTCTGCGAGTTACGACCGTGTAAAAAAGGTAGTGATGAGGCCAGTGTTGACGAAATAATGCAGGCTGGTGGCGAGCTTCTCTTCTTAGTTTTGCGCTTCTTGAGAAACGCTTATATGGAAGTGACAACTTGATGCTCTTCAGCTTTATTAATTCGCAAGGACAACTCAAAAGACGTGGGTGGCATCGCCTTTTTAACGCTTTGGAAATCCATATGCGGAGGCGGAATACGACCCACTATAACTCACCTGATGCCATCTTTTTATCCAATACTTTTTCTCTTCATTCTATGTCGTATTGTCGTCTTAGGTTTGAGAGACCTATCACAATAGCCCCGCATCTCTTTTCAGCCTGAGTTCATGCATCATAATTCACTTGAACTGAATATCTCGCACTTGATGAACTCCGTCTATGCCTGTAAGGTGTTGTTCTCCATTGTCGGGATCGTGCGAGTTGAAAACAATCGGAGAATATCTCAGTTTGTTCCTGAGCCACTATGCCTTACATTTTCCCTGTTCCATTTAGCTTATGTGAGAGATAACGAAAATATCTGTTCAGCACGCTATTTTTATGATAATTAACATTTCGAGGCGTCTACTCTTTTTGGCTTCTCGAAGACGATCCATGGTACCGCAATGTAAGCTGCTCTGTAGAAAAGAATATCGGAAATAGTTTTCGTCGACCCATGTCAGTTACCTCCTACTGAGCACACACTTTTGTCTTCGCGGCGACGCCTATAATGCAAGCAATATTTAGAAGAATGTTATTTAAAGACACACATTTAAAATTGAACAAACTATGAGAAACCCTTTAAAAGCTACTTCTCTCCGATAATGACCGTGGCACACATCTAAAGACGTATGACCAAACCTATGGCAGAGTGGCCTAATCTCAGGGTCCAGCCTTGAGCCTCGGCATCTTGCTAGGTGCTATTTTCCAACTCAATCTCGTAGTCAATACATCAATCATCTCCATATTTTATTTTTAAATTTCCCAAACGCTCCATCAATGTCCTAAGCAGCTTATTTCGCTTCTTCAGCAAGCCTCTCTTGCAGTCTACCCGCCAAGTCCTTAAGCGAGTTGCTCTGTGTGACATCGAAGATACTGACGCCGCCAACAACGTTTATAACGAGCCAGTTTCGCAACTCTCCTGCAACCAGAGAGTCCACACCATAAGCCGTCAGAGGCATCTCGGCATCGACTTCAGACGCAGACATCGCGAAGACATCAGCCAGACGCTCTTTCAAAGCCTCAACCAACAAGCCATGCGCTGTTTCGGTTGAGCTGTTGATGAGGCGATCCTTCAAAGACTGCTGTGCTGAGCCTTCTCCGTCAGAGCCGTCACCAGGAATCGACAAGTGTGCAAAGCGAGGCTCCAAGCGCCACTGCAGAGTGCCTGGAGTCGTCCAGCTCTTGAGTCCAGTGACGATCTGGCCCAGACGTGGGTGGAGTATAGACATTTGAATGAGGCTCAAGAGCTCAGACACTTCTTGGGCACGGTAACCGGCTCTGTCCAATAGTTTGCCGACGCCACCACGAGCGGCCACACCCACAGCTGGCACACTACCGATGTTGATAGAAACACCAGGCAGGCCCTTGCTGACTCTGTTCCATGCGAGAGCATCCTGGTAGCTTCCTCCTGCCGTGTAGTTTGCCTGACCACCGTTTCCTAGAATGCATGTAGCAGATGAGAGGATAATGAAGAATTCCAGGTCGGAGTCTTGGAAGAGCTCATTCAAGTTTCCAGTTCCCTTAACCTTGGGCCCAACCGCAACATGCCACTTGTCTTGGGTCATGTTGTTGAAGACAGAGTCTGCCAGAACCACAGCTGATTGAATGACACCGCGAATTGGGCCCTTCTTGCGAGCTTCAGTGACAACTTTCTCAAGGCTTGCCTTGTCGGACACATCGCAGCTGCGGAGCACAGCTTGAGCTCCAGCTTCAGCGAGGGCAGCGACAAGGGCTGGGCCTTCTGCTTGCTGCTCTGCTCGTCGTGATACCAGGATCAGGTTCTTCGCTCCTTGCTTGGCGAGCCAGAAGGCGATTTCCTGACCAATACCGCTCGTTCCACCGATGATGAGGTACGAACCAAGAGGGTCAAGCTTGGGTGAAGCCTGGGTTACAACAGTCTATGGAAGCGTCAGTGTACATGTTAAGAGAAGAAAGATTTGGATGTCGTCAATACATACCGGTACCAAGTCGCCTTCGGTGGCTCGAACAACAAATTTACCAATGTGGCGACCACGCTGCATTTGGCGGAAAGCGTCTCGCAGGTTGCCAATCTCGTAAAGCAAGAGGGGCACTTCATGCTTGATCTTTCCAGCGGCAAACAAATCTACAACGCCCCGGAAAGAGTTGAAAAGGGTCTTGCCGTTGACAATTCCCAGCATCACGAGATCCATTGCGATGTAGCTTGTGGAATTGCTAAAGTTTCTCATGCCCAAGCTCTTGTTGCCCTGGGAGTCTTGCTTGCCCAGTTCAATAAAGCGGCCGAGTTTAGCAACGCAATCCCAACTAGCCTGCAACAGAGGGCCTGCCAAAGAATTCAACAAAACATCGACACCTCTTCCTCCGGTAGCTCGCATAACGTCCTCAGCGAACGAGACATCACGGCTGGAGAACATGCGATCGCGGGGAATGCCGTAGTTCTTGGAAAGGAACTCTCTCTTCTCTTCCGAACTAACAGTGACATAGATCTCCGCCTTCAGGTACTGCGCAATAGCGATGGCTGCCAATCCGACACCACCAGCTGCAGAGTGGATCAGGATGCTTTCACCCTCTTGCAGGTCGGCAAGTTTGATCAGAGCGTGGTACGCAGTTCCAAAGATGATGGGGACAGAGGCTGCGGCTTCCAGACTCATGCTGTCTGGAATACGCATGACGCTGTGCCATGGCGTGCGAATCTTGTTGGCCCAGTTTCCGTATTGCATGAGAGCGCAAACTCGGTCACCAACCTTGACGTGAGTGACTTTGGATCCAACGCGGCTGACATATCCCGAGCACTCGAATCCCATAATCTTCTCTTGCATTTGGTCCATTGCGATGAGAACGTCTCGGAAGTTGAGACCGAATGCATGCGGCGTGATCTCAACCATCTCCTCGTTCCATGTACCAGATTGCCAGAGAGCCTCGTCCTCCTTGAAGACAAGACTGTCCAAGAGACCAGGGCTTGCAGCCTCCAAGTATGTGTACGGGCCCGAGAATGAGAACTCCTTGAGCTGAGGTGGGTTTCTGCCTTGCAGTCTTCCAAACTGCTCATTAAAGCTCTGTTCTCCGATGTATCGGAGAATGTTAAGCTGGCCTGAGCGAACCGAGAACTCGTACTCGCGATGCTCGCGGTTGGAGTTCAAAGTGTAGCGGAATACATCGTCAATCACTTTGATTGCAGATGCATCCCAGCATCCTTGCGCTGGATCCAAGTCGAGGGTGATGAATGTCTTGGAGGCATCTTCGACTCTGAGTGTTCGCAGCAAACCAAGGCCCATTGCGGCTTCTCCCTCGTTGCCATCTCCAGCGTGTGATACCCACACCAGGTTGTCAGCCTCTAGCAGTGCTGCCTGGAGAGCATCGAAGTTCTCCTTGGAGATTTCAGACAAGAACTTGTCCTTGCTTTGCACCCAAATGATACCAGTCTTGTTCTTCAACGACGCCTTTCCAAGCTCGGCAACCGAAACCTCCGTGCCGGTGCTCTCATGAAGCAACTGGCTAAGCTGATCCAGCCATTTTTGAGGTGCTGCGTCCTTGGAGTTGGGAATCTGGATCAAGACAGTCTCCTTGGGGTAGTTAACAGAGTGGAACAGCGCATTGCTTGTGGCAGTAGCCGCGATGAATGAGTATTCTGAGCCGCGCACCACAATCTCAGAGCTGTGGAAGCCGTTCTCAGCCAGCACTGATTCCAGTTTTTCATCCAGAGATTTCTCCAGGATCAATGCTGTGCCTTCAGACTTCAAGACATGGCGAATGTACTTGGTACTCTTGCTGAGATCTGTAGCGTTCTGGAGAAGGTTGGAGACAATGACCAAGTCGTAGCTTTCAGCGTTAATACCTTGCTCGCCAGGGCTCTTTTCAATGTCAAATTCTTGGTATCGAATCTGGCTCTCGAATGCTGTAAATTGCTTCTCAGCCTCTGAGAGTGCTTCAGCAGAGACATCTGCATAATCGTATCTCTGAACTGCCAATGTTCCTGGAGTCTCTTGTGAAAGACCCTCGAGAATAACAGCGGAAGTAGCTCGTGCACCAGCCCCAACTTCCAAGACCTTGGCACGGGGATGCTTGTGAGCAAAGAGGCTGACATACTCCTTGAGCTTGTCCTCGCTCTGGAAGTCTTTGGCAGACAGCTTAGTAACGTCCGGCTTGTGGACAGGCTTCAGCGTAGCAGTGTTATCCACCTCGTCCGAAGCCTGAATGGTCTTGAGAACCAGGGATTTGACCTTCAAGCGCTCGGCATTCAGAACAATCCTCTCTTTCTCGCCCTCAATCTCGGACAAAGTGATGGAAACTTCGAAACCGTGATTATCGAGATGGGTGAGCTTGGCGACAGCCTTCATCTTGGTACCGGGCTTCTGGTCAGTATTGGAGCTCATGTACAATTTGCCAGCAAACTCAGGCAAACAGAGGCCAAACTTCTCCAAGATAGCCGAAGGCATAGTGCTCCAAGCAATTTGGAAGCAAGCGTCCATCGTTGTGGGATGAACAAAGTACTTGGACTCGTACTCTTTAGGCATTGCTGCAACATTGTCGGCCACAGTGATGCCCGCAAGTACGTAGCCGCTACCATAATCGACGGTTGAGACAGTCTGGAAGGCGGGTCCCAGAGTTGGGCCTCCATTAGCAATCTGCTCATAGAAGACGCCCAGATCAAGAGAACTTGTTTGGATGTCTTCAGGCATGAGGACAGGGACTTGTGGCTTGTCACTGGCGATTCCGACTTTACCGCTGCAGTGTCCAATCCATTTGCCATCTCGTCCTCTGGAGAGGATCGAGAACTCCTTGTAAGTAAGAGTGTCCAAGGTTCGGTTGCTTTGGTCCCGAAGGATCAGCTGCACTTCCACTCCATCGTCTGAGGTTGGCACCATCAGGGCACTGTACAAGTTGACATCGTACAGCATGTAGCCTCCAAGAGCTTGCTCCTCT